ACGACCCCGGGGCCGCCGGATCGCGAGTGGAGCAGGAGCGAACCGAACGGTCTGCGTCAGCAATGCGTAGCTTCCTCACTAAGGGACGTACGAACGAAGATATACCATCGACAGCTTAATGGTAGTCTCTATTCTCTACTGGAATATCGCAGATTCAAAGGCGAACGCAACGCTAGCGCTGGATAAGGGGGGTGACTATGATATAATAGCGGTTCAAGAGCCATGGATCAACCGGCGGACGAAGGCGATTTATTGCCCGAAGTCGTCCAGGTACGAAGTAGTGTACAGCAGCGGCAGAGCTGCGCTATACGTCCATAAACGATACGACGTGGCTACGTTGCGACCCCGTACCGGGATGGACTGGAGCAGTATTACGTTCGGGGCAGGCCCGGACGCCCTTACAATCTGGTCTATCTATTCACCAAACCAAACCGGGAGCCGCTGGGTCAGCCCGCTCCAAGACCTCCCTAATGGGGCGCCGGAGGGGACACAGGTCCTCGTAGGGGACTTCAATACACATCACCCGCTGTGGGACGTCCACGGACGGTCGTCACGGGGCAGCGACAACGTAGTGGAGTTTGCGCGACGCTGGCGATTAGAGCTCGTTACGCCGTTCGGGGAAATCACACGGCAAAGGCACAAACAACGAGACTCAACTATCGACCTAGCCTGGGTGACGAAAGGGGCTAGGATTGATTACGATGGGGACCCGGGCCTAGAGGGCTCAGACCACAGAGCGCAAGTGATTAGGGTAATATCCAACGGGGAAGCAGTCAAGGAGGGCCGCCGCAGTGTCGAAGGGTGGAACTGGGCGATGGCGGATAAGTGGCTCATCGTAGCCGAATCAAGCCAGAGATTTATGAATTATTTGCCGGTTGAGACGATAACGGAGTTGGACCAGGCTGTTGACTGGGTTATCCGGAACCTCCAAGAGATCGCCGACGTGGCGGTCCCGAGACGCACCGTTGGCCGAGGCGCTGGGGTCCCGTGGTGGTGCCCGCAGGTTAGCAAGGCTTGCGCTGAGACGAAGAGACGACGGCGGGACTACCTCCAGGCAAGGTCGCAGACCAACTGGGACGAATATACAAGAGCCGGCCAAAAACAACGGCTCGAAATCAGCGAAGCGCAGACGCGTAGCTGGCACGAGAAGCTCGAGGGGACGGCGAAGGATCACAAAAGCCTGTGGGCACTGCAGAGGTGGGCTAGGCTACGGAGCTGGGCCCCCCCTGAGGCCCACGGCTTGCCAGATCTCCGGAGGGACGCCGGCGACACGCTTACAGCACGTACACATGATGAGAAGGCAAAATTACTAGCTGAGAGGTTCTTCCCAGACCCGTATATAGATCTATCGGACCTCGATCGCGGCCTATTACAGACGAGACCAGAGCTGAACGTCCCTAGGGAGGTGACCACAATGGATATCGAGTCTATCATCAAAGGAACGGCTGCTCGGAAGGCTCCCGGCGACGACCTGATCCCCACTGGCCTGCTAAAGGCCTGCGGTGAACCCCTATGGGAGATCCTAGCGGATCTGGCAACAGCTAGCTTTAGGCTGGGGTACTACCCGGAGCGCTTCCGCTCAGCGAGGGTGGTTATTATCCCTAAGCCTAATAAAACGACAGCTCAGAAGCAGACCCCTGGCGGCTGGCGCCCCATTGCCCTGCTTAGCACGGTAGGGAAGGTAATAGAGACGGCGATGAGCCAGCGTATCACCAAAGTAGCTGAGGCGGCCGGCCTACTACCAAACGGCCAAATGGGTAACCGCGCTGGGAGGTCCACCGAACTGGCAATACGTATAGTTGAGGACGTGGTCTATACGGCGTGGAGACGCGGGGGCATCGCCTCGCTGCTACAGCTAGACATCAAGGGGGCATTCGATACGGTCAATTACAGACGGCTGATTTCCATATTAGCCCGGAAAGGCTACCCGGAGTGGGTTCAGGAGTGGGTACGCAGCTTCGTGGAGGATAGAACGGTACGCCTCCGGTTCGATGGCAAGGAGTCAGAGCCAATCCCCCTACGAGCTGGCGTCCCCCAGGGGTCACCGCTATCCCCGATACTGTTTATATTATACATTTCAACGCTGTACGAGGAGCTAGCGGAGCAGCATCCACTACTTTTAGTAGTCGGGTTCGCGGACGACACGAACCTGCTAAGCGTCGGCACCGATCCAGACACGACCTGCCGCCGGTTGGAGAGCGCATGGGCTACGTGTCAGCGGTGGGCAGTGAGGCACGGGATGGAGTTCGCTCCTGACAAGAGTGAGCTAATGCACTTTACTAGGGCCCGAGAGCCCTTGCCGCAAAGTATTCGCCTTGGGGACGCCACAGTGTCGCCGGTAGTCTCAGCCAGGTTCCTAGGAGTCTGGTTCGACCGCAAACTGACGTGGCACGCCCATGTTGAGCGTGTTAAAACAAAAATGGCAACTCAAAAGCTAGCCCTGACAAAGCTAGTCAATATGTCGTGGGGCTGCGATCTTATACGGGCGAGGCTGTTATATACGGTGGTTATCCGTAGCGCGATTGCCTTCGGGGCGACTGCGTGGCATACTATAAGTGAGGAACCGGCAGGGCCAGCTAAGAGCCTGATGGGGATACAGAACGAGTGCCTCCGGGTAGTCTGTGGTGCCCACAAAGCGACGCCGGTTCGCCACCTGGAAGCAGAAGCAGCAATCCCGCCACTAGACCTCTATCTTAGTGCCCGGGCTGCTAAGTTTGAAGAACGGCTACGGCTTAGCGGGAAGAGAAATCTGCTTCGCAGCGCGAGCGCTAAAGCGTCACATATACTCCGGCAGGATAGGCCGGCGAAGAGGAAGCAGGCGTCGCAGCTACTCCGACCGGCAGGGTACACTATGGAGAAGGAGGCCCGGGGCTCCGAGTGGATGAGTGAGGAAAAGGAGGTCCCGGCTGCCCTCCTCGACCACTGGAGGAAGAGATGGCTCACCGGAGCAGAGCATCACGATCGCCAGCGACGCGCTATCGCTGAGGAACCGGAGGGCCCTTCGATGCAGATACCGAAAGGGGGCAAGTATTTCGGCCTGAACCGACTGGAGGCGTCTACGCTGTGCCAGATCAGGACGGAAAAAATAGGACTAGCAGCCTTCTTATTCAAGACAGGGGCTTTTGGCGTGTACTCGCCGCTATGCCGCTGTGGCGATGCCCCTGAGACGGCAGAGCACGTAATCCTCTTTTGCGGGCTGTTGGAAGGACCGAGGGAACGATTACGGGCCGCCATCGCACCACGGCCACTATACTCTCGCAGAGACCTCGCAACGGCAACAGGAGAACCAGTAGTTAGTGGGACTATTGTAAGATGGCTGCTAGGGACGGGTCGGACAGCTTCAAGGCCCAGATAGCATCGATCTTCTCAGGGGGGACTTTGTTGGTAGGTTGAGAACCAACGTAGTATGGTAGTGAACGCAACGCAGTCGCCAATAGGGCGAACCGACGACGCAGCGTATGTATTTAGTCCAGCCATTAGGGCACGGTTTGACATACGGGAGTACTAGTAGAGGTACCGGGGGCTTCGAGCCTACGGCGTATTTAATAATAATAATAATAGTTCTAGATCTAGTTTTCTCCTTTAAGAGTATATATTGCTATTTGAAAGTGTCACAAGCTAGAATTCGAATGGGCTAGAAGGTCGCGATCGGACCCGCCTGGAGAAGCGGGCGAGATCATGACGATCCGATGGCGTTTCAACAAAACCTTCTAGGACACTCAAATAGTGCTCGAAGCACCAAGGGCTCTTGGACGGGCAAGTTTCCTTCTTTGTACCTAATTGATATTGGCGTTAGGAATTGACGATTGTGCCTGGCCTCTACTCACACCTCACTTATTGTTACAGAAAGTATATAATAATCCTCTTAATTCTATCTAACCCGCTTGGCTGGTGCATATGCGTCTGTACACAAACTGATATCTAGGTCAGCAACGAGCACAGTCGGTTCGAATCCGGCAGCGGATTATAGGGACCACGCATCCCCACTGCGATAGTGATGGGGAAAGAATTTAGTAGAGTCAGGCGTCCTACTAAGGATCCACAGCCCTACACTGATATTGAACTTAACCCCCGTATTAAGTTCACGAAGCCGATAGTGCGAGGGAACCATAAGCTACGGAGGATACAAATGCGCAATACAAGGACTGGGTAATTTAGCCCGCTATACCTCTGGTCTTGGCACCTACTGTCTTCACAAGCCGTAGGCTTCCATATGACAGTATAATAAACAATATTAAAAATAAAAAAAAGGTCACTGTTGGATTGCAGCCACTCTACAAGCCACACACAGCCACATTGGAGGAATAATTACCCATCCATGAACAAGGTCATACCGGCAGTTAATCGACTGTGACAGAAGACAACCATTTACACCAATCAATTACTTGAACCCCATTATTGGTCAGATGCACGCGTAATCCAACAGGCAGCTTAAGGCATGTTTTCGAGGTGTGACCAATAGGCCACGGCACCTACAAAAGATGGACACGCACTTGTCATGCAACATTGAGATTGCGTTGCCTTACAATGCAACACGAGGGTTACCGAAGCAGCTAGACTGGACGGTATAGCCAGAAGGAAGGCCGTATCTTGTTTAATAGTAAAAAGTGTGAGAGAGACACACAAACACACACACTGAGAGAGAGAGAGAGAGACAGAGAGACAGAGAGACAGAGAGACAGAGAGAGTTGAGCGCGATAGGAGTGAGGTCCACAAGAGATGAAAATCCGCAGATCGGCCAGGGCTGGTCCAGACCATAGTAGCGGTCTGATAACTGATATACCCCCCTGTAGAATATTTCCCAAATATCCATCGATGTCAATCCGCCAAGGCTCCTTGGTGGTGGGAACCGACCCACAGCAAAATCAGAAGAGTGGATATTCTGTGAAGTTGAGCCGGCTTGGTTTTGAGCGTCTTCGTACTTCAGATGGAACAATCCATGTCATGTTAACATTTCACGGCTTCGCGTTGTGCTTCTGTCAAAAAAAAAAAAAACACAGTGGTAGGTAAAAATTATGTCTCTAATAATGTACGGTGTCGCATCTATGCTCTGTCTATGCTCTGTCTACACCCCATGTCATTCTGCGTAGAATTTCCCAATATCTCAGACAAAATTACAATTTAGGGTTGAATTTGCCCCTGATACGCTCGCCAAAGATATAGAAGACGACGGGTATCGGCACAAGTCCCAATGCGATGAATGCAAGCAGACTGTTGCCCCATCCAAGGCCTAGCGCATTGTACATCTCAAGACCTCCTAATGGGATAAGGGCTCCCAGGAGCGACCTCATCACCGTCATCGCCGCAGTGACGGAGGCTGCATAATTGGGGTACGTGTCTAGCAGGTAGTTTTGGACACACATCTATGATTGAAAGTTAGTTTCAGCACATCGCAAAAGCCGACATTAACGGCGAGAAGCAGAGCAGAACTTACCATAATGCCCATCAGCCCGGCACTGAAGAGGACGACGCCGATCATGGGTACGATCCAGTGAACACCATACTCTGTCGTCCAACCGTAGATGAAGAGGCCAACGGGCAGAGCCAAGCCATTCGGGATGGTCAACGTGGGCAAGAGCCGCACTTCGGGCTGGTGAGTGACGCCCTTGGCCATGTTCCGTTTAACCATGTAGTCGCTGAGCTGTCCGAAGCCTGCGACGCCGATCATCATGCCGATGCCCGCAGGTAAGAACGTCAGGCCGTTGGTGCCTTCATCGAAGCCGTAGTGTTCGGTGAAGACGAAGGAGAAGGTGGTGATCAGAAGGTAGAGTATGCCGTAGGTGATGGCGATGTATAGAGCCATCAGGGTGACGATGGGGGTTATGAGGAGAAGCTTCAAGGGTCGGATGAAGGCGGTTTTGAACTGCTCTTTGGGGTTGACGTAATCGGCGAGCTTACTTCGCAGGTCCGGGTTGCCTGTGGACTTTCGGAGTGCTTTTGCCTTGTTTTCCAGTAGGATGGGAGCGAAGGTTTCACGGAGGAGGAACCAGGAGAAGGGGATGAAGATGCCGGACTGTGCGAAGGAGTCAGTGCCAGACCTTCGTGAGTTTACTAGGGAGCAAAAGTTTTACCATTATGACAACCAACCAATACACCCATCTCCATCCAGCCGCCTGGATCAAATATCCCCCAGCCACAGGCCCAACGCAAGGTCCGAGAAGGGGACCCATAGCCCACGCCGACATAGCCCTCCCGCGTTTCTCAATGGGCATGATGTCAGCAATACTGCCGCTGCCAATCGTTATCGGCACAGAGCCGGCAAGACCCATGAGCAGTCGAAAGGCCATCATCATGCCGATGCTGTTGCTCAGTGCCGTGCCGGCGGAGAAGATGGCAAACAACACATTCCCCCAAAAGTAGAGCGGTCTCCGGCCCAACACTTCGCTCAGGGGCGCGACGAAGAGGGGCCCAAATGCGAAACCGAGGACGTAAATGGAGACGAGGAACGTTGCTGTCGTTGCTGAGGAGCTGTGGAACTCAACCATGATGCCGGGGATGCCAGGCGCGAACATAGAAGATCCCAGAGGGCTAAGATTCATGTTAGCCGCGACAAGGTGGTACAATCGTGGGCAGACTCACGTCACGAGGGTCAATGTCGACAGCACCGCGATATTAGTCCATTTTCTCGAGTCCGGCCAATTCTTGGGGTTTTCGGGGTCGTCTGGTCCTTCCCAGTCTACGATGTTGGGGTCTGTCTCGCTTGCCGGGTCATCGTTGCTGGTCCCGGCCTCGACGTCGACGTCGGTAGTGCCTTCTGTCTTTGGTTGCGCATCGTCGGTGGCGGACGCACGATCTGATGATGTGTGGATGGGCTCTTTCTCGAAGCTTGCCGAGTCCGGACTTGTTCTCCCCTGCTGCTCTTCTTTTGAAGCTTCTGTCATTGCTAGCCTGGGTGTTCGCGTGTTGGTGGAAGATCGAAACGCGCTGCTGCCGTGATGAGATACTGGGAAGATGACCGTAAGGGCTGATGATTTGACGGACAGATAAAGACATTCTAAACGCTGGGGATCGAGGGAATGTCATGGTAATTATATTGATCTGGTTGTGCAGGTTATCATTCGGATTCGCGACGCCGCATTTGCGGCGCAACCAATCACAGGCTCAACCGAAGTAGCCCAGCTGGTGGCTTGCAGGGTGCGGGGCCAGACACTTGGGTCTGGGGGATTGCCGTTTGCCAACCGGATCTCACTACTCCGTATGTTCTAGCTAACCCGGCCACGGGACCGCGTGAATGGTCGGTTCCTTTAAGCTTTCGGAGCATAACTTTTTATGCAGACCGCCTGCCGCCCTGTTGCGGCTATCCAACAACCCGGAGAAAGCAATGAGCAATCGTCTTTACACGTATGCATGGGAAGCTCGTATTTCGGGACCCCAAGCCTCCCAAGGCCGGCAGTGCTTCCCCACGCACCTTCGGAATACTAATACAGCCATACTCTGATTCCAACATAGAGTAAATAATAGGGTTGCTTTTACACTTACACGTAAAGCTGCAACAAAACTCGGGCCGATAGCTAACTTTCCTGTAGTGTCGTGAGTCGCACTTCTAGTTCTGCTGTGCTGGACTTGTAAACCGTTAGTTATGCCACCGACGGCAGAGTCAATCATGCCGAGGTCACGTCGGCTTCTGACTAGTTTGGCGTCCGCACTGTAGCTATGCTCCAGCTACTATACTATTTCCTGGCTTGTTCTTGTGACATTGCCTGGACTCAATAAGACTTGATGCTATCAATAGATTTTGTAATTGCCATGCACCTCCATCTGCATTGAATTTCCATGCGTAATCGAGATTTCTTCGTGTTCGGTTACACTGCGTAAATACGCGTACATAGCCTGGGCAGTTCCACCTGCTCATATATGAGCTTGGTATCCTTAATATTCTAACCCCACTAGTTCCCGCAAGCTGTTACCACGGGATGAAACCTTGAGTTGTAATGTTCTAGTGAAGAACACTTCTCGAAAGGCACTAAGATTAGATGGTGCCTAGATGCCTTGTACCCCTCTACTCGTCAAGCCTTAAAACCGCGGGTTGAGTCACTGTGTGAGGATGGTTTTTTGACCTTTTTCAGCTACTTTTTTTTCTTCTCGGTACTTCCAACTACGAGTAATCTGCGGCAAATTGCTAGTACCTCCCCCGTAAACCTGTACAATTGCTAAGCGTTCAGGGCCCTGTCCTAGCAATATGCCCAGCTGTTGTCAGCGCCGTTATTCGCCAATTGACCATTCAAACACTGCCACATCGTCACTGTTGGCCGCCTAGTCTTCATCCCCGTTATCCTCTTCAGGCACTGACCGTGGCTACGAAGGCGCCTCTGGCTTTTTTGTTGAATGCTCCATATTTGAATTTCGAGAGACACTTCCAAATTTGGCGATGAATTGGTGAAGTTCGGAGGTATCGATCAAACATGACATAAAGCTGAAACATATCAAATAGACATTCTCACTAGTCGCTCAAACCGCCGGTTTTAGGCTTGACGGATATATCTGGGGTTGTACTTGTCCATACTAGATACCGTGTTTTGTTAAGAAAGATCGACTGTATTACAAAACATCATGCATGTCACCCAATACAGCTGTAGTCTGTTTGAGTATAGGCAGTGCAAAGTGTGACCAACCGATCACCAGTGAACATGTTCAGCCCTGATTATGTTTTTTTCAAAAGATTAGGTACATGTATATTTGTATACACGTTGGCGACTGCCGTCGCGTATTGGGTAGCACTTCAGTATCCCCTGGTGCGTCTGGAATATAGACTTACTAGCCATACTCACATAACTTCCTGGCCAAATGGTATAAGGAGAATTTAGCTAATTATTCAGTTCTGTCAGAGCAACATCTCGATTGTTGGTGTCTCCTAAGTCGCTACGAAACTAATTCTGTACTAGATCTCTATGGTATGTGTATTTCGATGGCACGTTTTTGGCCTGTCACGTTGCAACTGTTCGAGTCCCCTGAGGACTGCGAGCTGTACGTCTGATATATCGGGAGTGCTAGATACCGACTATATAGACTATACAATACCTCAACCAGAAGTCGGTCTCATGGTTAAGAAAGTATTTACTCCCGACTTTATGCCAAGTCTGATTCTATTCCACTCTAGTTACACGCTACGCTATGCTATCCAAAGAAGTGGAGCTTCGCATGGCTGTCCCAACATGAAGAGAATAGAACACATAGAATCTACGCCGAACGGGCACAGACGGAAATCAAACAGGGATATCTTCCATCAACTCCATGGCGCCTTCACGCCCCACGGTGATTATCACATCGCCCAAGGTCTTGGTCAGAAAACCCGCTTCGCAATAGGTAAAGTAGTACTATTACTAGTCGTCAGTAATGTGTTTGCGCTTAGTGCTTTGAGAAAGGGGCTCGGAGTGTCACCGACCTCCCACTTTCTCCGAAATACTTCAATCTCCTCAGACGTCATGTTTTGGTGTTCGCTTTTCAGCGCTGGGCGAATCTTGTAATCAAAATTGGCCATGAACGCCTCCTTCCATAACCGCAGTGTTTTTGCGTAGTGCCCGCCAATGTTTTCGATGCGCTCCACAATCAAGGTACCGTGGGATTCAATATTGATATGGTTGAGCAGCTGCGTAACACAGGGCAAGTGACCACCGGGGAAAATGTGCTTATTAATGAAGCTGCAGGTTGGTTAGTAGCAGTGCGGAGACTGTTTGGGTACGTGGCTTGCTTACTCCTCACTCTTTGAATATGCCTCGTATCGACCTTCTGGCATGGTGATGCACTGGAACACGGCGATTCCGCCCTTCTTTTTAAGTAAGCGATCAATGTGTGAGAAATAAGTCGCCAAAAACTCCTTTCCTACTGCTTCCAACATCTCGATCGACACGATTTTGTCGTATGGCGAATTTGGGATCGGCAAGTTCCTGTAGTCCATCAGCTTGACTTCAATTCGATCCGCAAACCCCGCCTTTCTGATCCTTTCTTCTGCGAGTATCTTTTGCTCCTTCGATAGCGTCAGGCTCGTGACTCGACACCCTCTCTGTCTCACCGCCTCGATCGCAAAAGAGCCCCATCCCGTTCCTATTTCCAAGACGTGATCCGACTGCTTTATATGGGCGCCATCGATGAACCGTTGCAATTTCGACATTTGTGCTTCTTGCAAAGTTTCTTCCGGTTCAGAGTCGGCGGTGCGAGGTTTCCATATGGGACAAGAGTAAGTCATGTCTTCAGACAAGAAGGCGGCGAACATGTCATTGCTAATATCGTAATGTGCCGAGATGTTAAGCAGCGCATTCGATAGCGTGTTGGTCGTGCGGGCGATACTTGTGATTGCGCCTGAGATGGAAGAGAATAAGGTGGTTCCATTACTCATCTGATCTCTATTCGCAATGAATAACTATGGCTGTGTCAGTCAGGGGTCATTTGTGTCGCAAGGATGGAGGCACTGACTTGGAAGAACGCCGTCAAGTCTGCACACTCGAATTCGCCCAGCATGTAAGATTCCGCGAACCCCATGTCGGCGAAGAGGAATAATCGCATCCAGAAAGCTTCATTCTTGACTACAACCTCGACGCGCGGGATTGTGTCCGCCCTTCTGACGGTGCTGTCTCCATTCGTGAGTTGATTGGTTTTGGACCTAAGCTTCTGGCCGTATACCAATCGCGTCCCAGCAGGTTCATCCACCAAGAGCAGAGTCCCAACGTCTATACTGGAAAACACCGCGAGTATCGCTGACTTGGCTATCACTAATGCCGGCCCCCACGTCAAGCTTCCAAGAGAACCGCGTGCAAAATCGGCGCCGTACAACAGCGGGCGTTTAACGAAGGATGGGATCGAGGGTACCATTTTCCCCTTGTCAATTGGACAAAATGTTAAGGTGGCAATGAGAGGTTGTTGCGCAGCAAAGTAATAACGACCGTGAGTTTCGAGCTGGCAGGGACTGATCGAATGTACTTGAAATGCCCCTGTTGGTGAAGTTTGAACGAGATGACGCCGACAGTTGCGAACGACCCTATGGACGTGATGAGCCGCCGTGGCTACAAATACAAGGGAAAGATATCGCAATTAGACGAATGTGACGAGTGCGACCAAAAGAGAGGAGCAAGCAAGACCAGCAGAGCAAGCGGCCATCAAGGGGAAACAAAACATTTAAGCTCAAGCTTCTGTAAGTCCCAGCCCCGCTTGATGAAGTCGTTAACACTACAGGTTGCGCACTGGCGCAGCCCCATGGCTCTCTACTGTCCATATTGCCGGCACTGATAACACAAGAAGTGCGTGAAGAGTGGAGAATACGGCATTTTGCAGGCGCTCGATATGCGGTCTGAGGGCTTGGACAGGGATGCTGAGAACGGGTGAAGCAGGGACCGACCCGAATTGTCTCGGGCTGGGTACTTGCGACGCTACGAGAGTGGAGGTCTTGCACCTTGTAAAACCACAGTCAAAGGCGAGCCAATACACTGAGATCGGATAGCCCACAATGTCCTTGGAGGATCACAGATCTCGGTGGCGGGGCAGGTCGGTGACGGCGTTACAGGCCCATGAGCCCCCTTGACATGGCCATGTGCTAGTGACTGCTTGTAGGGGTTGAACTTGAGTTTGAGAAGCTTGACATTCTCGACACCACAATTTTAGAATAACCAAACATGAGATCTTTAAGATAGTGGCCAAGAATAGTGCCATGAGCGGGACCGTTCAGCAGAACAGCTGAAAAGCAGATAAGGCCTTGCGTACAAGTATTTGATTCACGAGCAAGTACATGCGAGAAGGCTGCATGAACTATACCGTTTTAGGGTTGACCGCCGCAGCTGTTCTGAAAATTTGACAGCCTTGCTTCTGTGATATCCAGAGCGCATCCTTTCTCCCCCTTGATAGCTTATATCGATCCGCGAGCCTGCTGGATCAGTGAGATTGCCACATGGAATGAGTTGGCTACTATCAGGAATTATCTGTATCGCTCCAAGGGCTGATGAGCCATCGGCAGAGCCGGGACGCGTGGCTGAAGCCCTTCATGGTCCAGTGCGAAAAAGGGAACGGTGCTGAAGTGGAGCGGCGTCAATGACATCAACACTTTCAAGGAAATTTTTGGCCTCTTGTCTAGGTCGCATCACACTGCCGCACGGCATGAAAAGATGTCCGAGATCCGGCGTAATTCAAGGATCGTATGAAGAATCTGGTTTTGGACAATCAAATTTGTCAATCAAGGATGTGAAATGCTACTGTCGTCACTCGGAAGCTGGTTAGCCGGAGACAGCATCGTCTGGTCGAACTGAGGTCGTTAAGAACATTCAGATGCCAAGCACGTGCGTCGGCAACGTCCATCAGAACTGCGAAAGCTTAAATTAGATTGGCGGGGCAGCAGCGATTCTTTGATGCCGATAAGCTTATCGCACATGGCTGGCAATTAACGCGTCTAACCTAGACCCTGCAGCCAAGTCGCGCTTTACCATTCGGAACGCGTCTTTAGACACGGTCAGTACGAAGTAACAATAAGACACCTCACTCTGTTTGTCACCCAGCGCCATTATTCCCAGATCTCGTCAAGATGTCGCAACCAATACTTACTGTCTCGGGTGACCCAGCAAACCCGAATAAATCCCAATTGCATCTGCTGCCGTGTCGGATACATCACGATGGCCATGTTGACCCCGTGGACCCATACTGGTCCCCAAGTGAGAGTAAAGGTGAGTTGTGATCGGAGACTGCACTAGTACATGGCGGCTACTTATAAGCATTAGGTGGCATGAAGATTGCATACTTGAGGGGGAGGAAACTCCACGGCAAGGAGATGAAATTGCCTAAAGGCTATTATGGCTCCGTGGTTGAGAAGGGGCCGACGAAGGCCGAAATTCCGAAGGAAGAGATGGACGAAGAGGCGGATGTGCAGGAACTGCCAGAAGCGGTCGAAACTGCTCTTATGAAGGGAAAGGCCCAATTCGACAACGTTGTCGTCTGGGGACATGAGTCTCTGGCCGAGTCGAGTGCAGATCCTTTCGTTAGGGGCATTGAGGAATGGGTGTCTTTTGCTGAACAGGTAAGGATGCAGGTTCTTGTGCTTTGGCCTGTGACTAACACTGAGATCAGATACACTCGTATCCTTCGCAGGATGTTGGACCGACGAAAGGAAGAACTGGGGCCTGTTGATTTATATGTTTATATTTAAGAGCGGCGTTATGGAGTATAATTTCGCGATTGGAGTCCTCGTTGTACAGTAACCTTTATCCAGTTGCAGCCATCAAAGTAGGGAAACCTGTTCGATGACATCAAAGTACCCTCGTACCATGTACTTCCTGAGGTTGCAGAAGTAATAAAGAACACGTAAAGCATGAGCCCGGCCTCAGTGGAGTGATAGTTCGTCCAATTTCAGATTCGATGATCCTCTCAGACAAACCCAAGTCGCCATTCTCATCCCGATGATGGGTGATGATGTCGGGTTGGCGCAACTTTATGCAGTTTATGCTAGCTTGACCCTGTCAGTAATCGCTCAATGATTGGCCAAAGCTGCTAGGCTGAAAACGCCAGGATCCATTCTTTTGACAGCCTTGCCCCTCCAGCTCGACTGCCCATTTCCAGTTGCGACCGTCAAGTCGAATTCAACTCTTCATTTCCATCAAACAACACCGCGGGATCATCGATATCCATCATGAGTCCCGGAATACTAGAGGCCACCGTCGGGTCCGATGGACCCCGACAAAAGAACAAGGCCACCCCTGACACGCTGCGAGTCGGCTGCATTGCTATGGTCGAGAAAGACGGACAAGCTCGTCGCGCTGAAATTTTAAGCATTAAAGACACCAAAAGCGGGCGCCAATTCTACTGCAACTTCGACAACTTCAACAAGCGACTTGATGAATGGGTACCGGTCAAAAGAATCAACTTTGAGCAAGATGTCGAGTGGCCGAATCCTGACAAGGACAAACCGAAAGATGGGAAAAACAAGCAAGGCGCAACGGCCCAAAAGAAGAACTTGTCCAAAAAAATCCAGAAGCGTCCGGGGAAGCGGGAACAGTCTGTCACATCCGAAGCAGCCACCCCAAACCATCCGTGGTCCGAATTCGTCGATTCTCAGCCCCAGTCGAAGGCACCGTCCACGCCGAGAGACTTAGAATCGAAGGCGGGACAGACGCCTGCAGCTGCAGGTGATGAAATGGATCTGGATGAGGATGAGAACACGCCCGACATCAAGAAAGAGGATGACGGGTTCAGCCGAGAAGCCGAGATCGAGAAGCTGCGAACCGGTGGTTCGATGACACAAAACCCGACCGAACTTTCGCGAATTCGAAACATTTCAAAGGTGCAATTTGGGAAATACGATCTTTTCCCATGGTACTTCTCGCCATACCCGGAGTCTTTCACACAAGAGGATGCTATATCTGTCTGCGAGTTTTGCCTAAGCTACTACGCCGACCTCAAGTCCTTTGCCAGGCACCGACAAAAGTGCACACTACAACACCCTCCTGGAAATGAGATCTATCGCGACGACTACGTTTCATTTTTCGAGATCGACGGTCGGAGGCAGCGCACATGGTGTCGTAATCTGTGCCTCCTTTCCAAGATGTTTCTGGACCATAAGACCTTATACTACGATGTGGATCCGTTCTTGTTCTATGTCATGACACAAAAGACTGAGAAGGGGCAACACCTGGTGGGGTATTTTTCCAAGGAAAAGGAATGCGCCGATGGGTACAACGTTGCTTGTATCCTGACCATGCCTCAGTACCAAAGAAAGGGGTTCGGTCGGTTGCTGATCCAGTTCTCGTACGAACTGTCCAAGATTGAGGGCAAGCTGGGATCTCCGGAGAAGCCACTGTCTGATCTGGGTCTTCTCAGTTACCGACAATATTGGTCCGAAAACATCATTGACCTGTTGGTCGAGTACAACGAACGCGACGAGAGATGCACCATCGAGTCAATATCCACAGCCTTGGCTATGACGACCCAGGATGTGGAGCACACTCTTCAGGCGCTTAAGATGCAGGTGTATCACAAGGGAGAACACAAGGTGGTATTGCCGGAGAAGATGATACAGGCGAGAGAGAAGGCGAGGTCGAAGCAAAAGAGGTACATTGCGCCGGAACGCATACAGTGGAAGCCCCCGGTTTTTACTGCTTCGTCACGTACCTGGGGTTGGTAGTAGCAACCCGTGTATGGATAATTTCATCATCGCACCAACTTCATCCTACGGGCACCTCTTTTCGATAACGACGTCACGCCACACCCTCATCGCACCGGAAATTCCTCGCTAGAGTACGAGTCACCGTTAGGGCACTCGCTGAACATTTGCTGGTGGCTTTGGATCAGAATCAAACACTAGAGGTGCATCTGTAATCTTCTTCGCAGTCCAAAAATGGATCTTGTGAATAAATCAACAATGCGGGGGATCCGTGGATAATCCGGCGGTAGAGCGTGGTAAAGCTCTTGGGTCTCAGTAAGGGAATCTGGGATGAAAAACGACAAACTGTCATTAACGGGTCAATCGGCATTAGGTCCAGTCAAAATAGATACCCAATTCCCAATGCTTCAACCGCATTCTTCTAGGTAGACGAACATTGTACTGTTACTTCGTCGTTCTCATGCTAGACCTAGTAGGATTGCTTCTACGAAAATTGGGGTGCCCTGTCATGGACCATTGGTAATTTCATCATCCATTGATTGAAGAGGTTATAGATAATCATGTATACTGATCATAACTACTTCAGGCACTACAAACTGTAGTACTGTAATTCTAATACACTAAATTATGTTAAGACCAAGGCCATAAGTAGCCTAATCGATTACCTGGATACTGTGCTTCAAGCTACTGTGGAGCACTACATAAATATAAACGCTTTTAAAGAATATAAGCAGACGTTGGCGAATTACTAGTATCGTGATGCGAGTGCATATGGGGTGTGAATTGTTGTATTGGAAAAGGATGCCAGGTCAGCTATTCTGGCCTGGCAGAGCTCTTTTATAGCTCTTATCTATCTTATCTCTAGCTATAGGGCAACCCCCCATGGGGTCACGTATCACCTTGATAATCACAGGAGCTGTCCTCTTGTCCTGATCAGACCAATCTAGTGCTAGTGAGAGCTTTAATTTGTTTCCTAGAGCTAGACGTCTTATTCTGTGAATTGTCTCGTCGCTAGTCGCAGAGGCACATCCGACCATCTTACGCACAAGACTTGAAAGAGCTTCGCTCTTGCAACCAGTACCACGATCTTCGTCTGATCTGTTGAAACTAGAGCCGTCTGTTCAGTGTGTTAGGTGGTAGGTATATCCTACTGACCGCCTGACCCCGTTTCAATAGTTAGTGAAAAGAAATTGTAGCTATAAGCCCCTTAAAGAAAAGTAAAAGATCCGCCCCGCTCCGTCATCTATTTTCCTAACGTCTGGCCTTACCCCACTACACTATTTAAAAATGAAAGATCTTAAATCGCTCCCGAGCGTCGACTTCTGTTAATATAATATACTCTACACAGCATTACTTTTCGAGGCATTAGCGCTATAAATTAGCTTAACCGTCTTATACATAGCCGGGAGGTCTGCTTTCTTCACGAGCTTAATATAGATATCCCAGGGATGTTTTCTGGCCGAAAAAGTAGATAGCGGTCATCTCCAGGCGTTGTTTTAAGTTTATCTCTCCTTCGATTTATAATTTTCGTGGTATTAGCTATTTTAGCGCCTTTTATAATCTTAGCTACTATTAAGCGGTACTCGGATCTAAAGTCCTTGATACCGCACGTAGCGGCTGTAGTTACCGCTAGTCTCGCTTCGGGTAAGAACTCCCTTTTTGATAGATGGTTGCGCTTAATTAGGTTCTGCTGTATGTAATCTGCCTATGGTTTAGGTGCATCGTCGTGCTTTCTAGTTATATTGTGGTTATGTTGATGCTTCAGAGTTAGTGGGGAAGACGCAGCGCGTTTTTAGAGCTAGATAAAAGTCCATTTGCTCTACGTATCTGACCGGTCTCTGCTGCATGATGCAGGGCGCTCCTTTTGTTTTGACTCACTTGAGCCACTTTTGCGTATACGGGGCCTCGATACGTCGCGAGAGGTTGCAACAGAAACGATGGCATTCATAGCGGTGAAGTCCCCTCTGGAAGCCTCTTCAGCGCTGACTGCAGGCTCTTCCATTGTTTTCGCAGGATGAGAAGTGAGGAAGTGGTAGTTGATGCGAATTCAAGGTGTTGAATATTCAGGTTAGCCTGAAGCTGATCGCCAGTTTCGTGTGCGTTTGTAACTGGATCGAAAATGCATAACACATGCAAGTCAAGTGAAGCACTGGGCTGCGTGGGCTGCGTTGACACCATTTGTATTAGTTTTCTTGAGTGCTTAAATGTTACCAGTGACAAACTGACATCTGAGAACGCTAATCAAAGCCTCGTGACTATATGAAGGTAAATATGAATTCTGGTGGTCACTTTAACTTCACAGTACGGTCTCCTTGTCATAAACTCCAATCTTGCTTAGCTGGTACATGTTGGACCGCACCAGCCCTCTTTTTCTAGCTCTTTCGTGCTCGACGCTGATTTAGAGTCTCTTACTTGTTCTGATGTAAGCAGCCAAGAGGCTCACTTTTCTGTACTCGAGGCGCTTATGTACACCTTCACTCTTTTGGACTTGGGGATATCAGAGACACCTGTAATCATATGCTTTTTTATAGCTTTCAATAAGTCCGATAGTACATAGGTTTCCAAATAGTCTACGTATGAGTCTACAAATGAAGATATCTTAGGTATCTTATTATGAGCCAATATTTTGACATGTGGATGATATAATTGATAAAATGATTAATTTGAAAATATCAATAAGCAAACCACAATAGGTGGCTCCTGTTATATCATTTATACAGTCTATAGGATATGTTAGCATTACACTCGGGGGAATCCTGATATATAGCTGCGATGTTGCATGGCATACTAATGGGGGGTTTTCAGAGATGCTTCCAGCATCGTTTTAACGAAGAGTAATCGACTTCACAATGTACGGAATTACGAGATGCTTTCCTGGGTGTTAAGCAGGATAGGCAAGGTGACAATTATGGCGCACAGAATTTGTATAGCGCTTTTGGCGTGGATCAACTTTGTGTTTGATCTACTAGGCGGATCTGAAGAAACAAAACACGAGTGCATGTGAAATCTTGTTCTCTAATAGAAATGCACCTGTCAGATGTGGATAGCGACGCCATGTACAACTTGATAACTTCTTGGGAATTGTAATCTCATCACTTCCCAATAGCTGTGGGCTCTGACTCGGTGACGTCTCCCTCGTTTACTGTCAGTGGCCCGGAAGCTCAGCAGGAGGCACTGAATTTCCAGGCAACTCAGCCATGAAATCCGAGTCTCTCCGCAGGGAAAGTTTCCCAAAAGAGCCAAGACTAGATGCGGGACTGACGACTGGCTCTGGTGATATAGCACCAGGCCTCTTCTCAATAACCGAATGCGTCTGCGAAGGAACTGTACACACTCAAGTCAATTTTTTAAGTCAAGTTCACAAATTATAAAAGGGGGCAACACATACCCGCCAAAACAATCCCATCCCCACCCATCAATAGCCTCGGAAACCCACTAATCGGTAGCACCGTACTCCCCGAAGAATACGTCGTCGCCGTTTGCAGACAAAGCGAGATGCGCGTCTCGGAATTCTCGTACGAGGCATCGATGCGCACCGTGTCGAGGGCGAAATGGCCATACAGGTGCATATACTGGAGCACAGCGTTGGTAAGAACGACCTGGTGGGCGGGCTGGCGCGGGTCACCGGTTGCTTCGAGGAGGAAGAAGGGGGCGAATTCGCCGACGAGGCAAGAGATCAAGAACCAGCCTAGGGCTTTGAGTTCGGGGGAAGAGTTACGGAAGCGGCAGAGGATGGAGCCTGGATCCATTTATCAGTCACTGATTTTCCAAAGACTTGCTGAGGTTATGGGGGTCAGGGGTAAGGTGGCAGGTGGAAAGGGGTAGTTGGTACCAGTGCACGTAAACCCCGAAGCCGTTTGCTTTACCGAACCAGCATCCTTGTCAAAGAAAAACGTGCTCGCAATCAACCTATGCACCGCCTCGTATATTTGGCCAGCATCTCGTCGGATAATATGCTCCGTCTCCCGCTCCAGACTATCCATATCCCTCAGGCTATCCAACTTGGGCAATTTCTCAAACCTCTCGGGATTAATCCTCATGTACCGAGCCCGATTCTCCTTGTGCACCGCATTCCCGCTCATAAACTTGTTCCACGTCTTATCACACCTTCGATGCGTCAGATCATTCAGCCGATCCGCACCAGCAGTCGGGTTATTAAATGATACCAGCAACGGCGTATTCGGATCTCGGATAAAATACCCTGTTCCCGTGGTCCTCTGCCCCGCTGGCCCAGAACTCGCCGTCGTCGAGGTGTTCTGGCGCACATAATTCCCCGCGCCGCCGCGGCCTTGGCGGATTACGCCCGTGGGGTTGCTGCTGTTGAGCGACGAAGAAGAGTGACCCGCCATGGCGGAGTCTCTGGTGTTGTCGCCGACGTTATGGCCTGTGCCGAGGGATAACAGAATGTCTGGGGGCCTGTCGGCAAGGTCGCGCCAGATGGATTTGGCTTCATGGTGGGCGACGCGGATCGGACAGGCGTGGTGCAAGCTGCCGCCGACATACTCATTTTGCGTTTCGGGCTTGAGGAAGGGTTTGAAGAATGGGGGTGTGGCTGAGGTTGCGCGGGCGCTGGTTTGATGTAAGTAGGTAAGTGGGGATAGCTGTCATGGAGGTGGAAGTTGGGACGTACGCTTCCCACATGTGCATCTCTTTTGATGGTACGTCTGAGCGAGTGAACTGGTAGGGCGCATCTGAAGCTATTAGTATAGCTTCACTTCATAATGCAAAGCGGTGGGTTATCTGTCCGCTTACCTGGAGGATCTGGACGATTGTAATTCGCAAACACAACAGCCCGCTGATCCATTGCCGTAGTAGCAGTAACGGCAACCTTGATCGACGTGGTATATTTGGAGGCATGCGTAGCTCCTCCAAAAAAGGGCTGGTCCGAGAAGTACCTCTTCAGAGCCTTGGTAAAAGGCTGAGTCTTGTACAGACTGCCGTGATAAAGACTAGATAGGGCGCCAAATATCGGCACGCTCGTCATTTCACGTGGAGTGAAGGCTTCCTTGCAGATGTCCTTAAGCTTATCCATGGTTGCGTTGACCGTCCATTTCTTAACGCCCAAGCCAATGGCGACGATGCCTCCAGTGCTTCATCTGGTTAGTCAACTGATGTATTTCATCGAACGATGGACTGATGGTATTTTCTTACTCAGTGCCCACAATGAGATCGAAGAAAAGCTGGATGGGTAAATCTGGACCCAGTATCTTCTCCATCTGATTTAGTACTTGAAGCTGCACAATGCCTCGTATGCCGCCACTAGAATTAAATAGTCAGTGTCCGTTGACCATTAATACACAAAGTGCATACCCGTCAAGACAAAGAACGCGAGCACCAGCGTGCAGTGGCTTGGTCACGATGACCCAAGGCGGACTGGCGATGACGTCCCGTACATGCAAGGGGCACCGGGTAATCTCAATGGTGGTCCTCGATGTCCTGTTCCCATAGACCTGGATGCACGGAAGGCACAGCACATGTCCGCATGGTAGTGTACATTCTGGCAGTTCTCGCAAACAGCACAGACACGCCGAATAACTGACATAGTCAGTTGCAGTGCCCAGGATATTCGAGTATAGCTCATTGAGACGCTCTCGATGGAGAAGCGAAGAAATCTGGAGCTCAGTCTTGTTCGGGAGCTCTTGACTCAATCTGAAGGACGAAGCCTGGAGTTGCGCCAAACTGGCCCTTATCAGCTGGCCCCAAACGGGACCAAACTCGGCGGCGTTCAGGTCCGACTCGTAGTCACCGTTGCCGATGATCTTCCCTTGCTTGTTCTGGTGGCCTTTGGGGTTATGGCCGGATCTGACGTTGCAGCAGCGGCCGAGTTCGTCTCCATGCGCCGGGTTGTAGAAGCTGCAGGGCCAGTACATGTCTGCGAAGCTCTGGAGGGCACCGTTGCAGGGCTCGGCGTATCTGTCGTCCAGAAGGCGTGCTGCCGTGCCTGTCGCACTGAATTAGCCAAGCTACACCATACAACAGACGAGTCAAGTAGTATGTAGCTTTACCGAGCAAATTCTGCCGCACAGCATCAAACATAACGTACGACGCAATCATGGGCCCAATCGCCCTGAATATCTGCTCCGCATTCCCCCTCAGATCGATATTACTCGACTTCTCCTTAATCGACAACGCCAAATTCAGTGTGTTCCCCTCAAAATTCCTCGACACGGGGCTATGCCTCAGCGCCTCCTTGACAAAATCAAATGGCGTGTCCAAATCCTTGGCAAAGTGGTCATACGCCGCCTGCAGGTAAAACTGCAACTTCTCCGTATTAGCCAACATGCGGACCCTCTTCTTCCGTCGGTGTGACGCCGCGCACCTCTCCTTGATCAGGTCCGATAGCTTGCCCGCCTGCTCGTTCATCAGCATGTACGACCCCCTGTATGGGATCCGGATAATGGTGATAGAGGCGTAGTAGCATTCGAGCAGCTCCTTGGTGCTGTTGATATGGCGACCTCGACGGCGCCAGGTTTGCACGTGTTCCTGTAGCGAGGGCTCGCGCATGATGGCACCATGGATGTCGGAGAGGAGCATTTCGGTCGCTGTGGTAACGTCCCATTCTTTGTCGTCGACGTTGCTTTCCGTTGCATTGAGCACAATGATGGCATGTGGGAGCACAGGTTGGTTCAGGGACTTGTCGATGGAGGCTGCGCCCCAGCGGAGGAGCTTGTCTAGGACGGTGGATTCAAAGGCCCGTGGGTTGCGGAGGACGAAGACTACCACGTCGGAGAAGGTGTAGAGGATCCGGGGGTATAGCTGCGAGACGGCGAACTCGCGTTTTCGTGTCTGTGGATTGTCTGCCCAGGCAAGCTGACGCGGCGAGCTGAGGCGCCTATAGTCTTTTTCGAGGTCCTGGGAGCGGTGTCGAAGCTGTTTTGGCATGGCCTCGCCTCCGCTGAGACCTTCACAGTCAACTAGGAGCAACGGCGTGCTGGTTGTCAGCGTTGATGGATCCGCGTATAGATGAATATCCCCTGTGGTAGGAATGCGGTCATAATTGGATGATGTAACGGGGGCATAATATCTGGAACCCTCCTGGGAAGCCAAGTCCTGTCGATCGATCAGAAGCTTGATCAGAGTGCTCTTCCCGGCGCCTGTAGCATGGTTAGTAGAGAGTCTGGACTTGACAAAACCTCATTGGTCCAATTGAGAATTTGTGTTATAGTCTTTACATACCAGTTTCTCCAATGAACGATGCAAGCTGAGGGAATCGCTCGGGCGTTTCCTCCGAGAACGTCTCACCCATGATAGCGGCGAACCGGCCATAGTCGTGAAATGTCGGATGACCCGAAGCATCGCGACCGAAACCGAACCACGTCGTGTCTTCATCATCGAGGAGCTCCGTCTCATGTTGCGCCTCGGTGCGGCTTGGTTCTAGAACCTGGCGAAGCCGGTGGACCACGACTGGATCCGCCTTTTCGTGCGGCTTTCCGTCCCTGAGCCCCCACAGAAATGGTTAGCCTGCGTCTCTCCATTTGTACTCACAGCAGTTGATCCACCGACTCGTAAGGGAATATTCAAGGGCTTTAATATACTGACCATCCCACCGCACCGGGTATGTGTAGTATCCACTTGGGCCAGCACCTCTCGCAAAACGCAAGATTGTTGCACTGAATACAGGTAAACGTCTTGTCCACCGTCGTCCCGCACGTCTGGCAAGGTTGCGGTGTTGGCAGTGTACCTGCCATCATGTTGTCGACAATATAAAACCTTAGCAAACAGCGGACACTAGTCGATGCTAGTACGTAATCTTGGAGTAAAAGGAATCTGTATTTTGGGACCTCAGACGTGAGGGGGCGGTCCGTCAGCTTCACCCCCGCAGAGGCAAGCACGGCTGGCATGCGCTCGTACAACGCCAGTATGTAGGTCTGGCAGGGTTGAATTCGCGACGACAGGGGGGCTGGGATCCCACTCAGCCGATTCGCTGATTGTATGCATGGCGTCGATAGTGTAGAGAGAGGCATGCGGGATGGCCATGTGGGTTCGGTTAACCGAGCCAATCCAAGGTAACGCCCCTACATCATTTGGCACAGAAACAGAGGAATGGCACCATGCTGGAAAGGTTTTGGTCTTCTGTAGAATGCCGTTTAACCGCAGTTAGAGTGGACTATCCTTCCAGGGGATAAATATCTACTTATAATACCTTGTTAGCTCTCCATGTCGGTAAATAGAAAAGTACCAAAGGCGACGATAGTTAGACGTAAGTTGATAATTATCTTGATTAGTGAGATATATTAACCCAAAGATGAACGTCAGGAGACCGAGAATATCGAAGATAAGAGTGCAACGCGTGTCAAGGTATACAGTGTCTGCGTCATAGTTATGTTTTCCAAGGTTGGACCATCCATAGGAGTACAACAAGCCCAGCTTTGCGTGATTCTGATATGTCGCAGTGGATTGACTGCAGAACTCTTCCAGATACCAAGATCGTAAGTGATGCAGCAACTGCTTCAATACGTCAACAATTAAATCATGTCCACCTTGCCTACCAACTCAACCATAGGACTGATTGTCCCATGTCTTAAATGGAGGCGACGACCGTCGAACTTCGAGTGTTACTGAATCAAGGAATATGTCTCTGGTTTTGTTGAATGCGACCCCACTACATGTTGTGTAGCCCTATGGCAAACCGGTGTTGGCCTGCAGCTTGCTCTTGTGGCGTTACCAGGTGACGGTTCATCTAGGCAAGCTGCAATGACGGCAACGATATCCAGAGAGTTCTTGTGGGAGCATGCCTTTTTTTCGTCAATAGGAGGTACTTGTAGATATCTCGCACCATAGCAGTTCAGTTGAGGCTCAATTGTTGTGCAAGGTGCGTCCCGTTATGCCAAACAGCAATCTAATAGGCATTAAACTGTCGGGTGAATCGTAAAGATAGAAAGTGTCGCAGGTAAGTCATTTACCGTAAGTGTACATGATACAGCCAGATAGATTAAGAGGGATACTGGATATCAATTATCAATTCAATTGGGGTGCAACCTTGGGCACGTAGCTGGCATGTACAGTTTTCCTGGCTATCACTAAACCCCTCGTCCTTTCATCCAAGACTGAGAGACAACTTCGAATTCCCGCACCAAGGTCTCAAAGCTGCCGTCATACCGCCTGCGCCTACACTTCAACACCACATTTTCCATCGGGTCATCAGGCAGGACTACTTGGACATCCTGTATCCTGTAAACCTCGGGTATTGTCGGCATCGACAAGTGCTCCTCCCCCGGCGTACTGCTGAGTGGGAAATCATCATGGAACATATTGGGATCATCGTAGACGTCCTCCTCCTCTAACTGCATGACCTGGCGTGCAATCCTCGCAGCCAGCATCGCATCCCATATCCCTTCCCGATGCGGAGAGTTCTCGAGCAACCTGATGGCGTGTAGCCTGACCCTATGCACTCGACACTTGATAGCCGTGTAGTACAACGGCGGGATGCAGCCCAACTCAGAAGTATACGGAGACCTACTGCCTTGGGTGCTATCCGGTGGGGGGTCAAGCATAGACGCAGATCCTGTAGATCTTGAAGAAAGAAATTGGAAGAAATCTATGGTCCGGGCTATGATGACGGCAAAGTCGGTGTTGTGGGCGTCGAATCGAGATTCCCCGCTGGCCTGTGGGAGGCAAGTCGCCGCCATGATTTGGATCAAGGTGTAATGGATGAGCAGAAGCCGGTAGGCGTATGCGTCTGCGGAGGTCGGGTCAAGCTGCAGGCGGGCATGAGATGCTTTGTACGTCTCGAGCCAGACTCGCAGCTCGTCTTTGATGCGAATCTGGACTTTGACAAGTTCAGGCGGACATATCGTTGTTGCTGCTTCTTCTTGGCGGTTGGTAGTTGGACAGAATTGCTCCGATAGATGTGTGACGCCATTCAGCACTTGTTGGAGTTGCAACTTGGCCTGCTGGGTGGAGAGGAATGTGAGGCCCAGGGGTTTGGACACCGTAGTATCCAGGAAGGCGGCAACTCGGGGTAAACTCTGCTCCAGCATCTTGGCCTGGGTGTAAAGTCTTGAAAAGGTCTCGAGGAGGCATTCATCGACGGAGTCAAGACGGGGGCTGCCGGAAGATGCATCATGGGAAGGCGAGCTGGCGGTGTAGAACTGCAATTCTCTGAGGAGCTTCAGTCCATTGAGAAGGTGGATATGACCAGTCCTGTAATGTCCGCGGATGTACTCGAGGCAGATGAAAATGGCGCAGGTGATGAGAGCCACGCGGACGGAAGCCTTATTGTTGGCCAGAAAGGGGGCCTGGAGGCGGGTGATGGCCTTGCTGTATTGTCGCAATGCGAACGTCTCATCCCCATCCGAGGAGCTCTTTTCTTTCCCGTGGCCGAGAATCCCCACCACCTCCTTCTTGTGCGTGGCACTCAAGGCTAGGGCGGCGTGCAGCACTGCAGGCTCGCTTGAACTTGCCTGCAGTACTAAGGTGTCCCAAAAGGCCGAGACGAAGGCACCGGGAAGTTTCAAGGCAGTTCGGTACCTGAACCACTCGAAATAGCCTTGGTCATCATCAACCAGCACAGTTGGACTGATTGTGACGGCCAACTTGGGTGGTGGATCGGTATTGGAGTCTTTCGGACCAGTACGACGTTGTCCATACCCGTTGCCTCCGCCGCCCCATATGCCGTAGCCGTCGCAGATGCGCCCAGTGCCGATGCATCTCTTACAGCATGGACGGCCTTCATCACACTTGACCTTTCGAATCCTGCTCGTAGATGAGTCCAAGTTTCTGGGACAAGCGTAATGCTGGAGGACTCACTTGCAGGTGCTGCAGCCAGATTTGACCTTAACTCTGCCTCTGGGGCCTTTCGCCTTTGACTGGCTGGACTGAGCACACCGACCGGACATCATTTCAACGTTCACCTTGCGTTGCGGGAAATGACGACGTAGTGAAAAGCAGATATTACTGGAATGAAGTCAATCTGACATTGATCTGGTCATTCGTCTACTTGCAAGATATGGCATGCAATTGGTCGGAGAGGTAGACAAGGATACATACTAATTCCGATTCGTTCGTTCGGATTGTCTAGGCGCTGATTGGGCAAAGTCCTGTTTAAGTACTTCCGCTTCGTACATGTAGACGGATTCTTTATTCCCGTGCCGCAGATGTACACCTTCATCCTCAGACCCATTTCAGTGCACGAATACTTCCATTTTGGCTGCGGAGACTGACGACCTCTTTGCGCCTCTTTCTGATCGTTTGGTCTATCGAGACTTGGCACGTATTTTGTGACTTGATTATAATATACTCTGCACGTATTCCCGGCCAATTGGATGCCTTAGCCGTGTCTAATTGATCACAGTTGAAGCAGCCCGACTACGCCGTGCTGGATACTCACAGGCCCATTCTGCGGAATCAATGACGCGGCATTTCCAACCACTGCAAAATGTATAAAATCTACATGTCTTTTTCCCTGGTGGACTGACAAATTGTGGGGTATTCGCCTCCGAGAGACCTCCGCAGACGGTGTTCATAGCGATTTCGGCCCCACTCGTCAGACGTCATGCGAATCCTCCATCAACCTTCATCACCAATGAACAAGCAACCCCCACAACCATCTAACCAAATCAATTGGGCATGCTCAAAGGGCTTCTTACTCGACCGCAACTTCAGATTACTCGCTTGTTGTCCATGACGCGCCTCAAGCCGCAGAAAATGTCGTCTGTGGTATTTCCAACCCCCGCATCCTCATCGTCCTCATCAACGCCCAAAAAGCCCATTAACCTCCTGCGCGGATGGCCCGCGAAATCCCTTCTCCCGGCCTCCTCCATAGCTCGGGCGTCGCAAACAGCCCTCGCTGACCCTGAAATTGCGTATCCCGCTCTGTTGTACGGACCAGACCCTGGCTACCAGCCCTTGCGCGAGGAGTTGGCCCAATGGCTGAACCGCTTCTACAAGCCATGGACGCCGGCGCAGCCGGAACCGGATCGCATCACTATCAGCGGTGGCGCCAGCCAAAGCATTGCGTGCGTGCTGCAGAGCTACACAGATCCGGTCTACACGCGGAGCGTGTGGATGGTAGCGCCGTGCTATTTCCTTGCCTGTCCTATCTTTTTAGATTCCGGATTTGAGGGTAGACTTAAAGCGGTGCCGGAGGATGACGAGGGTATTGACCTCGCGTGGCTCGAGGCAGGGTTGAAGTCCATGGAGGAGGAGGACGAGGGGAAGAACTCTCGGGATAAGCCAGTGTACAAGGATCCCAAGCCCTACCGGAAGATCTACAAGCACCTCATCTACTGCGTACCGTCCTTCTCGAACCCCTCAGGCAAAACGATGAGTTTACGCCGACGGGATGGCCTAGTTAAGTTGGCGCGCAAGTACGACGCCCTGGTTGTCTGTGACGATGTGTACGACATGCTCCAATGGCCCACCGCCACCCCCTCGACTCTCTCCTCATTCCCACCATCTGATTTGACCACCGCCATCCTCCCCCGTCTGGCCGATATAGACTTTTCACTCGGTTGCTCAGCCCACGATCCGCCCAGCAAACACTTCGGCCACGCCATCAGCAACGCTTCCTTCAGCAAGCTCTCCGGCCCCGGCATGCGGACAGGCTGGACTTTCTCCACACCCGATTTTGCCTTCGGTCTTTCGCAGACGGGATCCACGAGGTCGGGCGGTGCACCTAGTCAGCTTAACGCCGCTGTGTTGTGCGAGATGCTGCGCGCGGGGGATTTGGAGGCGCATATTGAGGGTCTGCTTAAGCCGGCTTATCAGAAAAGACATGCGTTGCTTTTGGAAGCGGTCGGGAGAGTTCTGGTCCCTCTGGGGGCGGTAGTCAACGAGAGTAGCCTCGAGGGCTCCGAAATAGACGAAAGTAAGAAGAGCGTGTTTGGCGGGTATTTCCTTTGGATGAAGTTCCCTGACGGGCCTGCGGCTAAGGCGATTGCGGAGATGTGTCAGCTGGAGGAGGAGTTGATTGTCGGGTTTGGTGACATGTTCGAAGTACATGGGGATGAGGAAGCGGTGCGGTTTGGTAACGGTATACGACTTTGCTTTGCTTGGGAGGATGAGGGGGATTTGGTGGAGGGGGTGGAGAGGTTGGGTAGGGTTATCAGTAGGATGAGGAATGAGCCAGGGCGTAAACTGGTAGAAGGTAGTCGAGCATCTGGGAAGGGGATGGATGAGTTTAAATAAGCGATGGTTAAATGCGTCCGACACAGCAAACAAGTACCTAGGGACAAGTCGGGTTCCGTGAGAAATCATGCAACCGCGTACTTCAACGAGTTCTCGATCCCGCCATCCTTCCCATGTCCCTTTCACGAACCCCGTTCTTCAGCACCGACATACTTTAACCATAGGAGAGACATGAGTGAGTAGTACCTACCACCCCGAGGTAAAACCTGGCTAACCATTCTCAAACTAATGTATCATAAATTCTATCCAATCCTGCTAGCTCGCGTGCTCTAATGCCGTCATGAAAGGTCCCCTTCTAGAAGCCAAAAAGAAGGAACGTCAATCCTAACTATCCAACTGAAACGTACCACTTCTCCTATGCGCCCCATACGTCATGCTTCCCCTGACCCCCATAAGGACCTCCAACTCGGCCAGCTCAACCGCATACTCGGGCTCCCCCTCCAGCGTCTCCCTTACAAACTCCAACGCTGGCTTCATCCTCGACTCTTCGCCTGCACTTTCAACAAGCGCATGCGCATCCGCTCCATGCACCAGCATCGCCTTCACAGCAGCCACCCACCGCTGCCGATTTTGCATCAGCCCTGAATTGGTACTACTCTGCATCAAATATGAAACGGCCACGCTCTGCCTCGTGAAGAACAGCTTTCCTGCCCTGAGCGCATCTACCCACACACTACCCTGCGTTGCGTCGGCCCCGTGCTGAAATAACACATCGAGGATTCTAGGATCCGGCATGTCGCTGTGGAAATCGGCGTAATCCCCACTCAACGAGACGCACGCCGACATCCCCTCGGCCGTGGGGCCGGTCGCGTAACCCAGGAGTTCTTGCGCCTTGTCTCGTCTTGCCGAGGCAGGCTCAATATTTGCTAAGCGCGAGGAGACGTACGTCACCAAATTCGCTTGAACGGCCAGCGATGAAAAATTGTTCCTCTTGGGCGGTCGACCCGAAGCCATAGGTTCGTATCCCGTCCAGTGCTGTCTACAGAGAGCCGGACAACGCAGATCAGACCACTCGGCATCGTCAAATAGGGGTTGATGGCGCTGCAGCGAGACGACCCATGCCTGCTGTGTCGCGCGGTCCAACTCATCCAGTAAATCGCAGTACGCTACCTTATTGATGGGGCCTTCGCCGTCGATGCGCCCCGCGTAGCGCACGGCGTTGGCGATAAGGAGCCAGGTTTCCGGGTTGAAGCCTACGCTGGGGAGTATGCATATGGGTCTCACGGTCTCGATGGATTTCAGGTGGCGGACACAGCCGCTGAGGAGACAGAAGTCGACCTCTACCGGATTGGGGCGAGGATTACCCGGGATTTTGTCCCAGACGTCCTTGCGGGCGGCGAATTCTTTGGCTGTTTGGTGCATGAAGATGACGCGCTGGGATATCTCGAGCGGGCTGGATTCGGCTTCAAGGAGGCCGGCGCAGCATTGGGCGAAACGATGTTTCATGTAGCTACACATCTTCGCTAGGCCTTCGGCGTTATGGCCTTGGGGTTCGTCCTGTAAGACTCGGAGTTGGCCCGTGGCTGGGTCTAGGTATCCCTGCTCGGCCAAGGCAAGGGTGACGAGATGAGGTGGCTGGTGGGCCCGCAGCACAAGCTGAAAGATGTTGTAGGCGTGGCGCTGGTACTCGGGCTTGAGGTTCTCTATCATGCTCATATACAACCCATCTGCACCGCCGAGTCGACTGGGGAGCGCGTCTAACCGTGCCACTAGGGTGCGTAACGAGCCCTCGAGGAGCATATTCACGGCCAGACGAGCCCAGAGTACGTCCCCGCCTGATCTCACGGCCAGCTGCTCGCATAGATCCGTCATGACGTCTGACAAACCCGGCGCCTCCTTTTCCAGGCGATACGCACAGTACCGCGCGACGGCCTTGCCCGAGAGCTCGTGCACGCGGAGACGGGGATAACCGGCAAAGGCCTCCTCGAAGACCTTCAGCTCACGGCTTGTAACGCACACCTTGACCTTATCCGTAGCCCCCATATCGGTAATCAACCTTGCGATGTCGGCATGGGCATCTGTGATCCATTGACTCGATCCGAGCCCCGCATCCCCCTCTTCCTCGTCGTACACCAGGGCAAAGTCCTTTTCCGTGTAGTAATCCCGCCTGTCCATCATGCGATACTCGTCCAGACCGTCCACAAAGAAGCATATCTTGAGCGTTTCCGACGTGTGCGCGAACAGCGAGTAAAACGCTTGGGTAAGGTTCATAACGGTGTTGAACGGCGTAGGGGGCGGCCACGCGCAGCCGAAAAAACTCGGGAACGCAATCGACATTAGATCGGGTCGGGTGCTGAAGATTTGATACAGTGCACTGCGGAGGATGCCCTCGCGCGACTTTTGGATTTGGCTCCCGGCTTCGAAGAGGAACATCGACGTCATTACGACATCGCTGTTTCCGGCCCATTCTTTCAGTAGCCTTTTCGTCTCTTCGCTGTGGAAGGCGTATTTCATCAGTGTTGACTTACCCGACCCGGCCTTGCCACTGATCCAGAAGATGGAGCTGCTGCTGGATCGTAGCCAGGACTGGAATGAAGAGGCCGTCTCGCCGTCTGCTTTAGCTGAGAGAATCCATGAGCACGTCTCTCCTGAGACACAGTCGATTCGCTCCTCTCTCTCGCCCATGCTGTCATAGTAGAGTGCGTCGAGGATTTCTGCTGGGGCGATTAGGGATGTAGCATGTCGAAAAGATGCTGGAATGGTTGCTTACCCTGATTACGAACAGCTCTGGCCTTGAGCTCCTGCGGTGAAGCACCCTTTGCCAGCCTGTTAATGTGGTTGACTAGTTTCTGGTACCCGATATCCGTCCTGCTATCAAACTTGGCCATGTTGATGTGGTCGGCCTGTATCTCGTCGAGTTGGACTTTGAAGCCTTGATATATTGCCGATTCCCTGGGTATCATCTACCATATGTTTCAGTAAAAGGAACACATAAAAATGTTGGCCTTGTGCCATTGACTCACCGTCCCCATGGGTGTTTTGAGCAACTCCCTCACACACACGATCTGGATATCCCTCGACACCAGAATAAAAGAGTCCCGTTGACTTTCAAACACGTCGGTGCTATCCCTCAACACCCTCACGAGCTGTAAGCTCGGCGGACGAAAGGAAAGCTGCGCAGCCGTAGCAACTACATCTCCAAGACTCTGTTTTCCACTGTTCGTATGCGGCGTCCCCAGAAACAAGACCCCGACGGTCCTCGGATACACATTTCCAAGCTCGTTATGGCTGCCAAAAACACGAGACATGGCCGCGGTAACCAGCGCCTCCTTGATGATCAAGCCACCGATACCGTGCCCGACAAAGATGATGGGCCGCGAAGTGCCGATGCGGGCTCGGGCTATATCGCCTAACAGCCGCTCCGCCAAGTCAGCAAAGGCATTGGTGTCGGCCACAGGGCTAGCGTAGCCCCACGTAATGATTCTCGCGTTGGGTACGTCTTGCGCGAGGAGATCCCGAGGCCAACACACGCCCTGCTTGGTCCAATTATAGATGCGGTGCCCGTTGAGCCCGTGGACGAAGACGATGTCGACGCCTTCCTGTCCATCTTGAATCAGGTCGTGTAGCACCAACGGGCCGCTCCCTTCCAGGCTCGGCGATGATGCCTTGTCGCCGCTATCGTCGCTGGCTCGACTCGCTCGGCTGGTAGTATGCGACATGCTATTACGTATGGAACCCGCATCCCCTCGAGTTGCGCGAGCGATTCTGCTCAGTGCATCCTTGATGCTCTGCATGACGACGACGACGGCGATGGTGACTATTGCCGTGTTTGATCCATCACCGTATAATAAATCCCACTGATATCGAGGAGGTTCGTCAGAGCCTCGACGTCAAACGAATGCGACGCGAGCATTTTGTCCATCTGGCACCAGCGGCAATTCGCATCGGGGAACTCTTCCGAGCCCTGCCAGATAGTGGGCTGGAACGTAACAGTAAGTGCAACACTTCAACCTGTTATCTGTGGATAGACATGGTATCTTCCTCAGGGACCCAGCGAAAGTTTTACGCGAAACCCGCTGTCCTCGAACGAGTCTTTTGCCTAGTCCATTTAGTGATCCCAGCAATGCTACATAGACTGTGCCGCAGAGGCAGCGGGGCTACATGTCAGGACCCGCGCCGCTGGGTCTTGGGATCATTTGTAGAATATTATTGTGGCGACTCCTTCGTTGTTTGGAACATGAAGCGCAGTGAGCGATGCCAGCACAACGATAAAATGAATAAAATAAAAATAAAACAAAAAAAGGATCGGCCGACATTCGGCAAGAGACACGACCACATTTGTCTACATTCGTAGGCCAATCGATCGGAAAGGAGGTTCCCCAGACCCTGGTGGAAAATAGATGAAAAGGGAACAGCCCCGTGCCAACTACCGGGCCGTTATGCTGATCCATGCCCGAAGACATTACCTGGTTCGACTACTACGTAGTTCACTTGCAGGGCTCGATTGGTCCCTGCCCCTACGTGGTGTAGATGTAGATCATACCAGATGGAAACTAAATTTAGCGAAACGAGTGATCCTCGGCTGTTACCTACCTACACTGCCCGTGCCACACCCACTTACTTCGGACTGGTGTTGGACACCAATTTTCAATATTAGACAAAATTCTTCGTAACAACGGCAACATATGACCAGTTTCGATAACTTCTGCTAGCGCTAATCGGCCTACTAATCGATGTCTTCAGCTTCTTTTACGGTGTTGAAAAACGACTTAGGATAGTATTTCCTACGTTAGTGTGGGATTGGTAGCCTACGGTCACGTGGGATACGGGCAAGATACTTAAGTGTCTTTGTGCGGCTTGGACCCCCCTGCCTGTACTTCCCTTCTTCACCTTCGTAGCCGGAATGCCAGTACCAGTGCGATCCCACAGTTAGTAACGAACTCGACGCGAACCTTAAGTTAATCATATTAAGCCGGTTAACATAGTTACAGAGGGCCTTTTCTTTAGCTTTAGTAAGTAGCTTAATCAAGCTATCCTCGAAGTTTAAAAGTAACGGCTGACTAGATGCGGTATCGTAAGGTCTGACGTAGGATACGGGATTTACGCGTAACTTACGCGAGGCTTTCCTCACGGTTCGTCTACGTATGGCGTATAGCGTCCTATATGTTTAAATCCATCACAATTTCAAAATACTTCAATTTAGTAAAGATATGGTGGACCCTCACGGGCTTTACTTTGTACATGTTCAGCGTGCCGGACCATTAGTAATCGATCGAAGACGGGGCGATCGGCGATCAGTTGCTCTCTTTTCCAAGAAAATTGTGAATTTGGGAGAAGTCCGTGTGTCGCATCTAGATTATTCTCGGCAGATCAGGCATCCTGTTCGCCGTGTCTGTCTGTCTGTCTCGTCGTTGTCCTCATCGTCATGGGTCCGTCATTAGGATCTCAGAATACGTCGCGACGCTCAAAGGTCAGAAGCTTCGGTCTCCGAACGCCCGTCTGTTACGAACCGTTGGCACTGAACCAACATTACAGGCCCGTCGGCAGGCCAGGTGGATACAGACACTAGGATCACGGGACCCCGCATCGGAGGAAGGAAAGGACTGATAGGTCACGTGACCTACAGGGGTGGATATGTTGGATATGTTGGATATGTTGGACAACCAACGTATCCAACAGTCCCCTGTAACATAGATTCGACTAGCATTGACCCTGCCGGCACTGCGCCCGGCACGTCTCACGTGATGAGACGTTAAATTTCAATCAATCATTCAACCAACGTATCCAAGTGGGGATCAGTGAAGGAGAGATGGGTATATAAGGGACAGGACTCCCAGGCATTTCATAGATAGACAGTCTCTACTTCAGTGATCAATCTAAGCATCAATCTAACCCATTGGTGAGGCAAACTGCCTTGACGACTCTATTCCCAGTTACCCTACTTGAATACTTCAGTTACCCCAAAGCACTATACTCCATACGTCAGACCCCGATATTATTGCTAAAGGACTCCGCAGCAGGACTTACTTACTAGCACAAACCCTTACAGAATCTTTAGTGGTTTACGCAGCTATACTATTAGAGGTTTCGTTACACCGTCAAGGACTGGCCAACGGGTTGCAGTCACCACTTAGAAATTCTATTAGAAATTCTAAGACAAGTTCAACACCTGGACCTGCATAAGTAAGCCGCCCCGGATTTTGAACTGAGAAAGTAGTACCTGGCGGACAATCCGCCGTCCGGTAACCCCAGCCACGCGCGCCCCGTGCCGACGAAGCGGCCGCGTTTAGGATGACGAGCGGGCAAAGGCTGAGGCTCTTGGATGAACTCTTAAGGTATATGGGAGTGTGCGAGGTAAAGAAGTACTCGGAGTTGAGCGGCGAGGCGCCAACTATAGACAAGTATCTGCCGTGTCGGATGGGCACGAGTGTTGTAGGGGTCTTGGCGGCGTGCTAAAGTTCTTTGATCTTTCTTTACAAAAGAATTACAAGTTAACTCTAGTTACATGGTTGGCAGCGATGATATCCAGGATGATGCAGATATTCAACCCATTTTCCATCAGACCGTTGTCCTCACTGCAGTAAGGCCATCCGGCAGCTGCTGCCTTATCCAATCAAAGCTATCATGATTGTGCGGGGCAAGAAAACGATACTTGCTAATACTGGTCTGGGGCAGATCATGAACGACATGTTATCCCCTCCCTGCGGAGGGAGCTCAAATATACATTTTACAACACTGCCGTCGTGGGCAGCGCCGCCAAGCTCTCGAGGCCGCGACCGATCAGTTGCTAGATCGATTCCAGGACCGTCGTCAAGATTTGAAGACCTACATCGACGGAATGAAATACGGTTACTGGGAATATGGCTTGGAGTATGTATATCCAGCGGTATAGCCTTGGTGTAGGGGCTTCACGGTACGACCGAGATCACAATTTAGCGGGCTTGGGTTTGTTATAGCCTGCCTGGTTAATCGCTCTACATATGAGGATAAGACTGGATTTTGGCCTTTGGGAAAGTGTAGTTTGGCATTAGCCCTGTATGCTTTTGCTTTCAAGTCATAAGAGTCAGTTAAATAGTGCATTTAGAGAGACATATGTTGTTTGGGTTCTATCCGGTTTATTTGCGGGATTACTTCTGCCATAGACTTTTTGAACTCCTAAGTCCGATATCACAGTCTCGTTGACAGACAACCATACTTCAAGGATATGTTAAATTAATATAGAAACGAACCCAGATATAGTAGGCTGTGTACGTGGTAATCGATCCATCATGCCCCCGACGACGGGTAATTACCATTAGATTCAGTTAAACATTTTGTGTTTAGTAGCTTGTATTATTTCATGTTTGGGGAGTGCACTGGTCACCCAACCTCTGCAAACTAAATCCGCCTCATGTATGTACATTGGCTAACACTATGAAAGGACAGAAAAGGAAAGATTTTGGCAGTGAGGCAACCGCCATTTTTCCTATTTCCCCTTTTGGCTTTCGAGGATTTGACAAATGCTGTATGTAAGCTCTGTCCACTCATCGCTGGTATCGCTGCCGACATCCAAATCCCTCAACCTTGCACTCAAAGAATCTCTAAACGGACTGATGCTATGTCCGAACTCCTCGGCGCTACACATAGGTACGTTGCCTCCCAACACCAACAACCCCCCGATCACCTCCCGGAATCAGCAACTGTCCCAGAGAAGTGGGATCTCTTATGGGTGTCGTAGTTCTGCATATACGCCAGCAGCTGCGAGGGATTCGTACCGGTTGAAACTCCTGATGTCGAAATTTCCATAACCGTCGCTAAATACGAAATCGTATCAGCATCGATCGACCATCACGTTCCCTTCCTTTGACTGTTGATAGATCCGGCGATGTGCTGCTATCTCGACGATGATGAGTAACGCCCGGCCTCCTTGTTGTACATCTTCAAACGGGCTTGTCGGACTTCCAAAATCGCCACCTTGCCGCGCCCATATATTTTGGGCTATCTCTGGAAGGAGTTGATTTTCCAGCCGTCCTGTTATTCAACGGTTAGCTGGAAAGGAAGGCAACTAACGCACAATCTACATTTACTTACCCTGACCTCCATTCTCTATACTATAGCTCTCAAAGCGAGAGTCGCCGGGCTTTCCCTGTGTTCTTCCGCCGTTCTCAATTGGAAGTATTGCAGAAGCTGATAGAACCACTCGGTTACCCACCCTGAACAAGCGTTGTGTCGTGCAAGGGGACCACAAGTGCAGAGGTTTCTCTACCTAAGTCTGACACCGTCCTGGCTTGTGGTACTTGATCGAAGCTTTCGCTTCATCCTCGTTGGCTAGTACGTGAGGAACATAACCTTTGTCTTGATTTCCTGAGAGTTCAGGTAGGGCAGGGCGTCGGGGTCCCTCGTTGGAAAGCCCAACCTGGGCCACCCAGCTATTGCTGGAAGAGGTCCGTGTGCTAACCCTATTATAAATAGCTGTTCTTCAACCCCCTGAGCACCGCTTGAGGTCGACTTGAGGGGTATGCACATGGAAATCCATCGTAATTCCCGATAGTAAGAAGTGAATATTGACGAATCCTTCCTCGGTTTTATGCTGTTTGAACGAAACGTCAATGGCACGGATTCTAGCGTTTTCCCTGCAGCCGTTGACGATATAAAAGCTCTGTCATCTCCTCAGGCTCAGGAACTGAGAAAAGTCCCCAACTCCGTCGGGGCGTTTTAGGAAGCCTGGGTTGTTGACTAGGTATGCCCTTATACTTTCCCTAAACCCGGGGAGATACGCCACTGCTGGGAAGCTCGCTGTTGATAGGCCCACATCATTAGTATCAAGAATTTCTCCCACCAACGTGTTCAAAGCCAGTTTGCCTATAGTTTTAGGTCCTTTTTGGGTTTTTCTTTTGGCTCTTCTGGTGATGGTTCTACCGGGTTGCGAACGGCGTCATCACGCCTAGCCCAGCAGGCCATCGACCACAAATGTCGAAGAGCCTCGATGGATACCAGGTTATAGCCGCTCAAACCCGCGGGATATACTTCTTCGGGAGAATATTATTCTACCATCAGTAATGTGCTGTACACTTTAAAGCTACTGATGCAATCTTTATTCTCTACCGGAGAATAGGTTGATGATTGGGCAAGATCATTTGCTCGACGGAGGAGGCAGTTCTGTGGGTTGTCGAGCTCCGAGAAAGCAATAAAAGTGCATCTATCCTGATTATCATAGTAACAGTTTGTCTCGGATAACTCTAGGACGATTTCATGCAGCAGATCATGGCCTACATCTCCCCTGTTGCGTGGACTTCAAAGGGTCTGCATGGTCCGATAGTAGGGCTCGCTCAGGTTAAGCTTATCTTCCATAACATGCACAGAAGCTCAGGGAGACAATCTTCATCAATGGAGGCAATAACAAAGTAACAGTGCATGACAACATCGGGACTCTAAGGCGACCATGTCTGATTGGTAATCCAAAACTAAATGAGGAAGCTGAGTCAATTACCTGGATTTCGGAGGCCATAGAAACCCACATAGTGACATTTATTGAATATAAGCTTACTCCAGTGTTTCGAGAATCTAAAAGTTTCGCGTAAATGTTTGAATAAGCTAAGCCTTTCTGACGTTCTGCTCATAACAGGTTGACGCTGTCAGCTGGACAAAGGGACAATGCCTAGTGGCAGAACAAGGAAGAAACTAAGATAGCACGCGATCCTTGATGCTTCCGTATTAAATTACAGCCACCTTGTATTTAGAGAAAAGAGGAAAGCCATTAACATTTCAACTTATTTTGTTGTCCGTGAAATTCTACGCGAGATGCTGCAACGCATTGGTTATAATATTATGGACATTCAAGCCCCTGACGTGGATTTAGAATCTTTGAAGTGAATTGAATAAACGTGAAGGAGTCACGCTTGAACAGTCGAAATGAATAGTAGAGCTGTAGCCTTAGGTATCGGAATTATCGCAAGCCACAAAAAACATAGAATTTATTGTGGCCACAAAGGCTTTGAGTACAGAAAAAGGTGTCTTTTGGCTGTACACTTGAGTCAGTTACTGATACACCAAAGGTTTCGTTCCTGAAGTTCTAACAGTTGGCCGTTGCCAAGGGTTTAGAACAGGGTCCATCCATCATCAGTTGACTAGCAATAATTGCATCAACCACAACTTCAAAACAACAAAAACAAAGAAAATTCAACAGAAACAGGAAGGATGCCCCACAGTGTGCGACTTCGCAGTGTGGGCAGGTCTCAAAAGACGTTGATACCGCTCAAAACCTGACCCTTGGTCGGTTACCCCTTAAACGTCAATATACCACACCGCCTGAGAAACGCATTGTAATTTCAATTTCTTAATATATTGAAATGAGAATAGCAACAGAGGAACAGTCTAGTACACCCCTATAATCAACTTTTGTTGGCAAGGACAGCGGCCAGCTCATTGGTTGAAGAGGGGGGTTTCGATGGATTCAGAAATACCCCAGCTTCTAAGGACTATGGCCTGAGCTCAAAATTGAGCCTCTGAAGCTGTTGTTACTTAGCAAGCGCTTCTTGCGTGATTGTTTCCATGATGGGGCTGCGAACAATGAGCGGATGGGTGAAAAGGGACAGGATTATGATCGAGAGGGTTCCAAGACATATAGGCGTGCGGTAGAAATCAGCAGGTCTTTTAAATGGAATAGGTCGAAAGAGCAGTGAAGGAATATCGAGGTTAAATAGCCAAAGCCACAACAGATATACCTGAGACGAAGATTTCCGGTCCCGAACCGCCGTCCGAACGAACATGAATATGCCATCCGCAACCCAACTACCGAATTGCGAATTCCTTCAGGAGATTTGGCCGCCTGGGCGATTTGTGCAATATTGTGTGACCCCATGCCAGCTGCTAAAATCGCTTCTTTGTTCATATAAAGGCAATTGAACAAGGTTCATGGACAAAGAAAACAAGCAGTTGATCCACTTAGAAGGCATTATTACACGCTGTTAAACGCACATTTGCACATTACCAACGACTGTCACGCTGCCCGATCAGACGCGAAAACAATCACGAAAGTGTGACGATTACCATGTCAGTAGCAGCCCGCAGCAAGTGAGATCCAAAATGAAGAAATTCGCATGTCTATCATTCAGGTTGATTCTTCGGCATCCAGTAGAGCCGGGCCTGCCCTTGCCTCAATACAGTATATATACAATGCTGATTGACGCATGACCGCAGAGCGAGTTGCCTAGTTCATATACTTCTCTGTCCAGGCCTCATAGTAAAACCACCCCAGCTTCCCCATGCATACCTCATGCACGCTATATCTCGTATGGCTTGTCATCCTTGAATATCAACTCCGGCTTTCTCCGCGCAACGTCGAGGATCGTCTCGGCGAACACACCGTTTGCCCCTAAGAGGTTGATTAGCTCGAGGACTTGTCCGTTCGAAAACGGGGTGACTTACATGCGAACCAGCTCCGGGTGTAGGAGCCGAGGGAGTTTACGTCCACACTCTCATGTACTAGGCCGAGCTTGCTGGACTTCAGAACAAGATCAATGCAGTCGAGTATTTCGGCGTCGTTGTCTGATGTTTGAGCTTGAATGAGCAAGCTCATTGGCCAGGCGTTGGACAGTCCGATGTGTGGTCCTAAGTATGCATTGTCAATTCCAATCCATGGCCTACAGCTGACCGCACGACTTACCTCCAATACCGTGGAATTCTCGCCCTGACAAATAATAAGGATTGGCTTGCTTCGAGAGAAGCATCTTCCGCGTATTCTTGTACACGTGATCATCCCGATCCACGAAGCCCATCAACGGTAATGCGAGAAGAGATGGGTAGTTTGCATCATCCATGAGGATGGACGACCCGTACCCGTCGACTTCGTACGCAAATACATCGCCAAAGTGCTTGTGGCGCACTACGCCATGCTCCCAGATACCGTCGGTAATGGTCTGGCTCCACTTCTCTACAGTCTGAGCAAGAACATGCTGCTTTGCTGCCCTGAGCATTTTGCTGGTTCGCCTGAGCTCGACAGCCATCATGGCGTTTGCGGGGATAAAAAAGGGAAGGATGGTAGCATCGTCACTTGGCCTGAAAGCAGACCGTACGAGACCCGTGCCGTTATTCAGCGGGTTCCCAATGCCTTGCAGATTTAGCGTTTCCGTGCCAATGTTGGTGTGGCGGCTGAAAGTGTACTCGTTCCTCCGATAACGTCCAGTGTCAGGATCAAAAGTTGACTGTGACTGCTGCTCGAGGACGTTGAGCAGAGTCTCCAGTGCCATGTACCATCTCGGAGTGAGATGGTCCGTCGAGCCGGTGTGGTCGTTGAAATCGTTACCCAGTGCAAGGAAATGCGCCAAAGAGTCAAGCTCGTACTTGCATTCGAATACAAAAGATGGCTCGTACGTCGGATGGACTGCATCGTCCTGGCCATTGTAGCTTATTGGCAGTCCACTTATGGGCGGCGGTTGGAAAGCGTTGCAGTACGGCGACTCAATGACATATTCCGACTGCGTGTTGATTGCTCCCAGGATCAGCTGGTGGATTGCTGGGTCTTTCTTGGCTAGAGATTGATACGGAGAAAGCTGATTCGTTGAGTCACGAAGCCATTCTGCAATAATATCTCCTGCTTCTGGTCAGTCGGAGTTCGCGAACGCGCCTTGCCAAAGGGCCATACCGGTGATGACGAAAGAATGCGGGCCCTCCCATTTGCCCTCGTTGTACGTGCTTCTCTTATCCTTTATGCTCTTATACTTGGCACCTCCGGTGTGAAACTTAATTGTAGTATCGGTTGTGGACTATATCAAGACCATTAACGTCCATCTCCCGGGTGCCTATGCTCAGGACGACTGACAGGAAACGCATTCTCAAATAACCGCGCAAGATCTGGATCTTTCATACGCGATGTCAAATCGTCTATCACTTTCTCGATAGCGTCCGAGTGGAAGGTTCGACATCGAGGGTCGGGCCGTTGGTAAGGCAGCGCAAGAGGCCCCTCGCTCAAAGGACGACTGTGGCGATAGTAAATTAGCTTCACAGCTCCTTTGGCTCGGCGTTGAGCACGCAAAAGAACTCACTGTGGATACGCGGAGTACTGAACATAATCAGGACAGGCTTCTGTGTAGTCGAATTTGTCGTCGCTGAGCGGCTGTTGATCTCCGCCGGGATTCTGAGCGAGTGCGAATGCAGCTAGCATGAAGGTAAGTACCGGTAGCCGAGCCATTTTGTTGAATAAAGTTAGAAAATAAAGAGCTTCAAAGCCCGAGTCTGTCACCGAGAGAGAAGGGCATATAAAGGCATTTCAATGAGGTGGAGGATGCGAATGTTTGCGACTTGCCAAACTCGTTGGTTGTTGGTCGATTGAAATAGAGCCACCCTTGCAGCCGCATCAGCAGTTCTCTTATGAGGAGACAGGCAAGGGTATCGCGGGTCACACAGCAGTCAAGATCCTAGAGACAGCCAATCGAGGGCACATTTGACTGGTCGAAAGGCGGTTAGAAGCTGGTAAACCAGCCAACACGTCAAACGCCCCCCGCAGTACGAGATCGACGCTATCTCTTGAAGTGGTCAGCCGCGTGTTCAAGGGGGATCAACGGCTTGGCGTTGCTTGATGGCCTCGTCCTACCAGAAGCGTCGAATCTTCAAACCATTACTGGACTACAAGTGTCTCAGTTCACATGCGTGCCGTTGACCATCGGCACAATATTGCCGTAACATGTCTTTGGTTCTTGTTAGCAAAGCTCGAGATCGGATTCCAGGCTTAGAAGCTTCATGAGCAAGCTTTCGGTGGTTGGCAGTGTTGCACTTGCCCTGCCACCCTGCATGTCAACCAACGGTCCATGCATTCAATTGTGTTTCTAAAATCGGCCGAGATGCAGTGGAGGGGCTGACGAGGGCACGTGCACCATACTAGAGCAAGCTCCTGTCAAAGTGCCGCCCAAAAACATCAAATCAAGCATGGGAGATGCTCAAATGTCCGCAGCAGATGCCATCACAGCTGCTGCATCTGAAATTTAGTCACCGCGATGGCTCTGACCGTCTCTCAAAACTCGAAAGATTGTTTGTGCTCTGTTGTCGTACCCTCCCCTTAATCTCCAACTGTATTGCCGCCAACCATGTTGGCCAACACAATGCGCAGCGTGGCAGCGGCGCGTGCCTCGAACCACCCACCACTCGTCCGAACCCTCGCGTCGGCTTGCCGAACCTCGTTCCGGAGGGAAACTATCCCATCAAGCTCCATCCGCATCCTGCGCACCGTCGACGCTGTCAGAACATGGAGGCGCCCTCACATGCTCGACCATCGCCTCGTAGGCCTCGTGCCGACCATGGGAGCTCTGCATCAAGGACACCTGTCGCTGATCCGCGAGGCGGCGCGGGAGAACCATCATGTCGTGGTCAGCATATATGTGAACCCGGCTCAGTTTGGTATTAGCGAGGACCTGGCATCGTACCCGGTGACATGGGACAGTGATTGCAAGATCTTGGCGGGGCTGGACAGGGACCTCGCAGACGATGGAGGCAACTTGGGCCGCATTAGTGCTGTATTTGCGCCAACGACGAGTGAGATGTACCCTTCGGGATTTCCAGGGCAAGAAGTAGACTCCAAAGGGAGCTTTGTGAGCTTGACGCCAGTGAGCGAGGTGCTTGAGGGCGCGACCCGGTCCACCTTTTTCAGGGGCGTGGCTACCGTGTGCATGAAGTTGTTCAATATCGTGCAGCCTGAGAAGGTGTACTTTGGCCAGAAGGATGTGCAGCAGACCGTGGTTATCAAAAAGATGGTCAAGGATTTCATGTTGCCCATGGATGTCGAAATTGGCGCCACCATTAGAGAGCCTGACGGATTGGCACTGAGCTCGCGTAACGTCTACCTCGGGGCGCGGAGAAGACAGGCCGCGACAGTCCTGAGCCGAGCACTCCGAGCTGCCGAGAAGCAGTATTTGGACGGTGCTTTCGACCGTGAGTCGATACTGGGAGCTGCAACCGCAGTCACCACTGATACTCTCAGTGAGCAGATGACTCTCTCCCCTGAGAAGAGGGTCAAGTTCGAGGTTGATTACATATCTCTGGCGGACCCGGAGACGATGGAGGAGCTTACCGAAGTTGACCCCAAGAATGGTGGTATTTTGAGTGGCGCGCTCAAGATGCTGCCCGTCGAGTCGCCCCAAGAAGGTGAGGATCTTGGGCACAGCGGAGGTCCTGCTGTCCGACTTATTGACAACATTGTGTTGAAGCCATCTGTCTGAACATTGGCATACACATATAGACTAGGCTTTGCACATACCCACATGATTGATGTCCTAAGCATTCACGTGTACCATCATTAGAACACCAAGTGGACTCCATCTCATAACACGAATACTTCTGTCACCAGGCGAAGATTCTCCGGAGAAAATCCCTCACAGCCCTCTCCTCAACTCTAGTCCTATCCTAGTCATCATCGTCAGCTCCCTTACCCACTTTTGAAATTCACCCGCGTATGTTTATATTGCTCCCTCTCAGCGAACACCCTTCCACCGTCGACCTCGGCACCGCCTCCTCAAATACAACCCCCGTTTTGTGTTCGCATTATCCCCGGCACCTCCTCCGTCGTCTTCCCATGCAATTCCTTAGTACCTAATATCGTCCTTGCAAATGCCCCCGCCGCATTCCACACTGCATCCCCTCTACATCGCCAAAGCAGTCATCTCAGCGCCTTCCTCCACGGTCGGGACGGCGAAGAATTGACCGTCAAACTGCGCCGCTCCCAGCTTCTCGGACGCCCCTTCCCGACTTTCAGTTCCGGAGATGATGTCTAGGCCGTGAAGAGGTGCGTATTGAACCGCGAGCTGCAATGGCTCGTGGCTAGGGAGATGAGCCTTTGTAGCCAAGAGTTGAAGGATTGGATTCTGGAGGGGAAGACGAAGGTCAATTCGTCGCATTGCATCTAGGCTACGCTGGCACTGGGGAAGAAGGATAGAAGGTTGACGCTAGTGGAGAGCATGGCGGCGTGGATGTGTTCGTCGAAGGGCCGGTTGAAGTGAGAGGTGAAGCAGGAGAAGTTGTGGTCGTCTAGATGCAGGAGCATAGGGCTGGACAAGGGGTGATTTTGTAGGCGAATTCGTACTGTTTCATGCGGTCGCCTGCACTGAAGGGTGGGGGATTTGGGGCTGTGGATTCACCTGTTGTGGTTTGTTCCTGGAAGAGAAGTGCGTGATGAGAGGAGCATAGTTTGTTGAAAGTATGGCAAGGGGCGTGATGGTGGTTCGCAGACAGGATGCGTCCTGGCGAATCGATTTCCGTGTTGTCCGAGTGGGTATAAGTATGATGGTAATGTCTGAGAATGAGAGATATGCTCGATGGCCGGATGTACTTGAAGATGTTGTTTTTCCACCGGACTTTAAAGAAAACAGCACATTTATATAAAAGGTTGATTGCGTGTGGCTCTGAGACGTGAAGTCACCAACTGGTATCTCATCAGACTGAGTCACATGATAAGTCCTGCCTTGATTCTTACTCCCTCGCATGTGCACTTTCTCATGAAGGAGTCCTTGCTATATTTCAGAATCCTGAGGTCTCGACTTTTGATCGGGCCAATTCAATCGGAATAGGAATATCTACATGAAACTCGGTCACAGAGCTTCGCGCATGAGAGTGAATATCGTAAGCTCTTGTTAGGAACGAACACAAATTAATACCCATGGGTGGTTAATGAAAAAGATAAATGGCGACACGACTCTTGACATTAGCTCGCATTTAACATGAAGACGTCCCTTTGTATCGCGATTTTTAGTTTCCAGGTGCTCCGCGGGTTTGAGGCCAAGATACAGCTACAGCCTCCGATACATGTCGAGTATGAGAGAATTTTGCCATATTTAACGTGAAGGTGTGCAACTATTCCGCCTTTTCTTTTGTAGTTGACGCAAGATATATATCTACGTCAGGAATCCGGGGAGGCGCTTTCGGCTTGAGTTTAAGGCTTGGCACGTTCGGTAAGCGCTTCCCCGAGCGCGATCATGCTCGGAGCTCGCTCCAATTTCTCGTTCTCAATCCCAACTTCAAGCGAGCTTCTCGCGCGCACCGACAGTTATCCAAACCATGTCAACCACGGTTATCTCGATGGATCTCCGCCTACTACCATAGTATGAAGCAACCCCGAACCGGCACTCTCCCCAAATTTCCCCGCACTCGACCTTGTAGATGCGAGGCCTAGGATGTCCGCTACGGTCCGGTCCGGATCACTATTTCCAGGAGGCGAGCTGTGGCTGGCTAGTTTCCACGAACAATTACCAGATAGAAATGGGCGTATTGGAGCTAGTCGTCTACTCAATTCAACGGTTCAAAGTTGATTGGATTGTCGGTACGTAAACAATCCTGATATGGATATTTTGCGACTTAGGGCTAGACATCAGCTGTTCAGTCTTCGGCTTTGGCACCATGCTCTACGTAATGTACAATTTCCAGGTTTTTTGGATACCACCGGAACCATTGGGTTGCAGCTAGGATGCAACGTACCGGCCGGCATACGACGATGAGCCCAATGGTCCATGGTCTCGAGGTCGGAGAGACTCCGTGGACGGTGAGGAGTAACCTTGCCTTCAAAATGATGACAAGTGCCATATGTGTGCTGGTGTTCTGCGTCCTCTCGAGCTACTGCTTCTCATGCCCAAAATTGGAGGAGAGCTAGAGGTCATTAGCCAGCATGGGTTTCTCATCCTCAGCAATAGCCGGACTGGCTCTATGCCTAACCGCGGCGACACCAATCATTCCACGCAATACTTCACGTTTGTCAACAGGTACTTTACCAAGCGAACCAAACACCGTCACGTGTTGTATAAGAACTCAGCACTGAAATTGGTGTGTAATAGCTGCCCAGAGCCTTTTCGATTATTCCATGCAAGTGTCAGACTCGCGATATGATCGCTCTTACAACTATATATGGTACCAGGACAAGGGACAGTGGTCGACTCGATTCACAGCATGGTATGTTCCTGGACTGCTCTACCGGGCAGAAGGAGACGACGTGGAGTGTGGTATTGCTGCAATCGAGAGTGTGTAAGTCAGCCGACAAGTCCATTTTAGTCTTGTTACAGTTTCAGCTGACCCAGCGACAGACTCGCCACTCAAATGACCATTGACTTCGATGCTGCTTGGTATGGTACTTTCAAAGTATCACCAGATGCGCCGGATCCAACACCCGACGGTACACTGTACCCACCCGATATATACAACACTTACGATCCAAATTGGAGAGAGTTCGTTGGGTGCGTGATCAATGTTCAATTCATCAGAAGTAGAGCTGACTATTAGTACAGTACGCAACTTGTTCAAATCGTGGAAGAGTTCTCCCATCTTCTCACTGATGATTTAATAAGTCAGATAGAAGACGCCCTAGAGATTGGGGCGGTTGGGGAGATGCGACGAAATGGGAGCTACCCCGAGGACGACAACCTCATTCTGGCTTATACCAACCCTGCACTGATGCGAGCGCTGACGGTAGGCTGGATTGGGAAGCGGAGGAACAACCAGACCATGATTGACTATGCCTGGAAGCAAGGCGAAGATTTGCTGGCATTATATCAACGCAACGGATCCGACACATTGGGGGAGTACAATGCACCCAACTATTACGGCATGGACATATGGGCACTCGCGGCCAACATTGCATATGGGCCCTCAGATGCGCCTATGACCAAGAACTCCAAGATTATTTTGTCCGACCTGTGGAAAGATATCGCGGCGCATTACAATCCCTACCTAGGAAACTTGGTAGGGCCTTATGACCGCGCTTACAGTCGCGACGCAACGACACACTCTCAGATTCTCACCTTGTTCTTGTGGGGAATATTTGGCCGTGAAAACAGTCCACAGCCTCCCAAAGGTGAAGGCGACTTCCTCTTCGATGTGGCCCAAGGAGCTGCACTAGCTCTGATCATGGATGTGGTTGGCCAACATATCGATGACGACTCAGCGGCGACATTGACAGCACAGGGCTGGTGGGAAGGTGGTCGCTTCTTGAATAACACGATCTGGGACGACTTAACCGCGGACAAAAAGCGGACCGCAACCTCGTGGATCAGCGCTGGCCTCATGATCGGAGGCGAGACTGTTGCCGAGGCGGAAAATCGCGGCGATCAATTTGTGCCCGCCATTGTTCACTGGGCATCGGATCCCAAGCACACGCCGCGACCATACAATGGGTTCTTTTCGCTGTACCCAAGCGCATCGACAGTCACCGCAGTAGCAGGCCCTAATACTCTCACGGTTTCTTACCCGAATACGACACAAGAAGGGACGAATATTTTCACCTTTGCACTTACTGGCATCCCGCCTTCCTGGACGCTCAAGAACCGGCATATAGTCACAGGGTTCGACGACCTTCCGTGTTTGGACGTCAATGTGTCTGCCCCGGGGCTTAAACCGTTGGATGTTGCATACGGCGCAACCCTCCGTGACCACTGGATCTACAATATCTCGTACGCTGTACCGGCAAACTTTTCGGGAACGCCGCAGGTTCATTTTGAACTGGAGTATACGTGTTAAGGTCTCAACCGTTGGAAACATGCGGCTTCAACCTCAATTGGAGGCTGTCTGAGAGTTGCGACGAACATCACGGCTTAGTTTCAGGCACAGATCAAATATATTACCTGCTGGGGCCAGGTGCCTGAGAGTAGAAGCGCTGAGACAGCAGCCTCATATGTATGCATTATCGATGCAATTGACCTGGTTCCATTAGGCCCGCCCGCTTGTGACAATGACATATCGGCCCCGTCATCATGCATGAAAATGAAGCATCGTCGGTCTGCGGCCGCCTGCACCGTACGTACCGTGAGGAACATCCGCTCCGCTCCTCAACGGCACTATCCGAGCTTTCCCCGCAATTCGTACCCTATGGTCCCAATCCTTCTTTTATGCTCCTCACCACCCCAAGCAAGCATCCCATCAAGTTTTCCCCTGGCCCTAATTCTGGATTCTGAAGACCGAATAGATCTTCTCTCCGGCTGTACCATCAATTCGGCGCGCGCACGTGGACTAAATTTCTTCCTCCCCGCCTGCGCCGATCCCCACAACAACGCCAGCTAGAGGTTAGCAAGCAGGAAGACGGACAGACAGAGACGGAAAAATGCCGAACTCTTCAACCCCAACCGCCATCTCCGCACCGGGCAAGGTGCTCCTCGCGGGCGGCTACCTCGTGCTGGACCGGAACTACACGGCGCTTGTGTTCGGGCTGAGTGCGCGCATCAACGTCATTGCTCAGAAGATCGAGACTAGCGAGGGCGTTCAGCTGTCGGAGATTGTCGTTATCAGCCCTCAGTTCCTGGAGAGCCAGTGGCGGTACGGGTATCATTTGGCGGCTGCCGAGGGCGGGTTCAAGGTTACACAATTGCACGTGTAAGTTCGGTTACTTTTCGTCAATTTCATGAGGCAAGGGACGCAGGGGGATGATGAGGAATGAGATGGGTGTCCTGAGTGATGACAATGTTTCGGCTTCTCTCATCTCTGGTCATGACATATCTCGTTCATATTTCTCATTTCATCACTTTCCATTTAATACGCGACACAGTGCCCCTTCGCATTCATAACTAACATCCTCACAGTGGCCAAACGATAAACCAAAACCCCTTCGTTGAGACCGCCCTCTCCTACGCCCTAACCTACATCTCATACTCAGCGCACCACCTCCCCACCCACACCATCACCGCCTCTCAGCTCACTATCCTAGCGGACAACGACTACTACTCCCAGTCGGATTCCTCTCAACCCGGCGACAAGAAAATCCCCAATCGCTTCGCCAAATTCCCCACCAACCTCAAGGACGCCCACAAAACCGGCCTCGGTTCCTCCGCTGCTCTGGTGACAGCCCTCACCGCCGCGCTGCTTTCGCACTACTTACCACCAACCGTCTTCGACATAAACACCCTCCACGGAAAACGCACCCTGCACAACCTCGCCCAAGCCGCCCACTGCGCCGCCCAGGGTAAAATCGGCTCTGGCTTCGACGTCGCGGCCGCTGTCTACGGGAGCTGTCGGTACCGGCGTTTTAGCCCCTCGATTCTTGTATCTCTGCCCGAGCCGGGTGCCCCAGGTTTCGCGCCCGCGCTGTTGAAGCTCGTGGATGATAAGGAAGGTAAAATATGGGACGTCGAGATCGAAAAGGAGGGAGTACGGCTGCCTCCTGGAGTGACGCTGAGGATGTGCGATGTGGATTGCGGGACGCAGACGGTGGGCATGGTGAAGCAAGCCCTCGCGTGGCGGGCGGCGCAGCCGGAGAAGGCGGGGAAATTGTGGGATTCACTGCAGGAGAGGAACGTGGCGCTAGGCAATGTCCTGGCCGAAGGAAACACAGAGCAAATTGTAAGTGCGGTGAGTGCGATTAGGGAGTTAATCCGGGCCATGGGCACGGAGAGCGGGACGCCCATTGAGCCCGAGGCGCAGACGGCGTTGTTGGATGCGTTGGCTGAGGTGGAGGGCGTGTATAATGGGGTTGTTCCCGGGGCGGGCGGATTCGACGCCGTGGCATTGTTGGTGAAGGATGACGAGGGGACGGAGGGGAGGGTGAAGGAGTGTGTGAGGAATTGGGGAGAGGAGAGAGGGGGAAGGGTCAGGTTGTTGGGGGTTAAGGGGGAGATGGAGGGGGTTAGGCGGGAGGAGTTGGGGAGTTATGAGGGTTGGTTGGCATGAGCGAAAGCAATTGGATTGCTACATGACAAAGCGCAAAGGTATGACTGTGTTTATGCAGACTGATGAGAAACGAGATGGAATGAACACGTTCAACACGACCACATACTTCGAAGTGACGATATCCTTGAGGGCGAGGTTGAGTGGAAGGGAGAGGAGTGCAGTCAGATTGAATCGCTGGGTACAAAAGCCTGTACGAGCTTACGTAGACTAGGGCGAGGATGAGGCAGCAGTGAAGCACCAGCAGAGTACATTAGACCGCGTACCATATTGTTGTGTATCACGAGACCCTCATCCGGGGTCTGCCTGTATTGTTCGGATCTATGCCTAGTCCATATCGCACAACCTTTCCCTGTGCGCTACAAATCAGCAGGTGTGGCTTTTCGTCATGCATCAACCTCTCAAATACCAAAGTCTGACTGTCTCATGATGTCGGGGAAAAATCAAATACACGCAAATCCATGCTCGCTGACATGCCTTGCCATTATCATCCAGAGACTGAACTCAGTCGCATCCCATGCCAGATCAGGCAATTTCACCCAGAACACAACGCCGTGGAATCCCTTCCATTTTTGGCCGAACATGACCTGACCCTTCAACTCCAAATCTCATGTGCAATTACAAAACAAGGGCGCACATGCATGCTGATGAAATCAAATGAAGCCAATGTGCTTGGGCTGGGTGGTGACAATGACCACAACAAGATGAAATGTAGTGAAATGACAAGAAAATCAGGTCGCGTTCAAATCATGTTGTTGGCATCGGCCACAGAAGGCGAGATGGGCGTGTTCGGGGTGATGTGCACGGACGGTGTGATGGTGGTGCGAACGGGGGAAGGCGGGGCGGGGCGTGTGGGACGGCCGCCGGGGCTGGTACCACCGGGGATGCGCAGGGATGCCGACGGGGCGGCAGTGGCGGCACCTCCGTCGGCTGCTCCGTCCGCGACGCCAAGGCGGCTGGCGGCAGCTTTCTCCTTCAAGATTGTGATCCTGTAAGAGAATTATTGTCAGATTTTGCATTTTTGTCTCAAGTTGGGAACCAATTCCAATGGAAAAGGCGACAAGGCAGGCAACTTACTCATCCTCCGAGATACCGGGCAGGTTGGCCGACTCATGCTTGAAGTTGTATGGTGCAGACTAACAAATATGGAAGTGTCAGTAGTGTAACGACGCAAGGTAGGCACGTGGACGCAAATGGGAAGTGAACACCCGGTGGTATTCGCATGTCATCATTTTGGTAGCAGTGAAGAAAGAGAAGATAACATAACTTACGATTGTGATGGATCGTCGCTTGGCCTTGGGCTTGCGACCCATGAAGTGCTGCAGGCGGGTTGCGAATTCCTTGAAGCCGATGCATAACGGCATGTTGCTGATGGGCATACTCGAGTCGAATCCGGTAGGTGCTGGTTCCAATGATTGTTTGCGTTTGTTTGCGCGAGAATATAAATTCAAATGCAGCTCTTACTCCCAAAACTTTTACTTCTGGTCGGAGAAAAGACTTTCGAAATGTCTCTCGAAAAGCGAAAAGTGCGTAAGGCGGGTTAGTGGTGTCGCGCAAGTGGATTATTGTGTTTGACTTGGGGGCAGTAGCCACAGACAGCGGGTGGAGAGATAGAGCTGGTGGTGTGTCGAAAAGGCTGAGGTTTCCGTGATGGTGACAACGACCAAGTTTCAAACAAAAAAAAAACTCTGCGGCTAGCCTCCTGGGACAAAAGGGCTAGCTGTGTGACTGACCGAGTGCTGAAAAGCGCAAAATTTGCCAAATCTCGGAGCTTGCGAGTGATGTGCAAAGGCTCTGGAATTTAACACAATTTTTGGGGGCAGATGCAGATGCTGGGTAACGATACGGGAGCACCGTTCCTGGAAGGTGTTGGTTCCTGGTCCAGCCACGGCAGGGTCCAAAGGGTGAATGCGGTCGTTGGTACTCACCAAACGAATGCACAGTGAGCTTGCAGGTTCACCCCAGGATGGCTAAATGTTGTATGCGCCGATGCCACGATAGGCTCAAATTGCTGTGACTCTTGTCGCTGGGGGCGACTTGTTTGAATAACGACTCGCACTCGTGGCGAGTCGCCGCCACCAAAGAAAAAAGGCTGCTAGTAGCCGTACGTAGTTGGGGCGGGTAGACTCTCTGTAGGAATTGTAGAAAGTCGTCTGGGAAAGAGGTGGGTAGCTACCGAGATTGATTGACCAATAAACAAAAGATCAGGATAGTTACTAAGGCAGTGAATGAGAGCATGCAATTAATCACGAGACGTCCAAGAGAAAGGCTTCCCTCTACTGGGGATCTAAGTCGCCCTTTTGGATATACAAAAAGACCCCAAAGCCGACGCAAATGATGGCACCGACTGGACAAGGCCGTTTCGAAATGAACAAGACGGAAGAACTGGCCAGGGTCCCGGGGAGGAGGGGAGGAGGGGTGAGGCAGCGAGCGCAATAAAGGAGTGATGATGGCTGAGCCTCAATCAAACTGAAAGGAGCGCTATCGAAATGAATCAAGTCCGAGGAGACTAGGCTGCCAAGTGGGTTAAGATCGCAATGCAACGCACATATCACAAAGAAAGCAGATGATGATATTGAGCTGGGTTGGGTCTTTTAAGAAAAGGGGAACAACTTGAACGGAAGCGGAATGCTGTCGCAACCTGTCCTCCAATCATTTTGGCCAGGCACCCGAATCATCAGGAATGGGGCCGTTGTTTCCGTTCAGCAACGCGTTTGAAAGGTCTGAAGGTGATTTCATCGGGGTTGTATTGGAATGGTAGAGGAATGTTTCAGAAGGCCATTTACGAGACGCAACTCTTCGGACGCTTGCGCTTGACCCGAGCTTTATTTCTGCATATGGTCTCCGACGCGAATCTGTCGCATGCCAAGCTACTGAAGTCAAGTAAATAGCCAAGCTACACTCAACACCATAGTACTACGCAGACCTGTATAATTCCTCATCTGATTCAGTTTCAAAACGGGAATGGTCCCGGCTAGCCTCAGGACTGTGGGCTTCCGAAATGCAGCCCTTTCCTCCACGCCTCGAAGCTTTTCTTAGGATATTTAGGTGCTGAAGCCCACCAAGATTTCCAGCTGTTGTTTCTTGATTTCAGCCGAGCAGTGTGTTGGAATATTGGCGTTGCTGCCCACCAAGCTCTCCAGGAGGTGAACCTTTGGTGAGAGCAGCGTTGTGTCGGGGCATTTAGGAACATATTAACTCGGGTGTTCATCTTCTCTCTATCGGCTTCTACTTTCTTCCAGCGTCTGCGTCTTCTCAATGCGAAGATTGAATATCTTTCGAAGAACCATTGCTGCCGGCTATCCTCCATACCCTAGTTAGGATAGTCCTTCAAATGGAAACTCTTCAACTTGAGGAACTGGTCAAATCCGAATTTGCTAAGAGTGACGCCCTTGCCCGAATTCTTCCAGCCAGTCCAAGCCAAATCCTGAATGTATTGTTAGCAAGTTATAGATCAAGAAGAGCAACCAATAGAAGGAAACGAAGTGGGATATTGTCAGTTACAAGCTGTCAACAGTTGGATAGATTTAAAAAAGAAAAATATGAATGGCGTAGAACTTACTGGAGCTGGGTAGTCTGCGCGGTTGACAAAGACCGTTCCGGCCTCGACTTCTTCGGCGAGCTCATGTCCCTTGGCCGTGTCTTTGGTCCAGATGCTGGCAGTAAGTCCAAACTCGCTGTCGTTCATCAGGCTGACTGCCTCATCGTCACCCTTGACCTTCATGACTGCAATTACTGGGCCGAACGTTTCCTCGGTCATGACGGTCATGCTGTGGTTGACGTCGACCAGGAGCGTGGGTTTCACGAAGTTGCCCTTCACTGGGAGATCCTTGAATGTCACATTGTCTGGGGTGGCGTCTTTGGCGCCTTTGCTAAGTGCATCCTGGATATGTGCTTCAATTGTCTCCTTAGACCTGGCAGAGATGACGGGTCCAATCTGTGTCTCCTTGTCTGAAGGGTCGCCGACCTTGTAACCCTCGAGGACCTTTTGGGCCGCCTTGATGAATTCGTCGTAAACTTTCTCATCGACGTAAACCCTCTCGATCGCACAGCAGCTTTGACCAGAATTGAAAATTGAGCCGTCGACAATTTCTTCAGCAGCCCAGTCAAGTTTAACATCGCTTCTGACGTAGGCGGGATCCTTGCCACCAAGCTCGAGGCCAACGTTGACAATTCGATCGGATGCTGCCTTTTGAACTGCAAGGCCGCCAGCCACTGACCCAGTGAAGCAGACCAGAGCGACCTTCGGGTTTCTGACGATCGACTCAATCATCACTGGAGAGCCAGAGTGGAAGTACTGCAGGACGCCAGCGGGCAGTCCAGCCTCGGCAAAAACCTTGGCGACTTGCTCGACGATTGTCGGGGTTTGTGGTGATGGCTTCAGAATGACCGAGTTTCCGGAGAGCAATGCCGGAATCAGAGAGTTGACAAGGATTAAGTAAGGGTACTATCAGAGTAAGCTTAGCATCCGATGCAAGACATGCCACATGGAACACGCATATCTTACATTCCATGCGAAGATGATCAGAACCGGGCCAACAGGGATCTTTCGAATATACCGCTTGAATCCCTTCTCAGCCTCGCCTTCAGTGTCCTTGAGGGCCTCTTCGCTGATTTTGAGAAGGTAATCGCCACGTTTGACAGCAGTCGTGACCTCAACACCAGTGTATCGGATGGGCCTGCCCATCTGAACTGTGATTTCTTGCGCCAGCTCATCCTTCTTGTCACTAAGAAGCTTCAGGGCCTTCTTGACAATGATCTGACGGTCATTGAATGGCGTCTTGCGCCAGCTCTGAAATGCCTTCTCGGCAGTCTTGGGAATTTCCTCCAGCTCCGCGGCACTGACGCCATTCCTTGTTATGATAGGCTCATTGGTAGTGGGGGAGATGGTGGTAAGAACCTCGACAGACATATTTATTGGTCTGTAGGATTTGAGTGAAATAAAGTCGGAGGAAGTAGGGTATGAATGTTTTACTTATAATATTGGTTGTAGTGTGCCGAAATAAGTGAGTAAAAAGATGCAAGTGGTACAGCTCGATGACGTTTAATGGAGGGGCACCTGTTTTGAGGTAAGAGCTACCCCCGAGCTCGGAAGTGCGATAAGTCTCGATAAGAGTGATTAGAGCCACTGCATTGCACATTACATCGCCATGCAAGTAAGCGGTGGGGCACTTCTCCACTGTAATTTTTTGTAGCAAGCCAGGGTCGATAGAGAGCTTCCCTCTACAACGTGCACTTCTACAGTCGGCAACGCCCTAGCACTGAGTACAAACCCGCCTATTGCTACATCCTACCCAACCATTCCAACTATCATGCCTGCCGAAAAGCGCAACGCCTTCCTCGACGTGGACGATAGCGAAGACGACAATGGTAGCTATGAATCTGAAACGGAACTGCAGAAGGGCGGCCGCAGCTCGAAACGGCAACGGCTAGAGCAAGACGATATCAGCGACGGCGATGGTTTCGAGGATCTCAGTGAAGAGGAGGAGGACTCGAAGGAAGCGGATACTGAGATTGAGGAGAAGGTGAAGCCAAAAAACGGAAATCCAAACGACAAATCTTCGGTAGAAGATGCACCAACCGAGCTGCCAGGAGTATCGAAGCCGTTGACCAAGAAGAATTTGGTCGCCACAGAAGCGGCAGTGAAGAAGTCCGGAGTTGTGTACCTCAGCCGTATACCACCCTTCATGAAACCTCAGAAACTGCGATCATTACTAGAGCCATACGGGACCATCAACCGCATCTTCTTGACCCCAGAGGACCCCAAAGCGCATTCGCAGCGAGTTCACAATGGAGGAAACAAGAAGCGTTCATACACGGACGGCTGGGTAGAGTTTGTCAACAAGCGAGATGCCAAAAAGGCGGTTGACCTCCTCAACGCGCGGACAATCGGCGGCAAGAAAGGGACTTTCTACCGCGACGACATTTGGAATCTGCTCTACCTAAAGGGCTTCAAATGGAACGACTTAACGGCACAAATATCTGCAGAGGCAGCCGAGAAGATGAGTAGGATGAGAGCTGAAATCAGCAAGACCAACAAGGAGAACAAGGACTTCGTGCGGAACGTCGAGAAGGCCAAGATGTTGGATGGCATTCAGTCCAAAGCAGCGGCGAAGAAGAAGAATAAAGGTGGCAATGTTTCAAGCCAGACAAAGAGCTTGCGACAATTCGAGCAGTCTGCGGTGGCCAAAAAGGGGATTGAGCAATTGCCTGAAGATGCTGAGCGCGTCTCACGCATGTTGTTTGCCTAAATAAGTTTTCCAACGTAATGATACCCGAATTCAACGAAGACATTGGCAGAACTCCCGCATAAATACATGACAAGCAGGCTGCATACAAGACCTAGAGCATCTGGTAATCTTTCAAGGATAGAATTATGATGAATGGGCATGTACAAGTGGCCAACAAGGAATCGCCTCCTGGATCAAGGAGAATTTATCGATCGGAATCTTAAGCTGCTGTTCTCAGTGGTCGCCTTGATGAAAGAGTTGTAGAATACCTCTACTATCATGCGTATCCTTAACCCCCCTTAGCTCATACATATAAGGAGAGCCTGTCCCCAATTCTCAAATAGGCGACACATCATCGACAAGTCAACACAACCATACGTAATCAGAAATCTCAATATGAAACAGCAGCCAAAAGGTATGCCGCCGAAATTCTCTGAATCACTCACAGGACCCATCTGCCCATCATGTCTGTTTCCGAGGAATTCGAAGACACGGCCGAACTCTTCGAAAATGCACACCAAGACAAGATTAATAATTATTCCTCACTCTTCAACCAGTGCTGAAATATTGAGATACAGATGCTAAACGTGAGCCTCTTCACTGCGTTCATGATTCTCGACGACAACCACTGGCTTGATGGTGACCTCGAGAGATTCCAAAGCTTTATCGAGCTGCACTATCCCACGAGTGAGGAAAAGGCCGAGGGCACTGACCAGATGATGCAAAGGACCTCATGTTCGCCGGTGTGATTTTGAAGGAATTGGACTCGATGGAGGTTAGAGAAGAGGATATTATTGCACTATGGGACTACTATGCTATCGTGGTTTGTACTCGCCATGTCTATCGGTGTGCCTCAAATCTTCTAGGGTATTTTGAGGAGGAGGCGGGTTCTAGTTCAACGGCGAGGATGCGTCTCAAGTTGAGAGAAAATCTGTGCAAGAGCCCCTGGAGATACTGGCTAACGAAGCTCATTCCTACGAGTTGTGTTACTGCCATTTAATTTTCGACCTTTCTATCAACTAATCGTTCAGATTTCTCTTGTTTCGACTGTAAAGAACGATTCGACGCTAAAATGTGACTCGAGGCACGAACCGGCATTAGAATACGAAATTTGAGAGGGTTTTACCTGGAAAACTGTCAGCATGGACATGTCAATGGGGCAGACTCAATATCTGAGATGTTTAAAGACTCTGAGGACAATCAAGATGGGCATGCGCAGGAGGTTGACGATGATGAACATGGAGATGAGAATGAGGAGGGCGAACAAGAGGATGCTGACCAAATGGACGATAAGACCAAATGGCGAGTTGGAAAATAATGGGCCAGAAGGCAAAGAGAAGGGAGGGTATGGTAAAGAGGACGTTGAGCAGGATGCCTACTGTCGAATGGACCTGGACGATCCCAAAGCCGATGCAAACGACAACAAAGACAATGATGACCTCTTCAAGCACCGCGGCATGGCCCAGTTGATCGCAAATCGAATCCTCAGAGGACCTCCGAAAGACAATGGACAACTAATTCACCAGGCACGGCAACTCCGATGACAAGGCCCACCAGGAACGATTGGGAGAGGTTATGCAATCGCACCATGACGCCTTCAAATACTGCGAGAACTTGAAGAAGTTGCTGGAGAAGCGACCAGAAGCCGAGAGGGAAAAGTGGGATAATGCCAGCCCTGCCTACTCATAGATGAATGTTTCTCCCCCTGAAGTCAAACCGCCAGAGCCAGACTGGTCCACCACGCCCTTGAAATCCATGAGCACCATCACCAAAGCCTAAGCAGTCGCCTCGCCCCAAAAGATTATCCAAGTCCTCGGTGAAAAGGAGGAGTTGATCGACGAGCGTCCGCGCTCGGAGGCTTCGAACTCGGATGTCAAGGCTGGACAAAGCAAGAAGCAGAAGTGTGGCGTGTGGCAAAGCTGCTGAGGGTCGCACTTCAACTTCTGCCACTGGCCGCCAACTCAAGGTGAAGGAGAACTAGAAGCCTGTTCAGGGATGACTATTGGTCCAGTGGTGAAGAGGATGCTTGATTGTGAGATTTGGCCTTGTGACAAGGAATGCGGAATGCATACTTGTGCTGCTGCATGGAGTATTGGTACGATTCGGATACGACGAAATATCAACAAGTCATGGCGGAATTATTGGAAATTTTGCAGTATTTGATGTTGCTGGACAGGCATATGGGAATGACAATTTAGATTCAGAGAAAGAGCCAGAATGAGATAGTTGATTGACCCTATCCCGCCTACAACTTTTGTGTTATCATACTCTGGGCCCGCATTTCATTCACAGCGGTCTGCATGAGATGGAACTATCGCTCTTCAATCTTCGAAGTACCCGAGGTACACATGGGGGACTGTTGCTCCCTGCACGATGAGTACTTGCAACTCAATGCGAACGACAGGCCAATGGAGCTGCTATCGAATATCGTGTTTTCATTCCCGTGTCTAAGCCACCCAGGCACTCATAAATTTTCCCTGCCTTGACGCCAGACTTTCATCGAATGCAACAACTATGAATCATGAATCTAATCCATCCCGACGACGCCCATATCACCCGTACTTGATTTCGCATGGAAAGAACGAATAACCACTGAGCTTGGGTGAGCATACCATGGCGATCAGTCATCTGGCACGAAACTCCAAATCCACCTTCCAAGCTCTAATGCTCCTCCATAGTAAGCTCGTCAAAGTCATCGAGTAACTCATTCATATCAACACCAGGCAAAGTATCCTCATCGTCCATTTCAGAATCAGCCACACTCATCTCATCCGCCTTCTTCGGCTGCTTGTAGAGCGCAACTCCGCTCCTAAACTCCTCGTCCTCCTCAATGTCTTGCAAGAATCGCTCATACTCGGCATCCATTCGCTCCTGGTCAGCCTTCTTGGGCAGCAAGTCGCCCTCATCCTTATTCATGCGCTTCAGCTTCCAGTTGCGCTTGCGATTGCGGCGACGGTTCGGGTAGTGTTTCTTGACGAGCACGACGTCGGGTATTGTGGATGAGTAGGCGTGGGATTCCTCAATGGCCTCAAGTTGTTGGTTGTTGAAGTTAGTGCCTGTCAGCATGTAACCCATAACAGAATCGCCCGGGTGGAGCAAGCCGCCTAGATGCGTGCGCGCAAAGTAGGTCTTGCTGAGGTCGTTTTCTCGTGCGACTTCGACTTCTGCCAACACCCACTTGTTCTTGGTTGGACCCATGGGTTGAATATCCATAACCATAAACTCGACTAAATCCTGTGCATCCGCTAAGGACAGGAAAGGTGCTCGCCAGTAGATTGGTGAACTAACTTCCGCGGTCTGGAGGGTGTTCGGATCCAAGAAGCTTACGGATGTACCGATTTTGTGACATAAAACTAGTGGTGAGATATTGCCGATTTGCTTCGCCAACTTGATAGGCAGCGCCACTAGATCGTCTTTGCAGATGGGTATCAACTCGACAGAGAAAGAAAACTTGTATGACTTCTTGGCCGTGTGGGAATCCTGGGAAATAAGCTCCTGGGAGTTCTTGGAAGTCACAGGCACCACCGACTTGAGAAAGTCGACAAATTTCTCGGCCTGATTCCGTGCTGCAAAGTAGAAGTCTATGCCGTCCTTCGCCTCCTTGATATTTATGGTATCTTTGTGCGCCCCATGCTTCAGGATAAGTTGCTCGAGGAATAGGAAGGTGCGCTTGTGCAACACCTTTTGGCGAACTTGCACACAAGCTCTCCACACGTTGGCCGTGTAAGACTTGGCACACTCGGGGCACTGCTGCCAGGCAACGACAAACACCACCTCGAAGCTCTGCTGCAGAATCACTCCGTCTTCCACTGAATCCTGGACGGTAATTTGGAGTTTGATTCTTCGCGAATGCGGTTCGGTCCATAAAAATCTGGCATCCACCACTCGAACTTTGGACTGTAAACCCCGCACCTTCTTCAGACACAACCCCAACAACTCTCGCGACTCGAGCGGCGCCGATATCCAGCGTTGAGGCGGGTCTAGCCATCTGTCGCAGTCTCGGCAGAAGTGAACGGTGGATTCGCGCTGGATTCCTTGCGATATATCGATTGTGAGCTTGATGCAGTCATAGCACAAGGCATTTGTTGAGGTCGTTCCATCGATAGGTGCGCCGCAGTTGCAGCAGAAGATGCTGTTGATCAAGATCCAACGTCAGTATCGAGCACTTGGGTTTACTATCATAAAGGGCAGACCTACGTAGCACCCGTTCGAGGCGCCTCTGACGACGGTGCGATCGAGATCGGAGCGTCCATATCCACATCCATCTTGACGAGATTTCTTCCAATGTTCCCAAGTTTGATTCCTGGTGGTTTTCGAAATCCTTTCACAAACGTGGATGCCTCTAGCGTCCAAGTGATTATCGAACTGGAATGGCGGGGCTCGTCACTTTCGAATGTCGACTCGGAAAAAAAAGGTTGCCCCTCGATTGATAAGCAACAAATGTGGCTAGACACGCACTGCCACTCCTTATCGCACTTACAGCCGCCTAAACCTAAACGCTTGGCAGCCTTTTTAACGTCAAATGGTCCTTCTTGCGCAGATCATATCTAGTAAAAGTATTATAGGTATATTTATAGAGCACGCCTAGCATTATTGGTAGTAAATCATTGAGCATTATTTCTGGTCGTAATTATAGTAACCTAATATATAGCTAGATCTTAGGATATCTACGCCTACTTGTGAAGGTCAACCCTCGCAGACTCACTACAACCAGGTGACTTACAGCTGGACACCTGCCATGGCAGTGCCAGATGGGAAGCCAATCATAACCCCTGTAGGAGCCCCGCCGAGCGTGGACGACTTAGTCGCGCTCCCTCAAACCTAAGTTGTGATCTTCTTTCCATCGCTCCTTAGAGTAGAATCTTCGTCGATAGCACCTAATCGAGGTCTCTACCAATGCGATGCAACCCAGGTCGTGACACTACTCACGAGTTCATTCTCTGTACTTAAAAAGAAGCTAGGATTGTTCTAGAGAAAGCGACACCGGTCTTACCTATCCTCATCCCTGCACAAATCTCGAAAGAAGTCGATCTATACCTCCTTCGTTTCTGTCGAATATGACGTGTGTCCAATCGAGTAGTCAGAAGTGCGTAAGTGTCACGGGGTTAGGCCCGTGCACCGCATGTATATTGGTACTGCACGAGCTGGCTGATGTTCCATTCTTCGTGCTACAACAATAAACTACTGGTACCCCCATACACGACCCTGACAGTAAGATTGTATATGAATGAGGTGTATTGTTCCCTGTGTTCTCTGTTCTCGCGAACTCCCGTTGCTCTGCCTTTTATAGATTCTTTAGAACATGTCGGAGGTACATTGTTCAGGTATCTGAACCCTAAGTGGACAGTAACTTTGGTGTTACTTTTGGGAAAAGGGGTCCTTTCGCCTTCTGAACTTTAAGTGACAATAGTCTTCTCTAGTGCCATATTATTTCTGAACCTAGGAACCAGGTGCCCTATCTGACAGTTTCTCTCTATTATCTCGAGCTCGAAAGCATTCTCCAAGTCCTCGAGCGAATGGAGGGCAACAAACACAGTGATGCAAAAATCGCCGGAGGACCTTGGAGCTGGATTTGGGGAGCTGTGAGTTACTGCTTTCACGGTTCGACCACGGGAATATACCAGTATGTCGCGTATCAGGTGATGCCTGGGCAGCTCCTCTACAAGCCGTCCGTGCATCCACGACATTCGAGGAACCATACCCTACCTCTTGTACCAAATTCTCTATCGTATTGTTACGAACCATTAAACCTGGACCAACAAAGAAGGCCTATTGGCAGGCCAGAGTGGACACGCTCGCTAGGATCACGGGACCCCGCATCGGAAGAACGACGGAACTAAGGTCACGTGACTAAGTACCTCGGTACCTGGATATATTGGATCGAGATAGATCCAGTTCGAGCCAGGCTCGAGAGGATCATGGATCGATCCAAATGATCCAACAGGATCAGTGAAGGAGAGATGGATATATAAGGGACAGGACTCCCAGGCATTTCATAGATAGACAGTCTCTACTTCAGTGATCAATCTAAGCATCAATCTAACCCATTGGTGAGGCAAACTGCCTTAACGACTCTATTCCCGATTACCCTACTTGAATACTTCAGTTACCCAAAGCACTCTACTCCATACGTCAGACCCCGATATTATTGCTTGAGGACTCCGCAGCAGGACTTACTTACTAGCACAAACCCTTACATACTCTTTAGTGGTTTACGCAGCTAGACTATTAGAGGTTTCGTTAAACCTTCAGTCAAGGTCCAGAGAAGCAGAGCTATCGATTCCCAGCGTATTAATGGAGCCTCAGCTAATGTGATCAGGCAATGGTTCAAATACCTCGCTATCCCTGAGATCAAAGCTATTAAGGCCTCGAATCGATACAATATGGATGAGACAATATGGATGAGACAGGTATTCTAGAAGGTAGAGGATCAAATGGTCTTGTTCTAGGATCATCTGAGACTCGTTCTATACGGAAGAAACAGCCTGGATCTCGAGCTTGGACATCTCTTATAGAGTGTATCTCTGCGACTGGTACTGCACTACCCCCACTTGTGATATACAAGGGGAAGTCTGTCCAGCAGCAGTGGTTTCCTCTGGACTTGACTCCATACGAAGCCTGGAGGTTTACAGCAACAGAGAATGGGTGGACGTCAGACTCTACGGCTATTGAGTGGCTACGAAAGATCTTTATTCCTTTGATTCAACCAGAGGACCCTGAAGAGACTAGGTTACTTATCCTAGATGGGCATAGTAGCCACGAAACGACAGAGTTTATGTACCTCTGCTTCATAAACAAGATACACTTGCTTTTCTTGCCGCCACACACATCCCACGTTCTCCAGCCTCTCGATCAGTCAGTCTTTGGACCCCTCAAGGCAGCCTATAAGAAGGAGCTTGGTTACCTTGACCGATGGGATACTACTACTATCGTAGGGAAGAGAAACTTTCTCCTCTGCTATAGAAAGACACGTATAGCAGCATTGACCGCTAAGAACATTATAAGTGGATGGAAATATACTGGTCTCTGGCCTTCGAGCATAGCTAGACCCCTTATGAGCCCCCTGCTCCTTGAGAATACGTCAGCACCAATCAGACAGCCTAGTCAGACTTGCAAAGGGTACTCTGATAGTAAGGGTAGTCAGGACTGGGCGTTAGAGACATCAGCAGTAGCCTGGTCAACGCCTAAGAGGAGAGATGAGCTCCAAGATCAACTCAGCTTATTCAGCAAGCTTGATAGTGATCCAAATACCCAGCGGCTACTCTTTCGGAAAGTTCAAAAGGGCTTTGATGAGAAGGACTACCAATTAGCTGTCGAGAAGTACTACCAATTAGCTGTCGCACAGCGAAAGATTGAGGTAATAGAGGCAGAGCTTGAGGCTAGTAGGGCTAGGAAGCGGAGGAAGGTCAAGATGAGCCCAAATTCGAAGTTTACTAATATCTGTCGAATATCACGTGTGTCCAATCGAGTAGTCAGCAGTGCGTAAGATTGTATATAAATGAGGTGTGTTCTTGTCTGTCTGTCTTCTTGTCAGGGTACGGCCTGGACCGAAGGCGATAGTACAGAGTGAAGGGGAGAAATAGGCGTGTTCCCCTGGTGGTCACTTGATGATGGCAGGTAGGGGTGTCCACAGTAGTTTATTGATCTCTGCCCTCTCTATCTTCCTCCGTCTCGACTCCTTACTTATAGCCAGCCGAGGTTCTCTGTTGGATTCTGGATGTTTGCTTCCGCATGTCTGTGTTCCTCCGACTTCGGCCAACATCTTGGATAGCGGCTCTTTATCTGCAACCAAGCGATTCCCTATCCGCTGCAAACGGCTTCAACAGCTCTCATTCGCCACAAGCGGCTCTCTAGCCGCCACAAACGGCCTCCCGGCTCCTCATTCGCCATCTGAACTTTAAGTGACAATAGTCTTCTCTAGTGCCATATTATTTCTGAACCTAGGAACCAGGTGCCCTATCTGACAATATCAAGGCTATTCGGAAGGCTCAAATCGAGGCTGGTGAAATTGAGGATAGTACAGATGAGTCTAACGAGTCTGAAAACCCTAGTGACGGTGAAAACTGTATTGTAGTCGCATTAGAATAAGTGTAAAAAAAGGTTGAAGTTAATGGTTATAATATACAGTGTCATTTTTAGGGCGTCCCACATGTGGGGGTGTCCCGGATGTAGGTGTGGGACGTTAGGTAAGCGTGTTCTTGACGGTATTTAAGGACCTGTGTATGTAGTCACTCTCTTGAAAAGAAAAAGAGAGAATCAAGCGGCCTATTCCATAGCAATTTGATTCAATTCTTTGCCTATGGAGGCTTTTGTTGTTTTTATGACCTGCTTACTTCTCTTCGAATCAAATTATATCATTATTTCAGCTTAACTCACTAACGTAGTCCACAAGCGAACGGGTCACCCAACCAAACGGGTCACGCCCATAGCAAAAAATAGAACTAAACTTCCTAACTTTACCACGCAACTAATTCTCGATGGATTCTGCTCAAAAAGAATCTCAATTACTCCTTGCAACTCAGGCTATCAGAAATGACTCAACACTTAGTATCCGACGTGCTGCAACAATCTACAAAGTCTCGAATACTACTCTCCAGGCGCGTCTTCAAAAACGTCAATCACGTCGCAATATCGAAGCCAACGGTCGGAATCTAACAAAACTAGAAGAAAATACGATTATTCAAAGGATAATTGAGCTAGATTCGCAAGCATTTCCTCCCCGGATAAGTGCTGTTGAAGATATGGCAAACCGACTGCTACGCGACTCGCATATCACAAAGGAGGACTTTCTTCCGGCATTTTGCGACGCGTTCAAGACGAGCCTGACCGAAAGCAATATTCGTGCAGGATTTCAAGGGGCTGGGCTTGTGGCTTTAAGCCCAGATATTGTTATTGAGAAGCTGGATGTGAAATTACAGACTCCAACGTCCTCCTGGCCCCCTACGCGGGAAACCCTTCCTTAGGCTTCTCGGACGCCAAACAACCCAACCGAGGCTACTTCGCAATCCGAATTTATTAGATCTCGAATTTCTAGGCATCAGAATAGCTCCCCGATGTCAATTTACGATGCTATCGATCAGTTTTCGAAAGGAGCGCGGAGTATTATGCATAAGATGGCTTTACTCCAAGCTGAGGTCGCCGAACTTCGAGAGGCAAATGCTCTAATTAGCAAGCGGCGCAGGGCCAAAAAAACACGAGTACGGCTTGGAGGATCACTTAATTCACAAGACGTACAAGATCTTCAAGATCAAAAGGACGTTGCGCAGCAAGTACAGCAGGAAATGCGTGGAAATAGCGCTGGATCAAATCGTTGTGGTTGCGAAATCGTGTTGAATTCCATGTTTTGCTAGTTGGCGTGACCCGTTCGGTTGGGTGACCCGTTCGGTTGGGTGACCCGTTCGGTTGGGTGACCCGTTCGGTTGGGTGACCCGTTCGCTTGTGGACTACGTTATCTGAGAAGTCTAGAGTTCGCATAGTTCAAGCGTCAGTGTGGAGTTGCGTCACGTCGGCAATCGCTCAACTCCCAACCACCCCAAAATGGCTCCTTGGTAATCGAGTGGTCACAATCATCCGCGACAGCCGTCTTATCTCCAAATCATCTCAATCTATCATCCAATATGCCCCCCAAGGAGCCGATACCCGGTCGCGATGAGAAGCTCGCGCGCGACCTCTTGCCAGATGAGGAAGGTCCGTCGGTGACCGCCGCCAATCCCTCCACTTTCGCCTAAGCAGCTAACCGGCCCTTGCAGATCCATTGTTCCTGGGTTCCAGCAGGTACAAAGCTGGGTCAAGCCGCCGCCATACAACATGGCGATACGGTGTGCTCATATTGGTCGCGATTATGGTGTCGGGACTCTTTCAGATGGCCTTCTGGCTGATGCCAATCCTCGGTTTCCCCGCTGCCGTGACGTCCAGTCCAACACCGAACGCGTCTGAGAAATTCGACCTCTATAAGCACCTGGGAAACTTGTCACCGTATTTCGTGCCCACGAATACCCCAGAGTCTTTGAAAAGCGGTACGCCACCCGGATGTACGGTTGAGAAGGCATTCCTGGTGCACCGACATGGCAGCCGCAACCCGCTCTCAGACGAGCTGGGCGTCATCCAGAACTTGTCCTACTACATGAACAACCACACGGACCAATTCTCACAGCCCCGTGCCAAGCTCCCTGCCGCCTTCTCTTTTTTCACCACTGGCTGGAACACCACCCTCAAGACCAACGATCTCTCCGCTCCTGGCCGACAGCAGCTCTTCGACCACGGCGTAGCGCTCAGACTAGCCTACCCAAACCTCTACACCACCTCCGTCCTAGCTGGGGACCAAGACCGCGTCATCGAGTCGGCGCAGTGGTTCATGGACGGGTACTACGGCCGCACGGTCAATGAGACCGCGACCCTGGAACTCATCGCCGAGGACGAGGAGACTGTCTCATGGATCACGCCCATGGACACGTGCGCCGGCTGGGAGTACGCTTACGGCAGCGCCCCTGTCGCGGAATGGGGCGCTGTGTACCTCGCTCCCATCGCGAAGCGCATTAATGCCCTGCTGGCAAAACCGTACCCGGAGGTGAACTTCACTGCTGCGCATGTGCACGGCATGCTCTACGGCTGCGCATACGAAACGGCCGTGTACGGCGTGGGTGCATCGCCATGGTGCGATGTCTTTCAGCCCGAGGAGATCCTAAAACACGAGTATGAGTACGACCTGCTCATGCGCGGGGCGTTCGGGTACGGACTTCCTGGTGATATGGGACCCGTTGTAGGGAGCCTGCTCGTGAGCAATGTCACGGCGTTCATGCAGCAAAGCGAGGTCAACTTGTCGCTGAACTTCGGACATGATACCACAATTGACATGGGGTTGACGGCTTTGGGACTTGCTAGTGACACGAACTATCCGGCGGAGGGGCCGGTGGATCCGAACCGGGCGTGGAGGACGGCGAGACAGGTGCCGTTTGCGGCGCAGATGTTGTGGAAGGGTTTGGACTGTGCAGGTAGGGAGGAGAGGATTCAATTGGTGCTAAATGAGGCGAATTTTGACCTGGCGCCAACGGGGTGTAAGAGTGATCAGTATGGAACTTGTAGTTTGAAGAGTTTTATGAGTGCCAGTATGGTAAAGACTGCGCTCAATGTTACACATGGTGATGCGAGGTGGGAAGCCGCATGCGCCGTTTAGTCCTGTATATAATGTATAATGGCCATTTTGGTTGGATTGGAAGCGATTTTGTAGGCCAGACCGACCCCAAAAACACCGAGACGTACAGAAAAGCTCTCCGGCTTCACGGGGGGGGCAAGGCTGGCAATTCGAGCCTCTCAGGTGACTGGCAAGGTGATGTGTTGGCAATGGAGCGGAAGGCAGGCTGCGATTTGGTAGCTTCTGCAACTCGCTGGTATTTGGTGCCTACGTATGCTATCACTGAGCACACTAAAGTTCTCCAATCGACGCTATAAATGGTCTCAGCCTCCGCGGATTATTCTCGTAACCTCCAAAGCAGCCGGTGTCCATTTAATGATTGTATTGTATCCTGCGAGAAAGATGAGATCACTGCACAATGAATGGACACCCGAGAATGAGACTCACCTCCGCATTTTACAAGAACTTTTCTGACCACGCGGCTGCCCATCTGGAACCAAATCGTCGGCAATGCGATGAATCAGCGTTATACGCAGAGACTTATATTTACTCAACATTGACAGAAGACAATATTTAGTGTCCCAATTATCGGTCAACTTCCTCCCGAACCACCTTCGCACATATGGTAGACGCGAGACTCCCTCAGGCATAGCAAAAGCCATAAACGCATCTTCCATATTCGTGAAAGGGGCGCACATGATCAACCCGACAAACGGAGGCGGTACCTCTTTCTGAATCCGCTTGCACTTCTTCCAAAGTCTTGAAAAAAATGGCTGCTAGGAGGGGATTCCTATTGTTCCCTATACTCATACTTCTGTGTTGGTCAGTGTATTCCGGTTGATTTATTGCAGGCCACTCCATAACAACCGTCAGGTCTCATCCTGCCCCTTGCTCGCCTCTTGTGTGAACTCAAGAAGTTGGGATTGCTTTCATTATTTGGTCTTACTTGCCTGAGATGATAAGGTTGCCAGAGGCCATTAAGAATTTCCACCCATGTCCAAGATTTGGTCACTTTGCCTTGTGTTTCCTGATCGGTAGCGTCCGCATGAGCCAAGTAATGGCCAAAAAAGAACCCAAAACGTAACAAGTCAACCAGTCATCGGTCGTACACTTCGCCGCATAAGGCCAAATTTGCAAAAGGTTTGCAACGAGAATTCATTGTTCTCAGACCATTCGATTGGTATATAAGCCTCAACAATCGCTGATCAAGAACGTACAACCCATGTGTCATGTGTTAGAGGCTAGTATCCTTAGTCATCTCACGGAGCTTGCCGTACTCGATTTTCATCCCCTATAAGCTATACGTCAAACTTCGCACTCAACAGTTATGTAAGATAGATTAAACTCAAGTGGAGCGTGGCACTTTGACAGCTGCCAAACGGTAATTTTCCTGCCGATCCTGCGCCCTGCCGTAATTGCGGTTGATCAATTTGAAACGAAACAGCCCCATCAACACCCCAGTCATATAAGTGAATTGCACGATGCCTTCATTCAAAATAGCTCAACATTCCTGAGAACGTCTCGCGTAATTTTCTTGTTGTGCACTCTTTATCTCTGTAAACACAATTCGGTCGTTCGAAGAAAAGCTGAGCAGTAACCAACTGTCTTGTACACTTATTCGTCCACATAATACCTAAGTTCGACGACCCGCAACGACACGATGTACCCCTCAACAACCCGCCTCGCCCTCCTCTCAGCCGCCATGGTTGGCGTCCAGGCCAGCGACTGGAGCGGCTCGTACAAGTTCGGCAACATGTTCTACAGCGGCCCCACCAGCAACGGCGTCCACATCACCAAAGCCACCTATTCTTTGATCGCACCCTCAACCCCCTGCGGCTACGCCACCAGCGGCGGCAACGAGGAACTCGCCTTGTGGATCGGAATTCAAGACGACCCGACAGGCCAGGACGTCCTTCAGGAGAACTTCGTCCAGCCCCTGCTCAACTGGGCCCCGGACCAGCAGCTCACCGGTTGCGACACCGATGCCAGCCACTGGTGCGTCGCGGCTAGCACGTACACGCCTGAGGGCCAGAGCGTGAAGCCGTATGTACCCGTTGCCCCGGGCATCACGCTGGATTTCCAGCTTACTGTTGGTGATGCCGTCACGCAGACGGTGTGGGCGGATGGAGAGATGATTTCGAATCAGACCGATAGCGCGGGCATGAAGCCCGCTGTGTTTTATGGCGCCAATGAATGCTACTTGCAGACATGTGGTACGCTGGGTGCATACTCGTGGAGCAACATTACTGTGCATCTGTCGGCGGCTGATGAGAACTATGGCAGCACGTTGTCGTTGACCGATGCTACGAGTGATGGGTTTAGCACCACAGATGGTGGAAAGACCTGGACGAATGCTGGGATCACAATTAAGAAGGATTACCTATACACGGATAACGGCGTCCATGAGTGCTAAGAAGCACACGGTGGTAGAATGTTATGTTCTGGCTTCCAGGTCTTGTGGCTTTTCACTTCTTATGTATATATCTACTTTCTGTATAATGCCCTGATCAATGACGACTACATTGGAGCAGTTGCGTACAAGCGTTCCCTCGATATTTGCCTCAAAGTATCGGGTTTTGTGGAGTCAAATCTATGTTTTACGATACGGCGTTTTTACTGCTCCGCAATAATTTATAGAGAGTATGAGATATTTCCTACCAGCAGATTGGCCTGACTATGAGGCCAAACGGTCAAAAATCTCGTACTGTTTTGGTATTGACAGCGTCACAACATACCTCTAGATTTCTTTGTTCAGTATTTTTCGCACTATATAACCCCGAGCTATTAACGAGGTCTAGACTTTATCCACCGTTAATCCTGGGACTATTTTATGTGCAGATTTGAGCCTGCATTCAGCCCTTGCTTGCTCTCCCACCCTTGGGGCAAAGGATTCGACAGCCACACATAATCTGTGGCAGAAATAGCTCGGTAGACACAGCAAATTAATTCAGTGTTATTCAATATCCTTTCTGCCTGAGAGAGGAGGTTGCGTATTGAATCCCAGATAAGCTGGTTGTCAAGAAAATTACCCACGGATAGCTTTGACGTAGCCGCACGTTCTGCAATGGCTGCCTTCCGTTCGACTTAGCAAGATCTCGAGTATTGCGATGGCCTGAAAAACGCGGACGAGAAAGCTACAAAGAAGACCAATCCGTCACTATCAGCGGAACCAAGATGGTCATCGAGGGAAGAAATTGCGTCATCTCGACTGTCTCTAGCAAAAGATTCAGCTCAGCGACTGCGACAAGCGATTCGTCTTGCAACCGTCCCACAGTCAGCTTCCGGCCACACCTGAGTCTATTGCTGCACATCGCCACAATCCCATAACGTCCGATCCTTTGCCGAAGGGCTATTTTGTAGTCTGCGAGGACTCAGACTGACAGGCTCAAGCCAAGAGACACATCCTACCCATGTTATGGTTGAACAACAGTCTGGGCGGTGGGTTTCGTTAACAACGTGGTTGCGTTCAATGTGATGCCGGATGAGACCTTCAAGGGGCTTTAGCATGTGGATAATCAGATTGTGTGGAAGCATCTAGTTCGATTGCTTCGTATGGCACAAGATGAGGTGATTCGGCAGAAAATGAAGCTAGGACAGGCACGGTTTTTCCTGCGCCATGACAATATTGATATGGGATTGTTGTACTTATCGGGGATGAGGATGATGTGGGCGGTGTACTGATATGGTGTCGGGACGATGGGCTGAGATGATAATGCCCTGGATCACTGGATGAATTTGTTTCAGCCATAGATATGTCTCAACAGGTCGGACAGGAAATCAAGAATGTATCTTTTGTTGACTATATAGATGTGAAAAGATTTGTTTTCATGAACCTCGCTGTGATAGGATTGTTACATAAGAACGTGATGTGATTTTGATGTTGTCAAGGCTTATGTAGCAAAGGCTGGATATCTCGGGTTTGAGCCCCGCCCACCTCAATCTATTTCCATTCTAGTCTGTTTTTTTCAATTTCTTTTATCTTTCTTTCCGGTTGCGTTGTGTACACGAACAAGCCCTAAAAATGCTTGAAATCGAGATTTTAATATGTCGTTCCAGTTTAATACAGCTGTGCGTGATTACTACTTCAAGGCGTGTTGTCTTGTCGAAGGCAGTGGAGGTAGACAGATCTGCCACAAGCTCAAGGTCGAGGATTTTCTACTCTTTCTTCTTCTATGACTGAACAGTTCAATCGCCACTTAGTTGCCGGATCGTATCCATGGCATAAGCTTCGGGGGCAACCGTATTGTGTTGGCTGTATCAATACTAGAAAACACAAACGTGCGTGAGGAGAGGATATCATCGTAGGATTGGTTGCCTCCTCGTTAAAGATATTGAGAGTCGGGACTCTCGGGCCTTGGTAGCGTGGAACACGCCAGTGCCAATCCGACGAAATCAGTTCTTCACAAGGACGGAGATACATTACAGAAAAAAATAGGATTCAAGTCCAATTTGTTACGGTATCCTGTTGCGTCACCTTGATCTGAGCGGATGTCTGGAAATTTTAGTTAGTTATAGTACAGGGCGGCCTCTCGACTAGCATCCGACAGGGATCTGCCCGCAATGGTTCAACACGCATCTTATGCATGAACCAACGACTTCAGGCGTCCAATTACGACGCCCCATTTGCCGGAAACAGCAAGTATCTAGGTTAGATGAGATGATCACGAAATCGCCAACCGGTTAGTTCGCCGGGCTGGGTCATGTCCGGCCCACGGAATCGCAAGATTGGAAGAAAGGGGTATGCAAAGATTAGACGGTATTGTTTGGAACCATACCTTCGATCCATATTCGCCCCTGAAGCCCCCATCAGAAAGTCCGTCGCCCCAATCATGGTATTTCTACGACCTGACTACTCTAGGGATCAGCAGCGCAGATACGACATTGAAAATCACGATAGTGAGCCTTCATCATCGAAAGGCCAGAAGAAACCATTGCCGTCGAAGCCAAATTCGCCTAGCATACCGAAGTCTAGTTACACAAGCCATACCTGGAGGCCGTTACCAGAGACGCCGGGCCCGGGCCAAAGACAGAAGCTTGTGTCTCAACCGACCGCGAAAAGTCGCAAGATGTCGACAATCAACAAGAAGAATGTTTGGAGTAGCGTTGCAGTTGACAAAGACAGGTCGCATATCTCAGCGATGACAATGAAAGAGTTCGGCATACGGATCGCGCAAGGAACACTCGCGATACTGTTCTTGGTGTTGACGTCTTTCTCCGCCTTCACGCTAAATGCTGGCAATGTAAGTCTGATTGAAGCTTTGCGCAAATTATGTAGGACGCGAGGTAACACGGGAGTCGACCATTCTAGTTATCCGGATTCAGCCTATCATTCTTCGTCTTCTCTCTAACAGTTACCTACTTCGTCCTTTACGGCGTCGCCGTCCTCGCGTATCCCATAATCTACCACTGGATCGCACAAATGTGAGTCCAGACGTTCTCTTTGTTGTTCAGTATCTAATGTTCTGTCACAGAGTATTTGAAGCATTTCTGGTAGTGTTCTGGCTTGCCGCCTGGGCAACACTCGCCAGCTACGCCTCGGCCTTGAACCTGGGTGGCGCAGGGCGTACATCCAGAGCAAGTCTCGGCACCATGCCTGCCTCTGGGCTCGGTCGCAGGGGAGGACAGGAGTCACTAAGAGAAGCTATCATGATGGCAATATCAGACATGAATCCTGCGTCGACGCTAGAACAGGTATCAACTTCGTCAGTAGAGGCAGCAGAAACAATTATTGGCATTTCAGCGGCTCTTGGAGCGGTGATATGGGTGCTGTTCATAATAACGATGATCATGACCGGTGAGTGGGCATTTGTTTTTCTTGATATTGAGACATATAGCTAACACAGGGGACGTAGTTGTAGGTATCGTCAAGCTTGTAAGGCAGACATCTTAAGGCAGTAGAGATGAGACGAGTGCCACTACCGCTTAAGGCAAATCTAGCAGTCTGTTCCAGCTGTATTGTTCGATTCAGAGTATAGCAAGGCGGCGTTATTGCAACTAGTGTAGATTGCCTACTGTGCTGAGATTAATGAAGATAATATCCATATGCAAGAATGAAGGAATTCTATTTGAGCACTACAAATATCTCATACTATCTATATGACTTAACATACATAAAATAACCAGCAGCAGTAATTTACACAAGTAATTACCTTTTTTTTAGATGCAAAAGGCTTGACCTTCTCCTGGAAACTGGCATAACAAACCCTTGAGGTGCGTTGAATAGTGATTTGGTATTAAGTAAGGCTAATATGTAGTTCCTTAGTAAAGATGCGACTAAAGCTGGCTTTCCCAAAAACCATGGACTTCTCAACTGAAATCTGCGGCATTGGTTTCAGGACGAGTTCCTGTCATCCCCCGCTAACGGCAAAATCCATGGGAACCCGTTGATACGAAACTCACTCTGCCTTCCCAAGCGGATTCCACCAGCCCTACTAAATGTCCTTCTTCACCTTATTAACTACATCAGGCGGCGCCTCAGTAAATTGGTTAACCTCCTCAAGCCACACTTTCTCCTCCTGTAATTTCCAGCCGTCTTATACCATTATTATAGGGATACCCAAACCTGTCAATAATACGCCTGTGGATATCAATCAACTTCATAATCCACCAAAACTAGCTCGCCAGCGTGATCTCGTTACCCTGGGGTAGTCCCTCCCTTATCATACGTAGGAAGGCGTAGACGTCCGAAAGTATGTACTCTTGGATGGCGCGGTTGGAATCAGTTTCGCCGATGAATTGCTCAATTATCATCCGTATTTCTTCTTGGAACTCTATCGATCGCTTTTGGCTTTCAATGGTGCCGTAGTGAACTTACAGACCGCTGAACTAGAGGCGGCTTTGGACCCAGTAGTTCAGATATGCGGAATTCTTTCCCCACGCCCAGGTGCCTGGGAGCTGAGCGTCAGGAAGAAAAACCCATGTCATCGCGAATTTGAGGGATATGGATTCAAAGTACGAAGTAATCCACCGGCAATTGATCGTAGCGGCATTGCAGAGTCTCTGGGGTGCCCAGTCCAGCAGTAATTGTAGACCTAGACATTGGGCTGGGAAATCCGAGCGCAGAACAAGAGCCGACCCGGAAATATTTTCACGTTTTCGAGGATTACTACTACAAAGAATATGATGTCATACTCAAGGGTAAGACCGTGACGGGGACGAGGGTGAGGACAATGGAGAAGGCGACAAGTATTTGTCCGTTGAGGTTCCAGGCTTAGAGCCGCTGACCGATGGTAAGTTTGCGATACGACTTTCACCTAACAGTGACTGGCTGGGAAGACATTTGCTAACAAAATTATATAGATAGAGGTAAGTGCTATAATAAGGCAAGAGAAAACTCCGTCTATATACGGCTTATACCTCACTATCTTGCAATGAATAATATTTAGTTGCTTTGTTTACGCTCTGAAGGAACAAAGCCATATAAGAAAAAATATGTTTCCCCTACACAGTCTTCTCACTCTCCAATATATCCCCAGAAGTCTGCGAGTCCATCACCGTATCTCTCAGATGTGGGCTCCCCAAACTTCATCTTCTTATACTCGTCCAGGACCTCCTGTCGCTCTGGGCGTTCAATCTGGTTCGGAAAGCTCTAAACCACCACAATGCGTGTAAAATTCCGCTTTCCTTTTCAGGCTCAGCGTCTTTGAAGACCGCCCAGTTCAAAGTGACTGTATTAAAAACTAGCAAGTCTAGCGTCGTCGGTCGTGTCGAGAAGGATAGGCTTCTTGTTCTTGCGCTTGTCGCTATTCCATCGCACCGGGAGACGAGTGAAGAAAAACCGGGTTTTGCTGCGGTGATATAAGTTGTCCAACAGGAGTGAGTATATCATATAGATTTCGGGAGAAAAGAGGATTGCTACATTTCTGAAGGTTGCTTTTTGATCAATGACACTGGGCTCAGAGACACGGTCTAAAGAGAACGTTGGAGCTGGCTAACCTATAATAGTTGATACAACCATCATGCTAAGGAACACAAATTGCGAAACAGCACAAGATGGTTGAAGGGAACGCTCTGGATGAAATAATCTGCTCTCACTTGGTGCATGAACGCATTAAAGTAGGGCTAACTATCAGTAGTGTTATGCACATAACCAAATTCCCCCTAATCAACCAGAACACCCGCAGGGACAATCTAACTACACGTCGCTGACGACGTACTATATCTAAACCTATACCAATGCATACTCGGAATCTACGGCTACCGAGATCCGGCCCCTCTCATTACCAAGCCCTCACGTATGAGTAGAGTGGCGACACTACCGAAACCCCCCAATCTCCAATGACGTGATCCCAAAGCTTGATAGCAACATCGTTATCGGCATCATCATCCCACACCACGTAATGAGGGGGTGGAGTCGATCCCATCCACCCATAATCCACCGGATCGGATACCATGGTATAGACCCTATCTGAGAGGAGGATCAGAGAAAGCCAGCAAGTTTGTTACGTATGTCGCCCTTGCCGAGAAGTTGCACGAAATCCTGGCCCCCGATTGGGCTGAGGTCTGGTTGCGCAATAGCACATCACCGACTGACTGCTGGAACATGTGAATCGTGCGATAACGGCTGTGCGTATTTGGCGTGCATAAATACCTTCCGTAGAAGAACGCAGTAATATTCTTGCTTTTCCATGTCTCGATCCTGAACTTGTTTTGGCATTTTATAAAGAGAGCCGTGATCTCCTCCAAGTGTAGAATACCCTGAATTGATATCCTGTATACCTCAAAAGGTTTGAATCATCATGGCTCCTTCAGCAACCACCACCTTGACCGAGACGGAGGCGGTCCCGCAAGCCCTGAAGACACCAAAGTATTTTGGTCTATACAAGGAGCTCAACCGATATGAGATTCAGAAAGAAGTCGAACTAGAAGGAAAGGACGGATTTGAAGCTGCCAAAGTAAGCACCATGTACCAACCCAAGGTTTATATGTCGATCTAACCCACGTCGAAGTACCCCCACTACCTCCCCACTTGGAACCCGGAGCAAAGATACGGACCTCTGCAACCTTTCGAGCACTACGAGCACGGGAAGGACGCAGACACATCATACCCTGAGCTTCTTCCCGAAGCAGCCGCAGTTACCCACCTGACCCCCACCATCGGGACCGAGGTCAGAGGAGTGCAGCTCAGCTCTCTAAGCAATGCCGGCAAAGACCAACTCGCGCGCTTCGTAGCCGAGCGCAAGGTCGTCGCATTCCGCGGCCAGGATTTTGCCGACCTTTCCATCCAAAGGGCTTTGGACTTCGGAGCATACTTCGGCCGTCACCACATCCATCCGACATCGGGCTCGCCAGAAGGATACCCCGAGATTCATCTCGTGCATCGGGGCGCGGGGGACAAGTCGGGCGCCCAGTTCTTCGCGACGCGAACTAGCTCGGTGGCGTGGCACTCAGACGTGTCGTACGAAAAGCAGCCGCCGGGCACGACTTTTCTCTACATTCTCGATAAGCCTGAGACTGGTGGTGACACCTTGTTCGTCAATGGGGTCGAGGCCTACAACAGACTCAGCCCTCTGTTCCAAGAGCGGTTGCATGGTTTGAAGGCGACGCACTCGGGTATTGAGCAAGTGGCCGCGGCTGTTGCGAGGGGAAGCATCAACCGCCGAGATCCGGTAGTGAGCGAGCACCCGATTGTTCGCACGCATCCTGCGACGGGGGAGAAGGCGCTATATGTGAACCCTCAGTTCACCAGAGATATTGTCGGGATGAAGAAAGAGGAGTCTGACGCTCTTCTCAAATTCCTGTACGACCACCTCGCATACGGAGCTGATTTCCAAGCACGGGTCAAGTGGGAAGAGGGGACAGTTGTTGTTTGGGATAATCGGGTTACCCAGCATTCAGCGCTGGTCGACTGGAAGGACGGGGGACGGAGACATTTGGCCCGAATCACACCACAGGCTGAGCGACCGTATGAGACGGCATTCTGATGATATAATCAAATGTATGCATAGTCAAAATCCAGGGATGAAATCATTCGCTGGCGTTGTTGTGCTGGTCTTGCTGGTGAATTTTGCCCGCCGCTCGCGGGCTCTACGCTGTAGCACTCTGTTTTTAACATTGAATATGTCTCCATCCGAGTCGTCAGATGGCTCTGGTTCCTGAAAAGTGACGGCGGTTTCCGCAGGCTTTGCTGGAGAGGTAGTCGGTAGGGGAGCTGGGAGCTTGGTCCATGCTTTGACAGCGACCGGCCGTGTCGCAGATGAAGTCGCTACAGGAGCTGGGAGCTCAGTCGATCGAGGGACTGAGACTGGTGGCCTTGTCGTGCGTGGTGTAGTTGAGATGGTTCTTCGTACCGATGCATCCATGTCGTCATCGTCATCATCTACATCAAAGATGTGGTATTTGTGCGCGGTCTTGGCTGGACCGCTGGTGGAGCGGGCATCTAAGACTGATCGATACTGCGCTTGTGAACTTCGACTACGAGAGGCTGGCCTACCAAAGCCAGCTGCGGCGCGTGTCGTGGTAGATATCGCCGTGATATCGTCAAGCAGGCGCGTTGCTTGCTTGCGCGGGCTTTCCATCAATCCAAACAAGGCAGTACTGTGGAGGCGGCTGTTCCCTTCATCACTGCTGTCGTGAGCTTTCCGCTTGGCCTCTCTCGTGGCTTTTCTCTGCTTTTCCAGGAGCGATTTCCGCTCTTGCTTTCGTCGGACGAGGTCGGTCATTCCCATGGTGACAGGCCGCAATATGTCTCTGATGGTGGCGGCATTACTAGACTTAGCAGCCTCTTTGAGCCTCTGATACTCGGCAGCATGCAAGTGCGCCGTGAATCTCTGAGCCGTTGCGAAGAACTCATCTTCAACCATGCGATACTGATCATCTTCGTCGAAACCTTCAATCATGAAACTAGGATAGTCAGCGATGAACGAGTTGGCATATGTGGCAGTCAGCTGCACTTACCTCTCTTGTAGGGGTTCTGGTGGCGGGGATGTGGATGCGGAGCGATCTAGCGGGTCAGTTGGAGTGAGCAGTTGATGAACCCAGCTCACTGAGAAATAAGGGTACTCACGAAGAGATCTTCTGAACGGCTTCTTGATCGCAGCAGCTGACGATAGGGATTCTTTACTCTCTCGCCCAGACTTGACTTCGTCCTTTGGTCGTCGGTTCGCGGCGGGTGTCAGACTCAGCCGGGCAGAGCTCGAGGTTGATGGGGACGCGACGAAAGCACCATCTCGCTTCCACGGCAGTTTGCGCGTCATGGCGTCACCAGCGATCCTGTAGCAAAATAATTCGATACATGCATTATCTTTAGATAACTTATGAAGACAGCAAGGGGTAGATTGGCGAAGGCAAATTGGTTGGGAAGCATTGCAAAGCTTGAAAGGACTTGTTTGAAAGCCTTAGAGTTGCACCTCAGATGCCCCAGACTTTCGGGTCGTCCGTGCGCATACAAAGGATTAAAGCTGCGAAAGATGCCGCTGGTCTCGGCTTGGGTACTTCATTAGGGCTGAAGGCAACATCATATCAAGCACCAGCTGGAGATTGATGCACGTCGTGATGTGCTGTGTGGCCAGGGAAGGTGGCTGCATTGATTATGCCCAGCACTTTGGGTCCTATAGAATGGCCCGAGCCTTAACCGCTCCCTAACCGTCCTCCCCTTCCCGCCCGCCATCTAGCAGCCCCAAAGCAAATCCTCCGTAGTTCCTTCCCCAACATTACCTCGACAACAGGGCCCGATCCAAACTGCCAACAGAAAACCCCTGAGAACAACCAGAAGCGTGTAGCGCGTTCTTATGTAAGTGCTTTCTACTGTCTTGCCGCCAAATCCCGCGAGCTACCGGGCACATCTCCAGAAATTGGAAATCGGACTGATGCATATCTAGTAAGCACATTATTTGATAGAAACAACCCACCAATTGGAATCGCACGGCTCAGAAGATGAACGCGTCCATTTTTGCATATCGACCTCGATCGTTGAGATCCATCCCCAGCGAATGGCAAGTCAACTAGAGAGAAGTCTTTGCTAGGCAAGAGAGGTGTCTTTTCATTGGAAGGTAAACGTTTATAGTGCAGTGGTTCTGTGCTGAATGTGCGAAATAGTCTAGTAAGAAGGCTTTTTGTGTGTGCGAATCCTAAGCGTTTAGAGACGAGAGAACGACGAAGAGGAAAGGAGAGTAGCGAAGGAGGATGGGAGAAAGAACATGCATCTATAGTATTAGGAGAAATCACCTGAGCGGGGCCTTCACTATTCGTGAATTTCTTGATACTTGACAACTTTTTTCGGTCAGCACGAGTGAACTGTATACCAGCTCTATCAACTATGGACCCTCTTACTGAAATACTTGACTAAGGGTAATGTGGCTTTATTAACTTTTTTTTCGCCTTGATACTGACCAAGCCATTATGCCAATAAAGGGTTCTGTTCGATGGAAGGACAGAAGATGGTATTTACTTGCAACATAGCTGAGTGATGGCAGCTGGATTTTTTTCAGTCCTGGATCTTTTGTAAGTGCACAAATTTCCCCTAAGCGTTCAATATTTTGACTGGCCCACGTGCTCATATTTTGGTGAAGATCAAACACTAGGCGTAAGGATTGACCTAACCCATGTCTCTGACATTTGACGTTGAAATCAAGACCGTTGGAACGAGTGATGCAGGCATATGCGGTTTTCTTGTTATTACCTTCAAGACCCGCCTACCCAGGTACCAGCTCAGTGAAAGCGTCTATAAAATAATAATTTTACTACAGAACCAGTGGAATTGTGCCATCTTTGATTGACTGTACACCGGCCTCCGGCGGCTGGACAGCGCTTGGCCATATGCATCAGAGTTTGAGTTTTGAACGCCAGTTTATCAGATGAAATTCTAGGCGCCGAGGTAGATCAGAACACAAGAAAATACTAGTTAAAATCCAGGCAGTGAGGGCAATTTTGAATCCACTAGCTGGTGTAGATAACTGTTACGTCAGATCCTGTCTGAACGTGGTCACTGTAGGCCAAGAGAAAGTGATCACAGAGATGTGAGTTATGCAACATTTCGAGCATGCCATAAATAACGACGGCGATGCCGGCTGATGTGGGACTGCGAGTGAGTACCATGCTATTGTGAATTCATTCTTAATCAAGGCCAAGTCGTAAATTGCCTTGAAGATTTAGTATTATGAAACCCAAATGGTATATGCCCAGTCCCTAAATAACCAACCAATGGCAGAATGTATCAAGAGAGGGCATTTGCTCTCATTGGTCGCACAGCCAGAGATGTCAGGTCAGAACACACCTTCCCTGCCCTGCCCTTTCCAAGCCGGTGGTTCTAAAATCATCCGCGTCAGCTACTGAGTAACATCGCCAGCCACTACCCTCTCACCAGCTTTCTCTCTGTCCCTCGTCTCCTTCTTCTCCGCTTCCCTAATCATCTTCAGCCGACTATCCTCCCGCCACTTCGGCCCATGCCTCTGAATAACCCAAAGACTCGGCGAGAAGACCGCAAAAAACAACGCAATTAACGTGTAGGCCCACCCCCGTCCAATAGCCTGGATAATATCCTCAATGACAGTCGTAGCCACGGCCCCAAACAGACACCGCACCAAATTATTCGCAGCCGTAGCCGTCGCCGGCGCATGAGGGTACAAGTCCACAATGAGCGTATTTAACACCTGAAAACTACCCGTAATAGTAAGCCCAATGAAGAGCGTCATCGCCAGCGGGATAGCAACGTGGACTTCCTGGTCCAGCGCCCAACCAAAGCCGATGTATGCGACAGTGCCGACGGCGACGAGTGGGTAGATGAGCTGGATGCGGACGCGCTCAATGGGGAAGCCCTCGAGGTTGTCGCCTCTCTTGCGGTCGATCTTAAAACCGATCTTTTTGGCGATGCGGCGGTAGTTCCAGTCGAGGATGAAGCCCTGTGTCACAGAGGAGATCATGCAGGCGATGCCCATGGGGAGGTAGCATAGGCCGAGTTGTAGGTCGTTGTAATGGTAGATGTCTTTGAACTGCGAGGACATGGTAGCGGTGACGATCATGAACCCGATGTAGAGCATTGCATTGTACAGTAGTACTACGGCCATGCCCTTGTTCATTAGAACCGCGAGCGTTTTTAAGGGATTAGGAATGGGGAATTTCTGTTTCGGCCGCGCCACTGATCGATTCTGAGATTGGTTGCGGAACCTGATGTAGTCTAGTAGGGTCGTGTTCCAGCCCTGCGGGGGGGTTGAACCATTCCCAACGACCTGGCGCCCTGTCTCCGGGACGGCCAGGATATACGGGACCATCCACAAGGCTGTGACGATAGTGAGAAACCAGAATATCGACGCCCAACCGAGGTACTGCGTCAGCAGTCCACCGATCGTTGGACCTAACGCTGGACCGATCGTAATTCCCCCTCCAACTATTCCCATCCATTTGCCCCTCTCCGAACTCGGGGCAATGTCAGCAACGACCGCATAGACGAGCGCAATCGTACCACTACTTCCACCGCTCTGCAAGGCGCGCAGGACCAGCAACGCGGCAAAGTTCCTCTGAAGTGCCAGTCCGATGTTGGCTCCCAGGTATATCGTGAAAGCAATGATGAAAGCTGGCCGCCTGCCCGCGACATCGCCCAAGTCCCCGAAAATTGTAGGTGCTAACCCTTGAAACACCATGTAGGTCGTTAACGAAAGGTTTATCTTGTTAGTGGAAATCCCAAGGTCTGTGGCCATCGCTGGCATGGCCGGGAAGTAGATGTTGGCCGTCATGGGTGACATGAAAGCCGACCAGAAGTTCATGGCCACAATCCACCAGATCATGTGCCTGGAGAAGACGGTGTACGCCGGCCCACTGGAGACACGGGAGACCGTCGCCTCCAACTCCCGTGGTTCGCGGCCGCCGATTTCATCTTGTTCACTCCCATTGTCATCATGTCCGAGGCCGTCGGGATGGTGGCTAGACGATCCGCTGGATCTGGTGGGGCTTAGATTCGGGCTTAAACCCGGGGGGCTTGAAGACGGCGAGGGTTCAGCAACTGCTTTGCCTTCGTAGCCATTTACAAGGCCAATTTTCCTCTCGCTGTCATACATCGAGATGTAAAAGCAGGGGCGAGAAAGCCATTGGAGGTAAAAAGAGAAAAACAGACGAAAGAGTCGGTGATAAGAAGCTCCATGATATTGGTCTAGTGGGAACGAGATCGGACCTGGTGCTATGGTAAGAGAGAAGTCGACCATTGAAGACATGCTGATTTGGCGTTATTCCCGGTAGTCGAGACCCACTGCGAGCGGGTATATCGGCTTTGTTCCCATCGTCGGTTCATCATCTGCCACGTCGGGCACGGCTACTAATCACCTAACCTAGAAACTGCAATATGCATGCTGTATGATGTGCTAAGCGAGGGACAGCCATTGAAACTGTTTTTAGTGATAAGTTTGTTCCGTAAAGCTCCTTGAGGGCTACACATATGTACACACCAGACATAGGACGGTGACTCAACTTCGAAGTTGCGTTCCTGGATGGAACACAAGGTAGGTGTCATTTAGCAGGACATAAGGATGGATCGTTTCAAATGAAAGATCTAAATGACAGCATGTGAGGATAAAATGAGTGAGAATCTTAAGGGAAATAGTAAGGTATTTAAGACCGTGTTGATGAGTTCGCGATGAAGTTAACGTGATATCGAAGCTGGGAATGACTAAGGAAGACACAAGCCACATGTGGCTGCACAGACGTCAGTGTGCAACTTGCTGTCCTTGTTGCCAGCAAGCTCCATAGAAGCCAAGAGTTTGTTGACAGCTTCGCTTGATGCCACACTGGACTCGGCACCAACGACCAATTTTATTTCTGCCTGCTGTGATCAACATGCGTTTTTGACACCCTAAACATAATGACGGACATCACGCCCTTATTTAATGGCTTCCTCAAGCAGCACGAAACCCCTGCCACCAAACAGAGCTTCAGCGTGGACAGCCTGGACGACTTCCTCAAGGAGGCATACAGGATAAACGCCCACATATCCTCGCTCCACCTCGAGCTGCGCAATATCCGCCAATCCTATCTGTCCACCGCGCAACCCCGAAGAAACTTCATCCGCCCAGCCCAACATGACCGGCAGCGACCCCTCACCGACCAAGAGCGCGAGGAAATCGACGCGAACTCGAAGCAAATGCTGCGCGAGCTCAACGCAAGCATTCGTACCCTCTCAGATGCCGAGTCGCTGCGTCGCGAGACGGAAACGACCCTGACCAGGAAGAAGTTCGCTGGCGGTCTGGGAGCCCTGGGGTCTTGGGCAGCTGGTGGAGGTGCGATTAGCAAGAGTGCGGAACAGTCTGCAGCTGAGGACCGGGCGAACACAATTAATACACATAGAGAGAGCGTGCTATGGACACTGAGGCAGCGGCTGCAGGAGTGCGTTGGGACGCAGCAGAACATGATGGAGGTCCGGCTGAAGCGGGAGATGGAGAAGAACCAGAGTGTTTTGGCCAAGGCTAGGGGTGCGGAGGCAGCATCTCTGGGCTCGCTGCAGGAGCCTGGTAGCCCTTCTAGTTCCTCCAAGAGGAAGGCTTCCGAGTCCCTTCCGCCATGGGAGAGTCAGACGTATAATCCTGCGGACGATTTGACGGAGGAGCAGGTGCAGATTTTTATGAAGGAGAACAACGACATGTTGAAGCACTACGAAAGCACATTGGATCAAGTCAGGTATGCTCAGCCGTGCCGTGTTTTATTATTAAACATGCAGCTGATGTATTTCACAGGACCGCAGAGAAGTCACTCATTGAAATTTCCGAGCTCCAAACCCAGCTGGTCAACAATCTGGCAACTCAATCGGCTCACATAGAGCAGCTCGTTGCGGACTCTTTCAAGACGACTGAAAACGTAGAAGGGGGAAACAAGCAGTTGAAGCAGGCCACCAAGAAGACAAGCACGGCCAAACTGACGTTTTATGCCACTTGTGGGGTATGCAGCTTCTTGATACTGTGGGACTTGGTAATATGAATGCCCGAAGTGGATGTCGTCTACTTTGGTTTGAAGATCACTTGCACATACGAATTAGGAGACCTTGACATGTGAATTATTGTCTGATTCAATCCAGCCTGCCATCACATGCTACACTTCTGTGTTTTGCAGTCGACTTACAAAATTCTTTACTATGTAAAATAGCTCATTGTGTAGGGCATGTTACGTTATCTATAGGAAATGCCAAAGCGACGCGAGCGAACTGTATGATAAGGTAGATGGGTCATTGAGTGGTCTCATAGGGTTTGTGCACAACTTAGTTATATTATTGTCCATTCATGCTCAGTTGCCCTGGAAAGCTGGGGAATAGAGAAAATAATGCCGTTGAGGTGGGAATCCGGGGTAGCGCTCGGCAAACTCCTCCAACAACCTCGGCCCAGAGATCATCGACGGTTCAGCGGCTCAGCGGAAGAAAGGCCCCTACCTCATGATGCATAACGACATTTAAGGCCCATACAAATTCGCTGCTTCAGGTTTCAGTCGCAGTTATCTCTCTGTTCTTTCCCCCTACGATGAAACCGTATCCACAACGGCTATATCCTCATCAGCCCATTGTTTGTCACCAATCCGCAGCAATCAAGAGCACGCCTTATCAAGTTAGTTACCTTGATTAGATAGTAACACCTGCACAAATCCAAGTACCTTTACCCCGCCATTAGCTAGATCACATACCCCTGCTGTTTGCCTGCGCCCCCCCCCGACGTGCCCCGCCAACCCACCGCTCCTTCCTGACCTATCGTATTGAAGGGGATTCGTGAAATCACATCCACCTGCCGCTTTCCTGCAGTCCGCCAGCCCAGCCAAGCCGTGACGGACGTAACGATTCGCAATTTGTTGGGAGGTTCTCCTTTTGGAAAAAACAACATGCCATTCGACCCTTCCTACCACGCAGATTCAGTACGCAGAGTCAAAAGCATAGCCAGACAGATGTCGCCTCCAGCAGCAACCAGCTTCACGGCCGAGCTCGTGCCCCAGGCCCCTGAGGATGCTCTCTTCGGCTTGGCAAGAGCTTACAGAGCGGATGAGGATCCGAACAAGGTCGATCTGGTGAGCTGACCTTGGATTCAGTCTCGTGCGACACATTTACTGACTGAAGTCTAGGGCATTGGAGCGTACCGCGACGATAGCGCGAAGCCTTGGGTATTGCCCGTGGTCAAGAAGGTATAATTGATATTCACTGGCTAGTCGCATTCTATCTGCTACACTCTTGAAGCATCCCCATCGCCATTGTGTAAGTTTGATGGCTCGGTTTGCTCACCACTTCTTGCACACAGGCAGACGAGATCCTCCGCAACGACCCCGAGCTCAATCACGAATATGCGCCCATTGCCGGCATCGCGTCTTTCACTAGCAAGGCCGCTGAGCTGATTCTCGGCGGTCCTGACTCGCCTGCCATCAAGGAGAAGCGAGTTACATCGATGCAGACTATCTCCGGCACAGGAGCTGTACACCTGGGGGCCCTTTTCCTGGCCAAATTCTTTCCCGGCACCAAGAAGGTCTATCTCTCGAATCCGACCTGGGCCAACCACAACCAGATCTTCAGCAATGTCAGCCTGCCCATTGCTCAATATCCCTACTTCTCCAAGGAGACCAAGGGCCTGGACTTCGAGGGCATGAAGGCCGCCATTCACGGGGCCCCCGACCGCTCTATCATTCTCCTCCACGCCTGCGCGCACAACCCAACCGGTGTCGATCCCACATTGGAGCAATGGAAGGAGATCGCCGCTGCCATGCGCGCCAAGGATCACTTTCCCTTCTTCGACTGCGCATACCAGGGCTTCGCATCCGGTGACCTAATGAAGGATAACGCAGCGGTGCGATACTTCGTCGAGCAGGGCTTCGAGCTAGTCATCGCTCAAAGCTTCGCCAAAAACTTCGGCCTCTATGGTGAGCGAGCCGGCTGCTTCCACGTGGTCACCGGCCCTGCGCCTGATGCCCAGGCGACAATCTCCCGCATCGCGTCTCAACTTGCCATTCTCCAGCGGTCAGAGATCTCAAACCCCCCGCTGTACGGTGCCCGTATTGCAAGCACCGTGCTCAATGACCCCAAGCTGTTCGCCGAGTGGGAGGAGAACCTGCGCACCATGTCAGGCCGCATCATCAGCATGCGCACGGCGCTGCGGTCGAAGCTGGAGGAGCTGGGCACCCCGGGATCCTGGAACCACATCACGGATCAGATCGGTATGTTCAGCTTTACGGGCTTAACCGAAGCGCAGGTGATGAAGCTGCGTGAGGATGCGCACGTTTACATGACGAAGAATGGGCGCATCAGCATGGCTGGACTTAATACCCGGAATGTCGAGTACTTTGCCAAGGCGGTTGATAAGGTTGTTCGGGAGGCGCAAGGCGTTTAATTATCTCTGTACACCAGGATTTCAACATGGGATAGTAGCTGGCTGACGCAACAGAGAAGCTTAGACTGGCTGGATTAAACATTTTCTCTCGTAGTCACGAGGGTCAAATCATGCTGCACATGTAATTAGATGAATGGAAAACGAGACGATTGTGTGAATCGAGACTGCATCTTGGAGTGCGTGCTTCGTAATAATGACCGAAAAGACACTGTTCGGTGTGCTACTCAGATCCTGCCGACACTTAAGGCTTCTGACTATACGACACCATATGTTGGCTCATATTTTATGGACTATGCTGGTTTATACGTAAGGTGTTGACTCTTTTTGGCCTCAATTCTACAACTCATCATTCCACCCAACTCCAGGACAATGCCAACTTATCCGTTCATTGTTGCCACTTTTTCATCCATAGTCGTACATCTTCTGACAGGAAGGCAGATTTGTTTGAGCCATGATGATCTTCCCTTCCTCTAATTGAGCCTTCGCAAAGGCGGTAGCACCAGCCAGCATTAACCTGGTAGCATCCGGAAGAGTCAAAAGGATGATAAAATGAACTGCATCAAACTGTAGAACAGTGTGAGAAGCTTTCTCTGAGTTGACCAATCTACCTTGTGCACATTTTCGCATTTTCGACCGCGCTGTCAGAGAACAGAATGCCATAGGCACCGGTGGGACACCGGTGGGACACCGGTGGGGCTCTGGTGTAGGGACGTGCGAGTCATGACACGATATGGAAGTCTTGGTTTGCGGAACAATCGGAGAAACTAGTGCTCCGCGGCTCCGACACCGGGTTCTAGCTATCTATGTAAGGGGCGGAGGCCCGGGAAGAAGATAGAGAAAGTAGAGATCAATGCATCATCGTGGGCACCCCTACCTGAGACCGCCAGTGACCACCCGGTGCTACGTAGGAGGGACGCCCGTTACTCCCCATCACTCTGTACTATTGCCTTCGGCCTAGCCGTACCCTGACACGCGCCTTTTCCAACCCGCATTCTCGACACGCCCGCCATCTTTCAGCTTCGGCCCTTTTACATATTGTGCCACTGCCCATAGTCAACTGTATCCTACCTATAAACAACGACAATGGAGTAATCCTCTGCGCGTAATGGATGACTGGAAAAGGTAAGAAGGCTCCATTTCCCAGGAGCAATGGCTCGAAGAGCTTGTGTCTACCTTTACATGATAATCGATATTAAGTTCATGCCAACAGCGTCTTCCAGTCGAAGACATTCACATTAATCGTCAGCCCCGAGAAGCAGGAGTTCGTGGTTCACTCTGAATCCATCACTAAGCTCTCACCGTACTTCAACACCCTGATCAATGGGGAAATGGCAGAAGCGAGGAAGGGCGAGGTGGTTGGGGATGATACGGACATGATGACCTTCGGTTGCCTCATTAAAGTCGCGTATTATGGCGATTAAAACCTCAAGACTATTCAGACAGCCGAGCTTGAGCATGACAGCGAGGTCCAATTTGACGAAGACCCATATGGCAACGACACTACGAGTGAAGGGGAATGTGAAGATGAGACAAAGGTTGCCACAAATGGATTTTATACTGAGATCAAATATCGCATTGGATCCATATCGACTCTCTCGCTATATGAAGACGCCAAGGCAATGGAAGACAATATGTAGACTGAAGTAGTCAACTTTCAAACTCTACTGCACTTCATCGAAGACTACGATGAGTTATCAGCTGGGAAAAACTTCGCCCCCACAACAGAGGAGATCACCAAAGAGTTTCTATAGTCACCTCCGAGTTTATGTTGTAGCTGATAAATACTGCATTGATTCCCTCAAGACGTTCGCCTTGTGCAAGCTGCAACGATCACTTCCCCGCATGAACTTCACATTTCATGGAGCGGGCTGGATGGCGGAGATCATACGGGCGGCATATGAGAGCACGATGGCGAATGACCCTTTGTGCAGACTTCTGGAATGCTACGCGGCCTGCGTGTACCCCGCCTGCCTCCATCACCCAGATTTCGCCCAAGTCCTGGAAGACCATGGCGAGCTTTCAGTGGGTGTCCTGAGACAGTTGACACACCCCTTCTAGAACGAACCAAACAAGACTCGGGAAGAATCAAAGAAGTGACGAGCGTTTTCCATGAGGCCTGTCGGAGGATATTTGCAAATGAGGACGAATCATTGACGCATTAGACGTATGTTCGCCTCGTTTTGTCTCATCGACTTCACCACGGCGGGGATATAAAAGCATCAAAATAGCTCTATGAACGATACTGACTTTTGATGACAACTGGCGCGGATCGCTCGCACTTGTTTATAGTTCTTTAATGTCAAAAATGATCGAAACGCTCGTTTTCCTCCATCAAATTTACCTGCCTAAGCCCTAGGCTTAAGGATAACTCTCCAGTGCTCAGGAAAGAATTGCATCGCGATGTGCTGCCTCATCAGATCTCGAAAGGAGATTTGCGGCCAACATCCTCATCTCAGCCCAAGCAAAGCTTCAGAAAACGTGTTACTACCGACGTTTTGGTCAGAATTTTGGTTGGAGGTCCTTACTTGATGCTATGCACGAATTCTTGCCTTCATTGAAGGGGGTGGGGGTAATATGCATTCATACTATTCTTAGTCAGCCATATCATCATCCACATCAAGTCAGCATCACTTACTTCATAGTAGGCGCCATCTCCCTCTTCGCCTTAGATAGCAAGTCAAACTTGATGTCCTAGCCTATTAATCTGAAGAAAATCTTGACGTAGACGGTCAGGTTGCTTGTTGAGTCCATCAAAGATGGAGCCCGGGACGAAGTCTAAACTTTCTCATCTACGCCTTCTGCAAAAGAGCTGTTCGGGTTGGTCTATCCAAGCCCTTTGCCAAATGAGGATTATTCTATGTTATGGCATTGCGTGTTCATTGAGGATACAAAACGATATTCAGGGTAACTCGCGTATCAAGTGCAACATTGTGGAAGTCATCTATCAAGCTTGCCTCGATTCCATTCTCGCAAGCGGAAATAGGATCGAGTGGTATCTGATTCTGGTACTTGTTGAGCAAGTTTTGCACGGTGCCCTTGAAAAATGCCTCCATATCGTCGACGTAAGCAATGGTGAAAGCAGGAGACATGAATATCTTTAGACGTTTGTGCCGCTCATTTCGACTTCGTGAAGCAAAATAAAATGTTCGCTCATTTAAAACCTCTTAAGTTAGCCCGACACCGAGAAAGAGGGAGTGAACGTACATCTCACCAAACAAACCCTGGCTGATAAATTCAGCATACATAGCCACCTTGGGCAAGTCGGTTGGACCAAAATCTTCTTCATCGCCTCCTTATCGGCTCCCCAGACCTGGCGGAGTCCCGGCCGGAAATGGGGCCATGTTCCCTTTTGCTATTATCTACCAGTTTCCAGATTATGCCGGTTATAAAAAGTCACTGCAGATGCATCGTTGTCCAAGGAGGGTGCGATGGCTCCAGGAACTTTTCGAAGGGGTGATCTGAGGGCTGTTATTTTTGTGCTGGACTTATTTGGCGATGAGTAACAAGACCACGGCACATGCCACAACGAATTGAAAATTGGCGGCTGAAAACAGAGGAGCGCGCTCCTGAACCCCGTCTATTGAGTATTCTCTGAAATAAAGATAATAAGATGGAATGAGAGAGTGTGGTGATATTCTAGTGCAGAATGGTATTTGTATCTCTCAATAAAAGATACAAGTGAGATAAGAAAGAAGCTGCAGAACAGCTGTGTTGTTTCGATAGTGCGTTGTGAGGTATGCTAACAAGTGAGGAGTCACGAGGGTTATACAGTTATGATCAGCAATCTAAGCATCCTGTTGGACCAAATTGACCGTCAAAAGACGAGGGATCCACTCGCTGTAGAATGAGGTATTTTTGGTAGTTATAAGGTCTGACACATCCCGTAGGTCACAGCCAGGTGAATATTGTATGCAGATATGACCACAGGCCACTCGTTGGGCCGTGATCATAAATTACTATACTCAATCGCTCAGACTTCCCTCTCGGTGAGCTTTGAGCTTGCACGCAGACGTAAGCGCACGTGTTTGAGAAATTACTTTTCGATCGTGATTTGCGCTGGTGGAGGCCCACATATTGTATGATACAATGCCTGTATTTTAGGTTCTTCACTGGCCTGGTCTCAAGATTAGTTGAGTCATGTCGTGGCGATCGTCGTTCGTGTTGTTCAGGCCGGAGCACTGGGGCTCAGGCTTAAGTAGGTGGGGCGGGCTTTTGAACGTTGGACATATTTATGGACTGCATGGACTGCTGAGTCGAAATCTCTGTGTCTATACGAAGTATTCCCAGATAGGGTTTATGAATAGAATTCAAATCAGATTGGTATGCATCTGATGGCTCCAGAATAATGTTTTAGGGAGTTCTCATCTGGTGTATTTTTCTCGCTTAGGCATAGCCATGGTCTACCCTATAAAGGGCCTCCACTCCCCATGGACCCCGTTATTCAATCCCTTCACCGCCTATATTGTGACTGGATTATACCCACAATATATAAACTAGAAACTGGCTTCTGTTGCTAATCCTATGATACGCTGAGGGCACGCATTATAAGCAAGTCGTTTCGTGCCAACGCTTGCGACTCTAATTGTGGCCACTTTCCAAGTGAATAGATACGACGATACAAGAAAGGAGAAGGAAGGTGCTGAGTTGTCATTTTTTTCCATTGTTTTAATTACCTTGCAAGGCCCTTGTCGGGGGGAGAGAAGCAGAGCAAGAGAGGGGTAGCAGATAATTTCACAAGCCAATAACGAAGACGTTCACACATTCTGCTCGCCGAAGCCATGGTGTTGTCAAATGTTGCAAGCATTAGTAGAGCCAAAAGAATATACGGATTGTGACATGATTACACTCTTTTTGTGTCTACCTTGGGTACGTGAAATAAATTTGTACTTTGCCAGGTAGAAGCCGGAGTTCTGAGAATAAACAGAGATGTGATTCTTGTCAAGTGGACCGGTAGACGACTCACGATGCTCTCCCAGATAAGGACATCCAATGTGGATTGCCCGTATGGACGTCCATGTGGCAGGTTAAAGCAGGATTCTACTCAAACACAAAACAGCGTGGCAGGTCTTTGAAACCCAGCGAGAAGAGCGAATACCACTCGTTGGGTTGGAATCCGCCGTAAAGTAGCTATAAAAAAGACCTGAACTGTGTCATATTATCGTTCATCCCATCAGGCAGACTGGGTGGGAAGAAACCCGCTGAAGAATGGGAGCTCAAATAGCAGCTTGCCATATGGGGTTCTTTTATTTGGTCCATACTCTTCTCTTCTTAGTCCTGGAGACGTCCTGCTGTTTACTACTGACCTTTAAACAGACCAAACAACCATCATCTGATTAGTCTCACGTGCGAACTTAATAGACGGGTTGTACCCATGCCTCTGGAACCGCGCCAAGTACCCAAGGGGGGGGAAGCAACCCAAACCATAACCCATTCTCGAACGGTTCTTCTTGTAATCATGTGCATCCGACGAAATGTAAATAAAAAAAGGCGATGAGTGCACTTCGACGAGAGTTCCACAATGTTAATCTTGCTCAAGATGAAGCCGTCTTCAAGGTGTCATTTTAGTCATACAGCAGCATTGAATCTCATGACTTCAACACCTCACATTCTGCATACACCTTGTAAACCACGAGTATTGTAAAACCTCTTCCCAAATTACCACCAGGGAGACGTCAGACCCCTGTGGCTTGGTAGAGTTTCATTTCAAGATCTGCCCATAATGAATCACGAATCATTTTGCGACGCCAATATATGTTTTACCAACCGAGTCATACTTTGAAGTATATGGATGGCATCATATTCAGGACAACAGGTGAGCAGAACCGATGTAGACGTACAAGCTAAAAGCTGACGCGACACGTAGACACTACATCACACCCCAATTACAATTTGACGAGCTGAAAGCCGTACAAATTTACTGGCAGAATGTTTAAAATGAAGTGGCGTCTTTGCAGGAGATCAAACCGCAAACTTCTTTTACGTCGGTAGTCTATACGGAAGCTTCCTACTCAGGAGTGAGCTAGCGTGGTCCGGATTTATCTTTCGTGGTCTCGCACGTTCGCCCAGATAAGGCACCGTCTTTTTCAACTAATGATTCAGTGAAGCACTCATTGATTTGTACAATTAACAATTCGATGTTCCCTAATTTGTTCCATGTTCTACTTAAAACCAGACCTATGCGCAAACAGCTGTCTCATGTTTAGATCCGGGTTATGTTTCCTCAGCAACGCGAGTGTCTCCTCGAATATATTCTGCTGCGCCTTCTTGCCTTCCGCGGGAAGCACAAGCGGCGAAAGACTTGACGTGTCAGCCTTTATCCTGCCTCACGTTGATCAGGATGAAAGATTCGACGCGTTCCCTGACCTCTTCACAGTCTGTTAGCTGATGTATGAACCGGTTCCCGTGTCAATGTTCTGGACTATTGCATCAGTGAGGCAATGGCCACCCTGGGTGGCCGTCCACGCGAAAAGCTTGTTCGTCTTTATGCTGCTGCTGGCATCTGAGCGATACAGCTCGCTTGCGCATAGTCCCAGGTTCACAACGTTGATATGACTTCATCGCTCCCACTAGTCTTGGTGCGTGCTCAGCTCCCGTAGCCACAGCAGGTTAAGCAGCTTGCGTCTGTCGTACCGCTCTATTTGTGTCCCAAACGAGTCGGACCCGTCCGTGCGTGACTGTATGCTGGGTCTCTTGCGCTCGTCGAACTTTATCCTAAAGTGAATTCCAGAAGCTTAGCAGCTAACTTGGAATAGATTGGTCTACGGACATTACCTGTTGTGCGATTCTGAAGGTCGCCATATATGAATTGGACTCTGCCAAGAAAACCCTGGACCCTCTTCGCTCGCAGACCAAGAAATTGCTTTAGCATTTAACTACTATAAACAACTGAAAATAGAGAAAGTACGATCCCAGCTTAAATTGTGTGAGTATAAGGAGCTGAAGCACCGCATTTTCAGCGTCGCCTCTAAAATATCCTCCAACAGGGCAAGAAAAGGAAAGAAGCTGAGGGGTTTGGTAGCACTAACGTTGTACTGACGAGGTTTCCATCAGCTGTTCCAACTCGTATTTGGGCAGTGGGAGACCTCGACACTCTTCACAAGCACTACTGGAAGCATACTATTGAGAACTGCGAGGTTTGAACGGTAGGGTTAGTTAGAGATGAGGACTGCCAATATCAACTTCTACCTATAATCAGTTAGATATCGTCCTGCTGCTATTCTATTTCTGTAGCCTTTGGGTGATTAGATCTATATACGCTCTAATTCTTTGCAAAACCCTACTTATGCGACAAGATACACATTTAATCGCGGCTAGACAGTACAACACCTTCGTCGAGAACGATATATCCTCTGAGCTTAGTGGCCTCCACTGCTGGTGCGGTCCCCAGGAAACTTATGCAAATCGTTGAGATTTGTGGTCCACGGGTTTTGACCTGAATGAACTTACCTAGATCAGGGGCTCGCAGATAAATTGCATGATGTAAATAGAGAGATGGTACATAGTAATGATCTCCATACTATTAGTTTTGTCCAAGTGTGTGAGGACCTCCTTCACCTACTTCGCGCAGAACTTCCATTCGTGGTCATATCGAGCCTTTTGGATCATAACAGAAACCATAGCAGTGGCCTGGTTATTGAAATCTGTGATCTTTGAGTGAGTTTCAAGTATTATTCCCGCCAGTTTTTGTGTATGTGAGTAAAAAGATGCGAGTTGATGGGCAGGGGAATACCTGCTACCTACTATTACCAAAAAGCCAATAGTTTATTTTTCTTAGAGGACGATTGCTGCTTTTATCAGTCTGAACAATGTGGTTGTTAAGTATTGAGTCGTTGTTCTATTTTGGTATATTGGCGGGATTGCATCACCCCGATGGCAAAACACAATTCGCATTGTTGAACACAAACCTCTAGTACCATTTTTGTGCTGCAAGCAATGAATTTGTTCAGCTAACTCGTCATTGAAGGTCCGGAGCGACTCGACGCATGACTATGAAATACAAATTCTCGCTAGTACCCTTTCGGTCTGATCCGGATACATACCATTGTTGTCCTACCATCTAGATTTTACTAGTCTGAGCAGACGTTGATCCCTTTCGATTTTCCAAGTTAGGAAATCAGCGTCTATTTCCATATGTAGATTGCAAGCATACTTATGGAGAGTCATGCGACTATTCGGGTTGTCGGCCACAGCTACATGTTGACTAGTTAATGTGGAATTGAACGCCACGGTTATGCCCTAGGCCGAAAGCTATGTAGTTCCTGGTGTAAACAGAGGGTCTGACCCTTCCGTCTACATAGAGAGCAAGAGAACCTTAAAAGTTCTATCAACACTAACCTATGCAGCACAACGCGTAGAGCAAGCATAGCGATTAATACAACATCCAGCCAGAGTCATCGACAGAGGGCTGATCCCTCACAACATATGGAATGCAATACTGTCCGCGACAGTTAGCTCGTCCAAGATGACTTAATCACCGACCCCACCTGCCTGTTGATGTGGTAGTAACCGCCTAAGACTTGAAATGGGTGATGAGTCAGCTGTGTAGGTGCTCCGATATAACATTGGTAGTTTCAAACTAGACAGTACCAAGTCATAAGTCAACATGGTACGCCAAGGCGACGAGCCCGCACCATGTCAGTGCCAAGAAACGAAACGGCCAGTACACAGATGATGTAAAGGTGCACAATATGGGAAAGGTGATTTCGCTAATGACTGTAGTAGTGCTGGTATGCATCTTTAAGGTTGAGACTCAATTGAGCACTTAGAACAGCATCGCGCACGGTGAAAGTGACGGAAATAGCTTACACGGTCTATTGTGGTATGTTTCGAAACTATATTTGGTCTGAAGTTGGAGGCGTTTTGCAATTCACTGTAAACACAGGACAAAATTGCTCAGTCGTATTCCCATACATACCACCTGAACATACTATTCGGCCAGGAACGCCTGTTGCTTCTCAACTCCCTCTGCTTATTCAGTTATACTCTCGTTTCCCCTGGTATCCCTAATCCGAAACCCCTCCGGCACCTCCATCCCCATTAAAATCTTCATAACCACCATCGCCGCTGTCCGACTCTTCAACTTTGGCATTCCCTCAATCTCTCCTCTAACCAATCTCCCCCGATGCGCCGACAACTCTGGCGTCAGCCGGGGCGTAACCTCATCTTTCTTCCCCTTAACTAGACAAGCACACCTCCCCCCGTGGTTAATACGGAACTCGGCGGTTTTGTCCAGCTTCACGAAGAATAATCCCCGACATCCTGACTCCAAGTCCGGAAGTATGAACTGCGGGCTGTTGTTGGGGACTTGGCCGTCTTCGAGGATAACGACACCTACTTCGAGGAGCTGTTGGAGTTTGGGGTCGAGAAATGCCGCTTTGGGAGTAAAAGGGGAAGAGTGGAAGGCGGTCGAAACACGACGGGATGCTGGGCTTTGGGGCTGCGGTCGGATCTGCATTTAGGAAGATTAGGATTATTGCTGGGACTTACCTGAGATTTGGAGAGTTGGATGCGATGGTGTGGCATGTGATGATTGGGTTCTAGTTCTGATATATAGACGCTTGGGAATGTTTGTGGCTGATGAGGGAGAACTGCCGATGTACCAAAACGAAAGTTGGTGATCGCGAACAAGCCTACATGTAACGCTCGTGGCAAATCTAAGCTCTTTATGATAAAGCTTGGACAGAGAGGTCTTTTACAACACTAGATTAAGGGCATTGTTACTTGACAACAATGGGTTTAGTCATGTCAATGCGTTGTGCGCCAAAAACGGACATCTTTGTGGTTAGTACGAAGACAAAAGGAACAGAACAATTAACACCGGGCCTGAGTACAGTACTTAACTTGGCTATCTCCAGGGAAGATTATTATCAACTAACAGCAGTGTTATAATGACTGGACTGAGTGGCCAAGCAGTGCCACAACTGCGCATTGCTATATCTCTCCCCCAAGCTATGAATGGTCATATATCGGCAGATTATATGTATCCGGCGACTGTTTGATTTGGCTACATAGACTGCATAAAGCAGCTGTATTCAAATTTTGGTATTGATCCGTGTGGGTTGTTTCTGTGGTTCTGATTCAAAAATACTTGTAGCAGACACGGATATTACTGTCATTATTAAACCACATAACCCAAGCAATAGAGACGTGCTCGGTTCTGAAGACCCGCGTGAAGATTTTAAACCATTACTTCTCTGCCCTAGTTGCCTTGTCAATGTTATTCGAGTTCCCTTGATGATCCTCACTTGTCACGACGGCATTGCGCTACTTCTTAGCCCGTCTCCTGTCCTCCTTCTCCTTCCGCCACCTCACTCCGTTATGCATAATAATCCACAATACTGGCATACCAGAAAGATAGAGCACGCCGAAGATGATAAATGACCATCCGCTTCCAATGCCCTTGATCATGGGCGCGATGACCGCACTGGCCGCGGCGCCGACGAGACAGCGGGCGAGGTTATTGCTCGCAATGGCAGCCCCCGCATGTCCCGGGTTAAGATCAACGATGAGCGTAGTTGCCATGTTGCTGAGTCCTATCATTCCAAAACCTAGTAGAAACAACAGCACGCATAGCACTGCCACATGGGCATGGTACTGGATCGCCCAACCCCAGGGAAGGATAATTAGAATAGAGAAAGCCAGGAACATAATACCGAATTCCAATCTAGCCTTCTCGATGGGAAAGCCTGTCATGTTTTGCTGCTTGCTTCGATCAAAGGGGACGCCCAGTTTCTTGCAGTGCCGGCGGTAGTTCCAACTCATAAGCTTCCCCACAACTACGGCGGCAACCACGGCCCCGCCACTTAGAGGCAAATACATCAATCCAATTGTGAGTTCATCGTAGCCGTATCCGTCGGCAAGCTGTGCGGGCATGGCAGTCGCTATTGCGTAGAAACCCGCAAATATGATGCTGCCATAGCCCAGAAGCAGGAACATTTCGAGCTCGAAAAGAATTTGAAGACTGCGAAGGGGGTTGGGCGGGCGAAGGCGAAGGCGATGCTTCGTGGACACCTGAGAAGTTGCAGGATGGAGAGCCAAATCGGTAGGGTTCTTCCTGGCGCGTCTCACTCGCAGGCCATCTTTTGTAAGCTGCCAAAAGGAGCGGTAAAACGGATGTGGTCGAATAGACCCATTGCCCACAATATTTCGGCAGGTTTCCGGCATGAAGAAGGCGTAGAGAATACATACGACACCCGCCAAAATGGTGAGTAGCCAGAATATCCAACGCCATCCTAGAAACTGTGAGATCAGGCCGCCGACGACTGGACCCAGGGCGGGGGCAAGGATAATAGGCACTGCGGTGAAACCGACATAATTTCCACGTTCAGCTGACGTGATAGTATCCCCAACCACGGCTTGACAGAGGGCAACTGTTGTGCTGGAACCAGCAGATTGCACCATTCGCAGGATTAATAGGGCAACGTAGTTTGGTGCTAATGCGCAGCCGATGTTGGCTGCGATGTAAATAATAAAGCATATCAGATAGGCCGGCCGTCGTCCAGTGCTGTCGGCGAAGGATCCAATAAACATAGGTGTAATACCTTGGAATATCTGACAACAATCAGAACTGCTTCCGCTAGTCTTGGAAACTGGGGTTTACCATGTAAGTTGTGACTGTCAAGTTGATCTGTGTTATGGACACATTAAAGTCAGTGGCCAGTAGATTCAGGGCCGGAAAGTAAATCTGGGCCGTCAACGGCGAGAAGAATGCGCCAGCAGCGGCGCCCATTACTATGCCGCGTTTCTCCCATTTTGTGAAGACTGTGTAGTTCGGTTGGTCATCCACTACGGCCGGCGCCTCCAAGTTGGCCGAAGAATCAGCAACGGGTGGCCTGTCGTATCCGATCTCATCGCTCTTGCGCTCTCGGGCGGATAAGTAGTTATGGTCATCGCGAGAGAAGTCCGACATGTTGGATGAAGTATTAGGTCAAGCCAACCTGCATGCAAACAGACAAGAAATAATTCAAGATCGAGCATTTTCATTCTTTATATTTTTCTCGGGTATGAGTTCATAGGCACGGCTTCAGGTCCATCATGCAAGTGAAAGAGGTCGGTACTTTGCTTTTGGTAGGTTTCCCAGCGTAGGTCGTGTATCCTTCATAGCGCATATCGGGGCCGAGAACGGCTGTGGCTATTGCCGAAGCGTGCAGCTGCCTTGTCGTCTTCATGCTGAGCCGAACAGGGCGACGCTGATACATGAGTCCCGGGAAAGAAAAAAAAAGGTGCTTACAACTAGTGAAAATGGGTCACATGAGTTCCAAATCATTTCAGAATGTACTACGCAGTACGCAGTAAGCATATGGCATTAGGAGCTAAACCCAAAATTATCCGTCAGTATCGGAACCAAAGATTGTCCGACACGCTCCATTGTTCTAAAGTCGCTGTAGGACAGGGGTGACCTTGATAGAAGGGTATCGACTTGAGCCAGATTGACAGCTGACAGCCCAAAAGGACAGCAGTATCTTGATTCAATTCTCCCTGTAGATACACGAACATTGAAATAACCTTCCCAGGATCCTAGTCCAGGGAATGTCCCCGTCAATTATTCCTTCTCCCACCGAGTCAAACCTCCAAACCATAGGGGACCGGCAAAATGAACACAGCATTCAACAGCGCTCTCAAGCAATCAAACGCCATCCGACGCGATCTCTCGCAAATCCCCTCGCCTCCCACGCCCGCCGCCCTCGGCTCGCTCTCCGCCTCCCTCACGGCGTTCTCGCGCACGATAGAGGACTACAACAACCTAGCCAAGCAAGAACTCGTCGAGGACAAGCAACAAAAAGCGTACGACCGGCTCAAAAACTTCCGCAACGAGCTCGCTGAGTACCGCGAAAGCTACGCCTCGCTCAAGACGCAGCGCGAAGATGCACAACACACGCAGAACCGCGCCGAACTTTTAGGTCGCCGCCCCTTTGCTACTAGCACCCCAGAGAACCCCTATGCCAACTACGGCGCCGGCGTCGACACAGGTGGCGACCCGGACGTCGTGCCCACGAATCGGTATGGCAGTGGGGGTATAGTAGGAGGGGGGCAGATGTCGATGGGTACGGGGGACTACACGAGGGAGAACCACGCGATGCGGGAGCAGAACTTCTTTGCGTCTACCAACAATGCGCTTGATGAGTATATTGCCCGCGGCCAGGCGGTGCTGGGCGACTTGGGAAGCCAGCGCGAGATGATGAAGCATACGCAGAAGAGGTTGTACAGCGTGGCGAATACGTTGGGTATCAGCGGTGATACAATACGTATGGTTGAGCGGAGGGCTAAGGAGGATAAGTGGATTTTCGGGGGTGGAGTGGTGGTATTCTTTTTGTTTTGTTGGGCGTGCATACACTACCTCAGGTAGCCAGTCTGGAGAAGGGCAACGAGGAAATGTTGCGTAAGGAGAGCAAAACAAACACCAAAAACCAAAAAGAAAACGGTGGGCGCACTGCATCTGATACGGACCACGGAAAGAAGTGCGACGGATATATCTCACGATCATAGCGAGGCGTTGGGGACTTGCTTGAATTTAACACCAATTTCTACTGGCCACTTGCACGCTTGCCGGAGCTTATTTTAGTATATCATCTCATGTCATCTCCCCAAAGGGGTATTGGACAAAGGAAGTTTCTCCTCAGCCTCCGCCTTCTCCTTTAGCGAGATCGTGAACAGTACATCCGCTGTCGTCTTCACCTCCACCACCTCTGTCTCGGGCAGAACATGATTACTCGTGCTAACCTGCCGACCCATCTCCGTCGGCCAATCCTCCACATCCCATTCCAGACCCTTGGTACTAATCACGCTCGGCTCCTTGACCGGGATGATACCGACGTATTGCCCAAAGACTTCCTCCGCCTCCCTCCTTCCGCCATCAGCATGCCCAATATCGCGCTCGCGGACGTGTATCCGATGACTCCCCGCCTTGAGCAAGAACGTCAAACTAGCCCCGCTGACGAGGAACAATCTGCCCTCTGCGTACGAAGGCGACGTCTGGAATGCGTACAGGTGGTGCAGTTGGCTCAGTCCCTGGTCCACGCGGCCGCCTAGCCCGCCCATAGCGACGATGTCGATGCTTCTGCCGACATGGGAGTTGCGGATGTGCTGCACGGCCTTGCCGAAGTCAGTCGAGTACTGGTCTGGGTCGTGAATGATTTGCAGCTCGGGACTAGCTTGGGTGAAGTACCGCCTTGCGGTGTCGGAGAGCGAGTCTAGGTCGCCTATGATTACGTCTAGATTGTCCTGGGTTATTGTCAGTGGGAGGAGCAGTGTTCGCAAGTACAGTGGGCTTACGAGGGCGTCGGTCCCTTGGACGTAGCGCTCGCCGGTGCTGTGCAGACGCCGATTTGAATCATAGAGGCGATTTGCGCCGCCGTCTGCAGCGACGCGGTAAGATGCTGTACATAGATTAGCAGTGTCACTCGGATAATCTGATCGGAGTCATACACACCATTCCACCACAGTCGCTTCAATGTATGCAGATCCTTGAGCGCCTGGTTGAGGATGATGAGGGCAAAGCCATGACCTGAGTGGCTCGGAGCCGGTGATGCCGATTTGGCTTGCAGGTTGAGTGCCGGATGCCACACGATTGGCGCATTAGATGACATTGTGATTATTGCGGGCAGATGAATTGGTTTCCCAACCTCCTTTATCTATGAACTCAGCTTGAGTCATACACGCACAACAGATGAGATGCGAACGTTACCGAAATCTCGTATTATGACGTCAGTGATGGCAATGTCTGCAGTACTGTAGAAAAATTTTCGATTGATATATTTCTATATATACAAAAAAGAACCTAGGCGGACAAGCAAATTTACTTCACGCCTAGTCGTGTACTCGTCAGAAGCAAACTCCAGTCTCTCAAGCTCAATTTGAGCCGATTCGGACGCCGGACGTGGAGCTTGATAGTGGGGGGCTTGCCCCTGAAATTCGGTCACAGGTAGGTTAGCCGTATTGGAGTGATGATTGCACAAGTTCTCAGCATTGCCACAGAACATGCAAGTTCACTTGGGTCAATGTTGGTATTTTAATTATTATTATTAAATACGCCGTAGGCTCGAAGCCCCCGGTACCTCTACCAGTACTCCCGTATGTCAAACCGTGCCCTAATGGCTGGACTAAATACATACGCTGCGTCGTCGGTTCGCCCTATTGGCGACTGCGTTGCGTTCACTACCATACTACGTTGGTTCTCAACCTACCAACAAAGTCCCCCCTGAGAAGATCGATGCTATCTGGGCCTTGAAGCTGTCCGACCCGTCCCTAGCAGCCACCTTACAATAGTCCCACTAACTACTGGTTCTCCTGTTGCCGTTGCGAGGTCTCTGCGAGAGTATAGTGGCCGTGGTGCGATAGCGGCCCGTAATCGTTCCCTCGGTCCTTCCAACAGCCCGCAAAAGAGGATTACGTGCTCTGCCGTCTCAGGGGCGTCGCCACAGCGGCATAGCGGCGAGTACACGCCAAAAGTCTCTGTCTTGAATAAGAAGGCTGCTAGTCCTATTTTTTCCGTCCTGATCTGGCACAGCGTAGACGCTTCCAGTCGGTTCATGCCGAAATACTTGCCCCCTTTCGGTATCTGCATCGAAGGGCCCTCCGGTTCCTCAGCGATGGCGCGTCGCTGGCGATCGTGATGCTCTGCTCCGGTGAGCCATCTCTTCCTCCAGTGGCCGAAGAGGGCAGCCGGGACCTCCTTTTCCTCACTCATCCACTCGGAGCCCCGGGCCTCCTTCTCCATAGTGTACCCTGCCGGTCGGAGTAGCTGCGACGCCTGCTTCCTCTTCGCCGGCCTATCCTGCCGGAGTATATGTGACGCTTTAGCGCTCGCGCTGCGAAGCAGATTTCTCTTCCCGCTAAGCCGTAACCGTTCTTCAAACTTAGCAGCCCGGGCACTAAGATAGAGGTCTAGTGGCGGGATTGCTGCTTCTGCTTCCAGGTGGCGAACCGGCGTCGCTTTGTGGGCGCCACAGACTACCCGGAGGCACTCGTTCTGTATCCCCATCAGGCTCTTAGCTGGCCCTGCCGGTTCCTCACTTATAGTATGCCACGCAGTCGCCCCGAAGGCGATCGCGCTACGGATAACCACCGTATATAACAGCCTCGCCCGTATAAGATCGCAGCCCCACGACATATTGACTAGCTTTGTCAGGGCTAGCTTTTGAGTTGCCATTTTTGTTTTAACACGCTCAACATGGGCGTGCCACGTCAGTTTGCGGTCGAACCAGACTCCTAGGAACCTCGCTGAGACTACCGGCGACACTGTGGCGTCCCCAAGGCAGTATAAAAATAATCTGGCTCAAAGCAGTCAAGGAATGTGAGGTATTTCTACCGACAAGAGGTCATACCTTGCCATGTCTGTATTCCTGTTAACTTTATACCTCGGCACCTAAGCGACTACATCCGTCTTCACCAGACTCCATAGTATTTGGGAGTAAATTTTGGTTGGAGTCACAAACAGTGACTGATGCTGAAGCGCTATGTGGCTTCTTAAAATGCAATATAAGAGATATAAGGCTTGCAAGATTGTGGACTTAGGTTCTGCGTTTGCATCATCGTCATTGCTGTAAATACGATCCGTGGACATTAGTACTGATCGTGATTGGTGCCGTTGCCGTATCTTCTTGATATCCTATCCGCTCCTCCGGTTTAAGACCCAGGGTATTTGGTACCCTTTAAACTGAATCTGACTGCTCAGCGCCAGCCCTCGGCCTGGTGCTCATCGACGCTCCCACTCGCACGAAAGATTCCTTGACTTTGGTAAACTCGCCGCCCGAAATCTGTACTCCAGCTTTCTATTCCGTTAGACTCGAGGATATGTCGACCTCTCCAAGATTCACATTCGCAGATCCTATCCCAGTCATAAGACCAGCATCGAGCCACTCTTTAAGCAACTCGATGTCGACGGCTACGCGGGAGTCTACACTGACAAGGGAGATGGGGTAGACACCATAATTCACACCAAGGTCATCCGCAAGATCGACGGAGTACTAGAGAGCTACGAAAGAATGGCGAGTAGTGAAGGCAATGTTAGTACCTATAGAGGAGAATTGTTGTGAAAGAATGGAGGCTAACTGGACTTAATTGAACAGCTGGAAAGACACCGAGTCTACATCTATCAGTCTACCTTGCCCAAATCAGGGACTTTACCAACTCGAGCCCGCGCCCGAGCCCCATCCTTTCGCTCATCCTGTTCGTACCGGGGGAGCCTACCATTCCCCTGTGGCAGTTGCCAATGTCAATACCAATACCACCCAGCCGACCAATGCACCTTCCAACATCAAAAGGTCCAAGGCCAAAACCGAGACCCGAGCACCTGTCTCGCAACAACAGGAAGTTATAGCGAAGTCAAACTCACCACAAATCCGACATTGCAGCCATCTCACAGGCAACAAGCAGTGCCGCGCGGAGGAGCTGGCGGATGGGATTGTCCTGACGAGAAGTAGGATTACTTCGAGTCATTGATTCTTGAGGCTATGCACGATATTCAGGTCTATCAGAGTGAAGAGTGGTATGGTGTTTTGGATGAGCTGGCGAATAATGTGAACAGGGTTGATAAGGGAGTGAGACGATTGCAGAGAGTTTCGTTAGGGATATGAGGTAGACGGGAGTTCAAAAATTTTGAAACGACTAGGACACTAGCTCATGAGGGTATGACCGGGCTGTGTAGGTATGAGGCGTTTAGGAGGAAGCGTACATAGTCCGATGCAAGACCACGGGGGTGGTGAGAATAATCGTGAAGGAATTAAGCAGAGATCTCAGCTACGATGTGTCTTGAAATTCCCGTTTCACTGATAAAAGTCTCTAGGCTCCAAGGTCAAACAGATTAGCAGAATTGTGCCCCAGTATCAGTCAGACGCTGACTCAGAGCAGTAAGCTTCAACTTACCCCAAGCTTGAGATCGAATTTCTGCCTTTTGAACTCGGCAGTGGCTTGTTGAGTTGGAAAATGGATCAATGACCATGACAACTTCAACGAAGCTTCGATCGGCCCGCCGTCGATACTTCGTAGTGTATTAGCGCTAGGGTGGCCCGAGCTCCCTGCAGATGCCGGGAAGTCGGAAGGCGCGTCACCAGCATCAGACTAAAATTTGCGATTTTGGCGACCCGACTAGGGCCCGGTCACATACAATTGCTGCTTACAAACCCTTTAGTGAAGCAATTCTGTGCATCACGACTGATGTACTTTTATACTTTCCTTCTGTCGTCGCTCTTTTAGTTGCGCAGAATCTCTCTTCGCCACACAATGTACCGATCAGCGTTGCGGTCAACGCCGCGGGCAGTCAATGCCCTGCGACAAACCACACTCACCACAGCCGGACGACGATTCGCCTCAACGAAACCCGCAGACAAGAAGAGGAGTTGGAAGGGCACGGGTCTGAGATGGGGTTTAGCTTTTGGCGCTCTGTACTGGTATACCACCAGCCCGGCCTTTGCGGACGAGATAGCACGTATGCGATATTATTCGTTTCCATCCTAACGACAGGATCTCGCAGCTAACAGCTTTCCCTCTTTGCCAGCACAACACATGGCCGCCCCGCCGGTGTTCTCCGACGATGATCTACCGACGGTAGAAGCTGTGATCGAGCAGAAGCGACGAGAAGCCGAGGCCCGTTTAGCAAAAGCAGTGGCGGCACGGGAGGAGGCAACTGCTGCTCCATCTCCCGCAGATTCTGAGGTACCACCCACACAAGATGGCGAGGTGGGCGCTGTAGGAAGCCCCGCGGACTTGGAAGCAGAGGCGGATCAGCAGGGTGCCTTCAACCCTGAGACGGGCGAGATTAACTGGGATTGCCCGTGTCTAGGAGGCATGGCACATGGACCTTGTGGCGAGGAGTTCAAGGCTGCGTTCAGCTGCTTTGTGTACTCCAAGGAGGAGCCAAAGGGAATTGACTGCATTGAGAAGTTCCAGTACGTAGTGATACCAATCACGGGTGGTATTTATTGAATAGGTATGCTAACAAGGGGCAGGCATATGCAAGACTGCTTCCGAGCACACCCCGACGTCTACGGGGAGGAGCTAGCTGATGACGAAGAGGCACCGGCTGAGGGGACGCTGGATGGTGTACTAGAGGCAGGCACCGCGACTGTGAAGACCTTGCCGTCAGAAGGAGAATCTGCACCTTTGGCAACGGACAAGGCTACAAAGGCAAAGACAGACAAGGTTGTGAAGGAGGCGAAAGAGGTGCTGCCAACGAGCTCTCCAGATCAGAAGACGGTGGTGCAATCGACAAGCAAATAAAGCACTAGAACCTGGGGGGAGAGCATTAGAGACATGTACAAAAAAACCTTAAACTGTCAATCTGGCAAGTGGTTTGGCCAGTATAAAGGGTTTGTATTGTATAATTACATGTATTTAACATCTGAGCGTACAATAGACAGCACACCATTCTCTACCAACTACTGGGGTTTTGCTGCAAGATCAACATTCTAGCCAGCCGACAGTTAGATGTGCGCAAAATGGCGTAATGATATACACAACGGTGCGGCGGTTTTGTCGCGTTCAGTCCTTCGCCCTCTTCCGATCCGAACGAAAATGACCTATAACAGATGCGTTGCGTTCTAGAGCACCTACTTAAGCAAGTTGCGCCATGCGCATAGCGAATTGGCCAATGACAGTGTCAAAATATCATCCAGCATCACGAACAGGACCGAATAGAATACCACATCCGGGGTGATGGTATTCGTGGGAGTTCCCAAGACGGGCCGAGTCAGGCACTCGGTTGTCAACCCCGCAGAATTATCCCAGTAGCCAACCGACACACAGCATGTGGAAATCTGGGGTTTGAATCTGGACATCTAATCCTTACCCAAGGCCATGCTTTAAAAAGCTCTTCACCGCTTACCTTAGGTTTATCAATCTCCATTTCACGATGCGAAAGGTGGCTATGGCTCTATTTGAGCATGACGACGTCACACGAAGATAATCGGGCTGATTCCAGCTCACCTGTGAGTGGTGCCGATGGGTTGCAAGTGGCCTACAGACCTCTGTCCAACAGCGGCAAGCCGGCAGCCCAGCGCATGAAGCGAACTCAGGTATCACGAGCATGTGCGCGGTGCAGGCGATTGCAGAAGGGATGCAGCGAGGTGCGACCGTGTCAACGGTGCGTCAAGACGGGTTTGGCGGAACAGTGTCTTGCTAGCGGAATCGCACCACCTCTACAGCCGCCTGCTCGAGAGCACCAACAACATTATGATGCCTACATGATTGGGACACCCGGATCCATCACTTCGCCTTCGTTATCCTCGCTGGATCTGCCAATCACACCGCAAGCTTTTACCAGCTTCGCGCGTGAGTCGTTCCAGCGGCAAATTGACCTTCTCCCCGCAGCTGTCATCGACCACTGCACCGAGCGCTTCTTTGCGCGTCTGCGTCCGACGATACCCATTTTGACACCAGAGTACGTAGCTACTCTACGACGCAGCGTCGCCGAAGCGTCTGAGGCCAGCAACGAAGCTTACTGCGTACTGCTCGGCATGTGCACCATGGTGCTTTTACAGGTCGAGCCGCCAGAGTCCCGACCCGTTGGATCGGGAGACCGCATTGTCGCCAAGACCAACGCCAAGTATGGCTGGATCCTGCTGGACGAGGCTCTGGCAGCACATCGTCATCTTTCGCGGCAGTCGAATCCGATTTTTGAGCATGTGCTGTTTAATTTTTTCTTGTATGCGTGTCATGCGGCGTTGTTTCATCACAGCCAGGCCTTCTTCTTCCTTAGGGAGACAACGACGCTATGTATGCTTCTCAAGATAGAGATGCTGCCTGACCTCACGCGTGTGTTGGCCGAGCGACTGTTCTGGGTTTTGGTTGCGTCGGAAAGGTCTCATGCTATACGCTACAAACGGCCTATCACGTTGCAGATCACGGCCTCTAGTCCAAGCTTTATGCCCTCCTCAACTTCCCCAGTAAACAGCGCACTTGAAACCTCCGAACTGGCAGGATTCTGGTGTCTAGCCGCTCTCTTCCAGCCCCTCGACACCTCCTTCATAGCCATCCTCAATGCCGAAACCCTCTCCTGCCCGCCCTCGTCCAGCGCCTTAGATGGTATTGAATCCAGCGTCAACGCCGCCCTCCACTACTCCCCCTCCCCTCCCTCAACCCTCCACCAAACCCAAAAAGCCAACCTCCGCGTCACTCAACTTTGGCTGCGCATCATCCTCTGGCAAGTCCGGTTGCGACTAGGCCAGCTCTTCGAAGCCCCACCCGGGTCGGCGGCTAGCTCGCATACGTATCATTATCCGCTGGTAGTGGCCAAAGACCTCGCGATGTCGACTCGGGATCTGGAGTTGGCGAGTATGAATGTGCATGGTGTGGGATTGACGGAGAAGTTGTTTGATATTGCTTGTGTGGTGATCAATGTGTTGGCGCGTGTGCCCGTCGGGATTATGAGGGCAGCTGCCGAGGAAGATGTGAGGTATTTGAGGGGGTTGATTAGGGAGTTGCCCGGGGGGAAGACGGTGTATGAACGTTTACTCGTCAAGCATTTGGTGGCGGTTTTGCCGGGTATGGTTAGGGGTTAAACGCTCACATGGTACGGAAACTGGTATGGTAATCCACGTAGGTTCGAAGCTGGAAACACAGCGTTGTAATAGCTACATATGGAATTAAAGGCTTTCATCAATTGGATGAGTATTACATGTGAATTTACGAAGCCAGAGGGCTGCAAGTATTTACTGACAATAGATGACATACTATCATCTGACGGGCAACGACTGGATATCCGCACAGGTTTTAAGGCCTGGTCTCCATTTTCCCGTGCTCTAGCTCCTTCTCAGTCGAAAACCTCTTGACTTCATCTACAGAGTTGGGAAAAGGATTAATCATCGTCTTGGCAAACTTACGTGCCGCAACTCGGTGTTCGAAGAGAAGATCCAATTCAGCGTATGTACGATCTGAAAAACGTCAGTCAACTGATGCTGCAACGAGCGAATTTGAAACATACCTTTCGGTTCCGGCAAACGAAAGAACACCCAAACCGTACTCAACAGCGCCGTGACGGCCCAGAAATACGCCGCCTTCGCCCCCCAATTCCACGCCTCCGAACTCAACTGGTAATTCGTCATGACGTTGACGAAAATATTGCTTGCGTTATAGGCCGCTCTAGCAAGAACAATCGTCTTGGCCTTCAACCTCGTGCTTGACAGCTCCGAAATCAACGAGTACGTCACCGGCCCGACGGCAAAATCGTACACGAATGTGAAGAAAATAAGCAGGCCTCCAATCGCCCAGATGGACGCCTTTGTTCCAGAGAAGCCGATGCTCCCCACGATGATGAGTAACAGGCACTGCGTGCAGATACCACCCAGATGAATCGTCCGCCGTCCCACGCGCGCCATGAGGAACCACGACCCAGCGGTGCCAACCATGCCAAGTGCGTACTGGCCCATAGATAGAGAAAACGAATTCGAAGCCTCCATACCCGACTGCGTCATGAAGTACGTGAAATACCCCATGATATTCTGCCCGCCAAGCGTCTGAACAAGCCAAATCCCGACCACGATCTCCGTCCTCCTCAAGTCCACGTCCCGGAAACAATCCCGGAACCTAACACCTTCTTTCATTTTCTTCTCCAGCTCATTCGTATGCTCGATCAACGCAATCGTCTCATCCGCATGAAAACTAGGATCTTTACCCTTGGACGTGAGACGGAGAAGCGATGCTTTCGCCGCGGCCCGGTTGCCCTGCCGGACGTGCCACCAGGGGCTTTCGGGGGCAAAGAGGACGCCTGCTAGGATGGGGAGGGGCCATACCCACTGCACGCCGAAGGGGATACGGTAGGCCCATTCATCGGTGCGGTTTATGGAACCTTTGTTCACGGCTGCAGCGAAGAATTGCCCAATCACCCAGCACATGTTGATGAAGGTGGTTAGGTAGGGGCGTAGGACTGTGGGGGCTACTTCAGAAGCGTAGGCGGGGCTTACTGATTGAAAGGCGCCCCAGGGGATTCCTTTTATTATATTTTTCTTCTGTCAGTCCCGTTCTGATCTTTCAGGGGGGGCAAACTTGATTGTTCGAGTGTTGGAATGTTTGACGGCGAAATGAGAGGGAAAGGTGTCATAACTGTGTGAGACTTACCACATAATACCTCTCCCGCAAGCAAAACCTCAATCCTGGGCGCAAAGAACAGCACAGCAATAAAACCAATCATGAGCACCAGACTCGCTATCGTAGTCAATTTATGCCCATACCGATCACTACACCACCCCGCGATAATCAAGCCCAAGATCTCCCCGGCTCTAGCCCCGTTGCTGAGTCCAGACTGCCAGGCGGCCGAGATGGCGTACTTCCCCGTCGACTCGTTGAAAGCACCGAATTTCTTGTTGAAGACTTGCGAGTTGTAGAGAGCGGAGAGAAGGGCTAGATCGTAGCCTTCCATGATGAGCGTTGAGGAGAGGAGGACGGACCATCCGATGGCTTTGGGGTACACGCGCAGGGCTTGTAGGAGGGTCATGGCGTGCTCGCAGTCCGAGGCGTGCTTGGCTTCGTTGATTATGGCGGGTGAGTCGGCGAGGGGTGGGATCTTGCCGGCTTCTTCGGCCGGCTGTGGTTGGATCCTTTCGTCGGCCATTGTGGCCACTGGCGGACGTTGATACCGGGTGCAATGGAAGTTCCTCAGGGTTGGGATTGCAGAATCGACCAGTGAACTGAATCCTAAAGAAGAGATGAACACGTTTCGATGTCCCCAAATTAAGTCGTCTGGCCAGATACAAGATGGGAGGGCTCATGTGGCAGATGCGATGCTATCCAAGCGCGTCTTCAAAAACAGTATATTCACAACGCTGCCGCATGCTGCACATCACAATACCCCAGTACGATACCCCAGAAAAAACGACGTTGCTCCGAATATGCACGAAACCCTGCACGTGGCCCGGGAGTTTTTCATCGTATGATTGTGGGGAAGACACGCTCTCGTTGTGAGGTATGCGGGGTTAGACCGGATTGAGACTGCTGGGGTTGCATGGGAGGATGAGGACGGGGAATGGATGAGCGGGGTTATCGAATAATCGTCAAGGTAGACGGAGTTCATAACTGATCATTGGTCTCTGTCTTGTCCTCCGACTTAAAGGATACTTCGCCAGTTTAAACGCCCAAATCATCGAAATAGAAAGCCCATCACGAGACGTCGGAGTTCTGCTCTCCAAATTGGAATCTAGGCGGAGTTTGTGTAGGAGAGTTACAGTCTAAATCTTATCCAACCCTTGGCTTTTGGGCAAAACTCCAACTTTTCTCATCTCAATTGCGCTCCCGTGACTGTGGCTTTAGTCCTCCTGCATCGTTTCGCTGTAAGCGTCCACCGGTGCAGATGGACCACTCCGCGATTATGCGGGTCAATCGCATATGCAAGCACAACCCGCCATGATGGAATGTTTGCGTTCCAAGGCACGCACTCCGCTCGTCGGTAAGAAGTCCTCGGTCTTTCCGGGCATTCCATTCCTTGGCTTGTTCGTTAATTCACACGACCCCCTCCCTGATCTTTTCTTCCAGAGGGCATTCGCGTAGGTCTCTACATTCCCAGAGTAGCTTCCAACTCGTGGAGAATCCAGGGCATCCGAGCTCAGGGAGTAGACGAAAATGCCTATTAACGGGACTATGTCGGCGACCAGCGCGGCAGCTAGCACGAATGGACGCCCACACAAGAACAACACCGCCTCGACCACAAATGGACTGCACTGCCATCACGACATCCAGAATGGCACTGGCCTAATCGGCAAAGAGCCCTGGTGGAAAGCGGCCGTGTTCTACCAAGTCTACCCGGCGTCCTTCAAGGACTCCAGCGCCGAGGGTTGGGGCGACATCCCCGGTCTCATCTCGGAGCTTGACTACCTGGCCGACCTGGGCGTCGATTGCGTGTGGCTGTCCCCCGTCTTCGAGAGCCCCCAGGCCGACATGGGCTACGATGTCTCGGACTACCAGGCCATCTACGCGCCGTACGGCACGGTGGTGGACGTGGACCGGCTGACGGCTGAGTGCCATGCTAGGGACATGAAGTTGATCCTGGATTTGGTGGTGAACCACACTTCGGTTGAACACGCGTGGTTTAAGGAATCGAGGAGCTCCAAGACGAGCCCAAAGCGGGATTGGTATATCTGGAGGCCTGCTCGGTATGACAGTCACGGCAGGCGTATTCCGCCAACGAATTGGCGGGGTTACTTTGCTGGCCCGACTTGGACGTGGGATGAGGACACGCAGGAGTACTACCTGCATCTCTACGCGCCAGATCAGCCTGACCTCAACTGGGAGAATGATGAGTGTCGCGAGGCCATCTACAATGACACGATGCGGTTCTGGCTCGATCGAGGTGTCGACGGGTTCAGGATCGACACCGTAAACAAGTACTCGAAGCGAACTGAGTACGTCGATGCCCCGGTCACGGATCCACAATCCGACAGTCAGCCCGCGCCAGAAATGTGGTGTAATGGCCCACGCATCCATGAGTTCATACGGGAGATGAACCAAAAGGTACTGGCGCCTTACAATGCTGTTAGCGTTGGCGAGCTGTCCAACATGGCCAGTCCACACGACGTGATACCGTACGTATCCGCCTCCGCCAAGGAGCTAGACATGGTTTTCGAGTTTAGCATGATCCGGCTTGGCACGGGAGGCGGATTCGGACCGAAGTACATATATCGACCGTACACGCTTTCGACGTTCAAGGAGACGGTAAAGAAATTTCAGACGTTCATCGAGGGCACGGACGCCTGGACTACGGTGTTCTGCGAGAACCATGATAACGGCCGCGCGGTAAGCCGGTTCGGGGACACGAGCACGCCCGAACTATGGAGGGCGAGCGCGAAGACGCTAGCGCTGTGGCAGATTACGCTGACGGGGACGCTATTCCTGTATCAGGGACAGGAGATCGGGATGGTGAACATGCCATCTGAGTGGGGGATTGAGGAGTACAAGGATGTCGAGAGTCGGAATTTTTACCAGGAGGCGGTGGATAGTGGGGATGAGCAGCGGGTAAGAGATACAATGCACGGGCTGCGTATTCTGGCGCGTGATCACTCCAGGATACCGTTTCAATGGGATGGGGGCAAGAAGAACGCGGGGTTTAGTGAGGGGGATAGGACATGGATGAGGGTTCATGATGGGTTTGGGGAGATTAACGCGATGAAGCAGAGGGGTGACCAGGGTAGTGTATTGGAGTTTTGGAAGAGGGCATTGAGGTTGAGGAAGAGGTTTAAAGATTTGTTTGTTCATGGGAGGTTTACGGCGTTGGAAGAGGGAGATGAGAAGAGATTTGTTTATTTGAAGGAGAGTACTACTGAGAGTGGTGGGAATAGAAGGGCTTTGGTGGTCATGAATTGGTCTAAGGAGGTTCAGAAGTGTGTTGATGTCAAGAAATCCCTGGGGTGTGAAGGGGCTGATGAGGTGAGGTTGCTGTTTAGCACTACGGATCGTGGGCCAAAGATGGTGGGCGGCGAGCATGAAGCGGCGTTGAGGCCTTGGGAGGGGCGGGTGTATGTTAATTTCGAAGCTGGTGATATTTAGGTATGAAAAGATTTGTCGTAGTGAGCTGTCCTTCTGCTTTCAGTGTCCACCACTTCGGTACTAGGAAAAACTGCTCCTATCTTATTATTATTAAATACGCCGTAGGCTCGAAGCCCCCGGTACCTCTGCTAGTACTCCCGTATGCCAAACCGTGCCCTAATGGCTGGACTAAATACATACGCTGCGTCGTCGGTTCGCCCTATTGGCGACTGCGTTGCGTTCACTACCATACTACGTTGGTTCTCAACCTACCAACAAAGTCCCCCCTGAGAAGATCGATGCTATCTGGGCCTTGAAGCTGTCCGACCCGTCCCTAGCAGCCACCTTACAATAGTCCCACTAACTACTGGTTCTCCTGTTGCCGTTGCGAGGTCTCTGCGAGAGTATAGTGGCCGTGGTGCGATAGCGGCCCGTAATCGTTCCCTCGGTCCTTCCAACAGCCCGCAAAAGAGGATTACGTGCTCTGCCGTCTCAGGGGCGTCGCCACAGCGGCATAGCGGCGAGTACACACCAAAAGCCCCTGTCTTGAATAAGAAGGCTGCTAGTCCTATTTTTTCCGTCCTGATCTGGCACAGCGTAGACGCTTCCAGTCGGTTCATGCCGAAATACTTGCCCCCTTTCGGTATCTGCATCGAAGGGCCCTCCGGTTCCTCAGCGATGGCGCGTCGCTGGCGATCGTGATGCTCTGCTCCGGTGAGCCATCTCTTCCTCCAGTGGCCGAGGAGGGCAGCCGGGACCTCCTTTTCCTCACTCATCCACTCGGAGCCCCGGGCCTCCTTCTCCATAGTGTACCCTGCCGGTCGGAGTAGCTGCGACGCCTGCTTCCTCTTCGCCGGCCTATCCTGCCGGAGTATATGTGACGCTTTAGCGCTCGCGCTGCAAAGCAGATTTCTCTTCCCGCTAAGCCGTAACCGTTCTTCAAACTTAGCAGCCCGGGCACTAAGATAAAAAAAAGACTTGCCCTTTTCTCGGATTGGCCCCTGGCCGGGAGTACCTTTGTTCTGTGGTGTTCAACTCCTGAAGTCCTCCCTAAGTCCCTACGTTTAGCCGTTGAATTTAATTCAAATCCATTCTCCTTTCTACAGGTTCCACTTTGGTGCCCCCGATGCCTTGCAACCTCTTTCTGTGAATCCTCCCAAATTCGAGCTTTTTCCTCCACAGGATCCCCCAAAAGACCGTCGACAACGTCGATCGCTGAGCCATCCTCTACTTTGTGAACAAAATGTCCGTCAAATTGTTAACTCAGTTCCCTAAACCTCGACCTACGATCTGACAAAAGGTCTGGCAACTTGTGCTGAAAAAATGGTAAGTATCTCTACAGGATATCCATCTCCTTTCAAGTCATTAACTTAGGGTAGCGTTAGGGAATTCCAGGAATAAAATACTACAGAGGCAACCATGGTTCAGCCGTTCTTTGAATTGTATGATGTAATTACTCATCTTCAGGGTCATAGGTCGTTCATCGAGTTCAAGCGATTCCAAATCCCCTACTTAACTGTGGGAGAGAATAGTTCTGTTACTGGTGAAGTATGCAGAGAGACACGCTCAGTCACGAAGAGAACCTACACCAGAGTCGAGATCTCCAAGTAAAACCCTCACAAGTACGTAACCAGATACCAAGGAGTTCCTACCTATCTTGGTTGGTTTAACTTCAGTCGCCGCGTTTTCTGTATTCACTATGCCTCGAATATGGACCTTTTCATCGATACTCACCGAGGGCTTTTAGAGAATATACGGCGTCGAGTATAGGCAAGTACCGACTGGTTTGATAACCTGAACATGCTTCGACTAGCCCAAATAATCTGCAGCTCTTTGTGTAAAGTATTGCCATCAAAGTCCCTGACTACAAAGACTCACGAATTTTCGCCAAGCCTGATATGTCGACTTTTTTTCATGTGGTCGATTTCATCAAGTTGCCTTCGTCTTGAGTTTTGACAGCCCTTCGCCAGGAAGTCATTTGCTCTCACAATCCTCAGATATAGGATAGCACACACCTCTGTATCTAGAGAAGTATAATACTAGATGTTACACTTTGCCCAAGAAGTATCTGGCTTCTTGTTATTACGCAGTACTTATCAAAAGGTTCAATCACTCACCGGCTATTTGGGGGTTGTCAACTTTTCAATCTAGAGAGATGGATATGTGCGCAATTATATCTGTTAGAAGCCGAGATTCCTGACTGGGAAGGTGTCTATCGAAATCTTCGAAATAAGCTAGATCGACTACTCCTGCGTATTATATAAATTTTAGTAGAAATGGATTAAATAGACCCTACCTTAATTAACCGTTGTCGGGGGTTCCGAGAATAGCTTGTAGTGCCGAGCCCTAGTAAAGCGGCCGTAGATACTAGCCACGTAAAGGCTAATGACCTTCTAACCGCTATAACTAACTGTAGGTATGATCTTTATCTAGCTTAGAAGGGTAACTGTTCGAATAATATAGAAAATATCTTAATTACCTTAATGCAGTACTGTTATTGCATATCTAAGTTCTAGTAGGTATATAGCTAGGATCCGTTAATAACTATTATAGGTTTACTGCTTATTTTATTCACACTTACTAAATCCTGTAGTTATATGGATATTGTTGCGTGTTCCAGGCACACCGCTTCTGTGCTGAGTGCAGCGCTTGGGTCAATTGCCGATAGATAGCAGTTTCGTAGGTGCAGCCTTTAGGACTTAGTACCATCCTCACCACCTATAGAATCCTCTTGCCTGTATTGCCAACAGGTTATGCGCCCCCCGATACTTCCGCTTTACTGATGTGATTCTTTCAAGGGTCGGAACAACCTCACCATGCCAACCTGGTGAGCTAGGGTTAGTGTGTATTTACAATAACCTCATCATTCTCCGGACTTTGGTTAAATTTCTAACCTCACCGGAGGGCCTGGTTTGGCAACCTGGTTGGTTTATAGTTACTAGGGCTCAAATAGCTATTTTAACAGTACTGACAGCCGTATTTTTGGGTAATTTCAAGGTGCTGGAGGTCCCTACCAGCCGTGTAGGACCCCCTGTAAGACTTGTTAGCTCGCAAATCTCTGCAAAATGTCTAGTACTTTAAACTATAACAGTTGGACAATATGGGCCCTGTGGGCCATGTGGGTCCTATACTTGCCACTATCGCCACCTAGAACGGCGACCATCCCCACATACCTCTATTACGAGAAATGTGGCAAGGATAGAACATTCCCTACTTATCTATATGCTTCTACAACTTGTCTGAATTAATCAGCAAGTCTACCATTCATTGACTATATAAGAACCCTTTTGTTTCCATACATAGACCCTCGAAGAGAGGACCAGAGTTAGCTACAATACAGACAGGTTAGGCATATGTGCCCTCCTTTTGCTCCTTCAACGGGAACATCAAATCCAAGTATAACGCTCAAGCCGCTACCCTAATACTATAGAGGGTATAATTACCCCTAGAAAGCCGACTCCGGTGGCATCGCCATCTCGCCAGATCTCGGCTGAGGCCACTCTGGTACTCCTGGAGGCCCAAGAACACCTTTTCCAGTGTTTCTGTGGCTTCAATTTCTCCGAACCCGGTAAGGCCGTCTCATCATGGGCGTAGGCCTATAGCCATAATATCCAGAAGGATATGAAATTGAGCGGTTATTTTTTTATCTGCCGGTAGAACGGGCACTTCACAGCGGCCAAGCGTTGACACTGGTATTATAGGCATATACCAGATACTACGAAGTTAGTACGGAGCAGGCTTGATAAGCCAGCTAGATACTCTGCTTAGGTCCTAACGGCTAGGAGAGCTACAGATAATAACTAGCTAGATGAACCGGACGAGGCTACAGACACGGAAGAGGCTATAGCCAACTCTGCCAGCATGTTCCCGAGGGACCGCGCCGGCGAGGTTAACGATAGCTTCATATCTTAGCAGTAAATCCAACCAAAAATTCGCTACCCTCACCTAACCTCAAAAAGATAACTGGTTAGTCAACATCACCAGCGTTTTCCTTACTAATTTGGTCATCAGCCAACCAAGGGGGTATGGTGAGGTTGGTGAGGTTAGTCCGACCCTTGGATCCTTTTGACCGACATCAATCGTATCTTCAATCGAAGCATACTTTGCAGGCAGTCGTACTGTAGAAAGCCTATATTCGACGCTTAGGCGATCTCAGAGACGTCCAAATCAATGTTTTCGCGATTATCGTTGGCCGAATTCGCACCTTCCGGCCAGTGAACTCTGTGGATAACCCCGCGTTCCTTACCATTCTGAAGCCAGTTGACACTTTTTCAAGCTTCACCAAACGCTGTGCGCTGCTGCGTAAGCATTCTACCAACTTGACGATCCGTCAAGAAAGCACCAATTCCAGCACTGTGCTGACCACAATATCAGCCACTGCGCATTCTTCACTCACAGATCACATCAGTTTCACTTCAATGGCGTATATCCAAGGACTGCGGCTATTTTTCAAGCTATTTGGTGAAGTTAATACGAAGATCTGGCAGGCCAGAGTGCGGAATAATTGAGGTACGTCGCCTCAAACAGTACCTTTATGGTGTTCTCGAGGCTTATGTTTGGGAGCCTTACGGAGCATACGATGGAACACCTTAAATGGGCTGGATAGGACATGGAAGGGGAGACAGATCCCAAAGTGCTGTGGCACCTGGTTGATATCGTATTCGGCCCCAAGCCAGCCAACATGCCACAGCCAGAGCCAGAGCCAATCAAGCCAGAGCAATTTACGAAACCAGAGCCCTGTCGGAGCCAGTTATGCTAGAGCAAGTTATCCAGCCAGAGATATTCAAGCCGGCCGAACCGATCAATAGCCACGATGGCCTCAAGTCCGTTGACACTAAATCTAATAACATCAAGTCTTTTAATAGCTAAATTGACGGCGTCAAGTACAGCTATACAAATCCAGTTATGTAACTTAAACCGAGTATCACTCAGGCCAATGGCCATGACCAGGACCCCAAACACGACCACTGCGGACCTGTAAGACTCTAAGCAAGGCCATCCAAAAATCGAAAATTTTGAGAGAAAATCAAACCCGTATATATAGTGATGTCGATAAACGTATGACCAAGAGGCCTTCACAAAGTCAGCAAACCTATTTAATATTTACCACGATGCTATTAATCAGTACTGGACTATTGATACCGAATTGACTGCTTTATGGCTGCCGACCAAGCCGTAGATCGTACCTGTTTACCACCAAATAAGCCAGAAATCGACAATCTCCGGGCAAATCACCTATGTACCAGAGAATCACGGCGATTTGGCTCTAGTTAGGAACTGTCACGTAACGAAGTTCCGTCAAGTAACATCAATTCGATACTACCAACCCACCGATCCACCGAACCCGAACCGAATCGACCGACTCGACCGAATACGAGGTATTAAGTGAAGAGAACTAGCCATATGGAGTGGAGGGCTACGAATAAATATTATACATATAAAAATTCTATGAAAATAACTCCGAATGAGTCGATCTTTGCCGTTCTTATGCCCGTAAAGGACCTCCGGCTCTACACTTTTGAGCACAGATTTGAGCACTCCGACAGCTGTTGGGCTGTGGGGGGCCTGTTACATACCTCAGGCACACCGCCTCAGTGCTGGGTGCAGTGCCTGGACCAATTTCCCATAGATCCCCCTTCCGTAGCTGCAGCCTTTGGGACTTAGTCCTATCATCACCGATATAATCCTCTTGCCTGTATTGCCAACATATTTATATCTTAGCAGGCCTACCTTGTAGTTCAATTAGCGCTATCAGTCCGCAGGTAACAAGTAACCGTTAGTATGGTAGAGTTATAACATTAGGACGTTAGGACAGGGATCTATAACCCATATAGCAAGTATAGGGGTCCTACCGGTACGTATCGGGTAACGGCCGATTGATCGGTTCGCGGGTTTATCAGAGGATTCGGTAGCCCCGTGGCATAGAATATTAAGAATGTGATAGACTCGATATAATTCGGCTTAACGGGCTGTACCCTTAATAAGGTGAATGAAGTTGATATAGATAGGGCAATAAGACGGCTTAGAAGATTATAACCATAATGGAATCAGCTTGATACGTGACCCCAAGGGGGGTTGCCCTATAGCTATAGCTATAGATAAAATCGATAGATAGATAAGAGCTATGAAGGAGCTTTGCCAGGCTAGAATAACTGACCCGACCAACCTTTCCTAATACAACAATTCACACCCCATATGCACTCGCATCACAGCTGCTTGACGGCTTGAAGGGCTATAGCCTTGATAAAGTTACTGCAGTTTAATGCACTTAATGAGAAATTCAGTCCTCTGTCGATGACTCTGTGAATCTCGTATTGATTGGTGTGTCTGCTCTACGCCCACGTTGTGCTGCGAAAGCTATGCCTGTGAGGTCTGACCCCACTAGTTACACATGCCGCTACACCGCCTTCGGCCTAGGGCATAACTGTGGCGCTCAATCCACACTTAATAGCTTAAAGGGTTAACGGCTAAGTAAGTAAGTGAATTAGCTATTGATCGAACACGTGAATAGATATGAAGTCCGGTTAAGAACATGGAGGGGCTAAATCTGATTAGTCCAGATAAGGTTAATCCGACTCCGAGGTGGTCTCAGCAAATATTTGCAAATCATTCAACCAAATCAAATATGAAGGTTGAGTTTGTTTTTGTATAGCTGACTAATCCAAATACAGATCAAATCGTACACCCTTATTTGCTTTGTTTGCTCTGTGTCAGACACTCTGTATTCGTGCTCACTCACCATAAATCCCCGGTGGATGGGGATACAACTCAGATTTCTGACCATCACCGTTCAATAAGTTTCCTCAGCTAGCTACTGTGGATTTCTGCAACACACATGGCGAGTGATCGTTACAAACAATATAGATTACCCAGTTCCCAGGCAATCTAGAGCAACTTTTTACGTAATGCACTAAGTGGTTCCCAGAGCGCAGAATTTGCGCGGACATCATCTGGTCATGAAGTTGCCTAACAAGCAAGGATATCCATCATGGCGTGTATGTCGGTGGGCACCGTCAATTTGTAGAGGTCGTCCAGCGGAGTGTTATCGGAACTTGGGAGATCCGGTAATGAACGACGCCAAGCAGAAGCGATAGGGCACCAACATTGGCATCAATGACACAGTCCATTGGCCGATCTTCGGTTTTTGTGACTGTTTGAAATTGCCATATGAGAGTTGGCAGGAGAAAGGCGACGTCCGGGATACTGACTTGGAGAATAAAATGAATCTCCGTTGTGGCCCAGGTCCCACTAGCAGCTCGAGATCGCCGTCCGAATCGAAAGTTTTTGCTATCCTGTCTGTAAGCGAGAGTCGATGGTTGGCAAGCGTACGCTACGTAGAGCTGAATGGCTTGTGGGTCACTAATACTGCTTTAAAGCAACTTGCACAATGGTAAATCCAGTCAATGCAAGAAATAATGCAACTCCCAGACAAACCATATATCAGCCCTGGCTCAAATTCACATCTAGGGTTATAGCTTCAAAGTATCCCAGGGTGATCACATACCTTATCGAGATCCGACAATATATCCGACTCCACCTGGGACCGAATGTGATAAATAACACGTTCTCGTCCGCTGCACTCGATTCCTTATCTCCGTGTACAGAGTGCCCGGCTCTAGAATCCCGACGTAGTTCTGACCGTCACATCTCTCCAGAGATACCTCGTAGCTGGTATATTTCTTGAGCTTATGGAATAACGCATCCATATCTTACATCTTGTGGTGTGTAATTGAGTAGGACTATTCAACTACATTTTTAACAATGCTTAGCCATCAACTCGTCTGTAGAGCGTCAGCCATTGTGCATCACGAGAGGAATCCCAGGGCGGTACCCATTTGCGGAGTTATACATCAAACAGAACCATGGCCATGTAGTTTTTGACAGGTGCTTGGCTAGCGTTTCTGCGGGCCTGACCCTACGGCATCCTGGTTCTCGAAGAATTTGAAATCAAGCTTTATCAACATCGTTACGGAGCTGGCTGGTTTATTGGCATACTCGCGCCCAATATCTGGAACAATAGTCACGGCGCTGCGCCCTTGATTAGGCTGCCAAGCTGATCAGTCCCCCACCTTTCGGCCGAGCTCGCTCGCTCTCGGCTGGAGATGCTACAGGCTTGTTGACTCGACAGGTCTCCACTTGGACCTTCCATCATGATCGTTGCTGCCACCGCATATCCTGGCGCGAGTCAGTTTCGGAGGGTGGCGTTCCGCACCTTGCGGAACATAACTGGAGCAATGAATGCGCGTGATTTCCAACGTCACATGCCGATAATGCAAGCAAACGAAGTCCGCCGTGTTCTTCCAAGTGGCCACGGCGGACAAGACCAGCAAAGGGCACGATACAGTTGTTGAACAGAGAAAAACACCGAGGGAAAAAGAAAATGGAAACATTTCCAGCGCCCTCAACTCCTGAGACCTTCCACTGCCCCAGATATCTCAAACATGTAGCAGTAAATGATTCGTTAACCCGATGGCGCCGAGCTCCTGGTGTCCTTTGAACTCCGCGTGTTATCGCTTTCAACCTCCATCTTCTTCCTCCTCAAAAACTCATCCAGCAACGCATGCACCGTCCCCAACGGCAACTCCGCAAGCTGGTGCTTAACATGGCGCGGGAACACGTCCGATTCCGTTTCCCTGAACTCTTCCAGCGCCTGATTCAGGCGCAGCACCTGCTTCCAGGAAACAATCGAATCCCCCAGCAGGAATGTCGGGAAGCGCGCAAGCGCAATCTCCTCCAGTATCCACCGGCGCTGGAAATACGGCCGATTCCAAAAATCATTCGCGCCGATCCAGTGCCGGGCTTGGTGGAAATCGCTTCCATCGGCCGACTCCTGCCACGTCCACGCGATCTGCTTCGCCCACTCGTGCCTCGGGGCGTAGTCTTCCGGGTGCGCTTCCCGATCGGCCGGTTCGCCCCAGTTCACCGGCATTTTCTCGTCGATGTCCTTGAGACAAGCTAAGCCTGCGTCCGAGTATTCGGTCTTGAGGCCCAGCCAGCCGATGACCATTTTCGCCGAGCCGTAGATTTGCGCCATGCCTAGGAACTGGTTGGATTGCTCGGAGTCGTCCTGGTGGTTGATGCAGAGGGCGTCGATCCAGAGGCGTAGGGGTGGCGTCTCGCCCGCCCCGTCGGCGTCCGGGTCGGGCAGGATCGAGGATACGTGCCGCAGGAGATGTGTAAGCCAGCGCGGGGCTCGCTTGTTGTCAGGGCGGCGGGGTTCGCGGGCTGGCCGTTTGGTTAGAGTCGGGAAGAAGACGGTGCGCACGTGTTTTAATGCTTGAGCCAAGTGCGATGTGATGGTAATGGGCACGCCGTTGACGAGGATGCGCTCCGTCTCGCTCTGGTCGCCATAGAGGGACGAGAGCGCCAGGTATTCCAGGTCTTCGGTTAGCCGCACCGTAACGAGGCGGCAGACTACCTGGTCGTCTGGGTTGCCATTGTGCGCGGGCTGCAGCTCCAGCAGGCGGAATTCTTGCTTCGAGGGGTTGAGCCGGCTGTACCTTATGAGCTGTCGGGGCGCCTTCGTCGCCATGGCGTACGGGCGTTTTGCGGACGGCGGAGATAGGTGTGCATGTGGTTGGTTTGTGCTGAGGAAGTTTTAGAAACAGGACATCATTCTAGAAGGAAATGGAGCAGGGCAAAAACTTTTAGGATTTTCTGCCCGTTAGGCGCTGAAGAGGTGTGGTCCTTGAAGGCGACAACCGTTGGGTCAAACTTGAGCTCCACACCCATGTTTTAATCCATGTTCTCCTGGGGTACTGTTGTCATTTTGACGTTCCCGTGCCGTTGCAGCTGGGATGATAACCAGTTACCTGGTCTTGTCCCTTCTATCGGTGAGCAAATGGAACCTGCCATGGCCTGTCGACTGGCCCCGGCAGTGGAACAGGTTCAACCACTAGGCAGGCAATTACTACTTTGATGACATGGGCCGGCACGTGCAGGGGCTTAGTGGGCACGAAACGCACAAAACCTGCCTGTCTACGACAAAGCTCATATCCATATATTATTGTACCTGTGAGGAACACAAGGCACGAGGCACCTTTTGCAGCTGTGGTAAGTGGATGAAGCCTGATTCATGGCAAGCAGCTTGAGTCATCTTTGGCAGTCGCTGGTTTCCATCTATGTCCTTCCTCCGCTGCGACTTCGCTTCTTCGTTTAGCGTGCAAGTACCGCTGCGGCTGCAAGGTTCCCAATCCCAGGGAGCAGGGGTTGAGATCTGCAGCTCCACAGTCAACGTCAACTGTCGTAATTTTTTACATCCTTTCACAACTGCCTTGAATTTTGTTGTCCCCTCTCTCGCAGGTCCAACTGCCGGACGTTCGCATGTAACCGTCCATGAGTTGCAAAGCTTATTTTTGCGAACTCTCCGTTCATCTTGAGGTCGTCTCGCTTAATCCTGGCTTGCATTGCCGGACAGGGGACTTCGATATGCAGCCAGGTACGGATGTATGCCTCAAAATAGCTTAGCGGAACCATGCCAGTTGCTTGTCAGATTCATGTTCCTAGAGCACCCAGAGCTTTGGACCAATAAAACCCGAACGTTCATGTCTGGGATGACGACTTCAGACTGGCCATGCGGTCCCAATAACATGGTACCCTAGAAGTCTCTAAATCACGCGAACGTCACACCCGAACCACTGTCGAACAATCCGCAGTAACGATTGACGACTCGTGGCGATGAATGGAATACGCCACAAGAGCGTCCATCTTGAAAACCATAGAGAAATCATTACGTACGTGGTATGAGGTGGAATAAGAATTATCCTATCAGGTACCAATGGAGGCTGCTAGATACTACCACTATACTAAATGCATTGGTACCTTATTGACGCAGCCAGCCAGGTCCTTTCAAAACCTTCTACAATTTCGATTAAAGCCCTTTTCAAGGCCTACTAGCTAATATCGTGAGATTTCCAGGGTTTAAGCTACACACGCGTATATCCATCATACTAGTACGAGATCGACCTGGGAACCGAATAAGTTATTCTGGCCTGGCAGAGCGCTTTCATAGCTCTTATCTATCTTATCTATAGCTATAGGCCAACCCCCCTTAGGGTCACGTATCAAACGCCTACGATCCTAAATATTCCATCAGAAAAGTACGACAACTTGCAAACATTAGAACTAGATGGAGAACTAACCGCATTGACCACCTTTTTGCATACACCCCCATTTTGCAGGGTCTAACTGAATCAACCTAAATACTTCGCCCATATTATTTATATACAGAACATACTTAATTTAAGTGTCCGAAGACTTAGATATATTCTTTCGAGCCCTCTTTTTAGGAGGGACCCTTCCTTCGAGAAAAGTATCAATTTCTAACTGCTTATCCGGTAAAATAGGCCGTATTCGCTTATTTCGCTTGTCCTGGGCTGTTCGGATCGCTGATAAGTTAACAAATACTTTATTCGGGTCTGGCTCGACGGGCTGGCGTATATCTGGAGCGTATTTATCGAGTTCTTAATATAGTCGCTCGTTTTCGATACGTAATTTGGCATTCTCGGCGGCCTGGAGTGTAAGGGCATGTGTCGAATATCACGTGTGTCCAATCGAGTAGTCTGCAGTGCGTAAGATTGTATATGAATGAGGTGTGTTGTTCTCTGTCTTCTGTTCTCGCGAACTCCCGTTGCTCTGCCTTTTATAGATTCTTTAGAACATGTCGGTAACTTTGGTGTTACTTTTGAGAAGAGGGGTTCCTTTCGCCTTCTGAACTTTAAGTGACAATAATCTTCTCTAGTGCCATATTATTTCTGAACCTAGGAACCAGGTGCCCTATCTGACACCTTGCCCGCCTTGCCTACTAGGGTACGAATCTTACTAGATACCCCGCCCTCGGGCGAATACAACGATATAGGCTTGGACCTTGACTGAGAATCTTGGGCAGGCGATCTATGCAGTGATCATGTTAGATGACGTGTGCTTCGTCGTAAGTGAGTCTTGATGATTCCTTCAAAGCAAGCATTTTAAGGGACATGTGGTCATACCGCTGCCTCGAAGAAGCCGAGGATAAATACCTCGGTAGAGATACGACTGCTTTTGCACGACAGCTTCAACCAAAAAAAGACGAAAAGCCTGGGCTACCCCATATTTCAGTGTGCGAGATGACGTACTCTCTGCACCCTTGAGTTGATCTAGAACAAGGGGTTGGCCACAGCTGGATAAGCGCGATAGAGTGGTGGATTCGGACTTTAAGGTTGTATATTCGTGGACGGCTGGCACAGACTTGCAGGTTTCGAAGTATATGTGGAAATCTACAAGAAACTCTTCAGATTACTAAGCAGTGGACGGGGAAGCGATATAATTGAACAATGAGCTCTGAATCCGACCCTTTGTGATTCTGAAAGTACTTTCTGCTTGCCATTTATCATCTTTACAACGGCCGCTTGACAGATATTTCAAGGCATTAAAAAGGCCTCGAGTTGATCTCTATCTAAGCTTACGATTTTGTAATAAGAGAGGCCCCATGTTCATAAATTAGTACGATCGTAGACTCTAAACAATATTACTAACTTCGCTAGCCGTACGATCGACTCGTCACATATTCAACTACGATAAGATCGCAGTGATGTGGCAAGCATGAGGACTCAAACTTTAGCCTTTTATCCAAGCTAAAAAAACATCAGGACATAGGAGAGAAAAAGATAGAAACTGAGAGTGACTGAGCTGAGCTGTAGCTATAATCACAAAAGTAGTTTGACCACTACCTTAATGAAGCTTTGATCGATCGACATCGTTAGTAAGATATTCGGGTAATCTTACTCGCCCTAGGGAATTAGACTCTTTGGTTAGTACAGGATGTGGTCGTCTACCGTAGCGATGATGTGGCCGGTGGCAGCTTCGATGCCGATCTTCATTTGCTCGCGCTTGCCGGACTTAGAGGGATCTATGGCGAGGACGGAGACTTTGGCTGCTTGGTCTGCTGTCAGGGAGGCCATCTCCAATCTCTTGTGGAAATCACCCAGATGCTTCTCTGTAGTCACAATGATTAGTTCTAGGGGGTCGTTGTCGAGACATGAGCGCAGGCTGGCGGTGAAGGCGGAAGGAGGATCAAGCGCGCAGGTGATGATGCTGACGTCCTTGTTGGGCTTGTAGGAGGGATTGTTAGACAATGGGACCGGCTGGTAGGAGGCATGAGCTGTGGATGCGATTTGTCTGTCAAGGCGGCCCCAGAGCCTGTTGCTGCTGTCAGAATGCGTTCCGACTCTGGGCTTATTTTAGCTCACCAAAAGCTGGCTAGGATAGCTAGTGAGACTACAGATGCCATGATGACAAATCTAAAGATACGTCATAGTTAGGATTACTGAAGATATAGGAAGAGTAGTTTTAACTAGGATGTGAACATCCTGGAAAGCACTATAAAGAGTCAGGGAGTAAAGAGTGGAATTTATACTTTGTAGTAGCATATAACAATAAAAACGCACAGTTGTTCGATATTCACCCTGGTGAATACAGCGTGGTCTTACGTGCAAGTTATAAAAGTACATCACAGGTTTCTGGGATAGCTACGTTCACATACTGAAATATGTTACTAAGGCTGATGTCACAAGTGTAACAACAATAACAATTCTGTTTAACCACTCTCAACCTGTTCTATTCCCATTACCGCCTGCTCAATGTGTTGTAAAGTTGTGGTATTGTAAATCTTTTGAGAAGATAACTAAAGCTAGCTGCAAGTGGTGTTACCTGTATTTACCCTGTAGAGATGTGTTGAGTAATGTAGAGTTGATGCAAGTGATAGAAAAGAAAACAGAAGATAACTGTCCAAACTCATCACACCGGAAGCGTATATTACACATCCGTCTGATACTGTCTCTTATATGCTGAGAGATGCAGCGTAACAAGTTCTCCGCCTTCGCTGGAGAATCACCCGGATTGCATGAAGCCGCGTCTCGGACCAGAAGTACTGTGTGCATTCTGCTTTGCACCTCTTACAGAAAACTTTAGAGTCTTACTGCCGTATGTCCAGATGCAGCGCGTCTTGTAGGGCGAGTGACCGTGGACCCATAGGAGCCAGTCGAGGAGCAAAGGACCTTGTTATGATCGCAGAAGATTTCGGAGCCGGCGAAATAGTGCTCGTAGATCATGCTGCAGAGCTCACCCAGGAGGTTGAAGAAGCCGGTTTTATTGGAAAATAGCTTGAATGAGATGGGAAGTCCCGTTGTCATTGTTGTACAGTTTTGTAGGTGCGCGGGGACTCGAGAAAGGGGTTTCTCACTGAGGAATTTCCAAGTTTTCTAAGTATTACGCATATTAAAGAAGAAATTCTGCCGGCAATTCTTTAGTATGTCTACAATATGCTCGAAAGCAAACAATCACATTGACTCCCGTTACTCGGCGTGGCATGGCCTGAGTCCAATATGAGTAACTAAGTACGGTGGTTTTGAAAATGGAAAGATCTAGACATGCCCCGGAATGCTAAGTTCGGCGCGCACATTTGTTGTAGTAGGGCTAGGAAGTGGCACTCGTCAATTTTGCGCTATGTTTGTCTTGAACTTCTCCAGTTCTAAGCTTTCTGACGCGGGTCGAGGACACTGCAGCAAAGTGTGAGCACACCTATCTCGACCCAGCTGATAAATGTACTGAGAACGTATGACTCGCTGTAAAAGAACTCGTTGTATATAACTAACACTTCTCCCCCTTTTTATTTCTGCCCCTATCGGTCTGAAACTATGGATTACAGGTCCTAGGACCGTTATACCGGCGCCGATATGATTCGGGACATCTTAGTGGATAACCCAGGGGTTTGACGTTCAATATCCCTTGAAATAGGTGCCTTGAAAACTTACAAAGCTAGACGCCAAAACAATCCCGAAGCTTGAGATGCGACTGAGAATGAAATCTGGGTTGGAAAGGGTCAGCCAGAGAGGGAAAGGGGGGATGATACGCGCAAACATTCGACTCCCAAATGCGACGCGACGTGCACCTCGAACTCTCCAACGTCGTTAGCTGTCAGCCAAATCACGAGCCTGACGTCACATACGACTTAATGCATGTCACCCCTAATACGAATTCGCCGGGATGCGGCAGGTAAACCGCCCCACGATCGGCTTCCGGTACCCATTTATACCCAGAGAAAATCTCAATCCAGGCACAGCCGCAGAGGTTATCGGTCCGGCCGCAGCCTACCATCGAACCATCCTCCCCGGAGATCAAAGATGCGCTGCAATGCGCCAGAAAAAAAGAAAGCCCAAATGCTGATGTGCGCAGAACGATCTGTCGCAACCTGTGTGAAACTTGTACGCCGTGATTGGCAGACCCACCACCGCAGCCGATCAGCGAAAGACATCGCATAGATGTGATAAATGCCGTCTGGCGACCCGGTAATACTGACGACACTGGTAGATGAAGCGCCCCACTGCCGGCCCACCGTTGCACATCACGCCGCAGCTGTGCTGCTGCAGCGTTTTAACATTACCGATGGTGTGATTAGATGCCAGAGAGATGATGGATTGGGGGGGAGACAGCCCTAGCTGCTACTGGGCTATATGGAGTTTCCTTGGCCTTTTCTTGCTCTCCGATAGCCTTTCCTTCCTCCAAGCCAAGCCAAGGTTTTAAACCCCATTTAAGAGATCGATGCAGTATGCGATTCTCATCATGGCCAGTGATTGCGTACACTCTCACTGGATTGGTCACGGCTGTCGATATTAATTGGAATTCTGACAGTTTGTGCTTCCTGTCGCATATCGAAAGAGTAAAGTTCACTGACATGATAACACAGCATCGATCAAAGATGGAGCAGCAACAATTGCCTATGGCTTGATGAAGTACTACTCGGGCAACAACACGGGCGATGTTGCTGGCAACTTGCCAGATCCATATTACTGTACGTCAAAAATATCCCAATCCCCAAAGTCAACTACTCAGAATTCCATCAGGGTGGGAAGCCGGCGCCATGTTCGGAACCATGGTCGACTACTGGGCTTACACGGGTGACGATACCTACGTGGATGTGACCTTCCAAGCCCTCCAACACCAAGTCGGCGACGACGACGACTTCATGCCCACGAATCAAACCCTCACCGAAGGCAACGACGACCAAGGCTTCTGGGCGCTATCCGCCATGACGGCCGCCGAGATGGGCTTCAAGAATCCCGAAAACGGCACCAATGGCGTGCAATGGCTCGCTCTCGCCCAGGCGGTATTCAACGAGTACGTCTGGCGCTGGGACAATAGCACGTGTGGCGGTGGGCTGCGCTGGCAGGTGTTTACGTTTAATAACGGGTACAACTACAAGAACGCCGTGTCGAACGGATGTTTTTTCAACATTGCGGCTAGACTGGCGCGGTACACAGGCAATGAAACCTACGCGGATTGGGCCGAGACTATCTACGATTGGATGACGGACGTGGGATTCATCGACGACGAGTATAACGTGTACGACGGCGCAAGCGACACGGATAATTGCTCCAAGATCGACGCAACGCAGTGGACGTACAATGCGGGGCTATTCATGCACGGCGCGGCAACCATGTGGAATTACACCAACGGGACGTCGACGGAGTGGAGAGACCGCGCTCAGGGGTTTGTGACGAAATCCGCCAACTTGTTTTTTAACAACAGTGTTATGTATGAGCCACCATGCGAGCCGCAGGATACGTGTAGGACGGACCAGTTGTCGTTCAAGGCCTTTTTGGTGAGGTGGATGGCAGGGACGGCGCAGGTTATGAGCTCGACGTACGAGACCATCTACCCGCTGCTCCTAGCTTCGGGCAAGGCAGCCGCGGAGCAGTGTGATGGGACGGCTACGACGAGTGATGGGTATAAGGGACTGGAGGGGACGGCGTGTGGCATGCACTGGACCCAGGGCTCGATGTGGGATGGATCGAACGGCGTGGGACAGCAGATGGCGGCTTTGGCGGCTGTGGTTTATACCCGGGTCCAGAAGGCGCCCACGCCCTATACGTCGGTTTCGGGTGGAACGTCGACGGGTGACTCGAGTGGAGGGGCCGCCAAGACGGATAACACCGTCAAGAAGAATAGGGCCATTACCACCGGGGATAGGGCTGGTGCGGGCATCCTGACGACCTTCATCCTGGCTGGTCTTCTTGGAGGGTGTGGGTGGCTGCTTATTGACTAAACGTTCTCAGGAGGCCTCAAAACTGTGTGTTCACATGCTTGGAGCTCGTGGACTCACGTGTTAGAGAGTGGATGGTTACGTGGCGTTCGGGAACGAGGGATTAGACATTAATGTGACATTAATTACAGAATTGAATCATGCACAGGCTTGGCGTGTATAGACGCGCCTCCTGAGATTACTATGTTGTCCAACGCACTAGTCTGACTTTCATTAAAGGCAGCTAGTATTACCACGAAGCCCGCCACATGCTAACAGGATGAATTGGTTATTCTTGTGATTGTCCTCCCCATGTACACTAACATATGAATCACCCAGGATGATGCAATTTGCCCTGAATTCAAGTTCGTTTTAATTGGAGGTTCGTTCACGTCGTGGCCTATACCTAGGGGACAGGTCTGACTTGACCAGTTTAGTTTCTCAAAACCTTGATACTTACACCTGCAAAATGTGTGCCCCCTATTTCGACAGTAATGTAGGGTAATGTAGGGCACTGTTAAAAAATTCTCTCAACTGCCGACGCTAAGCAGCAGAGAATTTGTTGAAGGCGCAAGGCGGTACCTACAGGTACCTACATCAGGACAGAGTTTACCCTACTCAATGCAACCGAACATCTAATCATCCTGTGCTATTCCTCCCGGCCAGCGACATACATTCTTGCTTGCTTTGTTACATTATTCAGTTGGTCGTGAGCTACTCCTAAAAGGCCACGCGTTCTGAATAATCGATCTTGGCCGAATGAGATTCGGCAATTGGGAAGAGGTGGGAGCTAGACGGATGATGGCGCTAGAACGAAGCTTTTTTCGCCCTAATGCACATAACGTAACCCACCCATAAACGGGCCACACCCCTTAGCGGGCCACCATTTTTGGCATAATAAGAGGATGATCAATAACAGCATAACAAGCAGAGTTGAAGCTATTCACAACGCTATTTTCAACTAAATACATCAGAATCGAGCGGTAATTCCTTCCAAACGCGTTTAGCAAAGGTAACAACGCCCCTAAGGGCTTGTATACGCTCCTTTTCACTCATTACCTGAGCCTCTCGCTCCTCTCTCCGGCGCTGTTGATCTCGAACCTCTTTAACAGTTAATACACGTGCAGTACCACAGGATTTCTTCGTCCTTCTATTTCTACTCTCCTGTTGTTTCCTGACGAGGCCCTCGTTAATCTTCTGTAAGGCTAGATTATCTGCTAGAGCTGTTAGGCAAGTCTCTTTAATAAAAGAAACCTTACGCTGTAAGGTGCTATCACAAACAGTGACAAGCTTAGCTACAATCTCATTGATCTGCTGAGCCGTATCCCTATCAACTTGAATATCAACGCGTACACCATTCTCGTCGGTAAGGCTCGCAAATGGAGGGGTCTTTGGCCGGTACTTGGCGAGGATCTTCGACGGATCTAGTGGGGATAAGCCAGTACCTCTCCAAGCGCCCGGGATATTGCGGTAGATAGTAGATCTAGCTTGTTGATATAATAATAAGAACTGCTGGTTGTCGACTCGTACGGCACCGAAGATAGACCGTTCAGTGATCAGGGACTTGTACGCCTTTGCCAGAGGGCCGAAGATACCCTTGTCAAGGGGTTGAAGCTCGTGGGTCGAATGGGGGGGCAGGCAGAGAGGAATGATTTGATTTGCTTCGCAGTATTCGACGAATTCAAGGGATACGTGGCTTATGTGACCATCTAGAATAAGAAGGCGGTATTGACCACGACACTGTTGACGTGTATACGTATCAAAATGGCGTAGCCAGGTCAAGGCAATCTGTCGATCGGTCCAGCCATTTGGGCTGACCTGAATAACAGTCCTTGGATCGATCCTCTCGTCTATCCAAGACGGCAGAATCCTCTTGCCCTCGAATATGATAAAAGGCGGTAGGGAGTAGCCGTTGATTCCTATACATTCGATGATAGAGACCCATTCACGGTTACCAGGCTGGTTAGCAAAGGCCTGATCGTCCTCTAGAGAGATAATAACTTTAGGGTTATCACCGATCCCTTTGCTAATCCCCTTCTCGTCCATATTGTAGGTATCATCGTCCGTGATCGCGTATTGTTCTTTAACTCGTCGGTAGAGGTCGAACCATTCGGTGAGGATATCGTACGTGATACCATCCTTTCGAGCTTGATCTAGACTACGAACCCTATAGGTCTTCAGCTTAGGGTGGCGGTCTAGAAAGCTAGTGTACCAGTTGACCCCTAGGGGGTCTGTATCTCCTTTCGCTTCCAGCAGGTTCACTGCTAGCCCTTCCACTGCTTTGATAGTCAAGGGCCATCCCCACGCAGCTAACTGAAGCAAGGCTCGTTCGATCGTAGCTTCTTCGGCAGGTAATAATCGCTGTCGGTGTTGGTGGGCGGTGGTCCGGCTCTGGCGGCCTTGAATTCGGGCTTGGAGGGTTGTTCTGGGGACCCCAAAGAGCTCGGCTGCTTTACGTATACTAGGGACTTCCCCAGAACGAAAAGACTTGATGGCTTTATTGATCTGGTCTTCCTGATCCATTTGAGGAAAGAATAAAGACCTAGCGATAAGAATCGACGTGGAAATTGATGATGTTGTTAAGTTGAGCCAATTCGACAGAGCCGAAATGGGTGGCCCGCTAAGGGGTGTGGCCCGCTTATGGGTGGGTTACGTTACCCGCTAGAAGAGCGTTGAACAGAAATCCACCGGCTTATTACTAAGGAGATGGAGTCCGTCGATAATGAATTCCCCAGACCCACGTGCCACGGGCCGCGAGGGTCCTTCGGCTCTACTACCGAGTCATGCCGGATGACATCTCGAAAACCAAGCGTATGTTGGCGACAGCGAAGCATGCGATGATGGTGTTGGAGGAAAATCTAAAATTTTAAGACGGACCTTCACGCCTCCATGAGACCAGTCGTTGGGGTTATATACGCTGTCCTTATATATGATATGTTGCATACGGCATATAACCTCTCAGTTTATAAGTACATTGGAAATGTTGAGCTCTAAATAATTTAACTTAGCTTTTCAAACTTACAATAATCAACAGCCAAAACACTCATCTATATCCATAATTCGACTTACTCGGGCTGGCTCAATAAGATTTCCTGCCTCCTGTGAAAATGGCTCATGCTCGTAGCCCACAGAGCGGGTTGAGGATCGAGACTGCAAGCCTACCCCTCAACATAGCTCCGAGAGTAAGTCTGGACTTCTGACTCGAAGTTTTCATTATCTTCATGAACTCGTACTAGGCGACAGGAGGAAGACCTCATAGGGCCAGTGAGAGACGCCTTGGCATCACCGAATGGTGAAGAATTGTCGACGGAGACGACGATTTTGACCTGCAAGACCATGACTCGGAGAACCTCTTTCGCGATTGTCAGCATATGTTCTGTAGCTGTCCGCATCATGTCTATGATGCGGATTGTTTTCAACGCTACTACTATACCGAGCTTCCCACCGTATGGGCGGAATATACGCGTTTCGGATGAGGCTCTGCGGCACCTCCCCTCCGCACTACCTAGCTAGGGGAACAGCTATCCTATGTGCCTACGTTTCGTCCATCATCGCGTGGGAGTGTTGATCATGTTTACTTATTAGCGACGCTAACCATGATCTTTTGGGGTTGCTAGAAAGGTTATTTGTCACCTTTTAAGGCCATACTCTGCGGCAAGCTATACTGGTGGCTCCCGTTGATGAAGAAGCTAAGGAAGGTCTAGACCAATTCGAGAAATCGACGCTATCCTCAACGTTCACTTCTTTGCTTAACGTTCTATGCAACCCGCATCCAAGTTAGGCTCGACAACCCAGTACAATGTAGGACATCTCGATCAGACGGATGCCATCCTATGTCCGCATCAGCGACTAGTTCCGCTGATTCGTCACTGAGGGGTACTCAGAGCATTCAACGAAAAGTGGGGATAGATGAAGAGATGCTGGTCGTGTTGACCCATTTGGTTGAGTCAAAAGGGGAAGAACAGGACAGTCGATCATCTATAAAAGGAGGACCTTCACCTCTTCAGCATCAACTCTCAGCATCATCAGTAAACGTAACAACCAGACCATCCATCACATCGTCTTCTTCTTCTCGTCCTTGAATTCACTTCAAATACTTTCCATAAAAATGCAGATCACCAACCTTCTCACTCTGGCCCTGGCCACTGGCCTGGTTTCAGCCGGATGCTTCACGCATGGCACTGAATGGGCCATCGGCAGTATGCAGGCAATGAAGCTGGCCACGAAGTTCTGCGAGCGCGTCCAGTTGAAGGCAGTCGAAGGCAACAAGCCAATCGAGTACTGTTACAACATGGAATCTCATGGCTGGCTGGCTCACGTCAAGTTCGCTGTTGGCCATGGCGGCGAGAAATTCGAAAAGGTGCCTGAGGAATGCATCACCAGAATGGAGAATTCCATCAAGGACTGCAAGCACGGTGGTGGTTATGAGGATGAAAATGGCTGGTGGTTTATGTAAGTCAAAGTCTGCCCCTATTCCTGAAATCAAAGCATTTCACTAACGATGATGTAGTGCCAATCCTAGCAAGGGCGTGTGCGTCTACGGGGGTCGTCAATACGGGGACCATAACACGACGCATAGCCACCACCAAACTGAACTGAATAGGAGATTGGGGTCAGTTGCAGGTAGGTCCGTTGCAGGCGCTGCGTCAATTGCAGCCACAAATAGCAATCTTTGAGGACATATGGCCATCTATTGGACGTTATGGGCCAATATGACCACCACCTACCGTACCACACAATTTCTGCCTGCAGGGCAGACTCCTTTCATTTTTATCTGTACAAGGCCCTTATAGCCACGATTCACTCCTTACAAATCTTCAGAGATCATTATATATTCAATATAATAACGTAGTCCACGGTCCAATTGCACACTTTGGCAGACCTTATACGACAATGTATAAGTTAATTCAACCACAACGCCTATCATCAATTAAAACTACTCAGAATCGTTCTCTTCAGACGTATCTACATCATTTCCACAAGTGCGCGCATTATGTCCAGGCTCGCCGCAGATTCTACAGCGCCGTACACGCGCAATTCGCCGCCTCGTACGACCACCAATTTGACGAAATTCGTCATGTAACTGCCCATCAACCTCTCGTTGAGACTGTAGGTCCTGTCCAGCTTGTATACGAAGTGACCCTCCACTCTGTAGCTGTTTTTTCTTCGCACGGCGACGTCGACTTAAGGTCTCATTTGCCTTTCGAAGTGATTCGACCTCGCCTTCTAAAAGGGTAAGCCGATGCATAACCTTCGTTGTACCTCGCGCAATCTGATCTATTCCAGCAAAAATTGACGTTGGTGAGCTATTTTGATGTCATACAATCCTATTTTTCACATAATCGGTTTGTGATTGGGCTTCGGTTGGGTTGTTCGGAGTCTTTGATTCCCAAGGGACGGGGAGACCAGCCGAGCTACCCGGAGGTGTTGGCGTATGTAATTTCACATCGAGCTGTGATATGACATAATCTGCATCGTACGGAACTATTCCTACTCCTTGGATATTTGAAACCGTGAAAGTTGCGTTGTACGCGTTTAAAAACGCCGGTAAAAAGTCTTCTTTCGAGATATGACTTACATGTGCTCGCATGAGATCTTCGATTTCTTTTCCGTACGCTCTTTTTAACCCGCGAAAACAACCAACATCAAGAGGCTGGAGCTTATGCGACGAATGAGGAGGCATACAAAGCGTGACGATATTGTTAGCTTTGCAATATACCTCGAAATCGGTCGAGTGACCGTCGAGGATCAATAGGCGATGAGTACCTTTCGTACGAGACTTGGTGTGATGATCGAAGTGTTTTATCCAATCTTCGCCTCTCTCGTTCGTATTCCAGCCATTTTTAGTAACTGCGATAACCCAATCAGGCGGTAATGGGCTGTTTTCGTACCATGACGAGAGGTGGGTTTTGCCGGCGAAAATGATGTACGGAGGGAGGGCATAACCGGACGACCCAACGCCTTGAATAACTGTAACCCATTCCCGATTTCCTTGCTGGGCTTCTCTAGGCCTTCCGCGCCGATCAGAAGTCGTCACGACCATTTCGGACGAGATTTGGCCCATCACAAAACCGGTCTCGTCGAAGTTGTAGATATCCTCCTCCTGGATCGCGTATTTCGCAATTGTATTCCGTACCAGGTCAAACCACGCGCGATACGCGTCGGGGTCTTCGCAGAGGACTCTCTGATAGTCGATCCTTCGATTTAAACGCGTCCGGAGGTCTGGTTGTCGTCTTACGAAGCTCGAGGCCCAGTTGGCGCCGACGCGTCCCGCGTCGCGACTTCGAAGTAATCGGTTGGCCATATCTTCAACACCACTCAATCGGGGAGGAAATGCTCGCGAATCTAGGTCGGTTATATGTCGTACAATTGCCTCTTCTTCGGAAGGAGTCAACTTTTGGGTTGGCGATCGCGTAATCGCTCGAGCGGTTTTACCGTCGCGTCGATACGCAAGGGTTCTAAAAGGTACGTTATAGATCTGACCAGCGCAACGTACACTTAATTTTGGATCAGATTGAAGCGCATGTAATGCTAGAATCATATCACTTTCATTCCAAGAACCAACCATAGTTATGTGGTGAAAAACCGCAGGTCAAAGTGGTAGCGTACGAAAATCTGCCGAAGTGTGCAATTGGACCGTGGACTACGTTATATCAAAGGAGAAAAAGAAATTTCTTTTCCCTCTCTATATCAGAACTCAGCGACATCCAGCCCAAATCGGACATGCTTACACCGTTGACAAGATGTCAGAGAACAGAATGCCATAGGCACCAGTGGGTGTCAGGACACTGAACGCAGGACACCGGCGGGCCGCCGGAGGGGTGTTTCGGACAAAAGACTCCCGAATCATGATTACAATCTATGTGAAGCTTTGGGATGACGAGAGTCAAGATCCTTGGCATCGCCGACCCTGCTGTTATGCCGGGTCCAAGCGGCGGCCTAGCTATCTATATAAGGACCATCTCGAAGTAGGATAGGGAAGGAGTTGTCAGAGCCACAAGTGTCATCCGAGGCGGGCCGGCTTCCACCAGGTAGGAAGCCGTTTGTGGCGGCTAGAGAGCCGCTTGTGGCGAATGAGAGCCGTTGAAGCCGTTTGCAACGGATAGGGAATCGCTTGGTTGCAGATAAGGAGCCGAAGTCGGAGGAATACAGACATACGGAAGCAAACATCCAGAATCCAAGAGAGAACCTCGGCTGGCTATAAGTAAGGAGTCGAGATGAAGGAAGATAGAGAGGGCAGAGATCAATGCATCACCATGGGCACCCCTACCTGAGACCGCCAGTGACCACCCGGTGCTACGTAGGAGGGACGCCCGTTACTCCCCATCACTCTGTACTATTGCCTTCGGCCTAGCCGTACCCTGACACAAGATCTTAACGAGATTTATATTATATTTCGCCCTGACAAAGCTAGTCAATATGTCGTGGGGCTGCGATCTTATACGGGCGAGGCTGTTATATACGGTGGTTATCCGTAGCGCGATTGCCTTCGGGGCGACTGCGTGGCATACTATAAGTGAGGAACCGGCAGGGCCAGCTAAGAGCCTGATGGGGATACAGAACGAGTGCCTCCGGGTAGTCTGTGGCGCCCACAAAGCGACGCCGGTTCGCCACCTGGAAGCAGAAGCAGCAATCCCGCCACTAGACCTCTATCTTAGTGCCCGGGCTGCTAAGTTTGAAGAACGGCTACGGCTTAGCGGGAAGAGAAATCTGCTTCGCAGCGCGAGCGCTAAAGCGTCACATATACTCCGGCAGGATAGGCCGGCGAAGAGGAAGCAGGCGTCGCAGCTACTCCGACCGGCAGGGTACACTATGGAGAAGGAGGCCCGGGGCTCCGAGTGGATGAGTGAGGAAAAGGAGGTCCCGGCTGCCCTCCTCGACCACTGGAGGAAGAGATGGCTCACCGGAGCAGAGCATCACGATCGCCAGCGACGCGCTATCGCTGAGGAACCGGAGGGCCCTTCGATGCAGATACCGAAAGGGGGCAAGTATTTCGGCCTGAACCGACTGGAGGCGTCTACGCTGTGCCAGATCAGGACGGAAAAAATAGGACTAGCAGCCTTCTTATTCAAGACAGGGGCTTTTGGCGTGTACTCGCCGCTATGCCGCTGTGGCGATGCCCCTGAGACGGCAGAGCACGTAATCCTCTTTTGCGGGCTGTTGGAAGGACCGAGGGAACGATTACGGGCCGCCATCGCACCACGGCCACTATACTCTCGCAGAGACCTCGCAACGGCAACAGGAGAACCAGTAGTTAGTGGGACTATTGTAAGATGGCTGCTAGGGACGGGTCGGACAGCTTCAAGGCCCAGATAGCATCGATCTTCTCAGGGGGGACTTTGCTGGTAGGTTGAGAACCAACGTAGTATGGTAGTGAACGCAACGCAGTCGCCAATAGGGCGAACCGACGACGCAGCGTATGTATTTAGTCCAGCCATTAGGGCACGGTTTGACATACGGGAGTACTAGTAGAGGTACCGGGGGCTTCGAGCCTACGGCGTATTTAATAATACAAAATATTATATTTAACTTTCAGCGACGCGCATATATCTGCTTTAGTACAATACCGTCCTCTTCGAAAGAGCTATTCTCTAGTATGTCCGGTGCCTCGCCTTCGGTTGAATTCCATAGATTTAGAAATTAGTAATACCGCCGCCAGGACTTGAAACGACTTTAACTCCTCTAGTATAGAGGATAGATATATCTCCTCGGACTTTACCCCCTTAGAGTTATGCCTTACCTATTGTCACGACCTGGGTTGCATCGCATTGGTAGAGACCTCGATTAGGTGCTATCGACGAAGATTCTACTCTAAGGAGCGAAGGAAAGAAGATCACAAACTTAGGTTTGAGGGAGCGCGACTAAGTCGTCCACGCTTGGCGGGGCTCCTGCAGGGGTTATGATTGGCTTCCCATCTGGCACTGCCATGGCAGGTGTTCCAGCTGTACGTCACCTGGTTGTAGTGAGTCTGCGAGGGTTGACCTTCACACCTATTAGAATTTAGGAACCTAGACTACCCCTTATACTGACGTGGGGTTAGGGTTTTTGGGTGCTCGTTTTCGTTTTTTGGGATATTCAGACGAATTATGTAAGCGCGATCTTAAGGGTATTTAAGACGTTATGTACGTAGTCACTTTCTTGAGAAAAAGATAGAAATCAAGCGGCCTTTTCCACAGTAATCTGAACCAATTTCTCTTTACTTGGACAGGCATTCAATGTCTGACGTACCTGTTGAGGTACTTTTGTTGCCCCTATAGATCTGATTGTGCCTGCTGAGGCCATTGTTCCCACCTTTCACCTGTTGAGGTGATTGTTCAAGGACCTGTTGAGGCAACTTTTCTTCTCTAGCCTGCTGAGGCTCCAGTTGTTCGTACCTGTTGAGGTACTTGTTGTTCTGATCAGGTGTCAGAGAACAGAATGCCATAGGCACCAGTGGGTGTCAGGACACTGAACGCAAGACACCGGTGGGGCGCCGGAGGGGTGTTTCGGACAAAAGACTCCCGAGTCATGATTACAATCTATGTGAAGCTTTGGGATGACGAGAGTCAAGATCCTTGGCATCGCCGACCCTGCTGTTATGCCGGGTCCAAGCGGCGGCCTAGCTATCTATATAAGGACCATCTCGAAGTAGGATAGGGAAGGAGCAGAGATCAATGCATCACCGTGGGCACCCCTACCTGAGACCGCCAGTGACCACCCGGTATTACGTAGGAGGGACGCCCGTTACTCCCCATCACTCTGTACTATCGCCTTCGGCCTAGCCGTACCCTGACATCAGGGCAAGAGCTCTTGATCTTGTTATTTCTTTCCACCTCCCGGATAGTAAGGTCTTGTTGAGGATCTTGTTGTCCGTTGCCATCATCATCTCACCTTAAACCTGCGGGTGGTTTCACTGCCCGTCGTCAATACCCAGTCCTGTAGGAGAAGAGACTACAGAATAACCGGTGCACCTAGAAGCCTTTTAAAGGCCAACCCGAAACCTACGGAGCCTACTAGCCGCTTTAAGGATATAGTACCTAGGAATAAGGGCTCTTAGGTAGTACTTACCTGATACATGACCCCATGGGGGGTTACCCTATAGCTATAGATAAGATAGATAAGAGCTATAAAAGAGCTCTGCCAGGCCAGAATACCTGACCTGCCCATCCTTTCCCAATACAACAATTCACACCCCATATGCACTCGCATCAGAGATCCTTCTTGCCCTGATCAGATCAATAAAAGTACCTCAGCAGGTACGAACAATGGCCTCAACAGGCGAAGGGAATGAAACCAATTACTACTTGCTTGGCCGCTTATTTTTCTCTTTTTTCTTCCTCTTAAGAAAGTGAATTCCTACACAGGCCCTTCAATATCCTCGAAAACACGCTTAAATAACTCATCCGAAAACCGAAAAGCAAGACCCAAAACCCCTGTCCTAAGTCAATATAGTATGAAGTTCAAGTGTAAGTACTTCTTAATACGCGATGCTCCGTTATTAGAATATCCGAAGAAAAACATGCCAAGTCCTCCCAAACTCGCGTATTACACTTCGATCACAAGGGGCTCCTCACCCCTCGCCGTCCTCCACTGATTCGTCGCCACGACAGCAACCTCACAACCCTTGAGAAGAAAGTCCCATTTCTCTGCAAACCCGTCACTGATCTCCCACCCACTCTCATCCCATGGATCCCTCCACACAATTAATCCTCTCGCCTGCGCGTCATAGTGCCCCTCATACAAGCCCCCGATCATATCATCACACAGATCGTCAGTGTCAAACTTGCCAGTGTTCATCATCAAATTATCGCGCAGTTGGGCAATGGGGACGATGTCGATCCACAGATCATGTGGCACTTCCCGCTGGATTCGGGTAGGTTGCAGGGACGGCGGAATGCTGCCAGCGGCCGGCGGAAGTGTTCCTTGGTGTAAGATGGCGCTGCATGCTGTCGGCAGGCAGTGGATGACGGACGGGATGGTCATGTTTATTATCATGACGCGGAGGACGTTGAACTGGATGATGGTGATGAGTTGGTAGTCTGAGGAAAGGGGGAAGACGAGGGGCATCTTGAGGCCACTATTATCGACGCTGTCCCGACTGAAACGAGGGATGACGAGTAGCTTGTCCGAGTCTTGCTGCCTCTCCAACGGCACAAAAGCGTTGACTGCGGGAGAGTAATATGCACGCACCTCTATCATCGGTCGAAGGTTGGCAATTTGTATGGGTTGATGAGTGGTATGTTCGAGCCACTCTGGGCACGGATTGCCTGCTGAAGTCTGGGCAAGCTTGCGTTTCCCTGTTTGCGACAGTCAGAACCATAACATGAGAGGGGTTCATCTATGTGGTATACTTACGCCATGCTCTCTGGTGGAGTCGATTTTGTCGCTTCCTCCTTTCAACCGCAGCTGTGACGCCAGTCCAGTCATCTTGTTTGTCACGGGTCTACGTGGACTGATTATGAGCACTCTTGGCTTAACTGAACCGGGATCGGAAACCACCAGGCGAGCTCAAAGGACAGGTCGAGAAGCAAAAATGTTGATGTACTGCGACTATTAGAAGATGGAATTCTGGCTGCCAGGTTGGTGCACGGCGCGGGACTTGTAATGCACCTTGCCTATACGCCGATGCGAAGGATCCTTGTTACAGCCAAGGATGGAATCAGGGCAAATAATACCAAAATACCACCTCGAGGTAAGATGAGATGCAGGAAAATGGATGGAGCGGACGCAATTTCTCGAGATGTGCTGGAGGTAAGCTCGGCATCGGGGTAATTCAAAGGAGATCATTCCATTTGAGAGGTACGTATATTGCGCCCGAGAGTCAGGTACTGCGCAGTTCAGACAAGGGGTGCATCCTAGACTAAATCCTGATTGCTGGGACTAATGCAGCCTGCTTACACGCCATCGCCTCATACGGATTAGCCTGCAGGTATACATCTTGCAGCGTACTTGACGATCTGTATTAGCTGAGATAATTTGAAGCTCTACAAGAGTACAAGGAACATTTCGGGGCTACGAAAGGGAATTCTTGACGGTCATGACCGACTTGAAAATACTATTTAAGGCATTGTGGGCCACTTTGTTGTTGCAAGTGTAGATTCTCATAACTCAACTCAGCTTTTCACACTTTGAATTGCAGCTTCTAACCTAGCTCCCAGTGCATATCAGCTACCAAAAACATGTCTTCGCCGCCAACTTACGAGAGTTTCAACCCAGGCAACGACCTTCCTTCATTGGCGGGAAAGGTGGTTCTCGTCACAGGAGGTACGATCCCTCAACCTACCTATTAGTGATCTCTATCTATGGAATTTGTATTGACAAGTATCAACCAACAGGAACCGCAGGTCTCGGCAAAGCTTCCATAGAGACACTCGCCAAACATGGCCCAGCCCACATCTACTTCACCGGTCGCAACGTCGACGCAGCCAACTCCCTCATCGCCAACGTAAAAAAGGTTGCCCCCTCAGTCTCACTTACATTCCTCGAAATGGATTTCAGTTCTCTAGCCTCGGTGAAAGAAGCCTGCAGCAAGTTCGTCCACGACCGTCTCGATATTCTGATGTGCAATGCTGGCATCATGGCCGTGCCGCCGGGGCTCAGCAAAGACGGCTACGAGACTCAGTTCGCCACCAACCACCTTGCTCATGCTATGGTCATCAAACAGCTTCTACCAGTTATGCTGCGCACTGCCGAACTACCGGAATCAGACGTGCGGATTTTGTCTCTGACCTCGTTGGGCTGGAAGGCCCATCCGAAGAGTGGTATGATCTTCTCCGACTTGGAAACGCCACAGGAATCTATACTGGGCAACTGGTTGAGATACGGGTAAGCATGACCCTAGAAATCCGATGACAGCTTTCCATATTTTTCTGGCCTTGTCAAGACTGCCGAACAACTGTACTAAGCCTCCCTTCTGTCTTAGACAAAGCAAGCTAGCCAACATCATCTATGCCGCCGAGCTCGCGAGGCGCCACCCGAGCTTGAAAACCGTGTCTGTCCATCCAGGGGTCGTCGAGACGGGCCTTGTTACGAACCTGCCAAAGTGGACTCAGAGGGCTGTCTGCATAATCAATGCTCTTCAGGGGGTCACCCTCATCAAGCCGGAACAGGGCTGTTTCAACCAGGTTTGGTTAGCTGCTGGGGTCAAACAGAGCGAATTGGTGAATGGGGCGTTCTACTTGCCTATTGGCATTCTGGCTAATGATAAGCTGAACGATACCGCTATGAGCGAGAAGTTGGCCATGGACTTGTGGGATTTTACTGAGAAGGCTTTGGATCAGTTTTGAGGACTTTTGCATTAAACGGTGGTTCTTTTGTATTTCAATGCTATATGCATTTGGCTCTATAGACTATAGATTCTACTTCACTTCTCATCTTAGCATCTGTGTTATATTTTCAAGAATTACACGGAATGCTGTGGTAAGCTTAGCGTGGACATAGATTGGGAAATACTTTGTTTCTAACAGTGCAGACAAGTCTAGGGCGCTGCATTTATTGTATATCGTGAGATCCGGATCTGTTGGCATTCTGACTACATCGTTGGTTGGAATGTATAAGTACCAAAAAGGCCTGCAGGAGCCCCACTAAATACATACGCATGCCCCAATACACTGGGCACCTGAGGCGACCAAATCCCCACGCGTATTAGGTCGTATAGTCATGGAGGATTGTGATGTTGATTGAGCTAAGTTGAGCTACGTCAGGTGCAGCGGCAGAATCTACCTATATAACCAGTGTACATTACGCCGGAGTAACTAGGGCTCCGCCAGTGGACTGTGTGCCACCAGTCCTCTGTTATATAGTTATGAACGCGAGGTGGTTCTACAAACTCGAAGCCTATCTTGTACATGCCTAGATGTTTTTAGAATGGCCTGCCCCTGCGGCAGGACAATATTAGGCGGTTTTCATCCAGTATCTCTGCTGCCACTAGAGAAAGGATGTTATACACTGCACGATGGATGTCTACATTCTGCGTGGAATGATGGTGGAAACGAAGAAAATTGACCAATGCTTTTGATCTCGTATCTAGTACCACTGGCCTATCCGAACCTCTGCACCACTGCTAGCCGGAGACCAAGACCGCGTCATTGAATCGGTGCAGTGGTTCATGGACGGGTACTACGGCCGCACCGTCAACAAGACCGCGCTCCTGGAACTCATCGCCGAGAACGAGGAGACTGTCTCGTTGATCACGCCCAGGGTCCCTTTTCATATACCCTGGCGAGGTATACATGGAACAGTCAACATTTTCCCTGTGTTTGAAGTAGACTACGTAACCTCACCGTGATGATGTGTCGTGTAAGTTCTTTTTGCGGCCTCGACAAAAGCCACACAAGTTGTCCGAATAAATCACACCGCGTCCTTGTAGTAGAGCTCTTGATGGAAATACAACCTCTTCTTTTGGCCTTCCCACCAAATCTTATACTCGCTTGCTGACAGCGCATGCATCAAAATGTATGCCAAGTCGAGCACCTGATCTAGGATGCCTTGTCAGTTAAGCCCTACGATCTCTTGGCGCCTCCACAAGCATCAGCCACTGTGTCCATTACTTGAAAATAAGATGATCGTCAAACCTGTTTCTTCAACGTTTAGAAGTCGGATTCCACCATATCACGTGTAGAGTCAACCTGACGCGTGGCCACAGCGTTAATCATCCATAGGTCGATGTGCGTCCCATAACTTCATATTGAGCTTACGTACATTCTGCGCTAAAGAGCCCTCTTCCATCACGTTAAAATTATCTCTGATGCCGAATTAATTACTCATGTAGCCAGGCCAGTCCCCGTTGAATGCCCCGCTATGGAAAGCTGCCCGCGTACAACTATCGGACCGTCTTGGACTCTTAGTTGCACAGCAGCTGAATTTTGCTTAACGCAGACCCGTTAGATTTAGAAGCCACTGCACATACTGACGAAGGAAAATATGATGTCGATTTTTACTTTAGAGACTAATTCATTACTAATCATAGGTTTAACTACGTGGTCGATGCATACCTGCATAGGGCTGCATAGCACAGTGCCAAGTCTGGGGAATGTGGGTACTCTGTCGAGCTCTGAGTAGTATTAACCTCAGTCGTATGTCGGAGTGAAGAAGCACACGACCCACGAGCTAGCAATGATATAAATCTTCAATAGAGCCACGCACAATCCAAGTCAAAGAGTAAGCTACTCATTTCCTCAAACTAATATTGAAATTCTAATAACTCAGTTTCAATACCACAGTTGCATCATCTATATACATCCCAAACTGATGATCTCGCTCGGGCATATCATCTCACCAGGCCACGGCAGCAGACCATCAAGAACGCCGCCAAGTGCTTGCAGACCGCTGAAGAAGAAGAAGAAGAAGAAGACGGGGCCCAATTCTAAGCCTATGCCCTAAACCACCGAAAAAGTGTGGTGCCATTATGCGCCGAGTGATGAGCATGTCCGTCGAGTGCATATGGATCGAGCTGGCTTATCTGGGCGCTTCTCCAGCCGTTCAGCCTCTCATGCTCCTCGTACTAACCTCCCCTTCTTCCTCGGCTGGTGCTTCGGCGACGACGGTGCTGACATTAACAATGCTCTCTCTACGTCCGCCCATTAGGCCATCGATGCCGAGTGCCACCTCACCAACTCTGCGCAGTACCGCCAGCAGCGCACCGCGTAGATCTGCGCTGACCTCCTTGCCAAGCAGCTCGACGACAAGTGGGTAGAAAGCTCTAAGATGCTCCTCGAACTCCTTATCCGGCCATGTCGAGTATCCCTCGAGTACATCGACCACCACTGGTCGCCAGGCCACGATGTTGCGTTGTTGCGACTCCTCCTCGAGTGCAAGGTACCCCTTTATGACATCCTTGCAAAGAGGCACAAGAGCCTTCTCCACTTCAGGCCGGCTCTCAGCGCGTGATGGCGATGTGTCGGCAAACATACGGAACAGGATTTGGATGTATGTGGCAGCTGAACCGCTCTCTTGCTTAAGGAGATTCGGGGGTTGTTTCATAAACCCTTCACGCCAAAGCCGCATGCGAAGTTCCTTGTCGTTATTGAATCGTCGTGCAAACAAGAACGACTTCTTCAGCAAAGCCATCAGACGCAGCAATTCCGCAGATGGTATCTGGGAATAAACCGTGTCATTAGAGAAGAGCTCGTTGACTGTCTCAATCATCAAAAGCTGCAGCACGCATCGTGAGATGATGCGGTTGAAGAAGCGACGGCGAGCGGCAGTTACTACCACCGGCTGCTGTTGCAAAGACGAAGAAGGTTTGTAATCTTCCAACGGCGTCGTGGCCGAGGTAGCGGTTGGCGTATCGAGGTTGTCTTCGTCACCGGAATTGAGTGTTGTCTCGGAGCCAGAGCCAAACTCCGACGGGAGACCGTTCTTCTTTGTCCCGTTGATCTTCAGCGATCTCTCATCGGCCGGTGTCTCACTTGTGGGGCTCAGCGGGATATCGAATCCCAGGCCGTTCGATGTTGGCGAGAGAGAAGCCGGAGCGTTGATCGTCGTGGCTGAGAATAGCTGATAGGCTGTGGTCCTCTCAAACAGCTCACAGAATGCGCCAACAATCTTGGACCAGTGCCCAGCGTTGAATTTGGTAACGTTCTGGAGGATGAGCTGTTGCAAGCAATTACTACCTATCCTTGCGATCGTGTCATTTTCCTGGCATATGCATAGAGCAAGTAACTCAAGGAAACGATCGAGCATATACTCGAGTGCGTTGAAGTAGTGTGTGAAGAGAATGATCATGTTGCGCAGGGCTTGGATCATGGTCGTGGAGAGCCAAACAGACAACTCCTCATGGTTGAGGGCATTGGACATTTCTGGCCGCGATCGTAACACCATGAAAATGGGGTAAAGTTGCTGCCTCCATAAAATGTCCCAGAAATCGGGTGGGAAGTCACCACCGTACTTCAGCAAGGCCTCAAAGAAGTAGTTTAGTGCGTTGGACCGGACCTCGAGATCCTCACCCGTCATCAACACATCGTGGAAGGCAAACAAAATCGGGAACCAAAATCCCTCCTCGACCGATGTCCCACTCTGTTGTCTCGACAGGGCATCCGGCGATTTCAAGTTGGTGCCATCTGAAGATGGTGTCAAATGATGCTTTTGTGATAGAGGGCATTCAGGCGTCTTGAGCATGCGAGGTATGATTGATTTGAGTGTCTCCATAGCCTGTAGACTCTTCTTCTGGAAGTTGATGTTCTTGGAAAATTCGGTCAGGCAGACGATCAGGTCCGTGAAGGCGCCTTGTGAGATGACTACACCGAAACGTGTCCGGTACACCAAGGTCACGTTCTCGTAAGCTAGGGTGACGATCGTCTCGTGAGGGTCTCTCGCAGCGACCGTAAACACGCCAAACATTGTCCTCCATCCGGAGCGGATATTTTCGCCTCGTGCTTGAATCATCTGGATCAGACAGCGGAGAGCCATGTCCTTGACAGTCACGTTGCTGGAGTTGGCCATCACATGCTCGAATGGCTTAAGGAAGTCTTTTTGAAACTTGAAACCAGGCAACTCCTCAATCTCCATGAAACGCATGGATAGCTGTCTCAAGGAGTCGAGGGCGAAGTAAACGATGGCAGTGTTGATGTGGCAGCCGACTTTGTTGAAATGTTGGCCGAGAACGGCCCAGATGTTCGTCCACTCGAAGCGCACTCGTGTCATGTTGTAGTAGCTGATCTCGACTATTTTCTGCAAGCTATACGTACGCGGCGAGTCGTTGGAACCGGAAACCTTGATCTCGTCCCAACTTACCTCGGTGAGAGCCTTGGCAAAGTGAACGATCGCTTCACCATTGAGATTGGCCGTGTTGCTGAATATCCGGTCAACACTCTTGATAACTTCGTCAGATCGGCTCTCGAGCGCGATTTCCATGGAGAAACCTTTAGGTCCTGTGTTGGCCCGAGTTCGACGCCGTGATGAAGCTGTCGATTTACGCGATTCGTTCGTGGTCGTTCTTTCCAGTGGCATGAAACGAGCTTTGGATACGTCAGGCACGGCTCCTTCATCAACTCCGCCAGAAATCAGCTGCAGTCGATCAAGCTGACTGATGCACATAAGCACGTCCTTCCACGATTCTCTCAAGTAGTTGCCCTCGGTTTGGCCTAGATCAAGGATCACTCTGAGTGCTTCGACGTTCTTGGCCAAAACCTCTTGAGGGTTGTTGAGATTGGTAGCGTTCTTCAACGCCGTCATGAAGGCTTCTCTCGCGGTTGAGAGATCAAACAGGCAGGCGATCCTAGTCGCTTGTTTCATGCCCTCCAGGCACATTCGGTTGACCTCCAAGTTCTGTGCCTTCTGCATCTGACCCGACAAAGCTGAGAAGAAGGACATCCATGTTACATCGAACATGGGCCCAACGTGTCTGAAAGAGGTGGCGGGAATGAACTTGATACCGGCCTTCGCAGCATTGCGCCGTTGATTCCTGAACAAGTTCTTGAACAGTTGCTCAGAACGCAAGGCAATCTCTTCGGACTGCTGCACATACGCTTCTCTCTGCAGATCGCGGCCCACGTTGGAGAAGGCTTGTCCAAGACCCGCAGCAAATCCGCTGTATGAAGGCTGGCCGGGAACGATTCCAGCGGCGGCAGCAGCCTCGCGCTCGCTCTTGAGAACAATCTCGTTTGAAGCAATCTCATCGTATATCGCGACGAGGTAATCGTCGGGCAAATTCGCGTTGTCGTTGATACCCCTATTGTTCTTGATGAAGTCCTCCTTTGTCATGCGTCTTACAATATTGCTGCTATGCAAGTCCGTGTTCAGCAAGATAACCGAGTAGGACAACACGTATGCTGTGTCCGCATTGGCAAACGCGTTGGGATTGCCCATGACGTAGCGGTTGGCAAACTTCAACATGTATCGATCAATCTTTTGAGCTTCGCCTGGTAGTCGGAAAGACTGGAGGAATTGGCGCAAAGAATCGACGAAGCGCCTCTTGGTGAAGTCCATCGTGTCGACAAATGCGTGCATGATCTCGATGTTCTTGGGATCACCCTCGCCCAGATACTCGCCGATCTGCGCCTTGTCGAGTCGGTCATTGGAGACCAAAAACCTGGCAATATCCTCTGGGCTGTCGCTGGGGATGAAGCCCTCCTTGAGCAGAAGCTTTATGCCCTTCTTGGGTTTCTCATTGAAGGCTCGAATAGCATTGGTCAAGGCCGTTTTCCTCGCTTTCTCTCTTTCCAATTGAGCGGGATCATCTTCAATGACAGGAGTGGATGGAGGTAATGGGGTCTCCATACGGGACACACTATCGCTGACCGAGGGGTCTATCGATTCCCGCATATCTTCCAGGGACCCCCGTGTTTCGCCTTCGGGTCCACCTGTGGCTTCCGGTCGTCCAACCGTAGACCAGTTCACCAGCGACCGTAACGCATCAACCAGGGAGTCCAGTGCTGCCCTTTTGATAACGTATTCCTTTGGGATCTCGGACTCGGACTCGTTGGGAGGGACTATGTGCACAACAGTGAGAGGTGGCGGTAGCATTCCTTTCAGCTGCCACTCAGAAGTATGGCTAGGGTTGACAATCTTTTCTTCATACAACTGTTCCTGGGCTGAAGTTACGTGGACCGGAGCGGAGGCTAATTTAGACAGGTCCTCAATGATGGTTTGGAAGATGTTGGCAACATTTCCGTCGCAGTCATAGTTGAGATACGTCTCGACCAAGCCACGGTGATCGTTACAGTAGCGATTCAGTATGTTGACAAAGTACAGCTTCTGGGACAAAGGCGCTGTGCGCCTGGCTAAAAGAGCGAGATATACCTCATTAAGGAAGACCTCGATCTCCTTCTACAATTTCATCGCACATTAGTCAAGAATCAAAAATTGGGACGAAGTCCAAACTTACCTTAAACGGTGCTCGCATGAACTTCAACATCAACCAGAAAATCTCGCAGCAGACTTCAAAGACGCGGTCTACCGAGCTCGCCCCATTCCTCGTAATGCTAAGACACAGATAGAATTTGATGGCCTGGAGAAAGCTCGTAGGCTCATTACTTTTGGTGTTGGTAATTGTACATAAGGGGGAAGTGAAGACGAGGATGTGGTTGTTTAGCAGCGAACGAATAAGGTGAAGAGATATTAACTTGGAGCGCATGGGCTGGCCGCGAATGTCGTATAATTGATCGGGAGGCAGAATCTTTGTTGATAAATTGCAGAAGGACCGAAACACGAGGTACGCGTCCCGAATGTACACCTCGTCCTCGGCATCAAGAGTCTCGACCGTCTCTTCCGGAGCTGTGTCGCCCGTTGTCTGTTCCGATATACTCCTAGCCACCTTCTTCACAGGCTTGATTTGTGTCACCATTGTGGGCCCGTCACCGAGGTTCGAGTCGTCGAAACTCTTTCGGTTCTCCAGGTCTTTGAGGGTCAGTTTGGCGCCAGCGCCGGCGCCGCTGTCATTGGCATTGTCCGAGGGAGCAGCTTCGGCAGTTTTAGATGCGGCTTCGCCTGATGGGGCATCGGGCGATCCCCCACTTTCTCCGTCTCCATCGGTGCTGTTCTCGTTCCCATTCACGGAGTCGGGACCATCAAAAGTAACATTGCTCGAACTATGCTTCAAAGTCGAGAGATTCAGACGTGATTCTTTCATGTGCAATCTTAGTTTTACCCGTTCGAAGACCATGCCCACCATCTGCGTCAAGGTGCCCTGCGCAGCTTGCTGCGTGTCGGTGCTTCTCGATAGGAGGAAGACGTTGTAGACCTGGCGGACAGCCTTGAGCAAGCCAGCGCCATGAACAACAATCTTGTCATTGAGTACAGCTGCCAAGAGGGCCTGCACAATGTGGCGCTGAACATCGACGGGTGTGGTTTCACCTTGGAAGCAGTCGCATATTGTGTCAATGGCTCGGTCTATTAAAGGGGCTTGTTCGGTGCCAGTTTGTGGTGTCGCGCCCGAGGTCGACGGGGCCGAGAAGTACGACGAGGAAATCAACTTTCCCAGACAATCGAGAGCCGTGTTACTCAGCTGGCTGCTGCCAGACTTGGTGGCCAGCTGCAGAGGCGCAAAGACGAGATCTGGGTCGGGTAGTTGAGACCCGCCTTCCTTGATGGCTTGCAAGGCCGTTTCGGCGAGTTCAGCCAGCTGCTTGTTCCTTTGGGCCTCCTTTGAAGTATGGATGGCCTCGAGGGAGGACACCACGAAGACGAGAGAGCTCATCGTAGCCGCGTATTCGAGGGTATGTCAGGGGCCATTCGGGAAGGATGATGAAGTAGCGACGGAGCGTTGGTAGGGCCGTTGTTCTTTGCACCGCGTTGACACGCGCACTGGTCAGCTTTCAATTGTCAGCACCAAGGTTCGCAACAAAGGCTGATTGTGCTCATGCGCAGGCAACAACAACAACAATTGGCTCCGTATTGTATTGATTATCGTACAGTAGGCGGGATTCGACGTCGAACGCAGTGAGACGCAATCCAAGCCCAGGCGTGGAAGGGCTAGAAATATCAAATATGGCAATGTCACGGAAGTCGGAGCTTCTGGGCTTCGCAATCAAATGCTCCAGCTGTCCTGATGAACCCGGCAACGCTACTTTTTGGGCAGGGGCTCTTTCCTCATTAATTGAAGATCAGACAAGGACAAGGATCACCTCCAAGGGCCTCACTAGAACCCAAATTCAATGTCACATGACGCCCACGTGTGGCGCAGTCTCTGCTCTACAGCATTCACGTACATCCAATTATTTGCCTTGTATGGGCTGGAATTCACGGTACAAGGATCGCGATAATACGCTGTAGTCTGTAGGCAACAACTCTTGGAGACTTAAAACACCACGACACACTCAATACCGGATTTTTAAACTCGGAAACTCCATGGAAGCCGTCCTCATTAAGCCCAAAGATTTCTTTGGAATGCACGCAAGTGCACCCATTCGAAGTGCCGTCTTCCAAGCCGCCCTTAGGGCACGCAGACCATCTTTCGGCGTATCTTAGTATGCACTCTAACCCATCTACGTGTTGCAGGCGTTGTATGTGGTTAGGCCTTTTAACAGGGAAGTATTGCTGGTACTTCTTGTTTAAGTGACAATAATACACTGCGCTGGACGTGGGGCTCCTCCCCGACTTGGCCACACAGGTCTGAGTACATCGTTAAGGGGTCACGACCTTAGATACTCGAGCAGGGTATTATATATAAATAAAAACCAAAGTCTCAGGTTCACGTTTTTTTTTCATCCTCACTATTTATATCTCTAAATTCTACGTACAATTGGCAACTGACTGAAGTACCTAGGTATTAAACTCTAAATAGGGCCCTGTAAAAGGGTGACATAATCCCGTCAAAAAGGGGCATTCCTTCGTGCCTAACGCAGAACTATGCTATAATTTCTATGCAGTATGCGGTCTTTATATCTATCCCATGGACCTTAAACAGCAAAACGCTACCTCCCAGGAATCACCATCTGAAGCTTTCCTCAAAATACTCTACATCCGCTCCGCTCCCCAAAATCTCCACCACCGCCCTCCTCGCATCATCCGCCATTCTGGCCGGCCCACACGCCACCACCGCAATACTCCCCCTTGCCCCAAAATCCCTCACCGCATCCTCAATCTCCGCATGCACATCCGGTCTGTCACGCATGACCCTGACCTCCTTCGGCAACTCAACCCTCCGCTCCCTCGTCGTAGGCCGCGTTATGTATACATCTAGCCCCAACTTCTCGTCAAACAAGACGTTACCAAAATCTTCCTTGGCAACAACGCCCGCAAAGGCGGGCTCGCGCACTGCCCACACGATGCGGATAGTTTTCGCGGTGCTTTTGGTGAGAGAGGACAGATGTGCAAGCGGGACCACAATTCCGCTGCCACCGACGACGAAGAGGACCGTTTCGAACTGGTGGAGGGGCTGCGAGCGGCCGTAAGGTCCCTCAACGAGCATGCGCAATGAAGCGGGACGAGGCCAGGAAGCGGCGGCGGCGTCGCGGAGACGGCCAGTGAAGCTATCGTAGGGGCGGATGAGGAACAACATGGTGAGATTCTCGTTGCGGGGATATTCTTCCTCGAGGAGAGTATCCTGGGATAGGAGGGCCGCCGCTTCCTCGGCAAGTCCGGAGTTGGGACGGAGGCTAGTTGCCCTGGCGCGGCCGTCGTCGTTGCTGATTGAGGCCATGGTGAAGGGGTGGCTTTCCCAGAAACGGGCGTCGCTTAGGAGGTGCAAGTAGTAGTATGTACCTGGCCTTGGACGATACAGGCTTTGGGAGCATGGGATGTAGAGACGCACCATGTTAGAGTCTGGATCGTAAGTAGCTTTGGCACGGGTATTCCAGAAGGCGCGGTTGAATGCGAGAGTGCGCGTTACCCTCATAATGCGATCGAGGGCCCATATAGAGCAAGAAACCCAGAATAGACGGTCCCAAGGAAATCCAAAACTCGAAATGTGGCTGGTAAGTGATCAGCAAGAGTAGTGGAGTAATGATTCGTCATAAGGCATTCGACTGCCAACTCACCCCAGCATGGAAAACAAGACCAGCACAGAAAGCGCGATGTGCAGGGCTAGGAAGGCTTCGTAGGCGTTTCGGCGCATCCAGTAGAGTGATAAGGGCAGCAGGGTACACATGGTTATCGTTGCCTGGAAATTGTCAGCCAACATCCAGGTTGTGGAGAGCAAAAAGGGTTTATCTACCATTTCTCCAGTAATCCACCACAGTTCAGTCCAGTATTGCGCAAACTGAGTCCAGCCCCCGCCTAGGAGAGAATTAGGACATGTCGGGAGGAAGTCTAATGAGTGCCTTTCACTTTTACCTACTATCAAATACTAGGATAGTGTAACCGATTGAGTGAACGACGGCTTGCACTGTCGAAACTCTCGCCACCCATCGATGGAAGTTATTATACGTTCCAAAGTCCCAGCCGGTCAGTTCCATCATCAGGTTGTTCCGCATGCCAAAAAGCCAGATGATCGGGAAATTGGCAAAGGATACGATGCCTGTGCGGTCTGATATGTACCGCCATGCTTGCGGCCATACATCAGGATAGCTGGATAACACAGTCAGTCATCCAGTCTCTTGGGACAGCCACGAAAAAGGGGCAAATACGCACTACAGGTTGCCCGGAAAGATGTGATAGCCGTGGACACAGAAGAAAATATTGATGGCAATAAAGACCAAGATACTCAAGCTCTGTATTCGTGGAGGAACCGTGTACCACCCGAACGGCTGGGCATTGCGGTATCCGAATGCAGCGGGTATTGACACGTGTCGCTTCCACCAAAGATACAGATGGCTGGGACTTCTTGCTTCCTTGTCAACCTGACGAGCATCGTCCCCAGGTTCGCCGAGAGGGATTGCTTGCCACCCTCGTCGTTTCGCCATGCCAGTGCAACCTAGTGACACCACGAGACGGCTGAGCAGGCCAATGGCCATGACCAGGACCCAAAACACGACCACTGCGGACCTGTAAGACTGACTATCAGCAAGGCCTTCCGAAAATCGAAAATCGAAAATTTTGAGAGAAAACCATACCCGTATATGTAATGATGTCGATAAACGTATGACCAAGAGGCCTCCACGAAGTCAGCAAACCCATTTCATATTCACCACGAGCACGTACAATCGTATTATAAGCCAACTCAAAGAAGCCATCCTCCGCAACCACAGCCTCCTCGAACCTCTTCTTGTCCTCCCACTCATCCTGCCCAAACCTTTGCACAAGTGCGATCTCATCCTCCGTATAATTAGCCAGAACTTCCTCAAACGGCGGAAGCGGGACTTGCACGGACGTCCGACACGTCTCATTATGCGCATCCAATCCCGACGTCCTCTCCTCCGGCGTGCAATACACCTTCGTGCACAAGTACAGCGACGTGACTGAAATCCGGCTGCGACACATCCTCAATTTCGGCGAGCCGCCTATGCCATTTGCATCGGTGAACTCGAGGGGTCGGATGACCATCTGGCATGCCTCGAAACAGGGCGCCCCGCGCAGATCATGTCCCGTCGCTGCGGCACTGATGGCCGTCAGTGCAGACAGAGCGATTTGAGGGCGCATCGCGACGAGGAAACAGCCGATGGCTGCTGTCGCTGCTGCTTTGAGATCCTGGCTGGTGGTGGTGCGAAAACGTCGAGGTGGTGTGGAGAATCGAGGACATGGGAGATCTTATCAGATAATCGATCCATCTGCATCGCGGCTAGACTTGCCATTTTCGGTTCCGATGGGCCAACCCGGATTTAGTAATTGTCATCATGTGAATTGGAGTGGAAGTAGCGATGAACTTCGTTTGTTGCTCCATAATTGAACGTCTCCAGATTCCTCGCACAGATTGAAACGGATTGGCACTGCCATTACTATCTCACACTGGTTACATTGGTTACTATGAACATTCCCATCCCCCGAGGCCAACAGGTGGGAGTACACCGGTCCCGGTATTCTGTGTCACCAATCCAAAATGATAGCAAGAACTGCGCGAAACAAAGAGAGTAGCGATGAATAACGCACGTTTGGTCGGGTTTCCCGAGTGAGTCTCCCAGCGTACTTCAATGGATTTTATCGGCTCCGGGCAGGCCAGAACATTGAAGCCGACGTTTGATCCGGAGCTTCGGCTACCCCACCTTATCTTCCCCGGGGTTGCACTCAGCCATCGTGTCATCTAGGTTAGAAGCTTGAGCCGGGATCACCGACTCATCTAAAGCCAACGTCGGTCGGGTTTCCATTCTCCCGATCGGGAGCCTCGACTGTATTACCATCCAGAAGTAACCGGAAACCAGGCAGCACCGATGGCGGCAACCAAGATCAACGTGAACGTGCTTAAGCAGCACAGTAATGAAGACGATGGCTGGGTCGCCATTAACGGCGCGATATGGGACGTATCCGGCTTCGCATCCCAGCACCCCGGCGGCGAGGACATCATCAAAGAGTATCTCGGCCGCGACGCGAGCCAAGTATACAATGCCATCCACGGCCCGGGTTTACTTGCTAGTCAACTCGGCCTAGACAAGAAAATCGGCGACTTCGACGATGACACCTTGACCGCCACCAAGCCTGTTGACGAGGCAGCTGCAGCATCGGCTGTCAAGGCGATGCGGCCGTTAGAGATGATACTGAACATGCACGACTTCGAAGAAGTCGCCTCGCAAACCCTTCCCGAGGCTGCGTGGGCTCAGATCTCCGGCGCCACGGACGATTGCTTCACCAAGGCTGCAAACGGCGAGTATTACCGTCGGCTGTTACTCCGTCCCCGCATCCTGGAGGATGTGAGCCGTTGTGATATGAGTACCGAAATATTCGGTGTCAAGTTCGATTTGCCCATCTTCAACGCTCCCTTTGCCTCGGCCAAGTTAGTCCATCCCGAGGGCGAGCTGGCTCTGGCTCGGGGATTGGCGGCTATGGGGACCACCATGATGATACCGACACTGTCCTCATTCTCAGTAGATGAAATCGTCTCTGAGCTGCCACCTGCACATCCGTTTTTCTTCCAGCTGTACGTTTACAGCGACCGTAACCGCACTGAAGCGCTGCTTAGACAGGTCGTGGAGCTTAAAGCCACCGCCATCATGTTGACGGTCGACCTGCCCGTGATGTCGAAACGAGAATCCATCCAGCGATATAAGGCTAAAGTCGCTGCTTCCAAACCCCCCAAGACGGGTTCCGCCGAGACACTCGCGCGCGGTTCTAATGGGGCCATTACATGCACCTTCCAGTGGAGCGACATACAATGGCTGAAAGACTTGACGAGACTTCCCATCGTCCTCAAAGGGATCCAGTGTGCCGCAGATGCGAAGAAGGCGCTTGACTATGGCTGCGGAGGAATCTACCTTTCCAACCACGGAGGCCGGGCCCTCGATACGGCCCCGCCATGTATCTTGACTCTGATGGAGATTCAGGCGGATTGCCCCGAAGTTCTTGAAAAGATGGAGGTCTTCATCGATGGGGGGATTCGCCGGGGTACCGATATCCTCAAGGCGATTTGCCTCGGGGCCAGTGCCGTCTGTCTTGGGCGGCCGTTCTTTTATGCCGCGACTTATGGCGATGAAGGGGTGAAGCACGCAGTAGACAGTAAGTTAAGCCCCGAGACTTCTGATAGCGAAACATTTGGCTGATATTGGTTAGTTTTGAGTGACGAGTTGCGCGTAGCGATGCAACTCTCGGGTATCACATCTCTTAGTCAAGCGCATCCTGGTTTGGTGAACACGACGGCTCTCGACCCCTATGTTCACCGCGGACAGAATCATCCTTGGGCCAGGAAGATTGTCCGAAGCAGGCTATAACCGTCGACTAGCACTTGATTGTGGGATATGAAACCAGCTTCCTACTGGTCTTGAGGTTGTTCGCATCAATGGAACATGCAACACCGACAGAATGAGCACCCCCCATCATACAACCCTTTTGATGAAGCTTTTACATGGTAAGCCAGAGCCAGCCACTTCAGAACCAAGCTTCATACCCAATTAGGCCACTCGACTCTTGAGTTTGGAGTTCGTTTGGCTGTCGCCTGAGTTGGAAAAATAACGCGACAAGAAATGTATTATATTTCCGCGTGGACGAAGGGATTGCTCCAGGCTTTAATGTGCGATGGATCCGCAGCACGATGCAACTAACGTCGGCACTGTATCAAATTTCCGTGAATTTTGGTTGAAGAGCTTTTGCATGGTCTTGGTTGAGTTGCTACTTACGTTAAAATATGCAATGAATGCACTGTACTTACACTTATATTTGGTCAAGGGTTTGAAAGTCGCCAAAACGGCGTTTCTTGTAACCAAGCTGTTGGGGCGTGAGATTTGCGTAGCGCCATGTATGAGCGTTGAAGCTTGCGCTGTCAACTACAGCTAGAGCTTCAGCCGCCGTTCACGAACATAACTTTGGCGTGCCACTTCGTACGAAAATAGCTGACCGTGAGCATGGCATTTTGTCGAAGAACAACCACAACGACTCTCGCTGAAATCTTCCGACTTGGAGACGGTCCTAGCAATGGCACTGGAACAAACATGCAAGGCCACCCGAGGTGGTGCCAAACTCACTTCAACACTGTTGCTCCACCTAACCAATCAGTAGCCGATCGCGGAACAGATGGGCTTGGGGGGTAACAGGTGAGATTAGTCCCCAAAAGGAATAGTGCACATTACTCCAACCTGTTCGGAGCTCCCAACGTTTCCATTCAAAAAAAACTGCAGCTGCGAATTGGCTTTCTGCGAGACCTGGTCGAATCCTTGGACGAAAATATCCCGCCAGCAGAGGGCAATTCCAAAAAGATCTCCCGCCATATACCCCGATTCCTTCAATTGGAATCTTTTTTCCATCCTCCTCTTCCTCCTGCGCATCGACGTTCCTTTCATCATCCCCCTCAGTCCGTCTCTGTCGCCCAGCATGTTCAGCGCCGTTCTCCGCCGGCGCGTCGTTCAATCGACGGCCAGATTGTCCCAGGTCCAACTGGCACGATGGTACGCCTCGTTCCCCCCCACACAGTCATCAAGATGCCGGCGCTGTCGCCGACGATGACGTCTGGAGGTATCGGTGCTTGGCAAAAGAAGGCGGGAGACGCGATCGCACCGGGCGATGTCTTGGTCGAGATTGAGACAGATAAGGCGCAAATGGACTTCGAATTTCAGGAAGATGGTGTGATCGCCAAGATCCTGAGAGATGCCGGCGAGAAGGACGTCCCCGTTGGTAACGTACGTCCTCACAACTGCCATTGATGTGCCACAAAGCTCCAGCGCCGCTCCCGTATTGAATTTCCCTCATGCTGACGTCCCTCCAGCCAATCGCTGTTCTCGTTGAGGAAGGTACCGACGTGTCAGCTTTCGAGTCCTTCACCCTGAACGACGCCGGCGACGCTGCCCCACCAAAGGACGAGAAATCGTCTTCTGAGTCCAAGTCCGAATCCGCACCCGAGGACACCCCCGCACCGAAAGTTGAGCAATATGTTTCCGACGGAAAGAAACTCCAGAGTGCTCTCGAGCGTGAGCCCAATATTAGCGCAGCTGCCAAGAGCTTGGCCATCGAGAAGGGAATCCCCGTGTCTGGACTTAAGGGCACTGGCCTCGGTGGCAAGATCACCGAGGAAGATGTCAAGAAGGCTGTTTCCGGCTCCGGATCTTCTGGAAGCACTTCTGCCGCTGCCGTTTCTTCGTACGAGGATATCCCGCTTACGAACATGCGCAAGACCATCGCCAAGCGCCTGCAAGAGTCCACCCAGAACAACCCCCACTTCTTCGTCACCAGCCAGCTCTCCGTCTCCAAGCTCCTGAAGCTTCGCCAGGCCCTCAACAGCTCCGGCGAGGGCAAGTACAAGCTGTCCGTCAACGACTTCCTGATCAAGGCCATCGCTGTTGCTTGCCAGAAGGTGCCCGCCGCCAACGCCTCGTGGCAGGGTGATTTCATCCGCCAGTTCAAAAACGTCGACGTCTCTGTCGCTGTCGCCACCCCTAACGGTCTGATTACCCCTATTGTCACTGGTGCCGAGTCTCGCGGTCTGCAGTCCATCTCCGCCAAGGTCAAGGAACTGGCCAAGCTTGCCCGTGATGGCAAGCTCAAGCCCGAGCAGTACCAGGGCGGAACCATCTCCATCTCCAACATGGGCATGAACGACTCAGTCGACAGCTTCACCGCTGTCATCAACCCCCCTCAAGCCGCCATCCTCGCCGTCGGTACCACCAAGAAGGTCGCCATCCCGGTTGAAACGGCCGAGGGCACCACCATCGAATGGGACGACCAGATCAAGGTCACGGCTTCGTTCGACCACAAGGTCGTCGACGGTGCGGTCGGTGCTGAGTGGGTCAAGGCCCTGAAGAAGGTGGTTGAGAACCCCTTGGATTTCCTGCTATAAAGCATAAGCGCTCTGCTATAACGAACCAAGACGACGCATCTGAGCTGGGCAGTTTGGCGGATGTATTATTCCAGTTTCGTAACCCGTGGTATAATTCGGCGTAATTCATGGCATGATCAGGGCGTCACTGTAGTATAGCTAGACTAAATGACGCATATGGACTTTTCAAACCTTAACTATGGAAAGGCTGGAATTGGTGCTGATACGATGCCTTGAGTCGATCGAATGCGGGACTTTGATATGTCGATGATGGGATGTCTCAGGTTGATCAAATCGGGGTCTCATACATTACAGGCTTTCTCAACTCAGATTCACAGCAATATGCGCCCAATCTAGGAACAATAGCTATACAACTTGGCTTTACCCTACAGGTGTATGTATATGGCTATACATTGAAACGAGTCCACGTGTGCCTATATTTCTTATTTTGTGAACTACGTCACACATGTAGGCTCCCTAGATGGAACTAGTAGGTAATATAAATTTTCGGTCGTGGCAATACTATTCTAGGGCTCTGTTGCACGATTTCACCAGAACCAACGTGGATTGGATCTTGTCGAATAGTTCTCTTCTAGTGACGCTTCATGTCAACTAGTACGCATCTGATAAGCACAGAATGTGTTGGTGAAACATTCTGCTTTTCTTCAAACACCTACAGGGATGAGTTCAGCTAGGCTTGTGATCTGTCATTTTCAGTTTCGGGCCGGCGCTTGCAAGCGCAAACCGAGTGCGTGTTGCCAACACTCCTCCCTCATTGTACACAACTGCGCGGAACCCTGATCCCAAATGCTGGCTCTCGTGGCAGTTGGTGTGTAGCATGTCTCACCATGTACTCCACATAGCACATGTCACTCACAACGTATGTCGTATAACCCTCTTGGATCCCCTAGACTTCCAGACAAAGCCGTTTAACTGCGATTCTATCTCTTTCTTTGCGGATATTGGCCATGAATTGTTAATCAGCTGGTAGTCATGATATGGATCAACGGCAGACTCGATGAATCATCTTACTAACGCGCTAGTAGCACGTCCTGTAATGTTACTCAAATACTTGAAACCACTATAGTCTGTGAATGGTGACTGGATAAGCGTGTCTTAGATCGATCTTCGTTACCAGATTAAAAACAACAGAGCCCCGGTTCGCTGGAAATATGCCCGTGTATCAATAGTGGAATTCGCTATTTAATCCGTCCGTTCGGAAGCTTTCTGGTTGTGGTTGCGCTGCGTGCGGTACGCGTTGATGTCCAGCCTGTGGAAGGGGGTGGGGGATGGAGCTGTCCAAGTCCGGATATATGATCACCAGACTGCATCCGATGAGGAACTACCTGATGAGCATGAAAGATGGGCTCATCCACCCAAGCCTTGTCAAAAGACTACGATATAACCACGATATTCGTAATCGATGATATTGTTCCAGTATGAATTTTATATACGGAGGTTAATTGGGCCGGGATGACAATGAAGAAGTCGAGTTCTGTTTCTCCTTTTCCAGAGGAAGAGTGTTCCTGTGTCAATGGGCTGCACTACGGCTGAGACTGACAAAGACGAAGTGGATGTCCAGTCTACGACGGCCAACGGCTCTTTCATGGATGGTTGGTGGGAATAAAATTCTAAAGAATTATTTTTCCACTGCATCGACAGAGAAGGGAAAGGCTAGTCGTAGGGCAACCTCTCAGACTTGATGTAATAGTTGTGCCAATCTTGTCGTCATCGATGGTTCCGTGTCAGAGAACGTATTGGCTCCGTGGCTCAGCGCGGCCTCCTTTCTGATCCTTAGACATGCCGGCGGCGAACAGCTGTTGATAGCAGCTCGGACATCATCTGATGTGCTGCCTAGTGACAAATGGCAAAACACGGAAACACAAGCAGGGATCACGGCTTATACGACATGCCGAGGGAAGTTGGGATGAAGGAAGAACATGGACGAGGTACTGCCCTCATCCTCTCTCTCAGACTTTTTGGCCCTCGTGAATACCACATGAACATCCTTTTATTGGCCTTGATCCGTATAGCCGACTGCGGATCTGCCTCAGGCTCGCGGATGACCAAAGCGCCACCTCTGAGCATCAGCGACAGGACATGCTCCGCCACAAGATAGGCCACCACTGAGACCAGCGTCAAAGCAGCCGGTTTGTCTTTGTGCAGCGCAATGCACCACTGTGTGGGCACATTCGTGACATTCGTGGAGGAGTAACTAGTGCTAGACAGAGCGAGCGTCGCCTAACTTATATCCGCGTTCGTCTCGGCACACAACTGGAAAAAGCCCAGGCCGCCTGCACCCAGGTGCTGAAGCAACTATTTCATCATTATCATTTTGCGGGGTGTAGCATCCCTAGGCACGAGGGAGAGATTCAGGGGCGACACTTTGCAAAGTTTTAGACCCCTCCCGCCATGAGCTTGGGCAATTTCCACAAGCTGCAGTGTCTCTCCGGCTGGCCTGGCTGTCGTGAAAACGTCCAGTCGCCTCGAATTATACCGCTGGCTTTTCTCCACGTCTGGAAACAACCTTCTGATGAGCTGTTTCTCTCCGTTCCGGAATACCTGCGGCTCTGCCGTCGTCGATGATGTTTGTGCCCTAACTATTTAAGAACCATGTTTCTCAGCAGTCTCGTGACTATTTCTTCCTAAATGGCACCCCCATACGCCATGGCGTTGAGGTCGAATCTCTAGACGCCCAAATTATTCCTTCTTCACCATGTGGGAAAGGCCTGTCGTCATGTAACTGAAGGGGTTGATGTCTCTCGATCCGCTCGTTGCCCAGATCAATGTACCAGCGGTGGACTACGGTGTCTTTACCGCAGAAAACTTGTGAGCCATTAGGTTTTCTAGGTAAGGCCCATCTAGGTCGACGAAGGATAGCTCAGTAACGACCCCTGAACAGCATGCAGCAGCCTTGGCCATGTTGGAGGACACGAAATCCTTCTGTGTTGGATAATTATTTAACCTTGAAGCGGTGCGCAGTGAAAAAACACAACTGTCTGCACATAGATGACGTGGTTCCTCCAATAACAGCCAGCGCATCGGTCCGCACAGCCGGGTAACGCCCCTTTGCAGCGAACGGTCCGCGCAGCAACATGATTTTGAAATCCACCGCGTGAGAAATGAACAAATTTGCAGGCAGCAAGGAGCTAATATTCGGCGTCATGGTATCGATGCCGACGAACCCCGTCTTCTTAAGTGTGACATCCCACCGACTGACCCAAAGGCCTCCCCGTCTCAGAATAAACCACCATCCGGGCAGCGTACCAACCGTCATATCCGTCAAGAGAAGATTGGTAGGCGTGAGCTCGCACACGAGGATAAACAGGTCTGGGTTCAGCAGCCGGCGGATGTTGGGCAGGGCCGCTTGCCCGTTGAACGATGCGTGTAGTACGCTCATAGCGACTAAAACATCGTACACGCCCTTATCGAACCCCTGTCCCGCGATCTACTTCTCCCTATTGAACGTCTTGAAGGCCATACGGCTGGATTTCTTGCCAAACGCCTCCTCATTCGGGAGGAAGAAGCCGCTCGAGATATGAGTAAACGCGTACGATGCACATACACCGTCAAGAGCCCGTCAACCCGAAGACGTAGTTGCCGCCGTGCTGACCCCAATGTCAAGGTTGGCTGACCCTGCCTATTAACTTGGACCGAGGAATCGCTGAATATTGTCTCCACACTAGCAGCGTCGTCTTCAAGTACAATATCACGCGGGATCTCCAAATGCATCAGCCTGACCAGACTGATAACGGCACCAGTGCCAAAGCAACAGCTTTCATGGCCTCAACCGCCATGCTCACGCACCCATAGCGGGAATGTCGTCTGGCCCTGTAATGTAGGGTCTTTGAATCAGGCCATCTCGCTCGGCTGCGGGATATTCCGTCACTGTATCTCGCCCGGCGTGCTCGCCTCGGCACAGGGTATGCTCAAGACCGAGTTGCGCGCGTGTATGGCTTTGCGGTACTTGAAGTGGTTGACAGGCCGATTGCTGGTCCAATAGTTGTGGTGTTGCTCAAGGGCCATGGGTGTAGGTCGCTAAGGACTCGGCTCCCTTTTTTGCTTTTGGCTGGAGCTGGACAGGAGGGCTTCTACGTCGGAGAACTGAACGCTGTTGGAACCGACACGTGTTCAGATCAACCCAACTGCGACACTGAGTGGTTTGATGTACAATATAAATTGACGTTTAGTAACCATCCTAGATCACTCAAATACCAATATCTGTACATCTCAACAATACCTCAAAATGGTAACTCCATTAGTATGAAACAAGGGGATTGATCACAAGTAGCATGGTTATCTGGCATAGTCAATTCTGCGCTATTGGGTAACTGAGATTATCCTGTGGGATAGTCATGAATCAAAACGAAGGTCTACCTAACGCCGAGCCTTGTCTCAATGCTAATCATGCATTGTCGGGGGTATCATAATCACCTCATACTTCACGTCACACCACCTTGTCTATAAAGGAAGTCAACTTCTCAACCACTTCGGATTCAGCATCTGGATCCTCGGAAGGAAAGCCCAGAAGCGCATCCCTTAATATGTTGTCATTTGCATCGTGCACCAATTTCTTTATGGTCTCGGTCTTGAAATCAGCGTCAGGCGTCTGGCAATGAACAGCAACCAGAGACTTGAAAAAATCGATGAGGATGAGGTGCATGAGTTCGTCTGTCTTGTCCACCATATGAAGTGCCGCGAACTGGAGTAGACCGTAATTTCCATCGACCTGCGCACAACGCCGATTCAGGTCGTCGAACTTGGTTGCGCACAGCCGGGGTAGGTTCAACTCGGACATTCGAGGTAAGACGCGAAGTAGGCGGCCTTGGGCGAGGCATCGTTGTCTCTCTGGAAGCCCTCCAACCCGTGTCGTCAGCGACAGTAACAAAACGTATATAGAGGGATCTGTGAATATCCTGCGCCACAGGAAGCCCTGGCCTTGCGGTTCCCGTTGTGCAACTGTCAAGAGTCCGTTGGCGTCTGGTAATGGCACGTCGCAATCGATTTCCAGCAAACCCAGCAGAGTTCTGTTTCCCATTTCGCCCACGCTAACATCAGGGCAATCCAGCCACCTCTCCACGAAGCTGGACACGACGTCCTTCATCGAGCCCAGAATAGTGGCTTCGCTGGGGGATTGAGCTTTCTCGAGGATGGCCATGCCAAGGATAACGGCGGACGGCCAGGGGGATCGCAGAGCTTGAATTATGGCTTCTTGGGTGGTCATGGTAATAATCTGGCTGAAGGTGAGAGGCCGAAGTAGCTTCATAGTCAATTCGCAGAGGACGGTCGGCTCAGCGGAGAACACCTGAAGAATCGCGGTGATCTTGGGTAGCAGCCGGGGTATCAAAGGGACCGTATTGGCATCTAATCCATATTAGTACATAATAAGCAAACGAGCCCAAACACCATGCCTACCGGATAGCTGAAGGCCCACGTCGTCAAACAACTTCTCGTTCAGAGGCAGACTTGTGTTTGCCAGGACCGCATCGAGATGGCTCTCCAGCTCGTCGACACCGGCGACGGGGACGGTGTCAGACATTTTGATGGCGATTCTCGACATACAAATAATGTAATTGAACGATATGGGAATGGATGCGGACAAAGTATGTTTGACTTCGAGAAGTCGAACTTGTTTGTCGAATCCAAGTTCCCTGCCGAATGCTAGTGGTAGCTGTGTTCACTTGAAGAAACCTAGTGAAAATGAGAAAGCTCAAGGTAAGGCTGTGCCACAAGCATAAATAGAGTCTGTATGAAGAAATTGTTTCACTAAAGCCTCAAGAATCGAGTGCTAACCTAGCCAGCTCTTCCTTACGCTGGCTGCTCAGACCAAGATACTGGCAGTTCCGGGTCCACGTACCTGCGACTGCCTTGAAGTTGCATTGAGAATGGCGGGGTGATTGGAGCTTGTCAGATCAACAGGGAAGCCCCACCTTTGCCCGCAGGTCCACTTAAAAGTTCGAGTCAAATCTCCCATCGCAAGTGCCTGCTTCAATTCACTCAGTTCACTGCTCATGACACCTTTAACTTGCCATCGGGTATTGACTCCACGTAACTAACGCACAATGTCTGGACGAGGTGGTGGTAGAGGTGGCGCAAGAGGTGGCAGAGGTGGTGCCCGCAAAGGACCTCCTGGTCTGCCATGGGAAATCGACCCCTCGGTGCAAGTTCCCGATCGACCTCAGGAAACCTACCCAAAAACACACAACCCTCCTCCTGCCTCCAAGCACCCTCTTACCGCATCCGAATCGCGCTCCGTACGCTACTTCGTCAAAGTCCGCCGCGACTTCCACAACTCCCCCCTCTACACGCACAAGTACCTAGCGCCCGACTCGACCGCATCCGCCCACCTCTCCGACCCAGTGTCGCGTTCATACGGCCAGGAACAGATCAATGCGAAATACGGCGTTAAAAGTAAGGCCGCCGTTGATCCATTCACTGCTGTGCCTACATACAGTCACCAGTTCGTCGAAGAGAGCCGAACACTGCCTGATGTGACTGCACGACCACTACCCTACATAAAGGAATTCTTCCCCCCGGAGCTATGGGGCACGATTGACGGGCACGATGGACCCAAGACCAAGGCTGCCGCCACGGCCAGAAAGGGCGTCAAACGGAAGTCTATCGCGGTCGAAGAGGATCCGTTGGCTGACTCGGACGATGAAATCTTTGCGATGATGCGCAAGCCCGAGACTGAGGCGCAGCGCCGCCGGCGGATTGAGGAAGCTGCCGAAGGGGGTGGCGACAACGAGGACGTCGAAGGCGATGTTGATGTGGACGAGGAGGAACACGAAGTCACGGAGGACGATGACTACGAGGATGACGAAGATGGTGGCGACTACAACGCTGAGCAATACTTCGATAACGGCGTTGATGGCGGCGATGACGACGATGGGGATGGCGGCGGCGAAGTCGAGTTTTAGTGGCTGTGAATAGAGCCTACCCCGGCGGTTCTCACCGGCATTATTAGTGCATAGCTCCGAACCATGCTAGGGCTTGTTCGAGATATTCTGTTATGTCCCGCGATAGCCTGGGATCGGTGCGAAAGGAATGGAGGAGTATGAGTTGACTGCATAGGGACGGCGTTTTGGAAAATACGAAGTGTGATAGGTCTTTGTTCTACATCTTTACTCTCCCCTGGGAAGGTTGGCGCTGGACCAGCGGGAGAGGAGGGTGCCGCCTAGATATCCTGAAACGCCGGTTAAGAGGATGTTGTGGGACATTGTTAGCGGTCGATAAACCTTTGCAGATGGTTGGATCGAGGGTCAGGCAGGTGTGGTCGGAATGGATTCCTCGAGACTTTGATCCGACATAGAATAGCTGCCAAGATGACATCTTGATTTTTATGAACCTGAGAATTTCAGATATGTATGATAAGATCGAGCCGCAAATGCCGTAGCAATACGGCCAATTTCCAATGGACATCGAGTTGCAGCTTGGTAGGGCAGAGGATTAGTAACCCAGCCAACCAGAGCCAATGAGGGACATTGATTTCCCCCAAACTGACAAATCATCTCCCGCCGGTATAACGTGTTGTTGTCTGCTGCTTCATCTCGAGGAATCAACCCCTGGTACGCGGCTCAATGTTTGCCCTGCCGTCTGCGAACGCATGTTCCACCCCTGAATAGTCGGCTTCTGCCCCTTTCACTACGGGCGGCGTAAAATCAGGCATGCCCAGTTGTGAATGCTTGTGGACGGCACTCAGACATACAATTAAGCAAATCGAACTCCGTGTCCACATCAATCCTTGCGTTGAATATTCATCTTCGGATCTCATCACGATATTGTAGCCGTCATGGTCAATATTGGTATCATAACCTATGTAAGTGTGTACAAATATCGAAGACACAAGCAGAACCCCACGCCACCCTCGCTCTGGCAAACTATAACCTAGACGCAGTCATCACTTACTTATAAGACGAAGTCGTCACAAATATCGCATCAACAATAAACACCTCCGCCACCACATTGTAGTCATGAAGTCGCAAACCCAGCTTATTCACTCTTCGTGTTCACCAAAAGCCCCTCTCATCTTGTCGGGGGACCACCTAAATCAGCTCCTGGCTCGCGGCCTTCTTCCCGTTTTCCTCAAGACTCTTTCCCAGCCCCTCAATAAGCTTCGTTAGCTTCTCGACTTCCCTCCTCAGCTCCCTAACCTCAACCGTAGCCGTATCATCCTCGACATTACTCTTGCTCTCAGCCACCATCTTGGACCAACCATCGCTCTCGAAATCCATCTCCTCTGCCATCTGTTCCCACTCCTCGACGGTATCGTCGTCCTCCTCGCCTCGTTTGCGGTTACTCCTAATTCCCCTCGCAGTGTGAACCTCGAAAAACGCCGCCGCCACCAAAAGAGGTGAGTAGATGGTCCCCATGACGATGTCATTGAGACGCTCGTACATGTGCTTGGGCAACCACCACTCGAAAGGAATGATAAGGCAAAATAGTTCGATCAAGTTGAACGGGGCGATGAAAACGTTCTCATCTGGTGCTCTCACGAATTGCATCGTTTTCTGCGCGAATAGACCCAAGAACTCGTCGTCCGCGTTCTCGTAGATGTCTTCGTAGGCGCTGTTGTAAAGCGCGATAAGGATATTAAGGAGCACAATCATGATGACAAACGTGAAGACGTAGTACAAGATGATGCCAAACGGCGGGCTGAATCTCTCAAAACCACTGAAGTCAGGGGATTGCATGACTGCGTTCGCCATGGCCTGCAGAATGAAGGCGGTATCATCAGCAGCCATGTCATCAGCATAGTCCATCCCGATGAAAGCCTGGAGAAAGCCAACGATCATGACGAAGAGCAAAGCGAAGAAGATGACGCTTTCCTTCATCATGACCTTGACTACCACGAGCATGGCCCCGAAGAAGCGGAAACTGTCGAGGTAGAGGAGCAGTCGTGCCCAGAATAGAGGAGCTGTGAATGCGAGGAAATTGTAGCTGAGCTCATTGAATTTTCGGCGATCGCCCGACTCATCCCAGGGATGGCTGAAGGCAATAAAGCGCATTACCAGAGACACTACCAGCATTGAGTATAAAAGCGCGTTGAAAGCATTCCAGAACCCAATAATGTGGTAGCCTGCCTTCCAGAACTTGGTCAACTCGTCGCATATGAAACCGAAGGTGAATATGTAGAGGAGAGCTTCAACAGCGTCCAGGTCGCCATCTGGGTTGATGGTGTTAATTGCGCCGGTGTACAACGCCAGGTATATAAGGGAGATGAGAAGCTGGGCGGCGTTCTGGTACATGGGCGCTCGCATCCGGTCTGGGTCGAGGTGGTTCCAGAACGAGGTGTTATCGCGGTCTCTGTAATCAATGAAGCTGGCCGGATCGTTTTCATCTTGGACTAGCCATCCTTTCCAGAGATAGGTCACGCACTTTTGGTAACCGGAAGAGCCGATGACGTTCAAAGCGTGTAGGTCGACGGCCTTCTCGATAACATTGACGGGCGGGGTGGCCTCGCCATCGACCATGATGGAGTATCGCTTGAGCAAAACCGAATGCAGAAGATAGCCTATGTCTTCCTCAGATTCAATACTATACTAGGTTAGCAGGTGCTCAGAAGGGCCGCCGACCCCGCGCTTACATCTGCTTGGCAATGACCTCGCAGGCAGTCGCCCGGAGTGCGTGAAGCTCTGCATCCCAAAGCTCGATCACGGCTTGGTGCTTAAACCAACGCTTGGTGACCAGCAGACAGAACACCACACATGCTTGATGGTCCGGCCCGCCCGCCTCCTTTGCAGCCTTGACAACTTTCTTGGTGATGATCTTGCTATGCGGGCGGACAATCTGTGCCTCCTCGAGCTCGCAGGGGACAGCCTCTTCAATCAAGTATCGCAGTCGGAGGGCAACTTTGGTGACTTCGGGGGCAGGAATGGCAGACTCGATGTTCTGCTCGCGATATCTTGGGAGGACTTGATAGCGGGTGGTAGCCCTTATGTTAGCCCCAAGTACTCGAGTGTTGACGTTGACATGGTGAGAAGAACAAGACAGGGCAATTGCTAGAGCGACGAATGATGGGGTCGAGTTCAAATGCAGTGTACTCACGTCGGCGGCGGGACTCATGAATATGGTAGTCATGATCGTGGGAGGGATGTTGGTCCCAGCCTAGAAGCCGGCTGAAGCTGAATCGACCTCTCGCCATGTTGATCCAGGTTGTCTGCAGTTACAATGGCCGACAATTTTGCATGGGAGCTTTGACCGGAAGACACGGATGGAGAAACGAGGAGATTGGCAGCCTCAATTCGCAGTTGAAGTCACAGAAGCCGAAAGCAAAGCGAGAGGAACGTATGTATAGATCAATTGCGACTTGGTGAGTTGGTTTTCTACCAAACAATGCTCGAACGGCCTCTGCCCAGATAGTTGCTGGCGCTAGCTAGCCAGCCAGCTTTCGGGCGTCAACCTGTTTTCGCGTGCGGTTCTCCGCAATTGGACACAAATGAAAGGCTAACTGGCGGTTTACCAGCTTCCAAGTCCCAAGTGCACGGGCGACGACGTCATCAAAGTCAATTCAACCAACAGCAACGTGGCGAGCTCTTGGGGCTTCCAGGATATGGGAGCTTGTCCGCATGTGATCTCAATTGCAGACGGGATGCATGTGTGTTGCTACCCCCTTAACAGTTTTTTGCTGGGCCACCACTCTATTGCAATACTCCACCATCAGGTTTCTGATGATCCCCAAGCGCACCCCAAGCGCAACGCATTTGGGTCCGACATCGAGATGTATTTTCTCAGTTCCGTTGGTCCTTTCATTCTGTCACACAACATCTGCCAACCTCGGGACAAATGTCTCAAGACATTTTCATGCAGTTGACGAGACGTGCTTGCAGCAGATGGGAAGGTACGGCCAAGTACAGGGCTACAAAACCCCGCCTCAAACCAGAAATAACCATCAGAGAAAGAGAAAAGAAAACATCCTTTTTTGGCCTTCACATAAATCTGCAGCTTCATATTTTCATTTGCCATGCTTCGCAAGCTTGTTGTTGCCGATAGGCTCGTTAACGGCACATCTGACATGGATCAACCTCCGCGTTAGTTGAATGCAACTAAATCCGCAGCTACCGCACAACCAGGAATCAGGTTGAGTCCTGGATGAATTGACTTCGGGGTGAAGAATATTAGAGGTCATACTAAGAAAATATGCAGCTGGTCGAATTTGGACTGGAGTTCGTAGCTTCAGAGTAGGTACGGAAGCTTTCTTTCAATATTTTCTTGTGGCTGTCGAGCAGCATGCGGCTTTCCGTCTAATGGTTTCTACGTTCGACGTCGTGACGGTAAAACTACCGTACAGATCTCGTAGGTCTTGATGACGGACCTCTCGCCCTGGAACGGCGGCAACATACAGATCGTACCGTGTCTGTCGCACGTGTGAGCCGGCAGATCTAATAACGGAATCGGAGATCGTTCAACCTGACATTTGATTTTGAAAAGAGGCTGTTGTCGCCAGAGATTGGCGCAGGTAAGACGGCCGCCGTGTGCTTGCACTCATTTACCAAGCTGTAGGCCGCATGTTGAACGACCTGACAAGTTTTCATCAAAAACTGTATGTGCTGTGATACCGCTAGCTAATCTCATGAGCTCACATACATTGTTGGTAGGGTGTAGCGGCTCTAGTCTCAAGCGGAGATGCATCCTACTATAGTAAGGTCGTTCCTGGGCCATCCCAGTGGAGTGCTAGAAATGTGGGTATTAACTCATAAGGCTGTACAACAGCGCGGTCTGTCCACCAAAATAATCAAATTCCCGCCAGGGACTGATTGAGGGGGTACGAAAATTGCCAAATTGTTGTTCTCATCTTGCACATAGTAAGCGCCGGGACATGCACAGAGGCTGCCGTCCGGTATCGCTAATCCAAAAATTCCCATCAGTTGATGGCCGCAACATGTCACTGTCGTAAAATGTGACACGGCAAGATCCTATTGATCAAATGATGCAACTCCGTATTTCAGCCTTAGCGGTGAGATATAGGACGGTTGCCTACAAGGCGAATGACACGGTTGCCTTAATCCAACCTCAACGTCTGACAGAGGCACCAAGTCGAGGAAAAGCCCCGATTACAGACGGATTTGCGAGCGGCGCAGCATGACTAGAACGAATAAGAAAGAAGCCGATCCAAATCCACGAAACCTGCCAGCGTTGCTCGACATGCGTTCTTGGATCGTTTGGGGGTCAAAAGGATGTCGGACTGCCAGTCATATCCCGCCCATTCCAGATGTCCACGTTGTGGGGCATTATCGATAACGTACACCTGGCTCTGATGCAGTCGCTAAATGGATCAGCCAAGGCAGCTACGACCGCTAGACGATCCGCGGGCAAGGCGGGCAACGGGCAAGCAGGGCCGTTGGCCGAAAGGTGGAAACGGGTTGGGGTTGAGTTGGAGACACCGACATGGGGTAATTTCTTGAATCCAAACACGACTTCAACTTCAGCTATCAAATTTTTTGATGTGGCCTCGCTCTGTCTCCTTCTGGCCCGTAATATTCTCGTACTATTTCTTTGAACGTGATTCGGGAATCTTCACTATGCCGGTCTCCATACAGGCCAGAGGCAAGAGAGCTGTGGTGTTCCCACTTGAGAGACACACAGCTTCAGAGACACATGCAGGCGCTCACGTAGCGTTGCGTCGTCCCCACCGGCGACCGCATGTATCCTGGATGTGCTTGCTGTATGCAACATATCACATCCTGGGGAGGCCCTAGTCGCTCGCCTAGCTGCCTGTGCTAGCTGCCTGCGTATGGCTGAACGCCTGGCTTCATGCAGTCAGTTTTCCATCAGCGGGACGATCCCGCCTTTTCTACTTCAAGCCTACTTACCTAGTACTCGAGCTGCGAACCAACCCATCTAGCCCTCCATAACAAGCCAGCTGTCTTCGTTCTTGTATATTTCGTCTTTTGGTCGTCTAAAGCTTTAATGAGCTTCCTCGTCAAAGCCTCATCCTCTCCCCAAGCCTACGGTCATAGGGTTCCCAGGGTATATCTACCACTTCTTGAAGACCAACGGGTCATTTTGTTGTAGGAACTTGGAAATCCATGAGTAATATATCCCATTTCATAGCATCTCACTGCCTTTTCTTGTCTTCGCTGGGGCTATGCCAGGCCGATCATGCCATTACAGCCAAAGTTGGCTGCGGGGTCACAGCAAGGCTGTCAGCCGAAATCGTGAGATGTATTTTGTGAGTGAACACCTTCAAAATTGCGCTTTCATTGATATTACACCTTTGATCAAACATTATGCAGCCAGGTTTGCGAGAGCTGTTGTTTTCCGAACGGTTTCGCGCAAATGTAGACCGTGCTTGCCTCCCCCTTCTCAGCAAGTTTGCACGAATCCTTCGGAAGCTCAACGCGCCATTGATACGCATATTGTTGCCACTTCAGTAGAATTCACATCTGTATTCTTTGTACGCTTGCTAATTGGAGGCAGAAACGAACCAGTCACCGTTGTACATAAGACTGACTGGCGTTCCCAAACCCCCCGCCTTTCGCCCCTCGCCTGATCTCAACCCAAGCCTTCAATCTCACAGCCCGTCCATCTCCCTAAGCTGACAACAATCCCACGCCGTGTTTCAGCCAACATGGCGTCCAGCATCGACATGAAGCTTGAATCGCAGGAGGTGACGGGTGTCCGCGAAGGTAGCATTGCCACCAACACGGACGAAGCCAAAGCGCCCACTCCTGAAGCCACACCTTCTTCCACGACCGTTGCCGACAAGAAGTCTGGGAAGTCAAAGGATGGCAAGAAGAAGGTATCTTGTGGTAAGAAACACGGCAAGATGAAGTCCAAAAAGGGCAAGAAGCCGACCCCGACCGAGGACTCGTCCAGTGAGAGTGACGAGGACGATCAGATAGCCCTATCTGAGGACTCGAGCGACTCCGACTCGGCATCTGAACAGGACGTCAAGAAAAAGCGTGTGCTAAAAAAGCGACAACATACTCAAAAAACCAAGAAGAAGGCCAAGTCGGCAAAGAGGCTCAAGAAGCAATCCAAGGCTCAGGAGACGTCCTCGGGTTCCGACAGCGATGATTCCGATGGCCGTACCGAGGAAGATTCGGACTCGGATGTTACTCGCCAGAATCAAGCGAATGCCGGCCAGCAGCAAATCCAGCAGCTTCAGGTACAGATACAACAACTTCAACGAAAACTCGGTGGCGTTGTTCTGAGCCTGAACCATGGCACTGCTTCGCTCAACAACGGTCTCAATACTGGTCTCGGGTCCAGTGGCAGCCTCAACTCAGCGGTTTACGACCGAATCCTCTTGGAACAGGGTCATGCCGGACTTGGGCGCGGTCCGGGTAGAGCCCGCAGAGCACCCGGTCAACCTGCTGCCTTGGGCCTTGGCACAAGAAGCAACAGTTCTCTTGACAGCGAGAACCTTCTCGGCGACAGTGAACGCATCGCGTCTAAAAAAGTGCACGGCGGCAAACGTCCCCAGCGATTGGAATTCAAGCGCGTTGACCAAGTGTGGGACTCAAAAATCCACAACTATAAGCTGCAAGACACAGCTGAGAATGCTTCGGATTCCAAGTACGACGAGTATCTATTCCACGTTCGGCGCACATTTGACTGGGAGGGCAAGTATAAGGCTACTATCATTGACATCAAGAGCAAGCAGCTTCGTGAAGCCCTCCAAGACGTTATGGGCAACATCAAAGGAGTCAGCTTAGTCGAGGAGACACCTAAACTCGACCCCAACATGCTATTCCTGTACTTGGAGGATCTTCGAGAGCACATGCAAAACCTCAAGGATCTCGAGCCTGATGCTAAGACGAAGAAAGAGCGCAAGAAGGTCCAGAAGTGGATTGATGAGAAGCGACGCCACCTGAAAATCTTGGTCAGGTACCTAGACAAGGACTACGCTCAGATCAAGAAGAGCCTGTACCCTCTTCTCGAGAACGGACTAATCACCTTTGATCTGTCTTGGGCTCTGTGGAAGCCGAACACTCTGGCCTACACGACTACATACGGTTCTCTTGACGAGCCACGTGTGTTCAAGGTAGAAGTGGCAGAGAAGCATTACAGCATCGTTAAGGGCGACTTTTACTACATCGAGGGCAAGTATTTTGAGTTTGACGGGAAGCAATTCGGTTACGGGAGCATTTCCGAGGAGATAGGTGACTTCCGTGGCGCGCGCAAGATTTCCAGCCTGAACTGCTACCCGCTAAAGTACCACAAGAATGAGTCGCAACTTCGGCAGGACCTTATCGAGCGTGGCAAGAAGTTTGTCAATCTGGGGGGCGTGAACTACAAGAGCCATCAGGGAATGGCGTACTACAAGAAGAAGAAGACCGTGATCAAGGTCAACATCAATGGCCGCATCATGGTGGATCCCAGCATACACCGCCGTAACAATCCCAATTACCCCATCTCCCTCGTCCGGCCTAAGGATCACGATTTACTGAGTGACGACGAGGACAGCGACGAGGAGGGCGGCTGTTGCGGGTGTGAATCTGAAGACGATGCGGGTGACAGGGATAAGGGGCTGCTCGACGATGACGAGGAGGATAACGTCAAATACGTCACCAAGGTCTACCGCGATAAGAATGGCGATGTCCACATGGTCAAAGTGCCCAGGGATGCGGCTGAGGGAGACGTGCCCAAGGAGAAGCTCGACAAGGTGGCCAGCAAGGCCCAGAAGGAGAACAGCGAGGACAAGGACGACGCCGAGTCCAAACCCACTTTTACCGATGAGGAGTACCTCATTGCTTCGCCGGTTGTTCTTGGATTCGCTTTCGCCGAGAAGTTGTGGCTTGAATTTACCGTGTCCGGAGTCAAGGAGATTTCATGGAATGAGCATGCGTACGAGTCGTTGGTACTCGAGACCAAGATGAAGAATATTGTCAAGGTGAGTTGTGAACCTGAGACATACCAGGAAAGCTACTGACGTATAATTCAGGCTCTCGTCGAGTCCCACAAGTATCATGCCGCCGAAAGCATTGACGATGTGATCCAAGGCAAGGGTAAAGGCCTGGTCGCTGTCCTTCACGGGCCCCCCGGTACTGGCAAGACCCTCACGGCGGAGGGCATCAGCGAATTGCTCAAATGTCCGCTGTACATGGTTTCGGCTGGCGACTTAGGCACCGATTCACGCTACCTTGAGGCCGAGCTTCAAAAGATCCTCGATATTTGCCATGCGTGGGGCGCAATCCTTCTCCTGGACGAGGCCGACGTCTTCCTCGAGAAACGCAACATGCACGACATCCACCGCAACGCCTTGGTCAGCATCTTCCTGCGCCAACTCGAGTACTTCCAGGGTATTCTCTTCCTGACCACCAACCGCGTCGAGGTATGCATCCACCCCTCATCCACCAGCATTCATGCCCAATGACTGAGTACTAACACACATCACCCACAGACCTTTGACGACGCCTTCCAGTCCCGTATCCACATCGCCCTCCGCTACGACGAGCTCGATACCAAAGCCAAGAAGGCCATCTTCAAGATATTCATCGAGCGGGTCCGCGTGCTCGAGCAAATCGACCTCATGCCGTTTACGGAAGAAGACTACAATACGTTGGCGCGCCACAACCTCAATGGACGCCAGATCAAGAACACGATCCGCACCGCGCAGGCTCTTGCCGTCAACAAGGGTGAGCCGCTTAGCATGCGGCATATCCGCGAGGTCCTCGATGTCGCTATCAGTTTTGAGCGTGATCTCAAGGGTGGTACGGGGTATCAGGATGCTATGAGGAGTTATTTCTAGGCCGCCATTTGCCCTGGAGAAAACTCGGAAACGGAAAAACGGCTTATACTGACTGCTACGAACCCTCGATTCGCGCTCTTGGCAATCTAGTTAGTATTGGTTCGATTGAAGTTAACAATAAGCTGGCTGCGGCATTTATCCCCCTTGGCAATGTCCACGCATGCTAGCACACCCAGTTGACGTTCGCCGAGATAGATTAGGAACATGTGTAAGATGTGATACCGGTTTCCTTTCTCTGTCATTTCCCCTACCCTGGCCAGATGAGCCTCAGCGAAATTGGTCTAAGGAGGTATTCACTTCAATTTGGATGTGTGCGATTATTATTGGGGCTCTTAGTAACCCTTTTTCTTGCGATCTGGCAGCAGGAGTGGCTCCAATGTTCTCTGGTTTTATTCCCTCTGATCTGATGATGGACGGACGGCTGCATGGTTGCGAGCGAGTAAGCAGGGTAGCTTAGCATGCGATAGTTTTGTGGCTTCCTAAGCGAATAAATTATTTTCTCATCGTAAATGAGCTTTGAGTGCGATCTGTAGAGGTGTACTGCCCCGTTTAGATGATAAGCCATCCACGGCAAGGTGACTGAGCATGGATATTAGATCAGGCCAATTTGCTAACATAAATCAGCGTCCGATATTTGACTTGCCCGAAAGATTGCGGAGAGGCTAGAGAAAAGTTGCCCTGTGTATGTATGAATGATAATGCAGTGCTGTTTGGATCCAACAGCGAAACTTCATGTACTGTGCCTCGTGGTATTCACGTGGCAGCTCGAGTCACAAGCGTAAGCGAACAGACACATTCGGGGGGTAGGACAATGTATGAGAACTTTAGGCAACAATAGTAGAAGTGATATTCAAGGCAAGCGCAAATAAACTCAACTATAGCGGCAAAATACATGTATCGATTCATCCCACCAACCTACAGACATGACGAACAACGGCGGTTGACCAACGCCGGCCCAGTCAGCCAACCATGCCTAAATCATGGTCACAGCATCACGAAGAGATAGAACGCATGAGCTATGACAGGCCTCGAGGGACTTCGCTAGACCACACATGTGAGACCAAAAAAATAGGCCAATGTCTGTTGAAATCGGCAAAAGGATAGGTTGCTCTCGATCCGGGAATTGAACCCGGGTCCCCAGCGTATGCTGCTATTTTTTATACTAGCGATGACAAGCTGGTATACTGACCACTATACTAATCAAGATGAGATTCCTATGATTGGATGATAGAAATTGTAATTATTGACATACATACAGTGTGTGTGGAGGTTGCCCTAATGGATACTGGAGTTTTCATAGGTAGGTGGAGCCCAGTGGTGGATTTTCTCCCTTATACTTCATTTGGACCGAGACAGGAAGTGGGCGAGTTCGTGGCAAGGTTGGCATTTTTGTCGAAGTTGATTTAAGAGTTATAGATGAATCGATTGCTCTGTGTTTATTAATGGTGTTCAGTTAATTGTCGTGTTTTCTGTACATGCTATAACCTGGGTTCTAACCTTGGGTCTTTGTTTTAATTGAGCTGCAGGGCTCAGGAGGCAACTCGGACTTGACTCACCCCAACTAAGCAGCCGTATCAGAACGGATGTATTAGACTTGCAGCAAGTAAACGGCGACGAGATAATGATACCTCTTAGACCGAAAAATTGGGGACTTCGGGAGTCTTGGTACGGTCTTGGAAAGCGGGCATCATGCCGAGTGCACATGTCAGTAATACCCAGTCGGTCCATGCGTCAGTATTAAGATTAAGATGCCATAGGGATATTTCGGAGTAGAAGGAGATGTAGCGCGTGGAATGAAGCTCCGAGAGAAGAGAATGGTTTGACCTAGTGCCATCACATTGAATATTGGTCTTCGAGACAGATAATAATTTAGTCAACTTGGTTGGTTGGCCGCATCGGGTATCACTGCGTTAAGCGGTTTATGCCATGCATTATCATATGGCATGATATGGGGATCATGTTCGATGTTGTTCTTGAGTGCTTATATAGTCCTGTCAAGTGCGATATGCATTTGTTCTTGTCCTTTTCGGCCATCATATTTAAAATGAATGATGTTTAGTTCTCTCGGATGAAATGACTAACTACTCTATTTATTATCCATTTCCTTTTCCCTTATAATCTCTTGAGTATAGGAACTACGGTTCGAGCAGGTTGATATACCAAACAGCATTTGACCGGACCTGAAACCGTTTCCGTAGATCCCCAATACCAACACGCCTTCGTCGTCTTCTTTAGCACCCCATGCTACCTATACAGAGGCCGTGCGTGGTCTAGTCGTCTTGTGCCCACTTTAGGCACTCGCAGTGCTCGCATTCATAGCAGTTTATTTTGAAAATGTGAATTTATGAATCAAATTAATTAGGGTGATTAGGTATTCTGAGGTCTCTCTGAAATGTCTTGTTCGTTTTCGTTCTGAGTTGACAGGTAAATATTTGTTCGCAACCTCTCATGCATTCTTGGCAACGACCCAAAAAATGAAGAGCATCGAGTCAAGAATGCCCGAACTCGTAGCCCTTTATTTTGATAAAAACATTATCGAGTGTCGGTCTTTGCCACTTATGGTGCTGCTTTATTGTCGCATGAATAATACTACACAAAACGTTGTTGACGTGCAAAAAGAAATTGAGTAACGTACCCCACAAGCAAGTTGGCCACACAAGCAAGTTGGCCACTTTTTCTTGGCACCGTACGAATAACTTCAATAACTTAACTAAACTAAAAAATAATAATTCAAACTAACCGGAATCCTCTTCCTCGTACGTATTTTTATCATTCTCACAAGTACGAGCATTATGTCCGGGCTCTCCGCAGATCCTACAGCGCCGTCGGCGTGGTTCGGCCGGTCTCGTACGACGACGGCTTACACGTATATCATCCTGTAGCTGCTGTTCAATATCCCGTTGAGACTGTAAGTCCTGAGCGTCTCGTAAACTAAGAGATCCTCTATCTTGTAGCTGTCGATTTTTAGTCCTTCGACGACGGCTTAGCTCTTGATTGACCTTCCGAAGTGTAGTAACCTCATCCTCAAGTAAAACTAACCGATGTATAACAGCCGTCGCACCACGTGAAAATTGGTCAATAGCCGCAAGTATTGTCGCCGGGGAGCTATTCTGATGCTGTACGATTCTGTTTTTAACGTATTCAGACTGGGATTGCGGCTCGGTTGGGTTATTTGGAGTCTTTGATTCCCAGATTAAGGGGGCGCCAGACGAGCTCCCAGGAGGTGTAGGCGTATGTAGCTTAATATCCAGCTGTGAAATCACATATTCCTGGTCGTACGGAATAAGTCCTGTCCCCCTGAAACCTGCCTGGATATTTGACTTAGTTATAGTCGTACGATACGCCCTATAGAATGCCAAAAAGAAATCCTCCTTCGAGATATGGGTTATATACGCCCGTATTAGGTCTTCAATTTCTTTGCCGTAAGACCTTTTCAAAGCCCTAAAACAGCCTACATCGAGAGGCTGGAGCTTATGTGACGAATGAGCAGGCATACTAAGTGTAATAATAGTATGCTCTTTGCAATATAGCTCGAAGTCAGTCGAGTGGTGGCTCTCATGCCCGTCGAGGATAAGAAGACGATAAACACCCTTCGTACGATCCTTCGTATAGCGATCAAAGTGCTGAATCCAGTCTACGCCTCGCTCATTTGTTGTCCAACCGTTTTTGGTTACAGCGATTACCCAATCGGACGGGAATGGGCTATTCTCGTACCAGGATAAGAGGTGGTTTTGACCCGCGACAATAATATACGGCGGGATAGCCCAGCCGGACGAATTAATACCCTGGATTACTGTAGCCCATTCTCGATTGCCTTGTTGGACTGTACGAGGCCTTCCGCGTCGTTCGGCACTTGTAACTACCATCTCGGATGATTAAGCCCATCGCGAACCCTGTCTCGTCAAAGTTATAGATATCCGCCTCTTGGATACCATATTTCGCAATTGTATTTCGTACGAGCGTAAACCACGCGCGATACGCGTCAGAATCTTCGAAATAGGCTCGTTGGTAGTCGATTCTTCGATTAAAACGCGTCCGAAGGTCTGGTTGTCGTCGTACGAAGTTCGAGGCCCAGTTGACGCCGACGCGTCCAGCGCCACGGTCACGGAGCAGTCGGTTAGCCATAGCTTCAACACCATGGAGCCGGGGAGGAAATGATCGCGAATCTAGGTCAAGTATATATTGTACGACCGCTAACTCTCCTGATTCCGTAAGCTTATGACTAGATTGTCGAGTATCGCGTCGAGATAGTAGTCCGCGTTTTCGGTTAGCTAGAGTTGTACGAGGGACATTGTAGAGTTGGGCAGGGCGTCGGATGCTTAATTCGGGTTTCGATTGAAGCGCCTGACACGCTAGAATTATGTTGCTTTCTTTCCAATTCGATCCCATCTTGGTATGTGTAAAGATATTAATTAAAAGGTTGTTCGTACGGTGCCAAGAAAAAGTGGCCAACTTGCTTGTGGGGTACGTTATTCCTAATTCCACTCTGCCGGTACTACTACCAAATACTAAAAGATTGGCCAAATACTGTGTCTTAGAGTGTAATCAATGCTACAAATTTTCTGAATCATTAGTTTTGTCACCCCCCGTATTTCCTAAACTCGCCAGCCAAATATCCTCCGGTCTCTGTGCCCCCTTCCACACTTCACAGAATCCCGAGAAATCTTTGCGTGACCTTAGTACAAAGATCAATCCTTGCAACACACTCGAGTTCTCGATACTTGTCGAGTTCACAATCTTCAGGACCTTCTCTCTGCGCACTTTCGCAGAAGTCTCTACTGTTTTTCCCCCAGCCGTGCCCTTGTAGAACTCAATCAAGCATTCATTCACGCCATCGACGCTCACGATAGCCACCACAGAAATCCAGGCGGTGGAACCCGGCACAACAGTGACGTGATGGGCAATGTAAACCCGCGCTACGTCTCCAGCGAGTATCTGATGACCAAATCCCAACGCGTCAAAGCAATTATGAATCTTGTAAATATTTGTCTTAACAATTGCGTACTGACCTAGAGCCGGCGTTCTAGTCAGCATCTGCTGAAGGTACTACGCGCGTCGCTTGATATATTTCTCCTCTATGTATGCAGGCTCGCCACCAAAATTGTCTCACCACCGCGCCCCTTTTCCTCGCCGGTCAACAAACTACACATGGGTTTATCTAGATGATTACCTCCATCCCATTTGTGTTTGTCGAAGCCATACTACCATACCTACGTGGTTTTAGATATTGTATCCTTTTCTGGGCCTGGAAAGGGGATTGGTAATGTACAATACATCGATGATCCGTCCCGAACATACTCCTGTCTCCCTCTCTCTCCTTCTTTCCCCCTATCTATATTATTTCGCTGTAAGTAGGCTCTCTTGTTCTTACTATGGTATCTGACGACTGATAAATTTATACCTACCAAGGGCCATTCTGGCCTCGTGACTGTGAACCACATCCACATCTGGTTCATATGGTCAAAGTCGTCGCGCATCTTCAAAGGTAGAAAGAATTAGAAAATTGACGAACCAAGACACGAGGACCAAAGGCAACCGAGTAAACGTGGCGAGAATCCATAGACTCGTCTCAAAATATGACCACCCTAAGCCGTTTATCTCAAAAAAGGCTATCCAAGGACCGGCCGACCTAGGGTATCCGTGGTATCAGACTAGGCTACACCCAAAACGAAACAATCCACCATGAGCTCATCAATAATCAGTTCCACACCTCATGATCCACCGTTGCATCCTTGCATCACCTTCCAAACTAACTGATCTCAAAGACAACGAGCGAACTAAGCTCTCTCAGTCTCCCTCGCCCTTCCCTTCTCCACATCTCCATCGTCACTAACCGATCTAGACCTTTCCCTCCCACCATCAGAGGCGGCTGCCCTGCCGGCCACCTCGGCCATATCCTCATCATCCTCCACATCGAACGACCTGCTCAAATGCTCCGGTCCCAATAGGGTTAACACGATAACATACGCATATACGCAGCCCATGAATATACAGATCACCATCCCGTACTCAAACCGCTCCGTCTTGCCCTTGGGCGGCAGCGGGAAGCGCTCACCAATTGTAGCTTCGATGGTGGAGCTGGCGGACGAGACCAGGTTACCGAGCTGGTAACTGGTGCCGACAACGAAGGTGCGGAATGCGCCCGGGGATAGCTCCATTAGGTGGATGGGGATGACGCCCCATGCGCCCTGGACGCAGAATTGTTCGAAGAAGGCGGAGGCGACAATGTTCATGTTGGGAACGAAGGTGTAGGGATACAGAAGGGCGCCGCCGATGACGCACATGACGATAATGCTTAGTCTGCGGCCGAAGATCTGGGAGCTGAAACCGACGACGGTGCCGCCGATCATGGCGCCGAGATTGGCGACAATTTGCGTGACGGTGACTTGGTCGTGCGTGAAGTTGTACTGGTTGGAGAGCATTGTCGGGTACAGATCTTGAGATCCATGGGACATGAAGTTGAATCCGGCCATGAGAAGAACCAGGTAAGTGAGGAGAATCCAATGGCGCTTTAATGCCACCTTGCCTTCCTTCAAAAATGTCTTGCCGATGCTGCCCTGAGCCTTACGAACCTCCTGATGATGATTGTAGGTCTTGGTCTCGGGTAACATGAGACGGAAAAGGATGATTAGCACTGGCGGACAAGCTCCGAACCAAAACAGAGGTCGCCATCCGTGTGATGTTGTGTCGACGAGGGCCCTGGCAAATGCAGTCGCGAGAAGGTATCCGAAGGCGTATCCTTGTTGCAGGATGCCCGACATGAGGCCACGACTTTCGACCGGGAGATCTTCCAACGCTGTAGCGGCTGCGTTGCCGTAGAGACCACCCATGGCAATCCCAAAAAGGGCACGACAAGCCAGGAATTGGCCATAGGTTTGGCAAAATCCAGTTCCCTATACAGCATTAGCCGTGTGAAGGAGGACATATTGGCGTGGGTGAGAAGAGGCAAGGGTACGCTGCAGCCTTGGCATCGCCAAGTATCATTTTTAATGGGTAACAACGTGTGGCAGCCTTGGCTTTGAGGGATGACCTGCCAAGTCTGGCGCGGCAAAAGCTTGGTAGCACCGTAAAACTGGAGAAAGCTCTTACAAGTTCAAGAATGATGAAAAGTATATTGTTGACAATAAAGGGCCACTTTCGACCATATCGATCGGCGGCAATACCGAAGAGAACCGAGCCGACTGACCGAAACATCAGGACGAGGGTGATTCCCCAGGTAATGTCGGTGTTCGATTTGTCAAATGTCTCGGCCAATTCGGAGACTGTCAGCGACACGGTGAAGAAATCGAAGGCATCTGGGATGAGGTCAGCGAATCCACTGTGCGATGGCGTACTCTGGTGACAGCATACCCCATGTCTGTATTTATCAGGTCAGCCGTTTGTCTACATAGGTTACTTGAGGGATCGTAAGGTAATACGTACCCAAGCGAAGAATGCGATAGCAAAGAAGGCCCAGTTTTGACGATTGAGCTTTCGCAGCAAAGCAATGGGATTCGGCGCCTTGGTCATGGGCGGCTTCAACGAAGTGAATCGGGTAGCCAAGTACTTCCCAGTCGACATGCCATAATGCGGAGGATGAATGTTGTGGAATTCGGCAGCGCCAGCGTGGGCACCGTCGACGCGCTTCTCCGTGCTAGCCATATTGAATAAGACGCTGCTGGTTGGCGTATAAGGCTTCTGGAGGCTGGAAATGAAACAAGATCCTCCTAGGCCAGGGGGGAAAATAAGAAGAAGGATTACTTTGGTTCTTATGAAAATGTTCAGCAAAAGAAATCTCACGAAGGTCTTGGGTGTTTAGGTGCGGGGTCGGCTATGGGAAGGGAAGGATTGCATTGGCACTGATGACAACCCTACCCTCAAATAAAGCGGTGGGAGCGGTGATGCCGACGGCGCGACGAGCATCCAAGCCTGGTTGCTGCTGTGGAAGCCGCGGGCAAATGGGAAAGGCAAGATGCGGCGACGAGAGACAGGGACCCTGGACCATAGCCGACGCACCACCTGATTGTCACCAACCCAGTTCAGACCAGTTAAAGTGGAAGGTCAAGCCCGCTCGCAGCCATGACGATAAGCAATGGTGGTGTGCCAGGTTTCCATTCCATCACCCAGGATAAGACACATGCTATGCATCCAAGACTCTGGTCCAGCTACTTTAAAACAAAGTCGAGCTAAAACCCCAAATCGGACCGCAACTTCGGTTCTGGGTCGAGTCCGGCTCTGCACTCTAACCGCACTGACGTGTGCCCAAGTCAACATCGGACGGATTGAAGTTTGGACGGGGGTTGACGAGATTCATCGACTGGTGATTGTGAAGCCTCCCACGGCTCTACGAAAGAGCCTCTTGGTGCTCCTCGGGCGTTTCATCGCACACAGGTTGTGCATGTAACATCGAAATCTTTTGAACGACGGTGTGTGGTTTTGGGTGTCATGATTGATGACAATTACATCAGCGCGGTCACGAGTTCCAGCTATTACCGGCGCCAAGCGCTGGGGTTGGGGTTGTAACGACGATGGGGAATGGGGCTTTGGGGAAAAGGAATGGGAGCGCCCCTCCCCCGTCCCCCCGGGAAATCACACGTCACGAGTAGGATTCTCAACCTAGGGGAAAGAGCTTCCCCGCATGCGTTTCTCCGCACTGGGAAGCTCCCCAGCGCCCCCAAACAAGCAAAACTCGGCGATTTCTTCGGACTGGCTGTCGGTTCTAAACTAGAAAAGCACTACCTAAAGTTTGAACTAATGTCATGCGCCTACGGGTCTTCTATTTTCAGTTTTGTCAGTTTTATCTTGCAGTCGGGCTTTCCGTTGCATCGGGACCCTCGTATTCCCATCTGGTGCAGCTGAATGGAAGCAGCAGGGTTCTCCCCAACCATTCCGTATAGCTTCGCTGGCATGTGGGGCTTTTTTCGTTTTCGATGTCGACTGTGACTGCCTTTGGAACGAAGGGAAATTGCCGAGCAACCAATCACACTAACAAAACTTCCTCTCGAAGCTCACAGGCATACCAGCTCAAATTTGATATACAGCAGTTTCTCCGAGGTTATCTCCACTACAAGTTCCAGCTTACTACTACCGGCGTCAACGTTAAGCTAGGCACTCTAGTGCTACTTAGTTTCAGATCTGCCGGACCGGATCGCCCTTATCGTCTACCGTCTTGCGTTGTGTCTAAAGTCGATGCTAGTCATTTTTAACACTAAGTGTGACACTGCACAAACCAGTCTTCCGGCGCGGATTTTGGCATGTAGGCTGATTGAAGTCGGAGTTAACTAACTAAGAGAGCGAAAAGAAAACTTTAAGCATGGCCTACTGTTGAGTATTCTGTCATTTGATAAGTAATCAGAAATTGAGATTTATAAATGTGTAACCACAGGGAAAAAAATACCATGGACTCTATGCTTGTTATGCTATCTGTAGTAAGACCCCGAGGAAAGGTGTTCGCCCGTATTTGCTAGTACACGAGAGGCTCAGACAACTACGAAAACATACCGATCTCAAGACTTATCTGTTAGTCTTCGTTTCAGCACAGTGCTATCTCTTAGTAGGCGGTAGCGTAGGGTCACCAAAAGCACCAGAAGTGCTGTAAGTCGAGTTAGGAACGTACGGTTATAACTTGAGGGTTGCAGGGAAAATATTCGAAGCGGACGACGAGCCTTTGCCCTTGCCCTTACGTGAGCCAAAGTCTCTGTCGCTTTCTCTCGTTGTAATTAATGGATTTTGCATTAGTTCGTACTTTATGACAAATATATCTGGTCGTTGAGTGACTTGGCGATTGGTGGATGTCGTGGGTAGAAGAGCTGTAACGGTATTTATATATGGACGTCTAGGATGGCCTTCGGAAACTCGGAGTTGATTAACGCGGGGTTATTTCATAGTTGACGCGGCTCGTAAAATAAAATGGCTTGTCTTTTGGAACTGGTAAAGAGTATGTTTTTGGCTAAAATAACTGTAATGTAACTGAGGATCGACAGCGAAAATGATGCTTGTGTGCAAGTATTACCCTAATTTAGGACACGATGCAGTTTCCATCTTCAATACGACCGCTACGCTGTTGGAAAGTTTGCTGACTTACTTCTTTGTAAACAGTAATTTGGGTGCGAGTGGATGAGACGAGACGAGATCACACGAGTTGAGCGTTTGACGAATGAGCCCGCCAGGCTCCAAAGCTCTTTGGGTAGACAGAGGTGTACACTCGAGAATGTGGTGAGAAAGTACATGGATCAAAATAATAACGAAGTAGCAAGTGGTTGTTCAAACAATAGAATCTGCCCGCCCTGTCGGCATAATTCCATTCTTGCTGTAAACAATTGCCCAGCAATGACAGCCGGTCCAATATCTCGTTTCATGCAGAGAGAAATATCTGCTTTGCATCCATATCAATAATTTAAACGCCTACAATAATCATCAATCTTCTCACAATATCACTCACATCTCATCTCACCTTATTTCACACAATGGCATCTTCCCTCCTCAGTCTTCCTCAATCTTAAATCACTCATGACCACATCCTCCCCGCCCCAATGAGTCTCCTTCTTCACAGACCCCAGAAACCGCCCCCTCATCACTTCATCCAGCATAACCGCCTCAAAGTGCAGCATCTTCCTCATAAAACACACCCAGACCACCGTCTCATTTAATTCCAAGGCACTATTGCGGACTTGCAAGTGGCCCATGGAAGCGCAACACTCCTTATCCTTAATTATAGTCTTAACCTTAGGCTTTACAGCCCCGAAAAAGAGAAGGACATACTTCCGGCAAAGCGAAAGTACAGAGGGTTTTTTTTTTGGGGGGGGGGGGGGGGGATAATCTCAATCGGGGCTCCGGTGAGGAAGTCTCGGCCGACGGTGAAGTTGGCGAAGTTGAATACAGAGACGGTTGAGGAAACGGCGGGCTCCCAGGAGGTTATATGGAGGGTGTTTGTCGCTTCTGAATAGGAGACGAGCTAGCAAGATGCGACGATCTCCAGAGACTCTCATGCTGCCCGAAAATGCCTAACCATGCTTGGTATCCGCAACGTACATTACCGTCATATCCGCCTTGGCCGACCACCAAGGATGCCGCGCTCGCCAGGGCTCAGGGTTATGCACTGCCATCCTCACACACTGGTGGAGAGCAGCAGATCAAGCCGAAAAGCCGTGATACAACCCCTCGACTAGCCCGTCAGCCCCTGCAAGCACCGGCTACCTCTGTGTGTTCCCCAACGGCGTACGAAGGAGACTCGACAGAGCCTGGCTCTTATCCTTGGATATTTCCCGCTTCCACCCTTTATAGAAGAAGGAACTTTGTGCAGTACAACACATACGTAAGCTAGTGCGAGATCGACTGATTCGCCCCTCCTGCATCTGCCTGGCAATCTAGGTGTTGGATTGTGGGCAAATGGTCTTGTATTCAAAGTGTCATGGTCTCTGGAGAGTCCTGAACGAAGTGAACGGTCTCACGGGGCTAGGCCCGTTCACCGCATGTATATTGGTACTGCACGAGCTGGCTGATGTTCCATTCTTCGTGCTACAACAATAAACTACTGGTACCCCCATACACGACCCTGACAAACGGCGGCCATAAGGGCCTTATATAGACAGGAATGACTGATGCCTGTTTCACAGGCAGGACTTGTGTCGTTCGATGGGTGGTGGTCATATTGGCCCATAAAGTACGGTGCGTGGCCATATGTCCTTCCAAGACTGGTAGTCTTGGTGTAGTAGCCTTGACAGTCCAACACTAGGATGTCCACCCATTATAACATTATCTACATTTCCAAGCGGGGCCGATTGTGTATCCATGAGATAGCCAGTCGCAAACTTACAGTGTCTACGTGTAGGCGCTAAATTTTTATAAGGATATCTTCTTCTCCTCTCAAGAAAAGGGTATATTATGAGAAATATGTGGTTATATATCCCGATCCATCCGGTAACCCCACCCCAGCTTATGAAGCCACATCAATTTTTTTCTTTATTAATTTTCAGTCATCTTCGGCGCTGAAAGATGACATACCTCAAGTTTTTGGCCTTGCATCGCATTTGGTCGAGGCGTGACGTATTCGGCAATTATTTTGTTCTTTCACAATCCGATCCACCTGATGATACATAAGTGTGGGTTCTGATTTCAACTCATGTATTCTTCCATTATTTACGGCTCAAGGTATAGTGACTTGCAAAATCGGCTTCCTGTTTCAAGCGAAAACGGTTCAAAGCACAAACCCTCCTGGCCATTTACAGAACTTACATCGTGCGCGTTGCTGTCACATATATCCCATCAAGTTTCAACCTGAAAGGCACGAGCGCCCCTTCCTAGTAGGGGCGCGGCCCGGCCAAACAGCAGTAACGTTGCAGAGATAGACGGATATATTATTCAATCTACTACACACATAGGCAGTTACGATACTCCAATGGTCCGTCCCCTGCCTTGTGTAGTACATACAGCTGTTCCTGAACTGATCGTATGACGACGTCTACATAGTCGTGGTCGATATCTTACGCTAACATTAGCCTGCTTTTCCATACCATGCAGTGGAATAATTAAAGTGTTGAGGAGGCTTCTACATTGCTGTAATAGTAGGAGCATTTACAGTCATTATATACTACTCAAGATAATCTTAGATAACTGTTAATAGAACACTTGGGGATGAACATCAGCTCCACCAGACCATCCCTGTGTCAGGTAATGAAATGTAATTGCACTCTGCATAGGTGCCTCAGGTAGTTGAAGGCTCGTCCAATGATAATAGTTATGGTTGGATATGACGTGATATGTCTTGGCGTGATTTACCCCGCTTCTCTTCATCCTTAATAGAAAATATCTCGATAGTTTTACATTATTCCGTAGTTAACTTGTAAGATCAAAATATCTGGGCTCTCGACAGAACATATCTTTGAAAATTTACACAATTTTGCGGTTAACTTGTAGGATCAAAAAAACTGAGGCCTCGATAACATGGCACTAAACCAGGTCGGAGGCTATATGGTATGTTCTCTAATTTAATAGGATATATAATACCTAAGCTGACAAGAGTATCCTAGAATGTATAATATACGTAACTCCAATGAAATAGCTCTTTAACTAAATCTAGTAATCAGGAAGTTAGTTATCCGATGCTCGTTAAGTGGTTTATACTAATATACTCCTGTCTGATGGGAATAGGATGTAAGTAACTGCCTGGACGTCGCGAGCTGTGGGATATGGACTGACGCCCGCCTGTCTGATGGGAATAGCACGTAAGTAACTGCCTGGACGTCGCGAGCTGTGGGATATGGACTGACGCCCGCCTGTCTGATGGGAATAGGTCGTAAGTAACTGCCTGGACGTCGCGAGCTGTGGGATATGAGATATGGACTGACGCCCGCCTGTCTGATGGGAATAGTTCGTAAGTAACTGCCTGGACGTCGCGAGCTGTGGGATATGAGATATGGACTGACGACCGCCTGTCTGATGGGAATAGGTCGTAAGTAACTGCCTGGACGTCGCGAGCTGTGGGATATGGACTGACGCCCGCCTGTCTCATGGGAATAGCGCGTAAGTAACTGCCTGGACGTCGCGAGCTGTGGGATATGAGATATGGACTGACGCCCGCCTGTCTGATGGGAATAGCGCGTAAGTAACTGCCTGGACGTCGCGAGCTGTGGGATATGGACTGACGCCCGCCTGTCTGATGGGAATAGCACGTAAGTAACTGCCTGGACGTCGCGAGCTGTGAGATATGGACTGACGCCCGCCTGTCTGATGGGAATAGTTCGTAAGTAACTGCCTGGACGTCGCGAGCTGTGGGATATGGACTGACGCCCGCCTGTCTGATGGGAATAGTTCGTAAGTAACTGCCTGGACGTCGCGAGCTGTGGGATATGAGATATGGACTGACGCCCGCCTGTCTGATGGGAATAGGGCGTAAGTAACTGCCTGGACGTCGCGAGCTGTGAGATATGGACTGACGCCCGCCTGTCTGATGGGAATAGGATGTAAGTAACTGCCTGGACGTCGCGAGCTGTGGGATATGGACTGACGACCGCCTGTCTCATGGGAATAGCGCGTAAGTAACTGCCTGGACGTCGCGAGCTGTGGGATATGAGATATGGACTGACGCCCGCCTGTCTGACGGGAATAGCGCGTAAGTAACTGCCTGGACGTCGCGAGCTGTGAGATATGGACTGACGCCCGCCTGTCTGATGGGAATAGCGCGTAAGTAACTGCCTGGACGTCGCGAGCTGTGAGATATGGACTGACGCCCGCCTGTCTGATGGGAATAGCGCGTAAGTAACTGCCTGGACGTCGCGAGCTGTGAGATATGGACTGACGCCCGCCTGTCTGATGGGAATAGCGCGTAAGTAACTGCCTGGACGTCGCGAGCTGTGGGGTATGGACTGACGCCCGCCTGTCTAATAGGAGGTGGACAATTTATGGGTTTATTATTTTGATGATAAATTCTGTCGCCGGTCTTTGGAGCAAAGTCATTCTCCGACGATTAGGCCATGCGGTGATTGCAGTCCAATTCTAATCTCTAGTGGACTGGTCAAACTTTCGAACCTAGGCGATAACACATATGCCTGTCCTTTCTGCGCTTTTATACTCGAACAAGTTAGAAATATTAGCGAATCCCACGCGTCGGACACGTTCGTTAAGAACACAGATTCGTTAATAGAATTACATATTACTGGAGCGTCAGGGACTATACCTGTCTTCCGATTATATCCTGGTAGAGCCTTCTCCCCTGCCTTTTATATATTCACTTGAACTTACTGGCTAATTTAGGTTCCGCGTCAGGCTCGGAAAGACCTCGAACCCCCCCCACCCGTATCCTAAATACCTCCTCCGTTCAACCACTACACAATTGGCTTGTCCAATGCGATCAGAACCATCAATGTAGGAAGCCCGAGATTATGAATCAGCACGCCGAATACGTACCGACCCGCCTTCTCAACGTTACTGCATATAGTAACCCGGATGACCTACGTCTTGACAATTTTACCGCACGATCTGCGAACGAAATACCACAATACGTTGCTTTGTCTCATTGCTGGGGTCAATCGAATCCCAATTTGCATCTGCCCTATCTCACAAAGAAAGATAACCTTGAAACTCGTCAAAAGGGATTCAAATTAAGCGAACTTCCAAAGACCTTCCAAGACGCTATTACGGTCACACGCCAGCTTGGTGTACGATACCTTTGGATTGACTCATTATGTATTATCCAAGGTCCAGATGGCGACTGGACAGAACAGTCCCAACTAATGGAAAAGGTTTTCGCCTCAGCATACTGCACGATAGCTGCAACATCGGCCAAAAACTCTGACGCTGGGTTTTCAATTAAATCTGTGGATAACCAAAGCATATTTATTCAACAAGGATCAGGACAGCACATCTGCGTCTCGACAAATATAGCAGACTTTGAGACGGAAGTTAATAAGGCTAATCTGAACAAACGGGCCTGGGTTATGCAAGAGAGACTCCTTTCATCACGAACAATCCACTTTTGTGAAAATCAAGTATATGGGGAATGTGGGGAAGGGATCTATGCGGGACACAACCTCTTCTTAAAATGGTAAGAAGCATAATATACCGATAAAGTGTAACCACGTTAACTATTCTACAGCGACCGATTCACTACGAATTACTACAGGCTTGACCCGAAGTTTCCCGATCGACTTAATAGCTCGGGTTTCGCTGACACCTTAAGATTTCTTCAGTCCTTGTTAGAGGATTACACGCAGCGTGGTATTTCCAAACCAACCGATAGAGCTATTGCTATTTCGGGGTTACTAAATCGTATCGGACGCGCGTTGCGATGCTCAATACATTATGGCATTATTGAGTGGTACCTTCACAGAACCCTTCTTTGGAAACGATCGTCGGGGCCGAAAACAACGAGGATTGGTTACAAGGCCTTCATGCCGTCATGGTCTTGGATGGCTTATGAAGGGGCTATTGAATTTGTGCCCGATAAATTTGGTGGTCTGGATCTGGATCCGGATCTTACGCTCAACGAGGGAGATGTGACCGCCACTATTTGGGAGTTCACAGACAATGGTATGAAGATAGAGAAAGATAGGGATGATGTGCGATACCAGCTTGTAGATTTGCAGGGGATGAAGAAAGGATGGATAAGTTTTGACGAGACTGACCTTCCAAAGGTACAGTACATGGTTGTCGTTGCGAAGCGTCGGTGGGTCCAAATGGATAACTGTCTGTATTTTGTTTTGTTTGTCAGGCCTTTGGAAAATCAGGATGGATATGAACGACTCGGGATGGGGATGCTTCAAAAAGACTGTGGTTTAAGGATGAAGGCGAAAGGCCGCGTACTCTGATAGTTTCAGTTTGTTTGTTTTGCACTGCTGTCATCTTCATACAATACTGTCATTATCACTATGCTATAGGTGCCATCGCTGCCTGGACAGTACATACGTTTAAGGTCCAATCCGTAATAACTGCATATAACAGCAACTCGCATAGTGTAGGCACCGTAAATGGCTTAAAGGATCTGTGTTTTGAAACTCAATATTACTTGAAATGAAAAGCCGATTATGCAAATCATTGTAATCAAGAAGGAGAGCCTAGACTATCTTGTTTACTATCTCTCACACCCTAAGATGGACGAGGAGGGAATGCCAGTTTAGGAAGTCTGACAGGATGAACTGGCGGTCGTTAAACTGGCAGATAAATTTCCAATTAGATGGCCATTTGAAAAGGAGATACCGATGCGACCTTACCTGGTTACTGAATATATTTCCGTAAAGTATCCCAAAGTATGGTCTACCCCGGCAAAGTATATAGATTATTTTTGATCACAATATCCAAGATTGGCTGAAGAGCTAATGCCTGCTTGCAGACCAATGAATCTACTTTTATCCCGGATACAAAATTTGTCCTCGCGAGAGACAGAGCCGAGAGGCTGACGGCGACGAGAGAGGGGTGGAACCAGTGGAAGGACATTATGGAATAGGTGCTGCTTACAGAGGGGGTTCATCATACGGTACCGCATATGGCATTCACGGCCTTGCGACGTGGACCACGGCCCAAGAAGCCTTGTTTGATTTCGGATGGATGTCACACCCGACATGATAAGAACTTCATACTTTGATGGCAGCACCGCAAGACTTCACCGAGGCGCGATGGAGATACATAATCCTCCGATTTTGGCAAACCGTCTTTTTCAACTCTGGAACCATCCACTTCGTCTTACGTCCCGCCAACCAGAAAAACCTTGCACCGGGTGGACATATCACCATTACTCTGCGAGAAAAGCCGGTAGGAGGTGGATGCTGGACGCCTGGCGAAGGAGAAAGACGCGCGACTTGAGCAAGCGGGTAGGAAGCGTTTTTGTGGGCACCGATCTGAGACTGGACGGTCGATCAGTGAGTCCGGCCCGTGATAGTGGGATGCTGGTTCGTATTCTGGGCAGCTGAGCTTACATCACCGTGGGACGAACACAGCTATGATGACCACTGTATGCTAAGGCAGGGCCAGAGAGACTGTACCCTTGGGCTGTCGCGAAGGGGATCGTTCGATTATTGTTGCTTCGGCATGAATGCAGCATGTCCTTCGACATTGACTTTCGTTTGCGCTTGTATGTTCATGTTGTTGATGTTCGCTTCAAGCTGGCAGCGAGTCTCATGGTGATGTCAGCTCAGCTGCCCAGAATACGAACCAGCTATTTAACTGGCAATGTTTTGAGTTGAAGTGCTCCAATCGACGAGTCTCTTTTTGAATTTGATTCTGAGGATTTGCAACTGGAGTTTGGAAGGGCCAATTTCCATGTTTGACGAGGGAGATTGGGTGTAGTTGTGGATGAGTCCTGTAGTCGAATCGATGTTATAAGTTGGTCGGTGTTGTGATTGACCAGAAGACCACTCATCGAGGGAAGGACCAAATACAAAATGCATATGTTATTATTATTATTATT